AACTAGGCTAACAAAGTTTCATAAAAACAACTTTTGGCTGATCCGCTTGGTGAACTAAAAAAGAATGAATGCATATTATTTTATATCAAGCGGAAAAATATATAATATATGACTTGTTTTATCACCATCACATGAAATCAATTATTTTTTGTATTTGTAAGCATCTTTTCTTAAGTAACGTGACATTGACCGGTCTTGTTTGAAATACGAGAACCTCCATGTTATTAACATCTGTAAGTTCCCTGTATCTCGCAGACGAAGCTTTTCTCATAATGTTCATAGGGACCTTTCATACAAACTGTTTGTGAACTTTTCAACCACCATGCAGTGTAGTGAGTTTTAATAAAATAACTATTTTACCCCATATTGAATAATATTTTTTTCTCCGGTGCCATGCAATTCAGTTATTTGTTAAATGATGCCAAATGCCAAAATTACTCTGGAAAAATACTCAAGAGACAGTTTAATGGCGGCGCATAATAATAACAGCTATTTTTCATGGAATTAACCACAAAATCAAGGCACTTAGCCAAATTCCTACTGGACACAGTGTTTTAACTGCAATCTAAATCGTTTTAGAATTACTTTAATTGTAGCCTGAATAATTTATGTTACGTTTATAACAGAGAAAATGTACACAGTGGGCATTTCAAGCCAGGTTTTGATAAATCTACGTTTTCTTACAGGAAAACAGAGGTATGAAATGATTTGAAATGTACTTTGTTAGCCTTTTACAATGTATTTTGTGTTGAGAATAATTTTAGTAAATGTGGAATTCTTAGAAGCAGAGATTCCAACAATATATTTTTTGGATACCCATATCCCGACCACTTTTAAAGATGTTTTATTCAAATTTAGTAGAGAGAGTTTTCTGAGGATGCTAAAATTGGAATGGAACATTATCTTCAAATAAAGATATCTCCATGTTTTTTAAAAAAAGTTAGTTATAAAAGAATAACCGCATTGCAGGTAATTATTTCGTGGTAAAATATGAAAATGTTTCAATTTCAAATGAGAGAGATATAAGGACGCTTCCATAAAAAGTGAAACTGTATCTTTAACAAGTAAAATAAGTCCACAATTTACTTCCAATGACTATATTTTATACACAGATAAAAGCTAAATGATCCGATACTTGGAACGTTAAAGATAATATGTAATTAATTATCAGGTACATACAGGATCTTATAAATAAAAGTTGGCCTTTACAGTTTAACTTGACAAGAGATTCATCTCATCGTATTTTACCTTGTAGTTGCAAATACAATGGATATGGATAGTACTGGTTAAGAAATATTTATTTATTTTTCAAAATTGTTTGAACAAGACAAATACGGACTTAGAGAAGAGCATCCCACTGGTACATGAGTATAGCGGTATTTTTATTACGTGTGTGAAATTTAATAAAAGCGTTTTTACTCAAGAAGTTGTTTGTGTACCGGTTATAGAATAAATAACATTAAGTCAACTTTGCTTACAATGTAAAACCGATGGCACAAAAAACTGTAACATAATTGCTGAAGAATAATATGATTCCGTTGTTTGCTATCATTTTCTGATTAACACTCCTAACACTTTGTTAGAAACTAGAATCTGCCAAATCATTGCCTCTTTTTCTAATCTTCTGTTCCGTTATAGCCCGTGGAAATAAAAATATTCCTCCTGGTTGCCAGAGATAATAGATGAAGTTTTGTTTACGACAAGCTATCGATATAGTTTAATCTTTTCTGTTATTATTGCATTTTTCAGTTTCATACTATCACGGGTATAATACGTCATAAACTGAACATGTACTTTGTACTAGGAACTACAATTTGGTTTAGTACCGTTAATATTTGCTAAATTAAGGATTTGCTTCTCTACCTGCTTCTCTTGATTGGCATTTACTAGAAGGATATCTGGTAATTCCTAGAATTATTCTTTTCTCTCTATAGACCTTTGTACCTGTCAAAATGTTGGAATTTCCAGTTGAGGCCATTTTATGACTCAGCCTAATTTGTTAGATCCATCATAAGATGATATTTATTGAAGATTATAGAAGTAATATGATTGTTCTTGGTAAAATAAATAATTAAATACATTCTATTCTGTTTAATGTTACCAATAGATGGTAATTTTTATTGTTAGTGTAATGATAAAGAAAATAATAAAATTGTAGATAAATGAGTATATAATTCTCTGTACTATTTTACTATTTAAATAAAATTTCATATTCTTCATTTCTACTTCAAATTGAACGTAATTGATTTCGGATTTGTCTGCTTATTTGTCATACTCGGATATGATATCATTATTTTGAACTATCCATGAAATTCACTTTGAAGGAAGTTACAAGAAAGCGAAATTCATATACCTCTAATAACAATTTAATCATATTTTATAAATATATACACATTTATTTGTTTACACGTTTCTAATTTAAATATTTTTGTAAGTATTATGTACTCGAAAAAATGAATCATTGTTACCACTATAAAGTGGAGTATACCAGATTACAGTATTGTAAAATGTATATGCAATAACAATAATCGATAAGTCTCTATTGCAATAAAAATGATAATACTGTCCTATAGCGTTGTTTTACGCACCACAGGTTTGTGAGTAGTTGGTCTAATTGAGTTTTGTAGGCCTGTTAATATATTAATATATTGAAGTTTATCAAACAATGCATACATTAATAATTATAGTGATTTAATGTATTCTGAAAATAAATGTTATTTCATTCCCACAACATAATTCTTTTATAGAGTTGGCAACAGTAATATTTTCATTGTCTACTGATTGTTAAAAAGCATCATCGATGTTACAAAGTAGGTAGATACTCGAAGCAAATCTACGAATGTTATTAAATTGTGTTTCCAATACAAAATTTATAAGTAAAGTTATGGTCTATAAAGTTAATTTAAGACATTGCATATGAAGAAAAATATTATTTCAACATAATGATCTTAAATGTTAAATTGTGTCTTGAAAATTAATATTATTTTAATAAATTTGTATGGTGGTTATGAAATATTTTTTTATCAATTAGAAACATGTTTTCCGAAATCTTTTCAACGAAACAGTTTTTAGCAACATTTTCATTTGATATGAAACTAAGTCACGTTGAAAGAGCTTAATCGTATAGATTTACTGTCATGAATCACGACATACTACGAGCTCTCTGTTGTGCAAAAAAAAGACAGTTTGTAAATGTCACTTTTTGTTCATTCCAATCACAAAAATGTAGTATGTGTTTTGTAATATTGTGAGTTTAAAACATTTCAGAAAATAGTGAGATACTCAGTCCCAGTCATTGAAGGTAAAATACAGCGTTACTTTATAATTTTCCCAAACAGCGCCGATTTGCACCAAAATTTGGATTTAGGTTCTACCTACTGCAAAGTTGACCCTGTACCGGGGTTTGCTTTTTATTTTTTAGGGGTAAAAACTACCCCTATTCGAAAATAATTATAGATTCGAGCGTGTAATAGGTTAAAATCATCTTTAAATAAGTAATTATGATGAACTGAAAATTGCCAATCCCTAAAAAGCATTCCCTATGACAGTAATCATTAAAAAATAATGTTGAAAAATATTATTCAGCATCTTGGAATAATTTAATCATATGGTGATATTAAATTAAGATTTCTTTACTGTTTTAATTTTTTATTATTTATTTATAAGTTATAACCCTTATAAAAACCACCCCAAATTACAGTTAATTTTTTTTAGTTCAAAATATATTATTTAAAATGTAATGTATTTATTTTATCAAACCTTAAAAAAACCCTACTGATTAAAATTTGAATTAAAATAGAGAAAATAAGAATTTTATTTTTATATGGATTATAATTTTTTTATTTTTATAACAAAAATTTTGTGTGAATAGATGAAAATACGTCTTTGCCTAAGATATAGCTGTAATGTGTATTTATCAATACTTCAATATACGTGTTCTGATATCTGCAAAAATATGTGATTGGTTTTCTACCCATAACTCGCTTAGTTTTTAGCCCTTCAAGCCCTTCAAAAAACCAATCTGTAGGTTTTTTCAAGAGCTATAAGCTCAAATAAGTTAAATTTTCTTTCGGCCCTTATTGTTATAAGGGTTTGAGCTGAAAGGGCTTGAACAAGTTGCTATTTACGAACATATGCAAACTTTAAACAGCCATATCTTACTTAATTTTTATCCTACAGAAAAAAAAAACAAAATTTTCAATAAAGCAAAACCTACAATTTTGTAGTCTACCAAATTTTGCGTATCATTAATAGTTTTTGAGTTATTTTGAAGAAAAGACAATTTGTTCCAAAAATACAAAAAAAATCCAAATTTTCATGAAAATCGTTGCTGTTTGGCAAAATTATACGGGAAAATTGTCATTGACGGGACTATACTATGCATTTTTATGACAAACCGCACAACTTGTTTTTCTGACACAGCATAGCTTTCGGTGTGCGACTGGCTTAATGTTAACAACTCATTTTGACGATCTTTTCTTTTCTGCCAAAAATTCCAGTTTTCTAGAATTAAAACAATAATCGCTCTACAACAACATATCTTTTTATATACCTCGTTTGATGATTCATATCAATCAAGTTTATTACGAAAAGAATAGACTCATAATTTATTCGGTAGTAGTACCAAAGCTAATAGAAATGCATGCCAAACTGTTCCAAAAATGAACCATACAAAATCTCTTAGCGGTTTCTTAAAATGGCATAATAGGCTCGTAGTTGTCGGCGACAAAACTTTATATTCCGATCACGTTGTTTTCTGTTCTTCCTCAAGCTTAAAAGCGTGCTAAAAATGGTTATCCTCACTCTTACAGATTTCTGTTTCAATACTTTTGAAAGTACAATTACAGCTTTAGATAATTATTTCAATAAGAAGATAAGATTCTTAATATTAAAAGCAAAATGTTATTGGCATTAAAATTTATAAATTCTAGAGTAGCTTAGCGCAACCTAACCTAAATTTTGTAGTATATTTAAATTAATATTTTTGCTTTATTTTTCAGAATGGCTTTAGAGTGGGGGTACAGTCAAATTAATGGTAAGTTACCTTAAGCTTACATTTTTAACAAGGATAATACTTCCTCAAAGTATCATTTCATTTATTTAACAGAAAATCTCAAAAAAAGCTTTGAAAATGCGTTTCTAAAATGGAACGCTTGCATACGGTTGTTGAATAATCAGATCATTTAGACTGTGTATTCGTCTTGTCCAAACTCTATACTTGACACAAAATAGCTCATTAACTGCAGGCAGGGGTGCTGTTGCAGACTTACGCCAAATTAGTCTTAGATAACTACAGTCGAAACAACCACGTTAGGTTAAAAATGGCTAATTCTTAAGTAAACTTTTATAAAAAATACCATGTATGCAAGGTAAGAATAACTTAATGAGTGACAATATAGCTCATTAACACAATGTTTTCAAACCCATGGAAATAAAATAAAAATGGGAAATCGAATATTTTCCTAAAAAAAACATACCTAATTAATTGTAAATGATTTTTGTACACTATGAACAAGTTACTTTTTATGTTGTTCTATTGTTTGATGATAAAACTACATTTTTCTTGACAATGTAACGCATAAGTCTAGTTAATATACAACTTTGTTGTATACACGCAAGGTTGACCATAAAACCGACAAACAATCGGTGTAGCAATTAAATATTAAACAGAAAAACCAACGTAATTTAATTTAAGAGTTTTACGCCTGTGGCAAGAAAATTGATTTACGATAATATTTTTAACTGATTACGTTAGGTAACGGATGTGCTTGTCGTCTAATGGACACAAAATTATAGAAAACTAAAAGTGTTTTTGCTGATTCTGCTTTATGATTTTTAGAGAATACCGTCATTAAAGAAAAGATCGCAAGGAGGAAAACCAATAATTCTCTTAACAACATTTTTTGTATTCCAAAAAATAAGGCCATTTTATTCTATAAATTGTTCTGGGTTTTCCAATTTTTTGAACGCCCTGTACAAATTTTTGGAATTATAAAACTTTTTTCAAAGTTTCAAGACAAGCGAACATTTTTATAAAGATTAGTTTGACGAAAAATACAAATGTTTATTATAGTTTTGATCCTCGTTGTATAATTGTTTATCTTATTTCCCATCTTTTGAAGAAGCGTAGATCTTTGTGAACACAGTATTTATCGCAACTTTCTTAAAAAATTTTGAAAAAAATTCTTTATAATAATTAGCTGTTTGAACATCAATATTTCCGATTAATAATACAATACATTTTTTACACCGATTTTATTATAATCCTGAGCAATATCTGTACATAAAACTGACCTGAACCGCCAGCATATCCGTTAGTAGTTCAAAAGAAACACAAACTTCTAGAACAAATACTAATGGAGATCTTTTAAATACATACGTAAAAATAGATATAAAAAACTAGAAACTAAATTTATAGCTTCTATAAAAACATTTATATCTGACATGACATCGCCTGAGGTATTTTTTAAAATATAACTGGGTTTACTAAGAAACTTTTAATTGCGAGTATAATTTTTTCTAGGAAACTTTAATCCAAAAGAAATCCCATATTCATTAATAATGATTGATGAAATAAAACACCTGATACAATTATTCCATATATGTAAAAGTAGGTAGTCACAAATACATATTATACAAAAAATATAGGATTCTTTCAATTATAATCATTAAAATTCGAGCTAAAATTTAAGCACAACACTATCTTCGTACTACAAAATCGATACATTTTATTTTATTTATTTAAAAACTGGAAAACAATTGTCTGGAAATTTACTAAATGTTTTACAATGTTTACATTTTTTCCGTAGGACAATTCTGCCGCGTGTACACGTGGTGTGCATCAGCAGGTTCAGCGCTGTTGTCACGTTGTGACGAAACTCTCCAATATTAATACTCGCTGTATTTTGAAAACTGTTAATCTTACACCGCTCACCGCTGTAATATGTTCATTTACGATTACTCTATCTCATGCTGAAGTAATGACAGTCAAACTTCTTATACCCTGTATATTAATTTTAATAATAACTAGTTTGGTTATAGAATTGATTTTATAGAGAAATATACTGAAAAGTAGCTTCTTTCAGGCAAGGCACGCGCTGTGGTTTTCTGTCGGGCTGAAAAAAATAGTTATTGGTTGAGGTTGCAAATCTAATTGCGATGCTGTGAGCACGCGTGACCAATACCGCGTGGCCTCTATCGTGTTGGTACGGCATCGTTGTAATTCTAAATTCCGTAGCATTAAAAAAAGGTCATGTTCGGTTCTTATGCATTACAGTTCACTATTTTCGATAAAACTATCCAAGTCGTTTTTTTCTTTTGCAGTGAAAGTTAAAGCACACCAGCCAATGACACCAAACCGTGCACATAGTGATATAAATACCGGCCAGAGGACTTAATCTCAATTGCAAACTAAACTATTATCTTAAAGTACTTTACAAATTTACTGAATGCTAGAGAGAACTTTTCTAATAAATTTAAAAATTTGAGATTTTTATATTTCATTTAATATAGAAATAGTCTGTGTCTGACAGACTGATGTCTTTGGAAGAAAATGTGACACGGAAATTGCCCAACCATAGAAACTGCCACTGAAACTTGCAAATAAATTCAATCATTTTACTATTCCAGGATCAATTCGAAACTACATAATTTGCATTCTTTACATCAGATTCGGTATCCAGAGAGATTTAGTCGTACATCCTGGTTGTGTGGTGTATGTCTATGATATAACGGTACTACTCTTTGTTTTTTTTTTCCAAACCATAAACCGCAGAGAAAAGCCACCATAGTTTTCAACAGGTCCACATACATAAATTTGTATATTTTTATGTAGATATTGGGTACCCTTTTTTCTTGGAAATATTCATGGACGTTTTCTAAAATAAAATTGTTCCGGAAGTAATCTAAGGTCAAATTCGAATTCTTCACATATTATTTATTAAGATTGATTGTGTGGAAGTTCCGTGTTTCTGTCTTCTTTTAGCAATTTTCTGTCAAATTATGAAACTAGAGATATAAACTTCTTACAACTGCTGTACTAATTTTTTTTTAGTAACTTTATTTTTAAGTAGCATTACACTTTTCTCAGTTGAATTTAGATAATAAGGTTAAGAAACGGTACTTCGACAAAACAAATACTCTTGGCACCATTTCAAGTTCCAATAAAAATATTAAAATTAGAATGGTTATTTTCAATCACCTATAAATACTTCCTAACAGATCTATAAATCAGCGGCAACCTGTCATTCACTTGTTCGTTGTCTGTACTCAACAAACTTTATGAAATCTATAAAATTGGCTTTGAGATTAATTAAAAGTTATAAAATACAGATAAAGAAAATGTCACATTGATCATACTAATTGAATAGGTTAATATTTATACAACAAATTATTTTTGGTCAAACTGAAAATCTGTCATATTGACATTTTTACATTGATTGGTGTTAAAATCAGTATATTTAGCTGGGTCTCTGCACAAAATCTGATTTGATACCCCAATTTTGTTTGGGCGACCCAAAACATCTAGCAAATGAGAGGATTGTTGGACCAATCGTTTAACAATTGGAAATTATATTGCCAACATGTCAGATATGTAATTTCATACACCTTTTTTTTATTGGCCGCATTAGGAAAGTTGAAGCTATCTTCACTAATCCCCATTTTCGATGCGCATTTTTAAACGACAAATGAATAGTACAGGTGCGTCACTCTTGAGGGTATGTGCCACTCCAAAGTAAAACATTGGAAGGACATTGGAAGATATAACGGAAACATCAAACAATCATCTCTTAAGAATGCATTTCAATGGCGTTTATGAATCTGTTTTTATCAACTTACATCGTCGGGTTTGATTTAGACTTCCAGACGCTCAATTTATTCATTAAATTCAATTGATGTAAACAAGAATAAATTACGTACATGCTATATTTTATAGGGGTACATTCTTATCGCGCGCAATGCAGTGATCTTCGCACTAACAGCTTAAATCGACAAATTATTCTATTTATCAACACTCCTGCATATGTGCATTGCTGAAACATTGTAACTAAAATACTTTAGTAAAGGACTGTATATGATAAACTAATTAAAAAACATCATAGAAACGCGTGTCCGGAAATGCCTCGTATTCTAGATACACGGTGTTGAAACCTCAAAGAAATCGTCAAACTTGTGTAACTTTAATTTTTAATTATTCACAAAAATATTTACATGTCACCATTTTTTATAGTCGGGGATAGATTTATTAAATTTCGTCAGCAATTTTTGTATCTTCCAAGACATTTGTTTTTCATAACTATCTACCAAGAATAATCTTACATACAAATAAAAGAATATGATCATAAAAACGGTTTTATGTGTTCGAAATAGCCTGGAAAATCTTTAACAGCTTTGTTTTGAATATACGTCTGTTTCTACTTAGAATCATAATCAACGCACTGTTTGAAAAGGCAAGCTGTTAAAAAATTGCAAACTTATGTTGGATGGAAGGTTTATTTTTCGCTGTTTATACGACTTTTTCATTGCATTGTGTATATAGACAAAGACATATTTTTAAACAAAAAGAATCTACAACATTTGTGGAATATAGGTATCGGAATTACTAAAGTCAGTTTCAATTTAGTAATTTTTTAATGATAATACAAGAAATTCAACAGACGAGCACAATTACCATCCCAATAAATACTTTTCTAGGCAAATCTAGTGCACTCATGCATAAAACATTGTTTACCTGCTATCGGGAATATTTAAGAGGTAGAAGAAGCATAGACACGCATTTTCTCCGCTAGAATTTGCTGTCATTATGTAAATTGGCATTACATAAACTGTTTTCGTTTGAAATTGTCACGAAGACATCAATTTGATTTAGTTACAATATCGTACTCATTCTAATTACATTAACATAATCAAAGCTTAGGTCCTGGCTCGTGTGTTATGCAACACTCATTATTATCATTATTCGATTGCATCTAAGTGGATGTTCTATCAGAATGATCATATTATCCCTTCGCTAAATCTTATACATACGCAGTATGTTTGAACTATACATTTGCATTTTTGTAATACGAGATGAAAAGTGAGGAAACTATTATTCAACTTCAGGCTGAGCTTCGTCAATTACAAACATGGTAACAGCTCTTCGACATTTTATTTAATATGAGACTAAGATATTTTTCCATAAAAATATTTTTATACCAAACCAAAACGAACGGTGGGCCTTTAACATTAAAAAATTTTAATGTGACAAAATGTGGATGTATACTTAATTAAATCAGAAAATAATTTTGCAAATACCTAACGTTTTATTTATATGTATGATTTACTAAATTGAAAGATTAGCTCCAGATGTAATATTTTTTCAGGAATGGAGTTGTAGCAAATTCATATCAACGACCTGTTCATTTTGAAATGATTCTGACTATTTTTTGATAATTCTATTCTCCAAAGTGTTTATATTTCTTACCAATGGGATATTTCCAACCATCATATTGCAAACAATAATTTATTATATTTAGATTAAATAATAACGTTTAATAGTTATTTATTGTATAATTGTTTTAAGTAGCATTTTATCTACGCAAGTGTTCGGGCGTTTAATATTCTTAAGTGGATAAAAGGCAATTAAAACACGAATGCAATACAACGTTTTATCCATAATCACATTACAATCATATTTGTGGGGTCAGAATTATTGGAATTTAATAAAAAAAATATTCGCACGACTTGATATTTCTTACTAGTACTCAATGAAACGTGGTAGGTTAGGAAAGTAAGGAAGTAATTGTGTTCCTGTGGCTGTTTTTGAAGAAGCTCAAGAAACAATTTTCCATCGAAATCAGTACCTGACACCAAGACGAGCATTTCAAGAAAATTTACAATTATAGAAGGATTTTGCATGAATGCTGTTGGAAAAGCAATAGAAAATATAGTTATTCCTTACAAGAAGAGACATCCGTAACTTGTGCAAATGCTTCACAAACTTCGGCAGATGTTATGCGTTCCGAAAATGATGGCAACAATGCTACAACGGAAAGGAAGTTAAATATGATAAAACAAAAAAATCTAAATGTCTATTTACTATAATGTTAATAAGTAAATTTGATTTATAATAGGTTTATTATTTTTCATAATTCTATTAGTGAAATGAAGTTCCTTTCTTTCACTAGTGGATAAAGTATCACTTTAGACGCTTCATATGTGTGGATAAATGTCCGATTATAAGGTGATTATGGATAAAAATATATTTATAGTAATTCTACAAATCTTTACGTTAAAATATTTTTTAATATTAATTGTTACTTTATGATGTAGTTCATACGTGCGTTCAAGGCAACAGCTTACGAAGTTGTCAAGTAACTAACAAGTGTTAATAGAAGCAAAAATATTGGAAATTTATTCATAATTTATTATGCTGTTGACGATAATAATAATTAGATCTAATATCAATCGCAACACATGTCATTGTTATAAGCTTTTATTTATTTGTCATGCGATATTATACTGATTATAGTCATCACGCGGTGATAATTGCAATATAACTTAAATAATTGCAATCATCCAGTACGATTTAGCAGATGATTACATAAATTACTCAACCGCTGTGCGGATCATAGAAAATTAGATAAACTGTTATTATAATGTACTTAGTGTTATTTACAGTAATTATTATTACACGCTTAAGAGTTTCACGTACACACTGTCGGCAAACCAATAAAGTGTTTAGAATAAGCATTTCATAGAAATTTCACTTTTTTCTTAATAAAAAATAATCTCAGAACTTCCAAAATTCTTCGGTATCGAAATAAATGAAATAGACCTCTGAGTTTGGAAACCGATATTAAGAAAACATAGGGGTAAAAAAATTTGAAATTTGGACCATATATAGCCTCACTATTACTCTATTGTGTGCTTACAATGTATTGTTCTGTCACCTGGTAAAGTTTCACGATTAAAACCAGGATCACCACGTGTAAGTGAATGCATATTTAAATATGTCTTTTTCAGGTCCCGAAACTTGGCCAAATTGTTACCCAGATGCCGCTGGCCAACGTCAAAGCCCCATAGACATCAATCCCATAGATCTAAAAACTTTGAATTACAATAGGAGATTAGAATGGAAATACGTGCCAGAAAATACTGAAGCTATCACAAATCCTGGTTATTGTTGGAAGGTTCATGTGAAAGGAGCTGGTTCAGGTAACAATGCAAACGTAGAATTTATTTTTGAAACAAATAACTAAAACTGATAGAATTTTGAAAAATATTTACATTATTCTCTGCTTCCAACTTACATACAAGAAAATTGTGCAAATTCATAAAAATTAAAGTTATTTTTGTCCATCCATAAATGGTGTTATCAATTTTGTTCTACTGCTTATTCGTCATTATGAATAAATTTGATGTTTTGCTGATACTTTAGCTTTAACTGGAGGACCCTTAGACGGCAAGTACGTACTAGAACAATTTCACTGTCATTGGGGGGAAAGCGACGACCGAGGTTCCGAACACACCATCAACGGACAAACATTTGCTGGCGAGGTTGGTACTTTTTTGTACTAAGTACTGATATGTATGTAATTTATTTTTTGTACATAATAATACCGTCGTGTTTGGTCAAAAATATTTTCTGCAGTGGTCAAATCCGCAAAGGTGTAACTGTAATTTTTCTAGATTCTACATTTTCTATGGTTTTCAGCTACACTTTGTGCACTGGAATTCGACGAAATACCATTCATTTTCGGAAGCTGCTAAACACCCAGATGGTCTTTGTGTACTCGGAGTATTCTTAAAGGTAGGTGTACTGATTGTTTTAGTGTCTTAGCTGTAGTGATGGTCTTATTCCTTACCTTTGTATATAAGATTTATTTATTTTTATCAGATCAGCTAGGGTATGTGGTAGCTAAGGAAAATTATTGACAAAAAATAAGTTTTTTGTATTAGCAGAAAAATAAACTTAATATTATTTTGAAGCTTCGTCCTTTTCAAATTTAATTATATCAGTAAGAATTTAAAATATATTATTTATGTTGCGACGAAAATTACATCGTCAACATAGTAGGCACATAATTTTAGTATGTAAACACAACCGGGGTAATATTTACAGAAGGTTACAATAGACTCTTTTAGTGTGACATATTGAGGCAACCCGCAACAAAATGTCATAGTTGAGATTGTACAGACCGAATCTGACCCTGGTGTATTATTTACATAGATACTATAAAAATGAACAACTTCAAATTAATTTATTTTTACAAGGAGTTAATAATTAAAGACAGAGAAAAACTTGAAATACAAATGTACGACTTTTTCTTTATTTCTATCAAAATTTGCTGGCATAGAATATATGTTTAAAATAAAAAAAATATTAAAAAAATTAAAATTCATCCTTACGGATATAACAAACAACGATTTTTATAACTAACCTTTACAACAACATAAGGAGAATATCTAAAAATAAAATAACATTAAAATACCTACAATTTTTACAAATTTTCAACATACAAGTAATTGTGATGATACAGTTGAAAATATGCTTTAATTGCTGTCATTCCAAGATGATATAAAATAAATAATTAATTAGGCAAATTCATAGTTTTAATTCTAACTTGATTTATTTTATCACAAATGTGATTTCCAAACAAAAGATAAGTTCAATATCTTTTTAGGTACATAATTGAACGCATTAAATTTATTTGGCAGTTAATATTTGGAATTCTTGGCAACAAAGCCACCGCTAGACTTGCCGCCTATTACCAAGTAGAAGAGTTACCACGCTAAAGTTTATTGCTGGATACCGACTGACAAAAGCCTGCATCCTTTTCGGGTTGCCAATTTTCAGCCTTTAACACGCAGTCTGTGGCGATAAGCTATATTGTCTGTGATTTAAATAAAGTAAAAATTTAACAGTAGCCCTGTTATTCCTAGTGCTCATTCTCGAAAAGAATAGCCTCATAAGCAGGTGAGATCTTCTCGATATGTTATCGCTGCCATCATTAGCGTATCTTGGCATTTTCTAGTTCTACTAAGTATTTTTATTGTTTTCCTTGGTGTTGTACTGTGCCAGTGTGTTATTGAGAATTTTGTTCTTCAAGTGGTTTATCATAGACGTACTTTTAATCACAACCAAACTTTTCCCGAATGATATCTTGTTGCGAGGCTACTTTGTATACATGAAATTATCTTTAATGCGCATGCCCAGTAACATTGATATAATTTTAATTTATTAATTACTATAAAAGTCAATTTTGTTCCATAAATTTAAATATATAAATTCTATAATTCTATTAGTTTGTTTCCAGTAAAAGAGACTTGGAAAAGTGCTATTTCAGTGTGTTTATTTCGACTTTCTTCAATTTTTCAATTTTTTTAATTTCTTGCTTCAGAAAGAGACAGGAAAAATACAGCGTCTTTTTCAATTTTTTCGTTATTTCCGAATTGTTAAATCTTTAATAAAACACATTTTAATTTAATAATATTTTAGGCTGGCAAAAAGAATTCCGAGTTGGACAAAATCGTCGCCCACCTGCCAAAAATCCAGTACAAAGGACAAACCGCCAAAATCTCATCGCCTGTCAATCCTGCCCTTCTAATCCCTGAGAACAGTGGTTACTACACTTATCAGGGATCACTAACAACTCCTCCCTGTTCAGAATGTGTGATCTGGATAGTGTTTAAGGAACCAATTGAAATTTCGCACGATCAGGTAGGCACCTATTTGTTGAAGAAGTGAACAGAGTTTATATAAATAGTCTTTGTTAATTTTAACATGAATATTTACACAAGGTTTTATACAGATAATTTAGAAATTGAACAGAGCAAGTGAAATCAGTTTATTTTGACGCAAACCAGAGATTGCTATGATTCCCTCGAATTATTTAGTACCTAGTTTAATTTCAACCACAATTTTATGAGCTAGGGAAGAAATATATTTATGCTTGGCTTTAATTAAAAAAAAACCTCATAAATTCGATGTTAAATTTTAATTTAATGAGACAAAGATGCAACAATTGAATCAAAATATAGTCCGTTGTATAAGATGGTTTGTTGCCACTGTTTACGGATATTTTCACATGTCAAATATTTCAATTATTTATCGTCACCAAAGACTACCATGTAAGAATTGAAGAAATCTTTGCATCATCCTAGTTCAGCCAGCAAGAGGATGTCCAGAAAGTTGTATGACCAAATTTAAAGTAAAAATGTTTAATTGAAAAAAATTGATCGATACAATAAACTATTAGTTTAATAAAATAATGTAATTATTTTATTTCCTTTTTGTTTCAGTTGGCTGCATTTAGGAGACTAAGATCATACTGCACTGAGGACAGTTGTCCTGCCGACGAGTTTAAAGGATTCGTGAAAAACAACTTCCGGCCCACTTTACCCTTGGGAAAAAGAGAAGTTAAAGAATGCAGGCAATAGAAGGGAAGACGAATATATTAATTTCTCCTGTGGAGAACAAAAGAACTGCTGAGAACGTATTAATAAAACCACCATATATTTTCAGAGATATTTACTATTTCAAAGGTACATATAAGTTTTCGATGACAAAATTTGCATACTAAAATACATATAGTAACAACAACAGTTGCAGTTATATATTCTTACATAAAATGTACAAGTAGTTATTATGTAGTGCGTAATAGTGTCATATTGTTTGTTTAGTGCGATAAATTGTTCAATAGCAATTCAATAAGAAACTCAAAGCGACAATATCAGGTGTATTAGAATAATGTTGAGAAGATCTCTATTAGCAACTAATTAGTCAAGTTCCTAACACAGATAAGCAAAAGCACATAGCGTGCCTTAAAATGAGAAGTTAATATAATTATATTACAAATTAAATACATACATAAACTGTAAATAAAAAATTTTCAGAACTGTGTTATTTCATTTTCAAATATTAGCAACAATATCACTTCTATGAGAAAACGAATAAAGAATGTAAGTATATGTGAAACAGAAAACTTCTCATAAAGTTGAATCTACCTGAGTAAGTAAAAACCAAAGAAAACAGAGTACTACTTGGGCCGAACTACATCAAAATAACAAAAAATATATATTTATGCAAAACGAAATACCGCTTTCAATTAATTTTTAACCTCTCTTACTAGTACTAAGCAATTGTAATTTTGCTAGTCCAGATAATTTAGCATCAATTATATTTATAGAATTTACATTTTTGGAATCTTTTTATTTTGTCAAAATAAAGAACATTTAATTCATAAAAAAATAAATAAATAAAAATGGCAATTTTATAAGATGCTTTCTAAGATTTCCTATTCCGTTAGCCAAAGACAATTTTTTTAATTTAAAAAATACTAATGTTGGGTGATTTGTTGGAAATTAATGAAATATTAAAACTATGACTTCGACATTCTTATGCAACCAGATAAACACAAATTCAACATTAACTAAGCTAATGACAATAACACAGAACTTTTATATATGCTGGTCCAATATTATTAAAAACAGTTTCAATGTAGTAGTAATACTGTAATGGTAATTGCAGTTTGCATAAACGTAGCTCATTTATATTTTTTCTTAAAATAAAATTATGTAACTATCCAAAATTGATCCATATGCATACGAGTAGTACTTAAATTTATGGATTTCCTTCAGTACAACTCACGTTTAATAAATTTTAAAAAATACCTATTTTATCTGAGTTTTTTACTTTTATCATGGAACCTATGCATTTTGGAAGAATATTGAAAAGGAAAAAAGTTTTAGAATTGAATTTTTCACAATATACTGTAAGTTAAAAATGTTTAAATTTATTGCCGTTGTTGTAAAATAATTGATGAAAAAAAGGCAAAAAATCAAGTTTTTTGGATAATTTTTTTTTAAATGTTTTAATTGCTCCGAGGACATTCTAATTTTGGTAAAAAATACTTTATAGTATAATAAAAAAACACATCAAATTTCATTCAAATCGATTCGACAGTTTTCGCAAAATAATTTTTTGAAAAAAATTTTTCGAATTTTCAAAATTTTGCACAGCCTCAAATAAAGTATCTAGATAATTGAAAATTTTTTCACATAGAAAAGACCGCTTAATAATTCAGATATCTAGATTATTTGAGGCTGTGCACAATTTTGAACATTCGACAATTTTTTTCAAAAAATTATTTTGCGTTTTAAAAATTATCCAAAAAACTTGATTTTTTTGCCTTTTTTTTGCTATTTCAAATTCAATTCTAAAACTTTTTTCCTCTTCAATATTCTTCCAAGTGCATAGGTTCCAAGATGTATAAGTAAAAACTCAGATAAAATAGTTTTTTTTATTTTTTAAAAATGTTTGCAATTTTGTAAATGTTCCAGACCTCGCCCAGATCTAGGGGATCTACACTTTTATTATTTTCTGAGATATAGTCTAAAATATCGGAAATCAATTTAAGACCGCCCTATATATATATCGGGGCTAATTGACAATTTATTTTAAGGGTTATCATGGAACTATCATATTAGCAAAGCTTTCAAGAAGCTGTATATTTCATTAACAAATCAATTTAATATACGAGGAACATGTAAATTCCAAATTATTTATTTTAATCTGACTAAACATAGATTTATTCTTATTTATATAATCAATGTTTTGAAACTTTATACGAGTATTTTAGTATTTTAATTCAACGTGCCCTAAGGTTTTTGAAAATTTTCCTCATCGGATCAAGTGTTTACACCTAAATATAATTTGAATTCAATATAAACAGGCTTCGTTAATTATTCTCCTATCCACAACCGTTTTTTTGTCATGAAGCTCGTCCTGAATGTCCTCTAAGGTCTTTCCCTTAGTCTCAGGGACGTATAACAAAATAAATATCAGTCCTAGAACACAACATCCCGTAAATGTAAAAAATGGCACGTGCATCCCAATTCCCTTAGACCAGTGGAAGAACTTCGACATACAAGTAACGAAGACGCTGTAATATATGTCCATCGTGCATAGAGCAAAAGCCTTAACGTTAGTTGGGAATATTTCTCCCATGATCAGGAGTGGGACAGTTTGCAGCCCGATACTAAATGTAACGACGAAACAAAGGAGAGCTGCTAAAGGCACAAAATTGTACTCAGTCGTATCGTATCCAATTTTTTGTAAGTACAGATAAGTTGCGTGCGCTAATAACGACAGCGCTGTGCCTATTATCGAAGTTATAAGAAGCGGCTTTCTTCCGCATAAATCTACTACGATGGAGGAGACGACGGCCAGAACCAACTGAACACTNTTTCACATAGAAAAGGCCGCTTAACCTTTCAAACGTTTTTTGAAAAATTGAACTCGGTTGATCAGGACGGCCACAGTAAATTTTTAAAATCGGCAACATAGATAAATCAGCGGAAAAGCTGTCGCTCGCACACGCGAAAAGTGACTCAAAACACGAAAAGTGGGGGAAGGCAGCTTTCTGAGTACTTTAAAATTATAATTTTTGAAAAAAACATAATTGCAAATTGTAATATAATCTAATTTTTTAAAAATAAAAAAAAGATACTTTAAAAATTTACCTCCTAATCAACCGATTCCAATGTTTTAAAAACCATTTGAAAGGTTGAGCGGTCTTTTCTATGTGAAAAAACTTTCAAATATCTAGATGATTATTATTTGAGGTTGTGCACAATTTTGAACATTCTAAAATTTGTTTTCAAAAAATTATTTTGCGATTTTAATGAAATTTGGTGTGTTGTTTCACTATGCTATATAGTTTTTTTTACCAAAATTAGAATGCCTTCGGAGCAATTAAAACATTTAAAAAAAAAATTATCCAAAAAATTTGATTTTTTTGACTTTTTTGCTATTTCAAATTCAATTCTAAAACTTATTTCCTCTTCAATATTCTTCCAAATGCATAGGTTCCAAGATGTATAAGTAAAAACTCAGATAAAATATGTTTTTTAACATTTTTGCAATTTTGGAAATGTTCCGGACCTCGCCCAGATCTAGGGGATCTGCACTTGTATTATTTTCTGAGATATAGTCTAAAATATCGGAAATCAATTTAAGACCACCCTATATATATCGGGGCTAATTGACAATTTATTTTAAGGGTTATCATGGGACTATCATATTAGCAAAGCGTTCAAGAAGCTGTATATTTCTTTAACAAATCAATTTAATATATGAGGAACATGTAAATTCCAAATTATTTATTTTAATCTGACTAAACATAGATTTATTCTTATTTATAGAATCAATTTTTTGAAATTTTATACGAGTATTTTAGTATTTTAATTCAACGTGCCCTAAGGTTTTTGAAAATTTTCCTCATCGGATCAAGTGTTTACACCTAAATATAATTTGAATTCAATATAAACAGGCTTCGTTAATTATTCTCCTATCCACAACCGTTTTTTTGTCATGAAGCTCGTCCTGAATGTCCTCTAAGGTCTTTCCCTTAGTCTCAGGGACGTATAACAAAATAAATATCAGTCCTAGAACACAACATCCCGTAAATGTAAAAAATGGCACGTGCATCCCAATTCCCTTAGACCAGTGGAAGAACTTCGACATACAAGTAACGAAGACGCTGTAATATATGTCCATCGTGCATAGAGCAAAAGCCTTAACGTTAGTTGGGAATATTTCTCCCATGATCAGGAGTGGGACAGTTTGCAGCCCGATACTAAATGTAACGACGAAACAAAGGAGAGCTGCTAAAGGCACAAAATTGTACTCAGTCGTATCATATCCAATTTTTTGTAAGTACAGATAAGTTGCGTGCGCTAATAACGACAGCGCTGTGCCTATTATCGAAGTTATAAGAAGCGGCTTTCTTCCGCACAAATCTACTACGATGGAGGAGACGACGGCCAGAACCAACTGAACACTGAAGTAAATTATGGTGGAAAGGCTCGGTGAAAATCCTCCCGCTTCTTTGAATATGGTTTTGCAGTAGAAAATGATAACTGTCGTGCCAGTAAGTTGTTGCACTGTTCTTAATCCTGAAAAAGTAATAATTTTATTAATTAACATGTTGGTAAAATTATTTTACTCGCTTTAGATATTATTTAAGACAAAACAATGTTTAGTTGTTAGTTTCATCAATCAATTCATATTTTCAACAAAAACTCACACTTATCTGCTTTGCAATTTGACACACAAGTGTTGTTACCAACTTTAATAACAGTGCATTTAATGTTATTCTAGTATGGGGCCATGCTATTTCAATTTCCAGTATATTTAGTTTACAAGGAAGGTAATAAGAATAATCTTTGGATTCAAATTCAGAAAAATTTAGAATTTTAACACCTTCCTTATCTATTTTGCATTAGTCCCTTCGTATCAAGAATAATATAGGATTGTACTTAGCACATAGTGAAGTTCATTTTCACTTTAGAAAAAACTTTTGTTCTTCGAATATCTCAATTTCTAGGGTATCAGCACTAGGTTTAAAAACAATTTTTTCCTATTCTATATTAGTGGATAGTTCCCCATAAAAATTATAAATTATTTTCTTTAAAATTCTCTAGATACCATACCTTTCTTCAATTAGTTTAGTTCTGGCTCAAAAATTCTTATTTATTAAATTGAATTTGCAATTAGATTATATCTATGTTATCTGTATTAAAAACTTCGATATACGAACCTAAAGTGATGAATATTGCCTTCCTATTGCTATTCACTCTAAATAAGTCAAGAAACGACCCTTTATTCTCCTGTTGCTCCTTGACAGCGCTAGATATCCTATTCAGCTCCACAGTGACATCCTCAACGCCTCTGAAGATCTGGAGACTCTTCCTTGCCTCTTCTTCGTTCCCCTTCATTAAATAAAAATACGGACTCTCTGGCATCCACGGGAATGTGGTCAGTAATAGAAGAGGTAATATGGTTGATATGAATGCTGTGGTGTCGAGTGGTAAATAGGTGCCGAGAACGTTTATTAAAAGTATANATGCCTCTGAGAGTACTGAAAGGTAACCGAGAGACAAGTACAATAAACTAAATTTAAAAGATGGGCTGCGGGACACCTGTGAAAATTAAATTTTCCTTTTCAAAAAAATAATGTGTACAGCGACGTATTTCTCAGTTATGCCATGTTCGTAAGTTGAAGAGAAGTATCGATTTTATCATAAAATTTTTTTGGCATAAGTGTCGCAATGATCTAAAAATGGAAAACTTTGTAAGAAAATGTGAAAAACATCTTTAATTATCTACCAATTTCTCATTAATGCCAATTAGAAATATGACATTATTATATTCGAAAAGCTCATAAAAAACATTGGCATATGTCCTACTAAGCACTTAAGAAAATAGGGCTTTGGAAAAGTTGCGGAAAATTTTTCGTTTTGATCAACGTTTTTCTCGTGAATAAATTAAAGCTTATTGCAAAGAAGAAAGTAGTACGAAACGGCATAAACCAGAAAATTGTGTCAATTATTTTTCTACTTTGTCGACCTCACTCGTATTAAAATTCAAATTNCTAATAACGACAGCGCTGTGCCTATTATCGAAGTTATAAGAAGCGGCTTTCTTCCGCACAAATCTACTACGATGGAGGAGACGACGGCCAGAACCAACTGAACACTGAAGTAAATTATGGTGGAAAGGCTCGGTGAAAATCCTCCCGCTTCTTTGAATATGGTTTTGCAGTAGAAAATGATAACTGTCGTGCCAGTAAGTTGTTGCACTGTTCTTAATCCTGAAAAAGTAATAATTTTATTAATTAACATGTTGGTAAAATTATTTTACTCGCTTTAGATATTATTTAAGACTAAACAATGTTTGGTTGTTAGTTTCATCAATCAATTCATATTCACAACAAAAACTCACACTTATCTGCTTTGCAATTTGACACACAAGTGTTGCTACCAACTTTAATAACAGTGCATTTAATGTTATTCTAGTATGGGGCCATGCTATTTCAATTTCCAGTATATTTAGTTTACAAGGAAGGTAATAAGAATAATCTTTGGATTCAAATTCAGAAAAATTTAGAATTTTAACACCTTCCTTATCTATTTTGCATTAGTCCCTTCGTATCAAGAATAATATAGGATTGTACTTAGCACATAGTGAAGTTCATTTTCACTTTAGAAAAAACTTTTGTTCTTCGAATATCTCAATTTCTAGGGTATCAGCACTAGGTTTAAAAACAATTTTTTCCTATTCTATATTAGTGGATAGTTCCCCATAAAAATTATAAATTATTTTCTTTAAAATTCTCTAGATACCATACCTTTCTTCAATTAGTTTAGTTCTGGCTCAAAAATTCTTATTTATTAAATTGAATTTGCAATTAGATTATATCTATGTTATCTGTATTAAAAACTTCGATATACGAACCTAAAGTGATGAATATTGCCTTCCTATTGCTATTCACTCTAAATAAGTCAAGAAACGACCCTTTATTCTCCTGTTGCTCCTTGACAGCGCTAGATATCCTATTCAGCTCCACAGTGACATCCTCAACGCCTCTGAAGATCTGGAGACTCTTCCTTGCTTCTTCTTCGTTCCCCTTCATTAAATAAAAATACGGACTCTCTGGCATCCACGGGAATGTGATCAGTAATAGAAGAGGTAATATGGTTGATATGAATGCTGTGGTGTCGAGTGGTAAATAGGTGCCGAGAACGTTTATTAAAAGTATACCAAAGACAATACTCACTGGGCACACTGATGACAGCAACCCCCTTATCTTGGGTTCGGCTATCTCTCCGAGATACATGGGAACCGCTATGAAAGAAAGTCCATCTATAGCTCCAGCCAGAAACCTTTGAAATAGAAATACAGAGGAAATAATACCTACAAACTTTCAGGATAGGTTCTTATTGAGAAACAAATTAAATAATAAGGGTAACATCTCCTAAAATTATTCCTAACAGCTCTCTGATCAGTAGGTATATTTATTAAAGCACTAAAGTGTTTTTTCTAACGGTTTTATTTATTTCGACGGAAAAGATCACTCCCCAAAGTTTATCACACAAATCTTTTATTGTTAGTTTTAGTATTATACATTTCTTTAAAATGTATTAGTACAAATTAATCAACAGTGAACAAATGGTAGGCTATTAAGTTCATTCTTATTAATACTTGATAGTTTTCTAGTATCTTCGAAATCGTTCGTCTTTTGCCACATTTGAAACATGTGTCTTTCGGTATGATCTAGTTTACCATCAAAACTAACCTGACATTACTGGAACCATGCTTATTAAATTTGATTGGTTAATTGAGAAGAATAAGTGCATAGTTTCGAAATATTTAATGAGATCATCAATTAAAATTTGTAGGTTCTTAGAATTGTTGGTTAAAAGATCAAAATTATTTAATTCAAAGTGAGGGCTTAGTGCCATCTGCCATAAAAAGTTCCAAGTATTGAATTTTTATTAAAAATTTCGCTAACTAAATTTTTTTAATATAGATTTAATCTCGACTCACATTCGATCAACATTTCTCAAAATTCAGTAATGTTACTAACCTGCCTACAAACATCAACGTGGATGAGTCCGCAAAGCCGATTAGTAACCAGGAAGCAATGAAAGGAACAGAAGAGAATACAATCATTCTTTTTCTACCAAAAGTGTCCACTACCAAACCGGTGACAAATGCACCAAAAACGGCTCCAATGAGTGGGGTTACGGTCAACCATGATGATTCGTTACTGGTTATAGTAAATTTATATTTACCTTCGAGTAGCACAGGACCAAATGGTGACGACCACCCATAGTGCATTTCGCTACATACTACTCCCAAATTGGCTACGGTAGAAAAAATATACAGAAAAATCATAAGGGTCAACATTAAGAACAAAAAACATATATTTTCATTTTTCAGATGTCGCTCCATAGTTGGTAGATGCTTCTGTTGGGCTCTTACTATTGTTGTAGTGAGCAAACTTTATTATCAGTATTTAGTGTAAATTATGCATCGACATTTCTGTCAATGACTCAGCATGTCCCAAATGGGGCCCAAAGAAGTAAGTGCACCTGTTGACAAATTAGCAGAGCAATTTGCCAGTTTGAAAAAAGACTTGAAGCATTAAAAAATGAGGTTTTGAGTAAAAACCCTATCCTCAGCGTCTGATACACACAGTAATTTGTTTAGATGACTTTAAGGGGTTTGAAATTAGTATAATTATGTTTTTATGTCAAATAAAAGAAGACAAAACGCTGCTTTCATTTTACAATCAGTTCAACAATGTAAATTTCAAGTTCAACTATATCATCAATTTGGTTCAATGATCTGGATCAAGCGTGCAATATTGTCACAAACTGCTAAGGAATAATCTGAAGAACACAATTTAAAATTAAAATTATAGTAAATCAAAAATATTTTTTTTTGGTGCTAAGAAAAATTTTCAATATTACCAAAAATTAAAAAAAATGGGAGTGACTTGACAGTAACATATGGTTCAAGCTACATGTAAAAACATTACTTTATAGTAGTCGTTATATTATTAATAAAAAAATTATATTATATTGTGTGAGTGAGTTACCTACTTGTTCTTTCTTATTTTAATTACTCTGATTATTTCTATGGTCCATGCATTAGTAAGTATACAATAAAAAATCGGATTCAAAAAGTTGTTGTGTTGTTGACTTGTATGTGGATTAAGAAAATTCGATGATATATTTCACAAAATTGTAGAGATCAAGTGGCTCAGCTAATACAGAAAAAACATAAATATGCAATGGTTCCATAGCAATCTAGATCTTATCCATTGTGAATCAAAACATCCAAATTTTTAAAATGTTTGCTTGTCTTTAAAAAGGTCTGTGGACTTCAATAATTTTTTTTTGGTAACTTTACCATAAAGCCCTTTTAGATAATTTAATTTCCCTCAAATTGAGCGGTTCCAGAGCCCTGTAAGATGATGTTGCGCTGTTATCGTCGATCAAAATAAAAAAGTACTTTTTGACTTTTGCAATCAATTACTCGGGAAATAATGATCGCACCTACAGAAAATCCAAGAAAGGTTTTGAAAACTGATAAGTCGTAATTATCGGTTTTTTATAAAAAAAAAAAATGTTTTTTAATTTTTTTTTAATAATTTAGGTTTTTTGATGAAGAAAATATGGATTATTGCTGAAAAAACCATTTTCAACATAAAAAAATGCATAAAAGTGAAAAATTACTGGTTACATTGATTTTCAGCAATAACGACAAATTTAAACATTCCGGGCACTAGGAAAAAAAATCACAGCGCTTTGAAACTGTCAGGGTTTCTTTAGGATACTTTTTTCCAACCAACATTTTTTTTTATCAAAAACCAATAATTACGGCTTCTAGAGAATACTTTTCAGTTTTCAAAACCCTACTTGGATTTTCTGTACGATCCTTATTTCCAGAATAATCGATTGCAAAATTCAAAAATTACTTTTTTGTTTTGATCGACGATAACTCGGACAGTTCATCGTACAGAGCTTTGGAACCGCTCAAATTGAAGGGAATTATATTATCTAAAAGAGCTTTGTGGTGAAATTACCAAAGAAAAAATATTGAAGACCTTTTTAAGGACGAGAAAAAATTTTGAAATTTTTTTAAGTTGGTTTTCTCAAAAACCGCGCTAAAAACTTTTAAAGTCAAAATCCGAGAACTAGAAATTTGAAGCTTAAATTTGCTTTAATTTGATTCTTAATTTCCCTCTAAGTTACAACTCTTTAAAAATCACCCAAAAATTTGGGAATTTTTTAATTTCCCTTAATTTTATGACTAGCGTATATTAATAATAATTATCATGCATTAAAAAAGACTGAGTTCCGTACCTGCGATAGCTGCGACGTACTGATAAATTCTACTTCCTGTGATTTTGAAAGGTGCACTCGCGGATATTTTCATTATTACGGAAACTTATTACTTTAACATGAGTGACATATAGAGATATGCGACGTACAACCACAAGATGCTTTCTGAGGCATTTAAACTACTTCTGCATACGAGACATTTTACTCAACAGTGTCTGCTGAAACCAATCCGATCGGGTTAATATTAAAAGTTTGCGTCTTAATAAAACAATTGACTGTCTCCAGCAAGTGTCATGATTGCTGACCGAGAAAGGAAAATAACAACTTTTAATTGGTCAAATTAGTCAACGACGAAATGTGATAGATGTGGCTCATAATGAATGGCAATGTAATATGTATACTGGAAATGCCTTTTAGAGAGTTTCTTATACGGGGTGTTTCGAAAAATCCCGAACCTCACTATGTGATTGAGTCCTATGAAAAAGTTTGTACGACATCAACATACGATATAGCAACAAATTTTACATCCGGATATGGGGTTAAAAAAATTTCATTGTATGTCCTTGCAGACCATTTGTAAGTCAAACTTACTTTTCTCTGGAAAACTCGTCAACATTGTTTCAAGCAAAATTTGCAGGATTACGGATATTGATGATTGTTTCCATATTTACTTTTGAGGGTGATGTAAAATGTAATGATGTAAAAATATACTTACATTATAAATGTCCCACAAATTAATAAGTAAGTTTAAAAATAACTATTGTACCTACTTCCTGTTCATTTTTGTGACTGTGTTTATCATACTAAAATCACACTGCACTAAGGAAGTTGTCCTGTTTCCAAGATTGTAGGATACGTAAAAAAAAATAGATATGCTTTCGAATCTATCGATATGCACCATCTACACGATACGGTATTTGTTTCGACTACTTTTGACAAATCTTTGGCAAGTCGCAGCGTCATCAGCTGCTGGCTTTAAATCCAAGTTGTATTTGTGTACCAAATTTTGTTATGAATTAAACAGAAGTCAAAACAATAAAAAACTATAAATAGGTTTGTTAAATAAAGTATGTTTTTTTCTTCTTCAAGGCACATGGTTCTATAAAGGAATATATTTTACTGTGAGGAATCTAATTAAGAATTTCGATTTTTTTTACTTTAATTTGTACAATTAAACAGCACAGAGATCAACAATTATTTCTACGAACAACCGCAATTTTATGATTGATGATTTGCTTCAGCTGTATTTTATTTTATCAAAAAATTCACTTCCTTAAATAAATGTAAGTTAACAAATAAAAAGAACGGCATCTATTCCACAAAACACTGTAAATGTAGAAATATAATGTTATATGAATATGAAAAATCTGATTAAAATTTATCTGAGGTTAAAATTATTGAAATAGACAATTCTTGGCAGGCATTGAATAATAAATATTTAATTAATAAATAATATTCAGTAATACTTTACGTTTAAATCATATGATTTATGCAACCAGATAAATAGAGAAATTATGTGTAGCCTAAGCTGAATTATAATGTAAATGATGCTGTTGTCATATTTGTTGGCAAATATTATTGAAATCAGTTTGTGATAGTAATTACCTACTTCTGTGTTTGTACAAGACAACATTCTTACTAAAATTAGTTTATTTACAAATAGAACTACATAATATACAAAAATGTAATATAACTATTAACAATATTAATTTAAAAATGATTGATATGTCCATCAATTTGCACCTTAACAACCTAAATAAAACAAATTACCTATAAATAAAGGTAAACACCCATTTGTTGAGAGATAACCTTTAAACATTTTCCTTGGTTTATTTAAATATCAAAATACCATCTCAGTTTAGTTCATACAAATCAGCTTCGTTAACTACTATCTTATGCCCAACTATTCCCTCGCCTTGGAGTTCGGCTTGTATATCCTCTAAAGTCTTTCTCTTGGTTTCAGGAACATAGAATAAAATAAAAAGTAGTCCTAAAATACAACACCCTGTAAATGTAAGAAATGGTACGTACATTCCAATGCATTTTGACCAGTGGAAAAACATCGAAATACAAATAACGAGGACGCTAAAATAGATATCCATAACGCATAAAGCCAAAGCTTTGACGTCGGTTGGGAATATTTCTCCCATGATCAAGAGTGGGATAGTATGCAGTCCGATACTAAAAGTAACAACGAAACAGATAAGAGCTACTAAAGGCGCAAAATTGTACTCAGTCGTATCGATCCCGATTTCTTGTAAGTACAAGTAAATCGCAATCGCTAATAACGACAACGCCGAACCTATTATCGAAACAATAAGAAGCGGTTTCCTTCCGAAGAAGTCCACTACGAAGGAGGAAGCAATGGACAGAACCAGCTGAACGCTGAAGTAAATTATGGTGGAAAGGCTCGGCGAGAATCCTCTTGCTTCTTCGAAAATGGTTTTGCAGTAGAATATGATGACCATGGAACCGGTAAGTTGCTGAAAACTTCGCAATCCTAAAAAATATATTTTAATTCATATTCATATACTGTTTTTCTTAAATACGGGGTGACCTATATGCACAAACTTGAAGAATTATTCTACACGTGAGATCATCAAAAAAGTTCTTATGAACATAGGTCCCAAAATTAGTTCGTATTTATATTCAGATAGTTTTACTTAAAAAATAAAATATTAAATGACACGATTTATTACAGTTTCAGTGCACAAACCTAAAGTGATGAACATCCCTTTCCTGTTACTCTCCACCCTAAACAAGTCAAGAAACGACCCTTTCTTCTCTTGTTGCTCCTTGACAGCGCTAGATATCCTATTCAGCTCCACTGTGACATCCTCAACGCCTCTGAAGATCCGAAGACTCTCCCTTGCCTCTTCTTCGTTCCCCTTCATTAAATAAAAATACGGACTCTCTGGCATCCACGGAAATATGATCAGTAATAGAAGAGGTAATATGGTTGATATGAATGCTGTGGTGTCGAGTGGTAAACAGGCCCCGAGGATATTTATTAAGAGAATACCAAAGACAATACAGACTGGGCATGTCGATACCAGTAGTCCTCTTATCTGTGGGTCGGCTATCTCTCCGAGATACATGGGTACCGCTGTAAAAGACAACCCGTCCGTTGTTCCTGCCAGAAACCTGCCAGAATAGAAATATCAGGATGTAACAGTGGAACAAAGTTTCGAAGCTGATTTCACTTGTGGTAGACAAAATAGACAATAGGAGTTCCTAACAATTTGTTAAAACGGTTCCTAAAGATTCTACATTGAGCAAGAATTAAGTGTTATCTGGTGAACTTGAGTTCTCGCCTTTTGTATAATGTAATATTTGCCAACAATGCTCTCTTATAGTTTTTGAATTATCATCCATGATTGATGCAACCTATGAGAAAATTAATGACAATAATTTTTAATTAAATTATTTTATTTGATATGTTATCGCTGTCACCATTAATGTATTTTTTTCTTCTTTTGTTGACTTTTTCTAGTTCCACTAAGTATTTTCATTGTTTTTCTTGGTGTTGTGCTATGTCAGTGTGTTTATTGAGTGTTTTTTTTCTTGAAGTGGTTTATTATAGACGTACTTTTAACCAATACCAAACTTTTCTTGAATGATATCCTGTTGCGAGGATACTTGACTTACATGAAATTATCTTTAATGCGCATGCTCAGTAACATTGCTATAATTTTAATTTATTAATTACTATAAAAGTCAATATTGTTCTATAACTTTGAATATATAAATTCTATCTATCTATACATTTTTTTGGCACTTATATACAAAGTACAAGGTCGAAAATCGATCTAGAAAAAATATTGGGAAATTTTTCACGACAATGCACAGGTCTTTGATCCTGGTCTGTAGAATAGCTTGAAGGATCGTAGAGTCTTAAGAAATGTTTTAAATAAAATACTCTTTTTTAACAGTAGAAATGTTTAAGAAATCGCTAGGGTAACGCTAGATGTTAGGAAAATATATGTGCGTAGAGGGGTATAAACTTTCAAAGTGTAACAAATGTTCGGTTGCCACCGCTGGGCGTAGGAGTGGTCCAATCGGAGTGATTTTAATGTCGTTGTGTATGTTGGACCTGTCTGCATCGAATAAAACTAGTACGGATGGACTATACGTAAAAGAGTGTATATTATTTTCAAATATTCTAATAAGATAGTCAATTAAAGTTTAAAGCTGGTAGAATTATGATTAAATAGCAAAATTATTAAATATCAAAGTGAAAATTCGGTATAAAGCTTTTAATTTTGAATCTGTATTAAACATTGTGCTGACCTCTATGCTGCTTTCATTCAGAATAATTTTGCTCAATTCAGTTTTTTATACTAACCTCCCAACAAACATCAAAGTGGATGACTCCGCAAAGCCAATTAACAACCAAGAAGCAACGAAGGGAAGGAAAGAGAATATAATCATCCTCTTTCTACCAAAAATATCCACTACTAAACCAGTTACAAAGGCTCCAAAAATGGCTCCAGTGAGTGGGATTACGGTTAGCCACGATGATTCGTTGTTGGTTATTGTAAATTTGTATTTGCCGTTGGCCAACACTGGACCAAATGGTGATGACCATCCGTAGTGCATTTCGCTGCATATTATACTCAGATTGACTGTGATAAAAAAATGGTGGAGTATTTGAGTTAAGATTAAGTACAAAAAACGAGGTTTTATCAGAAAGTAGCGGGAACTGTTAATTTTCTTAGAAAGTATTTATTTAATCCTTTATCCTATCCTCTTCAAAGTAATCCCCCTGTAATATTATACATTTTTATATCAGCGTAGGTACATTACTGGCAGTGCTGTCACTACAAAAAAAATAATAATCGACTTCATAAACAAGATATAACACGTGCAATTTGAAAATTTGCGTTACTTTTTGATTATACCTCGTATTATCATTGTTCTTTAAATCTCTCATAGTATTTTAGATAGTAACTCTTTTTTCCCCACAATTGCACAGGGTTAGTAACTATAATCTGACAACTTATTGTGAGTTTATTATTGAAATTACAAAAATGTTTTTAATACAAAAGTTTTAGCTTTTTTATGAATTTTTATAACACAGTGTTAGCAACTGATTAATGAAAATCGCTAAATTAAAGAAATTTTTGTTTTCAATGAAATACCCTATATACAGCATACTTATGCATACTTAGCTTCGTTATATTTTTCTCTTTTCAAAAATATATAATATGTTACTGTTTGATTCAGGACTTTTCGACATATTTCAGTTTAAAACTATTTTTGAAAAAACAGGAAGGAAAATGTCTAACGGATCGCAGTGGCTATGGACGAGGCACGCGGAACAAACAAATGACTTTGACAGAAGTTTATTTATTATCGTTAATTTATTTCCTATAACAAACTATTTTAACAAAGAAATAATGTTTAGTGAGAACGAAAAATTTGAAGTTATCCGTTTATTTTATGATAATAATGAAAATCATTCTTAACTTTAACAATCTTAACTTTAACAGAATTTTAATACCTAATTAATAAAAACCAACTAAAACACGAATGGTCACAGATGCTTAATGTGACCGCCATTATTATTGATGCAATTCGTATAATCCTCATTAATTTTCAGAACTGCATTTAGTATGAAATGGGAATTAAATTCACTTAAATTTTGTATTCATTGATCAACTTTATGTCTTAGTTCATCTAAGTTTACACTAGTTTCCTTATAAACCTCGTTTTTTAAGTAACTTCACATAAAACTGTCCAAGGGTGTAAGGTCTGGGCCATTTGGAGGCCATTGAGTATTTCCTCCATTCTACAAATCAAACCTATTATTTAAATAATTTCGTACTGCTCTGGTAATTTCCATTATTCAATTTTTTTTTCTAATACTGTATTATAAAAATTCATAAAAATATGCTAAAACTTTTGTATTAAAAACTTTTTTGTAATTTTAATAAGAAACTCGCAATAAGTTGTCAGATTGTAGTGATTAACCCTGTATATATTAAATCCACCCAAGAAATAATTGCACTGTTTTCTAAAATAAATAAAGAAAGAAATTGGATCTTAATTCAGTTTTTCTGCGTCTTCCAGCAGCAACACGGTGAATTTCGACATTTTGATATGTTCTTTGTTATTATACGTATCGCAGCGCATATTTTGAATACTGTTTTTTAAATAATTGTTATGACTTTCTTACCTGCGACAGCTGCTATGTATTGATAAATTCTACTTCCACCGGTTCTAAAAGGTACACCCGTTGATATTGTCATTATCACTAAAAGTTATATACAGCGTGATTTGTAAATAATAATAATAATAATTTGTAAGAAAACAATTATATTGTGTGATAAATACCTGCCGTAAATTCAAGCTATAAAAGCAGTTCTTTTGAAGAAAAAACACAAAAACAAATGGAAACGTGTCGGGCATAAAAATATCGGTTCTAATTAGAGCCGTAGATATATGCTTTTAATTTTTATCGCCTGGTAGCGTGCTACTTCAAAACATTATATTAATTGTATGCACACTGACGAATTATTCACGGGTAAGCTCGATTGCCTTTCAAATTTTCTGATATTCGTCTTTTAGATATTTGCACAAGAAACTGCTGCTGACATTTGAATCATTAGTGTAGGTAATTTATTAGAAAATATATATTTTTTTGATAAAGTTTCGACAATGGCGATATGGCTGCTAGACAGACTTGTTATACCAATGAAGACTTTTTGGAAATATGTAGGAGTGGATTAGAATACACAATCCGAATTTGGAACAAATTTATTCATAGTAAGTATTCTAATTATTTATTATTAAGTAAATTAAATGAAATAACAAGTGTAACATTAAAGTAGTAGTAATTGACAAATCTGAAATCATGCTTAGGTACATACATCAACTAAAACAGATATTTCCAGAAAACGAAATAACTCATATATCAAAATATGATATTTAATTTTATTAATTATGTATTTTACCTGTTTAAAACATTGTTTAATTTATAAGCATAAGTGTCACTATTCAATACAGGGTGTTAGTAAATAAGTGCGACAAATTTCAGGGGGCGATTCTACATGAAAAAATAATGGCAGTTTGCTTATAAACGTATGTCCGCAAATCATTCTTTTCCGAGATACGGGTTGTCAAAGTCTTAAAAACTGACGATTTAATTTATTGCTCTGAAACCGGTCGAGATGTGCAAATGAAATTTGGTAGGTTTTAAGAGGTAGTTATTGCGCATTTTTTGACACGCAATTAAGAATTTTATGTTCATCATTGGCGTCTCAATTTTTTTAAAGAAAAAAATGGTACGCCATTGAGATATTACAAATTAAAAATCATTTTTGAATTCCTCGTTTAATTTGTGACAAAAAATACGGAAAACTGATGCTGAAAATAAGTTTCAAATATTGCGTGTCAAAAAATGCGCAATAACTACCTCTTAAAACCCACCAAATTTCAATTACACATTTCGACCGGTCTCAGAGCAATAAATTAAATCGTCGGTTTTTAAAAAAACTTTGTAACTCGGAAAACGAATTATTTGCGGACATACGTTTATAAGCAAACTGCCATTATTTTCTCATGTAGAATCACCCCCTGAAATTTGTCGCACTTATTTACTAACACCCTGTATATTTACTGTGAAATTTAGTATAGCGAATAAAAGTTGGTTTCAACATTCTTTTTTTAAATATTTTTTTATAGTGTATCTGTTAACACCAACATCGAATTTCTCTTTAATATATGAGATATCGATGCGTAATGTTCTGCAAACATGGTTTCTAGTTTCTCAATTTCGTTAAAATCCAGGATATCCGAATCTGTTAAAAAATTTTCGCAACGTTCTTTCACGAAATTTTTGTCTGTTTCTAAAGAAATTTTGTTTATGTCGTAAAGTACTCGATGACAATATACATGAAATGGAGATTTGAGATCAAAAAAATTTTCGAAAACATCGTCTTAAGTTTTGTGTTTCTTTGCGTCTTCGAGTGAGGATTTAATTTTCCTGTCGCTTAATCGGAAGTGTCCCATTGTTACCACCAACTTATTGCTATTACCGGTAGAAGTCTCTGTGGCTGATACACTTAGTATGCCATCTTCGTCCAAATCAAAATTTACAGAAAATGCGACATCGCCTGCTCGTTTTTTAGGCAAACCTGTTATTGTCATTTTTCCGAGCATATTATTGTAAGTAGTAATTTTCCTTTCACCTTCGTAAACAGTGAATTCTGCTAAAGTCTGGTAATTAAAAGCTGTTTTCGTATGCTGAGAAGCTTTAGCGGGTAGAGGAGAATTTCTAGGTATCAAAAACAACATCCGATTTTGATTTACATCAACGCCAAGCGATAAAGGAGTTACTTCAATTACCTTATACTTTTCCATGTCATGATGTCCTGCCAAAACAAAAGCCGCTTCATCCGGATTTAGGTCCATCTTGATTTTCTCAACTCCAAAGTAAGAGGTTAACATTTCTTTAATTTTTGGTATCCTAGTAGACCCTCCCACTAAAATAATTTCGTCTATATCTGATTTAGATAGATCTGAATCTTCCAAACATAATTCCACCACGTCCATTATTCTACTAAAAATATCATTGCTTATTTCCTCAAATTTCATCCGTGACATAGATATGACAAGATCGGAATTTCCATCATATTGATCTAAGAAATATGTAAATTCTTCCCTGAATGATAAATTTTTCTTCAAGTGGATACACATATTATGTAATCTTCGTTTGAACCTGTTTGTTAAATATTTTTTATTATCAAAGAAATTTTTACAAAAATATTGAAACAGAATTTTGTCAAAATCTCTACCCCCAAGCAATGTATCACCATAAACGGCTTTCACCTCAAATGTGTTATCTTTAACGTTTATCAGAGAAACATCCAGTGTTCCTCCACCAAAATCAAACGTCAATATGTTGGAATCACTTCTGTGTTTATCGGAAAGGTAATGGATAGCAGCAGCAGTGGGTTCTGTTATTAACTTTAAGACATTTAAACCAGCCATCTCTGCTGCTTGCTTGGTAGCTTTTCTTTGAGCATTGCTGAAGTAGGCAGGCACAGAAACTACAGCCTTAGTAATGTTTTCTCCTAAATAGACACTAGCTGCGTTCTTGAGGTATTTCACAACTTCGGCACTAACTTCTTCCGGACTCTTAATAATTTTATTATTTAAGACTTCTATTTCAAAAGCTACTTGTCCATCCGGAGCAGGAACCAGGGAAAAATGTTCCTGATTTCTTTTTACGTATCTCGAAACAAATTCGTCATCATATTGTCTACCGATAAATTCCAATAGCTGGAGTGCTAGGCATCTAAAAAATATTTATGGTATAATCTTAACCCTTCTCCGCCTATCTCCTATACAGGGTGGGCCACCAGTAACGCCTCGGTCGCTAGGGACCAAACGGCAAATATTACAGAAACCTGTTTAGGTGGGTATGTGTAGGTTGATTACGGCTACAATTTAAAAATATTTTGAAATATACAGGGTGTCCAGGAAAAGCGTACCATATCAAACTTATGTATTTTTAAATGGAACACCCTGTATTTTACTGCATTTTTGAAAGCACCATAAAAAATAGGTGAACTTTATTAAAGGTTCTGCATACCCAGGACTTACGGTTTGTAAGATATTTCAATGTTAGTGAAAATGCAGGCTTAGCGTAGAAATTTAATATTTGCAATAAAAAAATAATTTTAAAGAAGCAGCTTTGGAGGGTCTATTTTAGACCCTTGAAGTTATAAATTATTATATTTGTCGTCACTTAGTATTATGCAGGGTGCTCAAAAAACTGCCGAATACTTCTCTCAACTTTAAACAGCAATAACTTGGTTATTTTAAATGGGACACCCGGTATATATTTTTACTTTGGGAGTTAGGAAATTTAAAAATCTTTCAAACTGTGTATAGGTTCCCTATATCTGTCTCTAACGGTATTGGAGATATTTGTGCCGTTTCGTTTTTTATCGAATTTTTTTGTAAGATGTATCCACGTGTCTTTATCGAGGTCTTTATGGAATTAGTTTGGGTTCTTCTTGATGACGTCTCTTTAAATATATTGAGAAAAATGAAGATTCAATTAGATGGCGCACCTGCAAAATTTTCATATTCAGTGAGAAATTATTTAAATCGAAAATTTAATAATAAATGGATAAGTAGGAATGGTACATGTCAGTGGCCACGTAGGTGTCCAGACCTCACCGTAATGGACTTCTTTATTTTTATTGCTAATATTAAATTTCTACGCTATGCCTGCATTTTCACTAAAATTGAAATATCTCACAAACAATAAATCCTAGGTATGCAAAACCTTTAATAAAGTGCACCTATTTTTTTACGGTGCTTTCAAAAATGCAGTAAAATAAAGGGTGTTCCATTTAAAAATACATAACTTTGATATGGTACGCTTTTCCTGGACACCCTATATTTCAAAATATTTTTAAAATGTAGCCGTAATCAATCTACACATACCCACCTAAACAGGTTTCTGTAACATTTGCCGTTTGGTCCCTAGCGACCGAGGCGTTACTAGTGGCCCACCCTGTATATGAAAGAATATACAAATAAAGTAAGTCGTGTTTTAGGGAAGCGCAATATTAATACGGTTGATACTAATATCAACGTTCTGGTGAGACTTCAGCCAAGTTGCAGCAGAAAGGTGATAGAAATCCTGAAGAGTCGAAATAATTTCGTCAAAGACCAATAACCTAAGTTATTTAGTAAAGACTTAAAAATCAAAGATCGGAACGTCACTGCAACGACAGGGATCATTACACACAGTAAATGTACATACCGGCCAGAGGCCTTAATTTCTACTTTTAGAGTGACTTCTGAAAATGGGTTATATGTCTTTCAAAACGTCACGAAGTCTAAACCGAGGACATAGGAAAACAAAATAATAAATTAATATTAAATTTTTTTATTAAAAAATAACTAAATAAAAAATTATACACTTATTTCTATTATACACTTTTTTCATTGGCCTAAGCATTTATTATGCAAGTAAATAATCAAAGAAATAATATTTACCTTGTTTGCTGAACGTATAAACACGAACTGAGCGGCAGCAGAGACACTATTGAATCAACTGTGCAAACCTTTGCAACTCTGAACCTTTATCGTAATTAGGTATTCCCCGAACGATTCTTAAGCATTTATTTTATGTATATCTGTTATCTATTGTTATCAATATGACCTGAAATGTTGTTTACTTCTTAACAGAGAATGATAAGAGAAAGTGGATTAAACTTAATCACTTATGAGGTTTTTATAATAGCTTTTTTCTTTAGCCTCAGAAACATCGTTTGTTCGTTTGTTCCTAGAGTGGGAAACAAGTTTTTAAGTTTCATTTAATTGTTCATACTTATTCAGATTGAAACAGCAGATGAACGATATTTCAAAAGCTGAAGACAAAATAAATGTATTTTTTAGCAAAATGAGTAATTATAAAAATAGCATACAAAACAATATTCAATATAACGCTACATGTAATAAAGAAGTATTTGTTTCATTTACTTCTAATCAATAATAAGGAAGTTCCATATTTATTAGACACTTAAATAACAATAAAAATAGAGGATCATCTATGCACATATGTATTTTAAGTTCTATTACAGAAAAAATGTATATTATGCATATTATCGACGAAAATTGATGAGCTAAAAGAATCAAATATGCTATATTTTCATTGATGCCGATAAATTAATTTCCTAGTAATGGGATTATTAAAAAAGCAATCTTGCTGGTTAGGTTTCCTTATCTTTAACTGTGTAGATAAATATAATGGTATTCCACTCAGTTGAGATAAACGTGGTCTGACAGAGCTCAGTGCTCAGTGTATCTTGGGTCTTGTAATAACAACGTACATGCTTCATTTCATCTATTCGTTTTGTAATTTATCTTTGCAGTTTGTATAGATTTTTAGTTCCAGATAATATTATTTTTTATGTGGTAGTAAAAACACTTTGCTTCGTTTGTATGTTGTGAAGTATTTTTGTTTTAAACAGCTTACGGTAAGTTTTCCGTAAATATGTATATGAATGCTTTCAACAATATAGCCAAATTTAAAGACATTAAGTAAATATTGCCAGAGAATATAAAACTGACTTATATTTAGATACTTAAATGCTGTTTTCTGATGTAAATAATTTAATCATTATAATAAATAGTTGAAATAAACATAATAAGCTGCAATTGAATTTCCCGTATAGTAAGTAATGAAATTAAAAATGAAGTAGGTACAATTTTTAATACATACACAAAAAATCAGACTTCAGAAATAACTAATAATTTTAAAAATATTATATAAAATAAATATTTGGATGTAAAATAATAACAAATAATGGATTGCCTAACTGTGCTTCCCAAGAAAGTTATATGGTTACTGAAAACTAAGGATTTTTAAATGTCTTTTGGACAACATAGAATAAGTGATTATGTATCGTTTTTCTTCTCTTTTACTTGTTATTGTTTTAATTCAAATTCAGGAATATGCCAACACGTACTGCCCAAGAAACATACTGTAAGCTCAAACGCTTATCATCAAAAACTGCCAAAAAATTCCATTTGATGTATATCAATAGTATTTGCATAAATCAAGAGGATGTCTCGGGATGAAGTACCAATATTTTAACCACGTATCTAACTAAAAAAAAACAAGTTTTGTCTAACAAATTTTAGTAAAAAAAGTTTCATATTTTAAACAATTATATTACGCAATTATCCAAAAACCAAAAAGATTTCGAAAAAAAATGGTTGCTCTTGACGAGTTAAATGGGCTGCAACATTTTGGCAAACTTACACGCAAATATGCTTTTCTGGCAGATAGTTATATGTCTGTAAGGCGTTCGAGGACGAAATTGTAAAAGTTTCAGTTTTATCAATGTTTCGTATTTACATCCAGTAAGTTATTTCGATGAATATATTTTAGATGTCCAACGCACCAGCCATTGGTATCGATCTTGGAACAACCTTTTCCTGTGCATCGGTTTACAGACGGGGCAGACCTGAACTTATTCCAAATGCAGAAGGTGACAGACTTACTCCTTCTATTGTTTACTTCAACCCTAGAACAGGGGTGCCCTCTGTAGGTCAAATAGCTGATGAGTTGCTAACGCAATGTCCGAAGAACGGCCTTTTAGGTGAGATATAAAAATTAAATTAATATACAGGGTATTTTAATATTATGTGAACATAGATCTATCGCAGATTGTAGGGGAGAAAAAATAAGATAAATTTGCTTGTTATTCAATGTTGCTTCGTGTAAGAACGGTACTAGTTGTTGATTGTAGGCCACTATGGAGGGAACTGCTTCTTAGACAAGGCTTTTCATAATAAATAAGATAAGATGCGAATTTAATTATGCAGTTATCCTCAAATTATCAATGAAACATTTTTTTTCTAGATGCCAAACGTATAATTGGGAGAAAATACGATGACGAATTCATTTCAAGGTACACTAATTCCAACGAGATACACTTTTCGCTGGTTCGAGGAAACGACGACCAAGCTGCCTTCGAAATAGAAGTTTCCGGTGAAACAGTCATCAAGAAGCCCGAAGAGGTGAGCGCGGAAGTTCTAAAATATCTGCGGCGCACAGCCTGCGAGTATCTGGGAGAAGACATCACTAAAGCAGTTATTTCAGTCCCTGCCTATTTCAGCAACGCACAAAGAAAAGCTACGAAGGCGGCTGCGGAACTGGCAGGACTTACTGTCCTGAAACTGATAACAGAGCCAACAGCTGCTGCTGTCCACTATGTTTCCGATAAATTGAGAACCAATTCAAACGTACTAGTTTTTGATTTTGGTGGGGGGACTCTAGATGTCTCGCTGATAAAAGTTAACCGAAACGTATTTGAAGTGAGAGCTGTGTATGGTGACACACTTCTAGGGGGCCGGAACTTTGACGAAGCTTTGTTTGAACATTTTTACAAAGACTTCTTAGACATGAATAACGATAACTTTGCAGGCAAGAAGTTCAGGCGAAGACTGAGTTGCATGTGTGCCAATTTAAAGAAAAAACTGTCAACGAATGAGGAATTTACATTGTTCCTGGATAGGTACGATGGGAATTCAGATCTCAGTATATTTATGAAAAGGGCAAAGTTCGAGGAGATCAACGAGTGTATATTCCAACGAGCCCTTGACGTGGTGAAGTTGTGTCTAGAAGACTCAGACTTGAAGAAATCTGATATAGACGAAGTTATTTTGGTGGGAGGGTCAACGAGAATACCCAAAATACGGGAAAGTCTGAACGATTACTTTGGCTCCGAGAAGATCAAGACGGATTTGAATCCGGACGAAGCGGTGGCAGCCGGAGCGAGCATACACGCTGCCTTCCTCTTAGGCGACTGTCAAAATTTGGAAAAATATAGAGTTACTGAAGTTACACCTATGTCTCTGGGGGTTAATGAAACCGGGAATCTAATGAACTTCTGTATACCAAAAAATTCTCGCTTGCCAATTGAGGTTTCCAGTAATTTAGTAACGTCTTTTAATAATCAAAGTATAATAACATTTTCAATTTACGAAGGCGAGAGGAAAAACACAATTTACAACAATAAATTAGGCGAGTTCTCAATTACGAACATTCCAAAAAAACGTGCTGGGGACGTTGAGTTTTCCGTACATTTTCATCTGGACGAAGATGGTATCTTGACTATAACAGCTAGGGAGAAATCTACAGGTAGAAACAACAAGTTAGTGGTAACTATGGGGCAGTTTCGTTTAAGTGAGAGAAAAATTAAGTTATCTCTTGAAGATGCTAGGAAACATAAAATTCAGGATGATGTTTTTGAAAACTTTGTGCGTTGCAAGCAGAGACTTGACAAGCAGTGCCGTCACGTATTATACGATATAGAAAAGATTTCATCAGAAAGTGACAAGGTTTTTGTGAAAGAACGTTGTGAAGGGTTTTTAAGGGATGTAAATACTCTAGACTTTACCGAAATTGAAAAATTGGAAGCCAAGTTTGCTGTGTTTAACAATTCAGTGTCGAACATATTAATGAAAAATTGCATGTTGTCCCTAAATTATTGATAAAATCACGTGTCTGATAAATTCTATGATATTTACTCGTAAACATATAATTAAAGAAAAATGTTATAAGTTTTATTTAATTATTGAACTAAATACATATACGAATTCATACTTTATATTAGGTGTATACGTAAGTGAAAACTAATTTCGTGTATTCTACACCACAATAATAAAATGTATGTAACACTCGTCCTATTGTGAGTGATATAAATGTACCTCACGATCGGATTTTTCTTTTTAATTTTTTTAGCATGCAGCATAGTTTGTTTATTGTCAGTTAGTGTCTAATTAATTAATAATAATAGAAAATGGAGAGAAACAATCTTCTTTTTTATTTTGATTTTACTCAAGTTGACCTAAGAACGTTTAAAATAAATCAGATAATTGAATAATCAGATAATCCTTTTTTGAACCCTTGGAGCAGGATGATTTTGAATATAAAAAAATTGTAGTAATGACCAAGTTAAACAAGCTGTGCATTCCCAGATGGAGGCACAGCGAATATTCCATTTTTTATATAAAAGAGGAGACAAGCTAGTGGGTGGCGCAAACAAATAAGAGGGGAATAAAGATACCATGTGGCTCTAATAACTTAGGAAGGAAATACACCAATAAGGAATATAGGATTAAGGTGAGTTAGTTTTAAGAACAAATATTTAATCAGTTTAAATTTAACTAGAGTTTAAATTACATTTTCTGTATAGACAAAGCTGTTAACATAATGCATATCTTCCTAGAAACTAGACAACAATACATTTTATTGTATCTATAAATAACTTTTTTAAAATAGTAAAAAAATGACAATATCCTACAACATTCTCAACAAATTTTTCAATATAAATTTAGCATCATAATTTTCTATAGGATTTTTTTACAGAAAGAACTCAACATCAAATGTAATAACATCAAAAAATTCTAATTTAATTGAAAAAGAGTAAACCTAACAAACATAATAAATATTTGTAATTTCACTAATTAATTATTTTATTCATTTAATTAACTATAATCTGGTTTATTGGCTCATTTCAACAATTTCTTGTGAAGGTTGGGGTTAATAAAATACCAAACCCAGGTACCCTCTCTACCTGACTTTGTTTTATATTGGTACATAGGCATTCCTTAAATACCTAGCAATTAGAATTATCAGAAAAATTGCATCGTTATAATTGTGCGACGATATTTTTAGTAAGTGAATTGGTATGTTATCATACAATTGACCATAACAGTAGAAGATGTGTTAGTGTGTACAATAATTCACTGCATTGCGAGCGGTAGTGGTCACTTCTTGTTTGCTCCCATTCGTCGGGTGTTAGTTTGTAGTTGAAATGAAATTTATAAGTTTCCAGGTACTCTTCGGAACAAGGATCTATCAGTATTTGGCAGCTATAACAGGTAAGTGCTAAATGATGTTTTCCCCAACAATTCAAAGGGCGTTTAGTGCTGGCTTTGATTTTTTATCATTCAAAAAAAAGGTTTGGTTAAAGTGATCATCTCAGGATTGTATTGACGTGCTGGTAATTAATAATTGCCTGAAATAGAAGTAGAAAATAATCCAAGTGGTACTTGGATATACATTTTTTTATTTTTTTGTAACTGTCAAATAAACTAATTCGTTTATTAAATCAAATTGTAAACATTGTACCTAGGGATAGAGACAAAAAGAAATTACTCTTATATCAAACTAAATAAGAATAAACAATTAAATGGGATTTAAAAAAGATAGTAGATTTAATTGGGAAATTAATTTATTAGATGCAAAAAGTGGTCAAGTGAGAGATTAAGTGTTTTTTCAAAGTTAACTGACACCAAAAGAAATTTGTGTAAATATGTAACGAATTAAATTTACCAGTGTGGATAGGTATTTTACAAATAAAGCATATTTTCGTTATAATACAAGAGTAAAACAGAAACAATGCTCTGACTAATACTCAAAATTTCCCAGAAATGCTTCCCCGTATCAGCTGAAAGGATATTTTGAAAATTAATGTAAGATTTTCTCACAAATGTTGATTTTTATTTAGAAATATATTAATTGTTATATTCACATAAACAAAAAGCAATGATTTTAACAATAATAACTGGTAACTTTGTTGTTGTGGATTTCTAGAACATATTAGTTTAAATATACGAAACAGTAGTTAAAATATATACTTTAATTGATCTACCTATTTTAGTAACATCGCATGGTAAAAATGCTTTGTGATTTTATCTTAATCGCGATATAAACCATTATAAAAATAACATTAAATAAGAGAACCTCACGTAAATTGTAATAATAACGAATTATTATCTACTATTCAGTACGCGAGTGTTAAAAAAAAAGAAACAAAATTACCTAATCGTTAGATATAATAACACTGTTGGTGTCAACTTCACGATATGTACGATTTTATCGTAAATAATACCTATATTATATAGGTTATAAGTTATAACAAATGTTCTAGATTGTAACCTTTAACGAAAGCATCTCTAAACAATGTAAAGAAAAGCAAAAAATAAATCTATGTACCTACTCGTAAGCAAAGGCAACCTTTGAATTACCTTTTCATATTCTAGCTTTAATTTCATATCAAATGGTTCAAAATGGTATAGGAAGAAGCAAGATCTGGCTTCTCGAATGTGTCTTATTAAAAAAAGATGTATGAGTTATGAGTGATAGATGGGTATTTAATTAACAAATTAAAGAAGCGACATTGCATTTATGTGAGAAATGTCAAAATAAATAAAGTTGTCTTGATTTCAAAAACTTATAAACTTTAGGTATCCTGTATTTTAATGGATCACTTGTTTGAAAACTGAGGCCACAAACAATCATTTGTTACGGCTAAGCCAATAATTATTATAGTCCAAATACCCATCTAGTCAATGGATGTCCAGGAAATAAGCTATTAACAAACGTACCTCAATTAAAAAAATATGTAATTCGCAAAGTAGACAGATTTTTATTGATGGAAAATAAATTTTGTGTTTTTGTATTAATTATATTTAGGGTGATTCACAAATTTTAAGGGGAGTCTTTCGTATAAAGTTTTTATCTAGGATGTTTCGTTAAAAAAATACAGTGTTAAACTTAAAAAATTGTTTTTAATTTTTTTAAATAGGAAATTTAAAAACTATTTAGTGAAATAATTTAAAAGGAGGAGGAGGCCGGTTTTTGGCCTAATTTATTTTTGGCTGAAAATTTTTTTTTAGTACCTACTAGCAATACTGAATCGCTTCCACCCTAAACGGACCAACCCCCTCACCCTCCTTTCCCCTCCACCTCCTTAAATGAGATGACACACATTTACATTGAATAAAACGAAAAAGAAAAAATCAATAATTATACATACATGTTTGTGCATATTTGATTAGCCACTTTGAATTTCGTGATTCTGAATTCATAATTGTAATCAGTGATCCAAGAAAGTTTGTATGAACAAATATTTGGAGATTATGAAGATCTTTTTAATATTTTTGTCCGCCATATGGAATATGTTTAAAATTATTTAAATCAGCTTAATAACTTTTAAAATAGTGTACAAAATGAGAGAACTAATCATAGAATAATATATGTTTTTTAAAAGCAAGTATATTAAATGAGTACGCCGGAATTTTGTATCCATGTCGAATGACAATTTTTATAGGTACATTTAAAAGGTTTCCACTGATTCAATTGCAGCTTTAAAATATGAATTCTTCCACGTAATGTAAAATTTAAACATTATCGTAGTAAAGGACAGCAAAAAAAACGGGATGTAATTTCGATCAAGGCTAATCTACTATTCTATAGTTATATAATTCAAAACTGCTTTGTTGATTTGCTGTTGTTAAGGCGAACTAAGTGTTTTTGTGCTCGTTGCTAGAAATACAATAATTATTTACCCATCATTGAGGTGAGATGTAGTCGAGATGTGCATCGATTTGATGACACATACTAAAAAGCTTATAATTTTTATATACTTTTTTCGTTGCAAAAACAATAATAAAAAATCAATGGCTTGAACCGATCGATATTCGAATTTAGAAGCAACTTAGAACTAACTGACAAATAAACATTTAACATATAAACTGTAAGTATAAAAACACTTAAACCGTACAAAATTGGAAAAATTATAAATAACTCAGCTCTATTGTTACTTTATTTTAAAGGAACTTATTTCAATTAAGTAGTTCTTTCCTTATCGCTGCACTAAATGGTGGTTAGGGTTTACAAACATAATGCGAGATAAAATTTATGCAATGTATATATTTTTTCCTTTATCGCGACTTGTTACTTTACAGTAATAGTTCACAGAAATAACTTAGTAAGAAGATAACTTTTGTAGAAATCGTTGACAATAAAATATACATACAAGGTGTTGTTTTAGGCTATTTAGGCTATTTATAATGGCTATTTATAATAAACAATTTAGGCTATTTATTATGATCTACCCATATGTAATTAATTGAAATAAATGTGACTGATTCAACGTGTTGCAGGCACGTTATGCATCCTGTCATCAGAAATGCATTTCGGATGGACATCCCCGTCACTGCCTATCCTCGTCAGAGGCAGCTACAAATTCCAGATCACCGCCGAAGAGGCGTCGTGGTTAGCAGTGACCTTGCTGGCGGGAACGATCTTCGGAGCCATCTTCACGGGTTGCCTTGCTGACATATTAGGCAGAAAGAAGATCATCCTCTTCACAGCTGTACCACTTTTCGTCTCGTGGATGCTCATAGCTCTGGCTAGTTCCGTGGTCGAGCTGTACGTCGCAAGGTTTATAGCAGGTTTATCCAGTGGGATGTCGATTTCGACGGTTCCGATGTATTTGGGAGAAATAGCAGAACCTGAAGTTAGAGGTACAATACCGTCAAAATTTTCATTATGTGCGAAATGAAGGTATTTTTTAACTTTTTTTAGGTATGCTGGCCTCTCTTTGTCCGGTCTGTGTAGTATTTGGAATCCTTCTCATCAACATCCTGGGAAACTACCTAGACATCGACCAAACCGCTTTCGTTGCCAGCATTTTCCCAATAATCCTGTTCTGCACGTTTGTATGGATGCCTGAGAGCCCATCATTCCTTTTATTGAAGCATCGTAAAGATGAAGCTCAAAGGACCCTAGAAACCTTACGAGGAAAGGAGAACGGCGAGGTAGAACTAAAAAGACTGACAGAAGCCCTGAATCAGTGTCAAGGAAAAGTTACAGCTTTTGATTTATTTTTAAACAGTACCAACCGAAAAGCAGCGACAGTTGCATTCGGTCTCAGAACGGTTCAACAGTTTTGCGGCACAACAGCCTTGACTTTTTACTGCAAGACTATCTTCGAACAAGCCGATGATATTATCTCTCCGAATGTAGCGACGATAATTTATTTTTGTCTTCAGTTGGGCGTTGCTTTCTTCGCTTCCTTCATTGTGGATATTTTCGGGCGTCGTCCTTTGCTGGTAGTGTCCCTGATAGGATCCTCAACGACATTGTACCTGTTAAGCAGTTACATCTACATAAAAGACAACACTGACCTCTTCTTGGAGAGCTACTCGATCATACCCATATTAGCGTTATTTTTCAACGTTGTATTCATTAGTATCGGCATAAGGAATATCCCTTTGCTCATGATGAGCGAGATGTTCTCCACAGACATAAAACCTATCGCTTTGTGTGTAGGAACTATCTTTTATAGCATTATTGCCACTTTATCTGCCAAAGTGTTTTATTTCACCAATGAGCGGTTTGGGATGTACATGCCATTTTTGATTTACGGCACCCTCAGTCTTCTAAGTGTGATCTTTGTGGTATTTTATGTTCCTGAGACGAAAGGCAAGACCTTGGAAGACATCCAGAGAGAATTACAAGGCTGTAAACGTGAACAGTGCAGCGAACGTTACAGAAACAAAGAAAGTGCGTGACAGAAAACTACTCCCACTTCGACTGAGAGGAAAATAGAGTCCTGAGGTTCTCCTGAACACATAAGGAATTTTAATATAATAGAACTTAATAAAATACTTGGACTGCTACTTTTGTATAGAAGGAATATTTTTGTATATTGCATACCTTCTGGTTGTTAAGAACAATCATCTGGATCTCTTATTTCCTTTCTTTACTTATATTTATACCACATTCCTACCATTACTTAGTGATAGTAATGGGTGTGATATTTTTAATTGACATATTGTTATAAGGATTATGTTACAATACCTACATTTTTCTTCAAATATCTGATGTGTATATACCTTAAATACTATACAGTTGCCTTAGAATTTTTGAAAAATATTTGTAGTTATAGATCATACGTTATTACTGTTCAATGGTTTTGGCAGAATGCCAAAAAAATATAAATAAGCATACTCACAGGTGGTCGTACCGTGTTCTTGATCTACAGCCAACAAATCAGTGACGACTTATTTCAGTGACCTTTTTTTTAGTGTTTATATGCGCTTCTAAAATTTATGTGACGATAAATATTATATTTGCAATAAATGGGAAGCAAGTTTTGAAAACACTTATCTAGTGTTTTGCCCTTAAATGCAATTGATGTGGATAAGTTTAATTTATTAATTAGTTACACATAACACGTAGACAATATATATNATTAAATTTTATTGTTGAATGATAATTACAGTGTCAGATTCTAATGCAGACTGATTAAAATGGCTATTGCCGTCCACTTGTCCAAAATTGATGACAAGGCATTCCTAGGCTGTCCAGCTCATGTTAGCAATGTCGATGCTCCCATTTCCTTAACTCTACAGGTAGTTGACCCTATATATATATATATCTACGAGAAAGAACAAATCGATTTTCGAACATATGAACTACAGGATAAGTCCAAGAGTGTTAACTTGTTTACATAAACTCATTGTTAAGCATTTACTTATTTATTTTTGTATTGTTATATCCTTCTAATTTTTAATAAATCAACTTTGACATTAGGTACTTCACAAAAAAAACCGCAAGGTTCGACATTCGGAAAGAATGCAAAAATAATTTAAGTAAGAGTTAATTTCTATTATTTGTTGTGCCAAATTTTGCGACGCAGGTGTTTTTATAAAAATATATAATATCCAAGGAAAAATATATTTAAATTTCTAAGTACATGATTTTTCAGTTTGTTTAAAATAGTGTGAATAACGTTATCTAGGTATTTATTATTCCCCTAAACGATTTTGCTGAACAGCGAACATAGAAAAAACTTAATGTAGGTAAAATTACTTGTTTGTGGAAGTGAGCTGTGAGGAAAGACAGCTGATTTGTTTGAATTTGGCACTAGTCCAAAAAGAATTTTAATATTCGGCTAAGATTCGAACAAAACCACCTAAAAACCCAATTTTCGTTACACATTGCAGTGAACATATGAAAGAGAGCACTGTCTTTCAGATAGAGTACAGTGACCTATATACTGTTTTCTTGGAAAATAAAATTTTCTGGGAAAATTGCTACAAAGACCTGAAAGTATTTCGATTGGAGACGACAATTACAAAAGGAAAACATAAAGGGAAAAAACAGAAATATAATATTTAGTGTGTTATTGTACTACATCTGTTGTGTTTAGAAATATTTATTTTTCGTGTATGATTGTGTTATTTTTGGTAACAGACATTGACAACAGGCTATTTTCATAAATTGCTATATGTTCGTAAGAAGAGTGTATTAACCCCAAGCTCATTTCAAACTTTTGTATTGATTTTTCCTAAGAAATACCCCGTAGAAGTTTGATAGTCGAATTAATGAACACCCCATATGTTACTTTTAAGATGAGGTAAGTTGAAAATTAAATATTTTTTCCTTACTGATATATTGTGCCGAGTATTACAATTTTCTATTATTTATTGAATGTGTTGAATATTATTAAAAATATATAGTTACAAAAAATGCAATTCGTAGGACTGATCTAACTGTTTAGTCTAGCTTTATGTGTATTCATCAATACTGATTGTAAGCTTGGCTCAAAAATGGCTGAAAAAATGTTCAATAGATTTACGCGTTTTACATTAATAAAAAATCTATTTTTATTCATCATTTTTGTTGCCAATGTCAATAAAATCTTCAGCTTCCGTATCTTTAAATAAACAGCAATAACTTTCCTCAAGATCGTACTCCTTTTGCACGCATTTTGCGCATCAGACGTATATTTCGCACTTCGATGTTTCTACATAAACGTGATATAATGGTCCGCCGCACAAAAAATATTTACACTAAACATAAACAGATTTCTGGCATGTCAATATACTCGCGTATTCTTAGAAATAATCAGGCTACTTTTTCTAAATAAAACACATGTTGGCTGTGTGTTATAAATAGATCGCGTGGAACACATTAGACTCATCGTCTCCTCTGTGGTGCCATATTTTCCAGAAATGCAACGGAAAAATTCGGTTCCTGAAAACAACAGGACTTGATTAACAAAAGGTGATGAAGTTGTATGAAGATGTTCAAGGACTAACCACCTTTGTGACTTTTTTAAATACGTAGATCTTAAGATAGCTTATTGGAAGCACATACAAACCATAAATAATTTAAAAAAATATTGTGGGTAGTCCTTCAAGAGGACACATTGTAGATATAGACATTTTACGCTTCAAATTTTTCTGGAAATTACAAGATGATCTAAATTAACAATAAACTTCGAATGAACTCTTTGTACTTATAAGAACATTCTTGATTGTTTGCCAAATGAGGAAGACTGTTTCAGAGAACGAGATCTATAAGATCGATGAACTTTTGAGTTCTGCTCAAGTTTACTTATAATTTTCTTTTAAATTTTCATCTGAACTAGTTAGAGTCCAAGTACACTAACGAGTTTTTCTTTGAATAATGATATCGAATACAGTGCTTTTTCATATTCGAAGTGACACTATGTCTAAAGAGTCTAGATCATAATATTTCAATAACATCGTTCCGATTATAATTATTTTTTTACGCCTGGTTTATTTCTTGCGAGAAATAGTAATAGTAAATAGGTAGTAAAGCAAAAATTAATATGTAACACATATATGTCATATTTTAGATCAATATTATTGTCATGAAACTCTATTCATCAAAATAACTACATTTTTGGTGGCTAAACAATGTTTGGTATTTATTTTATGTAACGAAACGTCAAAGAAAAAATTATGTTTTCAGTTTTTAGAATTTTAAAAGACGTAGCTTTCACACCCAATATTTTCAGTGACGATTTTCAGTGTTTCATCATCACAGCGAAACTTGGATGATATCACTGCACTGACGTCAAGGCATATATTATTGTTTTGCTTTTCGTACACGGGATATTTATACTCACAATTTTAGTATTTTCGAAACAATAAATTTTTAAATCCTTTTGACATTTACAAATATTTGTCCTTATATAAAAATAGGGTTTTTAACATTTACTCAATATTTTAATTTAAAATTTAATTTTAAAAATTAAAATAGTAATAAGGACAAGGTAAGGTTCTTCTTGTTGTGCAAATATTCCTAAAAGAAATCTTTTCTATGAACAGAAAAGATTCCCCCGCCAAAAAACGTAGCAACATCAGGTTCCACTCAGATTCCACATGCCATAAAACCCCTGTGTACCAAATTTACTGATTTTTGAACAACAGGGTTCTGAGATATAAAAAAAGATTATTCTTTGGGGCGGACTTCAGGGGGCTGTAACTCCGAAAGAGAGGGCAAAAATAAAAAATACGGGTCCCCTAAATTTGTCTTAAGAATCTGTGACCAAATTTTGTTGCATTTATTTCGGGATACGCTGTAGGTATGTATGGTTAGATTCAGAAAAGTAGGTACATTTAAAAAATCTTTTGTGTTCCATTTAAAAAAACTTTACTGAGAAAATATCCGTATTCCTTGCGAGAGTTGAAAATCTATTCGTAAACCGACATTACAAAACCGCCTCTTTCTGGTGTCGCCGATATCAACCGTACGGAGAGTTTTCACTGGAAATCCCAAATTTCCCGTACTATCCGCTACCCGTGCCAAGAATAAGTCGGTGTTTACGAACTCGGTCGCGTTGTGAACGATTACCGTGCGTTATTTTCCTCCCCGGCCCTATTTAAACCAGATGTATTCGCGACGGCTACTCACTCCCGAACCCGTACCGATAAACACTATGTATTCGCTCTAATTAAACCAATCAAAGACAATTTACGGTGATCCTTCGAGTCAGCGGCCGGGCGCAGTCTGTTTTCCGCCGTAATGTTGAGGACTGGCAGCTTAACGCAGTTCTAATTAATTACCGTCGTGCTCCGGAGTTCTGGCTTGGCCACGATGAAGATCACCACCGGTTCCAGCCTGAAGATCCACCAGGGCAACCCTTCCTTCCAGTACCTGGCTGCCTTCACCGGTAAGCTTGAAATTCAAACCCATTTAGTTTTACTGTTTAAAAAAAAGAACAGGAATGTTTGAGGAAGCTTTGCTTTTGTCCAGCTGATTCTTATTTATAAACAAGACGTTCTGTGTGAATGCGAAGTGATTCAGCCGTTTTCAGGCAAACGTCCTTTGTGAGACACCATTATAGTGAAACTTTCAAATAAATTTTATAACAAGGATTTATTTTCGTGGCATAAACACCCATAATTGTTTCAGTTCAAAAAGTGAAAGTGAAAGCTTTTTTACTCTGAAGTGCCTGCAGCAATTACATTGTTTAACATTTTGATTAAGACACAGTTGGTTTTAGTAACAGACACTTGCTCTTTAATCATTCTGGCATTAGTATTCTGTTAATAATCTTAATAGGACTACGTTGTTCGAACTGGTTAGCGCTCCAGTAGTATCTAGTTTAATATGATAGTTATTTCGGTGACATGAAATTTATTTTTAAAAGATGTCAGGTGTGTGCAACTATAGCAGTATTGATCTGAGAATAAATTTACCAAAAGACAATTAAGCGCTGGAAATGTTGTATACAAAGTTAAATTGTTGTAAGATTTAGTCATTTATGCCAATGCGAAGTTCATTTACAACCTTCCTCAAGAATTAATATAGAAACTGGAACCTCTCTTTTTAAAATATTAAAAAGTACAGCGTCTTTTTGTATTTCACTAATGAAATTGAAATTGTGGATTACTTCACAATGTGTCGCAAGAATCGTCAGTTTACAGAAATCAAATGTTACCACAACAAACAGAGTGTCCCTTTGCAGTCTTTCTATGTTACTTTTTACATTACTCCCATTCAATCAGTTGTATACATGATATATTTGTATTATGTCATTTTTTTAGTGTAGAAATTATAGCCCTGAAGCTATTGCATTTTTGGCATAACTGTTTTCATAATAATTATATTTTTTAAATATTGCAGTCACGTATAAGAAAAACATCATTTTCTTACACGAACCAAAGACAAATATGTTTATTTTTATAATATTCTGTAATAAAGTTACTGTAAACAAAATCTAATAGGTTAGCTTTGATAAAGTTCAATTAAAGTCGAATATATTCGGTACGTGAAAAATAAAAAATATTTATATTAGCAGGTAGGACATACACGTGTCTACCGATGACTACAAAATTGCTTTATTTTGGGAGTTAAACTACGAATTTTTGTGTGGAATAAATGCTTTTGTAAGACTATTTTGGTTAACTTAATTTAATAAATTGGTACCACTTTAATATTTTATGTAAAAAAATGTTTAAGCATCGCAAAACATTTTCGTCTCGGAGATTTGTAGGAAGGTGGATAAGCTTTATAAATTTTTCTGATTTTATGGCCTATTAAACTGACTATAAAATTAAGTGTTTGTATGTATTAGGCCATTAAGTTCGTAATAATTTTATTGAAAATTATTTCCTAGTGAAACATAGTTGACAAAGTGCAGGCTATATATTTCCTAAATATAAATGTCTTTTGTTTCTGTTGGAATGGAGCCAACTTTAATTTTAAGTTAAGGCGTAAAATCGGTGAATTCAGATGCTGTAGTTCCATATTCAGATTCAGAACAAATAGATAAGTAATAAGTTCAAAATATCAATGTTATTGTCCTTTAATTTTTCATTATATTAGTTAATTGTCATTATTTTGAAAGACAAAGAGTTTTATTTGATTGTTATTATCAGCAACATAGTCAACAAAATGCTTAACAATGAAACACCTGCAGCCTCATTCAATTAACATACCCATAATCAATAAAATGGAAATTCTAATTTTCCTTGTGACGTATATGGTAATCATTTTAATTTTTTTTATTAGTAAACCTTCAAAATATTCCTTTGTTTGCAGCCACTTGGCAATCAGATTGATTTATTTAAGCTTCGGTGTAACAGTGTAGCTAAGTTTAATGTTTTATTTATATTTAAACGTCCTTGACCTTTGCCTTCGTACTTAAAATTATCGTTAAAATCTACCATCTATAAATTAATTTCACGAGATTTTTTATACCGCTGTATTTTTCCGAGCAGTGCGCCATCTGATTTTGTTATTAATATTCAATCAAATTTATCAAAAACGACTGTAGTATTATATGATACCCATGAGGGTTATAAGTAGGGTGACACAGCAATTTTGTTGCATACTTTCAAGACTTATTCTCTTCTCATCAAAACAAACAAAAACACTTGTAACGATTTTTTGTAAAATTTTCCTAATGGCTCCATGATCCAAAGGTCGAAAGTGCAACAGTTTTTGGTAGATTACTCAACAGCTATTGAAGGTATAGGTTTCAAATTTGTATGGTGCAGATCCTTTTGTAGTAGTTATATTAAAGTATTTTCTTTCGTAGAATGATTGGTTTATTATTCCAAAAATCATCAGCAATTTTAGTTATGACATATCAAAAAACATTTACACTTTCATTAAAATATATTACTGCTCGGTATTGCTGCACTGCACTGCTAGACAATTTATCAACAACTGAAATTTATGGCCGGTCGCCCAGTGCGGCTGCGTTTGTGCGCCGTTTACCCCACGCGCACATCTTCAACTGGGCGTATATGAGTATGGCTAAATAAATATGGGAACAAGTATTTATGATTATTCTTCAATTTCAGGTACCCTGACGATAATAACAAGTGGCATGTACTACGGCTGGCCGTCGCCGTCTCTACCAAAACTCCGTGAAGGTGACTCCGGATTGACCATAACAGATGGGGAAGGGTCATGGATGGCCGTGATGCCTTTACTTGGAGGCATTCTGGGTGCTCTAATAGTTGGCGTAACTGTGGATATCCTTGGGAGGAAGAAGACCATAATTCTCACGACATTTCCCTTCTTCGCTGGATGGATCATGGTGGCCTTCTGCAAGTCAGCTGTGCTTCTTTACATGGCAAGGTTTCTAGCGGGAGTCGCAGACGGTTGGGCCTTCACGGCTGTCCCCATGTATATAGGAGAAATCGCCGATCCAAGAATAAGAGGTCTTCTAGGTTCGGGAGTTTCGGTGACGTGGATTTTTGGTATCTTACTAATAAACGTTATCGGGTCCTACTTAAGCGTAACAGTGACAGCGTTAGTGTCTAGTTTACTCCCAGTGTTAACCCTCGTAACGTTTATATGGATGCCGGAGTCTCCTTACTACCTTCTGATGAGAGGGAAGACGAACGAAGCCAAGAAGAGTTTGCAGATTCTCAGAGGACTTGGGGATGTGGATTCTGAACTCAACAGATTAACCGTCGCTGTGAAAGAGCAAACCTCCAACAGCGGGAAATTCCTGGACCTGTTCACTGTGAAGAGCAACAGAAAGGCTGTGTTCATCAGTATGGTCTTAAGAGCGTCTCAGCAACTTAGCGGAACCACTGCCATCATTTTCTACACGCAACATATTTTCAAGGAAGCTGGTGATGATATATCCCCTGAATTGGCAACTCTGATATATTTTTCAGTTCAGTTATTTTTAACCATGCTTTGTTCTAGCATCGTGGACAGAACCGGACGAAGACCCTTGCTTATTGCATCAATAACGGGGTCTGGTGTCGTCCTCTTTATAGAAGGTACTTATTTCTACTTGAAATCAAACACCGATTTGGACGTTGCTCAATATTCTTTCGTACCTGTCGCCGCCTTGATAGCCTTTGTAGTTTTGTTTAGTCTGGGTATGCAAAGTATACCGATATTAATGTTAGGTGAATTGTTCCCAGCCAACGTTAAGGCATTCGCATTGTGCTTAGCTGATATTTACTTTTGCGTATTAGCAACGATTGTTTCGAAGTGCTTTCAAATAATGAAAGACTCGTTCGGTTTGTATGTTCCTTTTTATATGTTCACAGTGAGTTGTATGATAGGCTGTACGTGTATAGTATTATTTATACCCGAGACCAAGGGTAAAACGTTAGAAGAAATTCAAATGCATTTGAGGGGGGAGAAGATTCGCGACGCTGCTGAGGTCCAATGGAAAACCTCTCGGGAAATCGTAGAAAGAATTTAGAAATAAGTGTAATTTATTCTATTGTTCTTGTAATTTTAAGGCTGATTTTTTACCTATTATTATATACACGTATAGTTTAATTTATTTAGTACAAATGTGTAAAGTCAATGTCTTACATAGTACTAGATTTTGTACTGATAAATAATTAAATATTTATTAAATATGCAGTTTTTAAGTTTATGTTTTGAGAGGAAGAAAAACCTTGTAAAAATTGTATTATGTTGTAAAATGTGACAAAAATAAGAATACATTTTATGATAATTGTATCCACAGAATAAAATAGTTTATAATTTATCTACGTATAGCATTACAATTATTTGAAAACCTTATACATTCTACTTCACTATAATTAATTTTTAGTAGTAAATAAATTAATAAATTCAATATGCCCTGAAAAGTTGTACTACAGTTACAAATGTATTTATTTATCATTTCGAGAAAGCATTTATTTTTAATATAATTATAGTGTCTTTATAAGTTTAGGTTATTTTTTTTTCTTTTTTAAGTTCGCTTCTGTATATCTGACTCTAGATAATCTAAAAAAGTAAGTAAATCACTTAACTATTAAACAATAAATCAATTAAATTGCCAAATTATAAACCGCTTTATACATCGGGTTCTGGAATTTTTTTATGTTGCTTAACATTACAATACCGATAAGGAATTTTCATTAACATTAACTTAACTCGTGGCTCAGTTACAAATATAAAAACTGATTAATGAGTTTAAGATTTTATGGTTTTCTAGCAAGTATCATAGTTTACACATTTGTAACACGTTTTACACTTAGCAGATAAAAAAAGGTCCAATTCATAGTAAAGGTCCGTTCCTTAATCCAGTAGTTTGCCACTGCATCCTACCTCATTTGGCTTGCCTGTCCAATAGTACGATATAAGCATAACACATTTTATTTAATTGTTATACATACAATAACATATAGAGAATAATGGATCAACAATTAATTAATTACTTAATTGTTGTTGTAGTGTTATATCCGTGGATAACGCTATTCAATGTACGATTAAAAAAAATTATTGGCAAAGTATATTGTCGCACAATTGCCTTAGAACAAAAGGCAAAATTAGATGCGTGAAAGTTTAAAATACACGTACTCAACTGCATTTGATTCACTGGGATCTTTAAATAAATTGGACAGCACTTTTATTCTTGATACCAGTGGGACCATGACATTCTTTGTTGACGTCGTCCTGTAATATGTGGATAAAGATGACGTTTAAAATGTTCAGTATTAAATAATGACATAATATGAGTATGCAGGTACATCTAACAATAGTAATATATTGATTTACATCTATTTAGTTACTGATATATTTGTTTATTAGAAACTTCATTGTGTCTACAATATTTTGTTGCTTAGTGTGAGTCAATTCTATGTAGATGTCACAATATGTTGCTGTTTGTATCCATTGATTTAGATTGCCTACAAAATTGTATTGCTAGTTGCATATACAATTATAATGATTGCACATTTTGGAATAACTTTAAAATCAAAGATGCTTTGCAGAAATTAAAATCATATCTGAACAACATTGGTACAGTTGAAATATTCTTAAATTTTTATAAAGGGTCCTCTTGTAAAGTGAAGATTCCCTTATATAGGTCTCAGAGGTAATGAATATACCAACAGAAACAATAATACTATGTTCAAAGTTCAAGGAAAATAAGTGTTCCATTTCTTTCATCTTTCATCTTAACACTGATCAATTTAAGTTCCATTATTGGAAATTACAGGTTAAGTCTATTTATAAACCATAAAAAAAGTCTTACTAGTCGCAATTTCGACTTTTGTGGCAATGAAGCAAGCGGGCGTACTAACAATTTATGACATTATTTGGCTTGAGAGCCAATATTGTGTGCGTCATTCGAGGAATTGCATTTAACTTCCTGTGAATCAGTTGCACGGCAGGTCGCCAATGAATAATTCATCTAATTATTTTCTCGTCAGAATGTCTGGCCAAATTGTAAATATACGAACGAAATTCATTGGACTCAGTTTGGCTTAGAAACGCAAATATCATCGTGTATTTCCTATGTTTTTAGTATTAACATACCTACCCTTTTTAATGCCTCAAGATTCATTTTCTTGCGAGGATTCAAGGTAAGTCGTTAGTAAGGAAGAAGGATGGAATGAAAGGAGACAGAAGTGATAAAAAAAAATTATTGCCGATAGGACATACCGAAGAAGGTATTGCTTGTTACAGATTTTGAAGAATATGAAATAAATATAGGGAAATCCTTAATATGAGAAGTTGTATTGCTTGTTGCATATCGACTAAACCATAGGACATGATAAAATCGATGAAGCAGAAGCAAAATGAATTACCAGTTTCTAGTTCATGGTCAAATCAAATTAAGATTAATTTATTTGCCCAACAGAAAAGAATTTCTTCAAACTTTATGATGAAAATATTGCTGTAATATATAAAAGGAATGTAAAATACTAGTTCCTATAAACATAGTTTGGCTACACCTGTAGCTGTACTGTTTTTAATTTACGAAAAAATTAAACATCGGATTAGTTTTTCTCCAAAGAAATACAATTTTATACACGCTACTTATTATTTTCAGAAAATTCTTGCAAATTAGGTAGGTACCCAATCATAGCATCTATTTTTCACGCGTCGATAAGATTTCACTGATTTCATTGTTACTAACTTGACATATCGGGCAATATCCTCTTCTACTAGAATTGCAAATAGCTGTTCTTAAATTTGCAATTGAAATTCACTCAGTTGTTTAGGTCAAAGCACGATCCGTTTGTTATTTGCAAATAAACATTTGTCAACCTAAAATATTGCGTGTACCCGACAAATAACCACGCCTGAGATTATATTAATCAACTGTTATATTAGTCATATATTAAATACCTTGAAATAAATTTATACAGCTGTTTAATTTAAATTCCTTATTTAATGAATGTAGTGTAGAGGAGCTTTGTTCCCAATAAAGTAACATACATTTGAATGGAATAAATTAGAAATAGTACGTTTTTTGTTTTATTAAGTGGAAACCTAAATGGGTAAAATATTTACAGATGTGATGATATTTAAAAAAAACTTTTATTAAATCTTTTTATTGCATAGAAACATGTTAGTTTGCTCATTTGCCAATTCTACTAGATTCTTATCCTTGTCTTCTGTGATGAACCTACGATGAAGTTCTTCGAAAGATTCTTTAATTGGCAATTTTGTGTCACGTTAAATTTTACTGGGATATGACCTGGATCTGGTCGAACTTCCTTGATTTTCTCGATAGAATCGCCAGGGTCTTTGATATGATATTACGTATTTCGATAAAATCGTCAATCAATCATTCATTTTACCTATGCATGATCCTAGTCGGGAATCTTTGTCACAGCCAGAGAAAAAAATGCCCTACGTAACGATAATAATCAAATTAAAGTTTTATTTTACGTCCAGTAATGTCTATACTTCATATCATCATATAAATAAAAAGACAGTCATATTACGCAATCAATAATTGCGGATAAAAATCAATGCTGATTGGGGCCTTAGTTCTACAAAATTAACCAGTTAATTTTTTTTTACATAATGGCGACACAGTCCTAAGCATAGAGTTGAAGTGCCTATTCAATTTATTACATCTTCTATCTGACTTACATTACATTATTTCGTATGATTCAATAATTTTAAAGGTAATAGACTTCTAATTGAAAATGTTTAATAAAATCAGAGATAATAATTAAAATGCAACTGTTATTCGTAATAAATTTAAATTTTTTTCTGTGTTTCATATTTAAAATAATTTTGGCATTTGGCAAGGCATGTGGGAAATAAATTCTAGTATGATAAAAGTCTAATATCGGTTTTTAATTTTTCGTATGTGTAGGCTGAAAAAAATATTGTTATTACTTTATTGCCTAAAACTATCTGTCGTGACCTAATGTCTGATAGATTTACTTCTCATTAGTGTGGACAAATGCTTCGACGTTCGAATATCTTATGTTTTATGTTCTATTTTTTGATGTCTCATACATATATTTTTACTTACCTCAAATACACGCATCACCTTGAATCCTAATACGTAAATAGAAACAGACAGAAATTTTTAGATTCATTGTCAGTTTAAAAACTGGATTATTAAAAAATAAATGAATTGCTAATATTTTAATTAAGATCATATTCACAGAAACATCAATATTTCTGAGAAAGTATATACCAAATGTTATTTCGAAAGCTTTCACATAAGAAAACAGAGAAAAAAATAAGAGATTGTGCGTAGCTTATAAACTCAATGATGATAAATAAGGATCTGTCATATTTTTTTTAGAAGAATATCCCAAAATCTTTTGAGAATCATCTACAGTGTGTTTTCAAAAGATGTAGCACAATAATACCGGTGAATTTACATCTAAAAGGAATACTTCTCAATAATATGTCGAAAATAAACATCAGATATTTTTTACTACAACTTTTTTGTTTGACAGAAACTGAATATTTGAAAATACGTTTGAGCTAGCCTGGTTTATTTTAAAACAGGTAAAAATAATATGTCACAGAATGAACAGGCTGTTAAATAACTAGAAATCCTCGATTTACTTCCTCTAGAAACAATTTAAGTTTCTTGGGAGTTGTTAATACAAAAAAAATATATAATCCTTATTCGGACAGCTTTCTTCAGACTTCAAGACCTCAGCAAGTCACCCCCCAGGATGCAGATGCTGGATTTCACTGGCACACACAAGCGTCATGGAAAATTTTCCTGAAATATCTTGACCTTAAATTGACGGAACCGAGACGCTAGTCGCAGCACAGTGGCTTTGCTAAATCGATAAGCCTATATTTACGAAAGCGTATGTATTATCTTTTGTTGTCGGGAACTTACAGATAGACCGCCCGTCATTTTTCGAGCTGTGCAAGTGCTGCTCTAGAAGTTGGTCCTTTCGGTTGAGTTTTCTTTGCGGGTAAGTACCAACATACATTTAGTTGTTACCTAGATAATTTATTATTCATACAGTGAAAAATAATATTAATTTTTCTCGAAATTTTTCTTCTTATCTTCATAGGAATCGAAAACCCAACGGGTCATAAATCTACTCTACACTAACTATATTGTATTAAGTAAGTGATAATAATTTTACAAAATATCATTTCATTTGCAATATTTTTACGAGTACACACTTCACTTTGCGTTTTTATTAGAACTAGCGAGGTTGGCACTTCTATTTTTAGTTTGTTTTCGTAACCTGGCAACCATTGGAAAGGTAGACGAGCATAAATGTACTGCACTTAAGGCTTTCTACTTGCGTACAGAGTTTGTCAAAAGAATATCAAATTTTTTTGTTCTTTATTCAAGATGTTTAATAACGAACTGTACAAAATTTGTGGATATACACGGGAAGAGACGATACTTTCAACTAAAAATTATTTCGGGTATAGGGTATAGGTGATTTATTTTTAATCTTCTTGTATTTGTACCACAGATTTTTGAAATATTAATTGCAAACTGATAATCTTCCTGCAAAAGACTCAGGAAAGATTCCCCTGTGGATTTTCCATAGTGTGAACTAATTGCAAAACTGCATTTTATTTTATCTTTCCACTTTCTCTAACTTTTGTATTAAAGTTAGAAAATTTCTTGGAAAAACATCAAATTACATCGGTTTATCGAGTGTTTTTGTATAAATATACACGAGAGATTTTTCCGATGTGACAAGTGGATAAGAACGTTCATGGGATCTGTTGAATTACATTAGTAAATCATGATACAAATACATTTAACTTGAGTCCTTATATACAGATGGGAATGCATATTTTTGTCGGTATCTTCATTATTTTTAGTTTGTTTTCAGTTAACTTTCTCTGTAAATCGTCCACTTCTATCAATTTATTATTAACTAACAATAATAATAAATTTGGGAATGACCTTAAAGAGAACCGTTAGATAAAACTGTAATGAACTAATAACGTAGACATAACTATCCAAGGTAATCAATATTATTAGCGAAGTTTTAAATCTTCTGATAAATTAAAATTTAATTGCCTACGCTTTGTTTATATTAAAGTAATCAAGTACGAAATTGACGAAAATATTACAATTTTTTGTTTACATTTACAATCGAAGTGATACCTTCATATCAAAATGATTGGACAAATATTGGTGACACTGAATACAGATAACATCTTTAGTTTTGAACACGTGTTTGTGTCTGGAAGTCAGTAGATACAAATAATTATCGCCATTATAGTAACAAGAAATATTTTCTAAAAATTGCGATGAAAGAATGGAAATGTAATCGACTCAAGTTAGTATTACCTTTACCAAATAGAGAGGGGTCTATTCAGATTTGGAAAAAGTGCTGACTTTACAAATATATACAGGGTGTCCCATAGGAAAGTACTGCTAGTAACTCTTTTCAGAAGCATGATATCAATCTGTAAAGAGCATAGGTAACGCCAAAATATGATATACCAACAAATTAAAACATATTAAATGTGACTAGGTGATTCATTTTTGCTGTTACATTTTGATAACTTGAAACAGCTATAACTTTGTTAACTTAAATGGAACACCATGTATTTTTCTACTCTATCGTATGCAGATTGAAATTTCCTTTCAAGCCATATAAGCATTGTTAGGGTTGTCGTTACTACTTTTCGAGATATTTGCAATTGCAATTCTCTATTTTTTGTACATTTTTTCTTGTCAAATTGGCCATGACCAGAAACACTCCAAAACAATTAAAATAATTTGACACTTGTCAAGTTAGTTGTCAAATTATTGTTATGTCTGCAATAGTTTTTGCTGAAAATTTAAATAAAAATGCCTGGGTATGGTGTAAATTATACTTATGAGGATTATTTTAATTTGTTCATAATAATTCACAACGTTCTTTATTGTATGTTTTAAATTGAATTGAGTATAAAATTATATATAAACAGGAAATTGAACTGAACTTGTTTTTTCATTGAGGAAAAAGCCAGCATTTTTATTTCTTGTTGAAAAATATACAAATTTCCAGTTAACATTTTCCTAGTTAAATTTAAAACATTATATTATTGTAATTGCAACAAACACAATGAAGTCACACGAGACCAAGTATTTATCTAATTACGATAAGGATGTTCCCTTCTGAATAATTGATATCGCCTTTTATAAATGACCGCAAAATGACACATATGTAAAACACTCTTCTCGAAACAGATAGTAATATCATTTGTTGACAGGAATTTGTTATAAGTTTATATTATACCACCCACTGAGGAAAAGAACCCGATTTGCAGATAAATATTGGCATTGAAATTGATGATAATAGTTAAATTGGAGCAAAATTGTGTAATTCACTGTGTCAATTCCTCCAAGCCAAATTAATAATTATTTAAAAAGCTATACTAAAATAGTAAGGCTTTCTTAATGCTATTTTTGTTCCTCTATTTAAATGGGGAATAAGATTTTTATTACTTTAATCAGTTTAGTTTTTTTTCTAATAAAAATGTTAATATGAGCACATATAGGTACTTAATCATAATCATGAGTTCTTATCAATAGAGACAGATCTTCTTGAAAGAAATAAAGTAATATATAGTTAAGATATATATTATACTATAATAGTATAACTTAAAAACAAAGCTTATCGTGTATAATTTTTTTCAAGTAAAAGATGGAATCAGTCAAAGACTTTTTTCAAGCAATAGCAAAAATTCTGCTCTTAGTTAAAACAAATAGTACATAAAATCAAAGTAAGTATTATACATAGAAAATGTTTCCATCGATGTAGCATGTTCTTATTTTACAGGTCCTTCTTGTCAAATCGTTTTTCTTTCTTCTTATTTGAAAATCCATCTTCCATCTTCAAATGCAACTAAATCGTTTAAAAGTTATGCATCTACCACAAAAATTATATTTTTCTATATTTGCAACCTCTTTTCTTATTATTTTTATATCGTGAATGAAAAATTTTTCCTCAACGATCCTTAGTTTGGAAGAGTACAAAAGTCGCTAGACAACGAAATGCTAGTTAGTTGATTTACTATGTGTATGTGAAGAATTAGATGAGTATTATCAATTTTGATTGATTAACATTATCGCAATAACAGCTACAAAGCCTTGCTGTAACCGCAAGTCAATACTGCTTGCTAGGAAGGGGTTCGAGATTAAAAAATTATCTAATTTTCTCTTCTGTAAAAACTTACGTTTTTCCTCCAGTTAGTTCTGAACACTGCACATGGTAATTAGTGTATTTTATCAACTCACTGCTCTCAGAACTTGGTGTCAAATATTTGTAAGTTTTACATATTCATACATCGATATTATATATTTTCTTTATTCTTATTAGTTGTGTATGGTATAAATTTTAGTTTATTAAGATATTAACACTGTTTCGTTTTATTTTAAAGCTTCTTCGATGTCATGCAAGAAGCGAATTGTTTGGTAATTTTTAGTTAATTATTTTATAGATATAGTAAAAATTAAAACAAACTTATTTGTTTAAATCATTAAATATGTTTTATTACAGTTAATTTTCATCAATGGCGAATGTATCACTTTCTATTTTTTGTCTCAACGAAATAAATCGAAGAATATCACTCAGAGAAATTGGCCCAGATCTTACTGTAATCTTGGAAAAAAATGTAAAATGAATTATGTCGAGTCTAGTAAAAATTCAAAGTCACTTTTAAATTAAACCATTATTTTTAGATGGAATGTCTGATGTTTGCCAAATTGCCCACAATTATTGTTAAATTTATGGTTATAAGAGTTAAAAAAAATTAGAGAGTGACTAAAAATAACGAAATAAAGTAAATAATAGAATATTTTGCAACAGAAGAAGGAAAAGAGGAGGCAATGCTATTTTTTCTACACATTCTAAGTAACATTAATTCGCTTTTCTCATTAGAACTGAAACTGTCAAAGTTGTGACGTATTGCTATTTTGAAATTAAATGGGTTGTTATAAAATAATATAGAAAGAAAATATATATTATATAGATTTGTATTAACAAAAAATTCTCTATATATTTATTTTTTAAATAAAATTTACTTCGGTAATAAAAAGTAGGTTCTAAAATGTAAGAATATCAATTGTACACATATTTTCTTTAAATACGTACTTTTAAAAATAAAACGAAAACAAACGAGTTTATATTTTCGTGGAAAAAATACACTGAGAAACAAAAAGATGAAATGCGCCAAATGAGTAGTCATTTTATTATTAAAACGTTGAAACGTAGCTATCAATTTTAATACGAATATATCTACATATTATGAATTCGGTTTTGTGACAAATTTTATTCTTAGTTCTGATATTACCCTTTTATAGTACTGCGTAGAGATAAGTATGTCTGGGTTCATAATTAATGTCCTATTAATCTGAAAAAGATTCGAATTTATCGGCATTATAATTAGCGAACAGAACGAGTCTATTAAAAAGCAAATACATGTAGTTTTATTGTTATATCAACATCAAGAACTGCAGCAGAACAATAAAAGATAATTTTAATACTTCCTAAATATATATTAGCTAACTGATAATCACCAGCAAGAATTTGAATGGATAGTAGTTGTAACATATTGTTACCAAAATAAAAATAATTCTCCTTTTAATTGTTACTAGTGTAAAAACTACTGTGTATATTATTGTTAATAAAACGCAATAGAATTAAATAAAGAATCATCTACTGATATGTGATAGAGGAAGCGATTAACAGACTTCCACCACAATAATGAGTAATCATTCATGGGAACAAAGAAAATATCAGTCTACCGCCAGTTGTTATTATCTTAAAATAGCGTGACTATGGTAAATCAGAGTTCGCTGTGGTTGAAAACCGCATTTGTTTTCATCTATTTGAATGGTAATGGCTTTTTTTTAACATATTGAAGAATTGACAGTACTGAAAAAACAGACAAAAATATAAAAATGTACATCATGGACTTCAGTTAGTTGCTGTTTAAAAAAAGTATCAGTTTTCAATCTCAAAATTAAGAATGTCGTTTCACTTTGACGTATTGCAGTTGACACTGACAGTTTTTGTTTCTATTATTTACTTACAAGCAGTAGTGATTTATTTAATGATTTGTATTTTTATTTGTGTGCTTTTTCAATGTGAATTTTTTTGCTATGTAGACATAGTTTCGTAGAATAATCATTAAAAATTAAAACCTTTTGGTTTTTCGCTGAAATTAGCAGCACTCATCGAAGACTGACTGTGTGAAAAAGTTTGGGTTTCGTGGTTCCTCGAATATTGTATTTCGTTGCTCTCGTTGAGTTCATCAAAGGATTTCACTTCATTTAAATAATTTAAAGGTTAAAACATGACTTAAATGAGTGAAAATTATTTACATAGCAAAAGTTATTTAAAATAAATTTGTTTTTCATGTGGACCATGTCCAGTATGTCAGTCATCGAATTGGCTGTAAAGGATTTATACCAGAGAAATACCTTTTGTATTCAAAACTGAGGGTATTTAAATGAACTGCTAATAAAAATAAGAAAAATAGTAGGTCATTGTTTCACAAAAAGCGACTAGTAACACAATTAATTTTTGTGTAACACACACATTATACTATTCTTTAAAATATTCTGACATGTTTTCTATAAATAAAACCGAATTATAAATTTTGGCATAAAAAATAACGTATTTTTTAGTAGCAGCGTAAATTGTTGTCTAGATTTCTAAAAGTTAAATGTCGCCACCGAAGGTCATATATATTCGATGCATCCTAAAAATAAAGCACTTCAATATATTGCTGATAAGAAAGTAGAATGGAATTACCATAGTAACTATCCAGAAAAAAATTGCGAACAGTTCTATTTACCTAAATTAAAATGAACGCTTGAAATTCTTACAAAATGTTACTTATGTCATTTCTGAAGTCCATCAGAAAGGAATTTTGAAGAGTTTATTTAGTATATACTTATTTATAATTAGTTTGCTTATATAAATGAGAATTTGCGCTTGTATAAAAATAGTAAATATGGAATGCCAATCTCTGTCTTGTACATTTTTATAGGTACCAAATTCGAAATACATTTTTTTGAAACATGAACTTCATAAAACCAGTGGTTCCAATGATTCCAATTTTTTTATCATGGATATGTTTGGAACCAATTATTTCCGCATGAAAACAATGCCTCATGGTAGATACTTATAAGATTCAGATATCTACCTCTATTTTTTTTTAAACAATTGTATGTATTATAGACTTTATCTTATTTTGATTATTTGCCAAAACATATTTTTTTTTTAATTATTCGCTAGCTCGTAAAATGTTATCTTCAAGGCTTTTATGTCAACTTATTTCTGCTAATGGTACAAATAAATCATAGTTAGTTATCGATAACTTAGTCCAGATATCTAAACAGTGACCCTTGCAAATATAATAAATTTAAAGTAAACAATATTAGTAATAATTCTTAGTTGGTCTACCATAAAACATTTTTTTATATAATTTTGAACAACTAGAAATTCGAATAGTAGTAGGTACCACAAAAATTGATAGTGATGTTTATTATAAACAGGCCCTGCTCCATTTTCACTTATTATTCTGACAAAAAGCGATGTAATATGCTAATAAACTTAAAAGGAAGTATGAATGACATAATTATTTTGCACGCATAACCGCATTATTATAGGTGTGGTTGTCGATACCAACATGTTGTTTCCATTGGAAATTCTAGGAAAACTTGTAAATTTAACGACGGAAATTTACCCCACATTAACATGATTGTCTAGAATGAAAAATTAACTAGTGCTGAAATAATCAAAATCAGAAGATACACGTAACAATAAAAGTATTTAAATAATTTTTCAAAATACTTTTTGTAAAAAAATATGTATGTACTTATTGAAATTATAGATATTCTTTTGTGATATAAATCCCAGCCCACCTGTGTTTCTTTGTGATAGCATAACTTTGATTTGAAACTGAATTTCAAGTTTTTCAATGGAAAAAAACTGATGGTACTGTGTGAATAAGTGACGAATATTGAATTACATACCGTACGATAAACAATGGAAAATTTTCTGCAGTACACTTTACATAGCAGATGCTTCAGATATCTCTGCAATTAAATCGTAAAAATGACCTTCCAATAAAACCGTATCTACACAAATAGCGATTTAGATTAAAATTCCTTATGTGGATATCGTTTCATTGAATTGAAGGTAGCAAAGTACAATGTAAAAATAGAGGACATTGTTATTCCATACAGCTTAGAATTAAAAGTTTTGTATCAGACTTCGAGTTGGTATTATAAATTTGACAGTGATATTTTACACAATGTATACTTTTAGTTCACTTGATTTTACAATTTATTATACAGTCAAAAGTCAGTATTATTAACTATTAGGTAAGTATGTTATTTTTAAAAATACTTTAGTTAAACATGAATTAGCTAATACAATGCTAACAGTTTTTATGTTATTTTTCTGTTAATATTATCTGTAGCGTAGTAATTATTTCATTTAAATACTGTAATAACTAAGATAATCTGTATTTTTGATATAAGACGTTTTCTACGGCTTTTAAAGAAGTATAAAGTTAAATTGCACCATGTTTATGAATCTTTATAATTTAACAACTTGGGTAGGACAGGTCGATTACATATATAAATATTTATATTTTTTCAAGGATTATGGTACGCACCTATTGCAACCACTACAAAGATAAATAAAAACAATGAGAAACAAAGCAAATTCATCGTTAAACCTGCTAACCTTTTAGAAGTTGATTCACTGTTTGAATTAAAACAAGATAAGTACCTAGATACATAAGATGTTTGGGCAAAAAACTTAGGCGTATGTAAATAGATCTAGAGTAGTAAAAAAAATACAGCACATTTACATTTAATTCTTATAAGGACTTTAGAATAATTGGTACATACATAGGTGTCTCAGTAATTTCAGATGATGTCCAGATCAAACTTAAATAGAGAAAAAACTAAAACACACACAATTCTATGTCGCAAGTACCTATATTTCCATTTCCTAGAACTCTGAAATAAGCTATACATATTTTTAGATTTGAAGATAAGCCAATTTAGGAAATAAAGGCAGACAAACGTATTATCTCAAGTCGTTTTATAGAGATACCTAATTATTCGAAAGGCAAGCAAATATGATAACTAATATACATTTTTAAAATACTTTTATTTAAATAGATGACTTAAAACACAGATAAGAATGGATAGGTTATAATAATGCCATTATACCTCTACTACATATCTACGCCAATGGCGTACATATCAACAGTAAAGTAAAATGTATTTTATGAGAATTGCTTTGTACATGTGTTACGGTTTTGTTTCTAAATTTGGAAAAACCAGAATGGATTTTATGGTCCAGTCATCGAAATGTCTAATCTCTTAATTCATCAGAGGAATATCTAAACCCCACCTAAAGTACCTTCTTTTTAAGCAGCATCAGTTACTTTATAACAACATTCTGCAGATAGATATATCTACCTAAGCTGAAAGACAAAGGATATTTCACATTTTTAAAAGAATTATATGAAGGCTGATTTACACCTTTTATAATGGGAATCTCACAGAGCGTTTAATATGTTCAGTTACATTGTAATTACAGACATTTTGTATTTTAATAATATTTACTGTTTTATGTAAAGTATTTCTAACCCGACTTAACCGAACTTTAAGTACCTAGATATGAATTTTTTAGATTAGGTCAGATTTAGGAGCTGTATGGAAGCTGTAGAGCATGTTGCCTCTTTGGAGGAGTTGTGCATGTAAGCTTTAGGATCTTGTATCCTTTAGGATCTTCACAAAGCCTGGGTGATATGTGCTTGTGAAATTTAGCTCAGTTTTATTTTTATAAAATATTGTGAGATTAATTGCAATTTTCCTAATGTGGATTGTGAGTATCTCCAAAGAGCTGTTGTACTGAAACTTATTTTGATTAATTCTGACCCTAAGGTCAAGTTTCGAGTTTTTCGGACAAAATTCAAAAGAGGGGTGAAGATTTTCTCACTGTCCTGCACTGTTAGCGGCTTCTGGGCGATATCGTCTGATACGGCCGATGATTTCCGGTAGATTTGAAAGGGAACTGCTCATTGTATGGAGCTTTTGAAAGATTATCGAATTCTTTTCGAAACATGGGTTCATTTTGAACAGCATTATTTTTGACAATTACCTTCAAAACGGCTGTGCCCTTAGCGTCGCCTAAAAATTGCACTCCCCGAAGCCCACTCTCATTCGATCTATACCTCTGTTCGACACCTATCCATATGTAACTTTTACCTAGGTACGTCCGGGACCCCCGAGCACGCCACTGGTCGCGAACGCTTAATCACCTGTGAGATTGTAGGTACTTGCTACGCGACGTAGCCTGTCGGATGAAGTACACCCGTCCGCAGTAGATCCCTCCCAATTGCTAAACTTGATAGCTCTCGGGTCGTGCTGAGATCAAGTGATTTTTTTTCTTTCAGTTGCCGGGCCGCATGCTGAAGACCGGATCGTGCGGGACTCCACAGAATATCCGTGGTAGAGTGCGACTCGGTGGCGAATTTCGAGAGCAGCATGGCTCAAGAGACCGGCAGCTCTATCTTGCAGTACCTTGCGGCCGCTTCAGGTAAGTCGATTTGGTTCTAGCGATTTCGAGATATTTCCGTGGGTGGTCGCAGACACGTGGATTCGTCCGCGAAATCCTTACATAATATGCAAATGTTTCGAAAGTTGCAAAATAAATTCAATGTTCCTTGTTCTACTTTCCTGCTGTTGCAAAAATAATGTATTTGATTCTAAATTCAGTTTGGTTATAGTGAATGAATTTTTGAATCAACTCGTAATATTCCATCCATAATGTAATTACTAAATGACTGTAAGTTCATTGGGTATATTAGAGTTCTTTTTAATTCAGTATAAAAATGGTTTATTTTCCTTCCTATTGGTTTCGGGTATTATGCCATCATCAGGGAAGAAGAAAAATGACAATCATTGGAAAAGGAATAGCTGCATAAACTACTAACAAATAACATTATAATTTTTAATTAAATATGAAAATATCAGTAATTTTTTTGTAAACTTTTAAATCATCGTGACAGATTAAGGACAAGTAAATCTGTTCTAATAATTTATGATGATTAGCCGAAACTAATAGAAAAAAAAAAATAAAACATTGTTATACTGAATTAAAAGGGACTCTATTTATTCGATTATAATATGTAGTTAGAATTAAATAATACCCATGGAAGAATATGACTGAACATTAACATTTTTGTTTTCATTTAATTCGATTTCCACCACATTGAAAAGAAACATGTTTTAAATAAATAACCACTTGTCCCAAAAGGATCAGTTAGGAGTTGATTTTCTAAATTTAGTTTTGTTATTAACGTTTCAAGAAACTATGTCACCCAAATTGACATTTTTTTTGTTTACCTGCTGTTTACCTCTCTATAATAAATACAATATTTATTACTTATCCCATAATTGAGAATACTCAACCAAGATCCAAACCTTAAGGAATTGTTTTAAATACCGTTTAGCAAAAAAAACACTCATTTATTGAAATTTTTGTAGATTCATAGTTGATAAGAATAGCAGGATGTTAAACTTATCTCCATTTCTTTTTGTTCTTGCGAATTTTGCTAGGTTGGTGTCCTACCTTTGCGAATTTCGTTGATCTGTCTTTCAATTCGAGAGATTTCTGGTTGCTTATGTGTCGCGGTCATGGTCAAACGTGGAAGTGTTGCAAAACCTGTTGCCTGCGAGTATAGTAAACATTTCAATTAATTAATAGTATTTTATTATGCAGACCTGCGAATATTATAAATTCTCATTAACCTTGATCTGTCATAACTTTTTTCCTGAAAGCGGGTTACAGGTTTCAAAGACGGAACAGTTATTTCATAAAAACATATACAACACATATAATGTTAAGATTTCTTTGAAGGTGGCTGATTCGAATTAAACTGAAAAATTTCATACCCCAAAAATTAAATCGAATATATGCGAATTTAAGTACTTAGCACATTTTGGCTTAGCTCTTTCTAACAGTGGTCAAATTACTGACTACAGTCGTTGACTTCCGAACCGCTTGTTGTTAGTCAAAAGAATATAATTGTTATTGTTAAAATGTATGCTTTGTTACTATGAACTGTACGAAGTGAATCTAATTTTCATCCAAGTACCTATAATTTTTTCATTTGAGCAGTATTAAGAAAGGTACAAGAGCTTTTTGAATAATTTCTTTTCGCAGTCAAAAGTTTTTTCCCACAATACCATTGGTTAAAAAAAAATACTTGAAACGGCCTGTATTTAGCCATAATAGTAACAAGTGCCAATATCTTCAATCATGCAACTTAATTTTTGTTGCGTTATTACCACAATATACATTTGAGTGTTGGTGGGAGGTCATCGATATGAAAATTCTTGTTGATATCAATGTTTTCTTTAATATCACAATATTTATAAACATACACATCCATATTTACAAACATTTATTTCCTCGGTACAAATGCTACGAAGAATGACTTCAGAATTGATAAGGAATAACTAATAATAGCAATAAATATAATTGTAATTTCTTTTGCTTTTGCATAAGTTCATAAGTAATATTTTCTTGATTAAATATTAATAATGTATAATTTACTAGTCCACAGAAACATAGCAATTTCTTTGTAATTACAGTTTCGTTGGTATATTTTTTAATACTTGTATAATTACGACATATCGGCCACTTCATGATAATGATAAAAGGCATAAAGTAGAAAAAACATATTTTCTTTGTTCTGTAAAATTATTTATTGATCTTTTCACATTGGTTTCAATAAACATCCAAATCCAAATATTTTTAAATTAACTAGGTACTATCAATCTTCAAAAGGTGACATGTTAATCTTTACGCAAATTTACGTATGTTTTCATGTTATTTCCAATTATGGACATATTAATTACTCAGAATTGTTTTTATTGTTTTGTTGTTGTTTTGTCTTATTATTTTAATTATAACCGTAATTATACCTAATTTGAAAAATTTTTAAATACTTACCGTTCATTGTGTGATGAAAAACTTTTGCAGAACTGCTTCAATTTAATAAAAAATGTAAAATTTTCTGTTGAAACATTTTTAAGTGGATATTTTGAGTGTATGTAAGATATAACATACAAAGTATATTATATGTTAATTATCAGTGCTACTTCATATCTACTGATACAAAGAATCGCTTTCTATATGCTGGCAGAGAGCGACCTGCTGATCTGTAATATATAAAACTATATTTAATTATTAACTTGTTAGTATGTAGGTTATATCTCAACACTCACATGTCCGTAGACAGACATCTAAAAAAACTATGTATAACTATCTATACTGGGTAAGGCTGTAATCCGCAGAGTAGTCGTTTCCCACAACATCATTCGCTTTATTGATATTTTAATATTTTAAGTATGCAGTTATTTTTATCTATCCATAATTTACATAATCTATTCAACCTGCTTAATGAACTTACACAATAATCTTTAATTTTTATTACTTTAGAATTTCTGCACTTGTTATCAGAAATAAGATAATATCTTAATAAAAAAAAATCCAGGTACTAAAGATATGAGAGCACTACAATACGTGAATCCCTTTTATGATGTTTTTGGCCGGTATAAATTCAATAAAGGACGAACTATTTTCCATTAGCTCATCTGTCTGATATCAAGTGGGTGATAAGTTCTGATTACAGCTAGATTAACGAGATAAATTTTTATCTAAAGTATATGGTGATAGATTAGCCAAAAATTAATGAATGACTTTGAAAGAACATATTTTTTGTCGGCATAAAGAACCTTGGAAAATATATACTAATCTGTCATTAACTTTTGTACCTACTTTTCTTCTCTTAAGATTAACTATATATTTAAATCGTCAAATGAATTTATTTATGTCCTTTGATTATCCTGAAGGCTCTACAATTTTTCAAATATTGCTAGCGAAACACAGTAATTATTCAAGAATTCTTAGACCTCTCTTAATTCCGAAGCCACTGATTGTTTTTTTTTTCAAATTTTATATGAAAGTAACTGCGTTATACCAAGTTTAATCAACCAAAAATTGTCTCACTTCCAATCCTTGAAGGATAAACTCCGTACCATCGATCATAGTGGAGTTATTATTGAATAACATTGCATGGCATCAAAAATTCAAGTGCTATGTTTCAATAATATTTTAACGATTACAATTAATGTAGTAATTTATTGTAGGTACGAATAAAACAGTCAAAGTTCATTACTAGATTATACGCTAAGTTAAAGTTGATCAATTACAACAATTACAGGATTTTTTCATCTCTAGTTGTTTTCTCAAGAACTCAATTTAGAACATTTATGAAATATGAAAGACCGTCTGTAGAAAATGATGTTCACTGTATGCAATATTTGAAAGAATTTAAATAGCACTAATAATAGAATGATACGAAAAATTTATTAAACACTGACGACCTTGAGTAATTTTCCTATTTATATTACTAATTACTAGCTACATAGTACTTTTTAGCGTATTTTTATGCGAATATTGCTTAAATGGACTGTTATTAATGTTTGTTGAATGTGACACATTGAAGAAAATATGCTAATCCTAAATCTAATTTTAAATAATGCACAAATTATAACAATACCACTTTTTATGAATAAAGGAAGCCTTGAGAAATATTCCTGCTGTTAATTGATTTGTCAAAATAGGTAAGTGCCTGTTTCTTAATAAAAACACAGGCGTTTTTATTGGTATGTAATTAATATTTATTTACTTTTTGTTGTTTACAAAAATAAAATGAATGACTTTAACATTTGCTACAATAATAATTAGATAAATTGTATCTTTATCATACTCGCAATACCAAACCGAAGCTATTTAAAATTTAAACACGTATTTCCTGTAAAATAAGCAATTAATTGGAAAAGTTCCTTGATATTTTACCTTCAGACAAGTTACATTATTTGTTCATTATTTTAAAAGCCAAATAAAAAAATGTGGCGGCAATATTCAAACTTGAGCTAAAGTATTTGGAAATTTAAAGCGAAACGAATTTTTAAAATGTACAATTGTATACAGGTTCGGAAAGTCCCCATGGTTCATCGGCCGTTACGTGAGAACGATAAAGTAAGTCATAGAAATCCGTGCGATAGAGAGGGATGGCTATAATGAAGGCGTCTCATAGTCACCGCCCGTTTCACTCTTCCACAAATAAGATCCACTTCCACTTGTAATTCAGCGACCGGTGGTCATCTTTGTTTTTGTCGTTTGCCTTTTCTATAATAGATGTCACTACTTATACAATTCCCACTTCGTATTCCGATATGTTAATACGATCCGTTAACAGAGGGCAGCACAATTTGTCTAAGGTGAGGCGCAGCCCTATCGCATGGATTTCTATGACTTACTTTATCGCTCTCACGTAACGGCAGATGAACCATGGGGACTTTCCGACCCTGTATATTATCTGTGTAGGAAGGGCCTGTACGAAAATATTTTATAGGAATTTGTCATCTTATTTTTTCATCTTCTATCTGCACCCGAGAGATTTCCCACATTTTTCTGGATACCCTGTATAGTTAGACAGGCCTATCTCCAACTGATCATACAGAAAAATTTCTTTTAGCTCTTGCTGGCACTATCTTATCTGGTTCAATAAAATATCTACCTACCTTTTTGCTCCTTTGCATTTTAAATTTTAACATCATAACTTGAAGTATAACTATATTATGTAGATTGGCAGGATTTCACAACACCGAGAATCCCAGTAACCCACTTATGAGGGGGCAATGTATTTAAACTTGTTTTCTATATAAAAAATCGTTAAAAACGTCGTAAACATACAGATTATATAACCGTGATAAATTTTTAATTAATTATTGTTAATTTACGTGTGAATGACCTTAATGTTTGCCAATTCGCCGATATTTATGTAGCAGAACATGTTACGCAAATTTCTCTCGGCTTTAACAGGAAAAGGCTGATGTAAGTTGACATAATATTACTAGTTTTTTGTTAATCGGAATGTCATGTATTAAGAAATGAACATATAATCTTTATTATATAAACAATTAATTAAGATATAGTTAAACCCATAATCAAGTCACAATTTCAATGACTTTTTAGGTTACAATTACGGTCTATACATTACAAACAATTTAAAGAATATAGGTACATTTAATAATAGGAGTGGTTTTAACTTTACTGTCTTTTGTAAAAAGTTTTACTATGGACGCTTTTTTTAGGCAACCTTGCCATAGTGACGGATGGCATGCACTATGGATGGCCCTCCCCAACCCTTATCCAGTTGGTGAACAACACCAACCATACGCTGGGTATGAGCAATGAAGAAGGAGCCATAATGGCTGTGATGCCCCTCATAGGGGCTATATTAGGTGCCTTAACTGCCGCTAACATAGTAGACCTTTTCGGAAGGAAGAAAACCATCTTGGGAACGTCCATACCATTCTTCATTGCGTGGATAATGATCGCGTTTGCAAAGAGCGTCCTGGTGTTGCACATTGCTAGGTTCGTATGATTTATTTACGCTTATGCGAATTAATAAAATAGATAATCCTGCATATGCACATAAAATTACGTAACATCCTGTCTCAGGGTGTTTTGGATTAGTTGAAACCAAAACGCCATCGGTTTTCGAGAAAACGATTTTCGAGATTTCAAATTGACTTGATCTGTGTTCTATACATCTACATCATACATCTTCAGGGATATCCGAGTATTTATTTATTTTTTTATTTAAACACCATTTCATCTCAAAACCAACGGCTTTAGATTCGTGGTTCATTAAGGCTTTTTAGTGTGAAATTTTCTATGACTTCTAACACTTTATATACTGTAGGAACAAAACTATTTTATTTATTACATTGTTGCAGGTTTATCGCAGGAGTAGCTGACGGAGTGACATTTACGGTAGTCCCCATGTATATAGGTGAGATTTCGGATGCCAAAGTGAGAGGCCTTCTCGGCTCCAGCTGCTCGGCTTTGTGGATAGGGGGGTTCCTGCTTATTAATGTGATAGGGTCTTACTTAAGTATAAGTACCACTGCCTTAGTCTCGTCTTTGGTGCCGCTTCTGGCTTTTATTACGTTTATTTGGATGCCCGAAAGCCCTTATTACCTCCTGATGAAGAACAAGATAAAAGAAGCCAAACAGAGTCTGAGGAAGTTCAGGGGAGTAGAAAATGTTGATGAGGAGATAGAGAGGATGAGTACTTACATTCAGACAAAGACGAGAAAGACGGGACGATTCTTGGATTTGTTCCTAGTTAAATCAAATAGGAAGGCTGTGTTTATTGTTGCTGGACTGAGAGGTAATATAATTTAATTTTTCACCGATCGACATTAAAGGCCTAGACAGTCCTCAGATAGTAAAAATTTGCTTAACATTTTCGCAAAATTTAAAATATTTTTATTTTGATAGTATGAAATCAACGTTACATCTGTTAAAAGCAAGAAATAAAAGAAAAACGCGTTGTTTGTATTAATCGATACTTTTTTTCAGGTTTTCAGCAGTTCAGCGGAACGACAGCCATATCCTTCTACGCTCAAACCATATTTAAAGAGGCAGGCGATGACATCTCACCTCAACACGCCTCCATGATATATTTCACTGTGATGTTTCTAGTTACGATAGTTTCCTCCGGCATAGTAGACAAGGCGGGAAGGAGGCCCCTCCTCATGATATCAATGGCAGGTGCTGCGTTCACCCTTCTTCTGGAGGGCACTTACTTCTACATCCAGTCTCAAACTGACATCGACACCACTCCTTTCGACTACATGCCGGTGGTAGTACTTATTGGTTTTGTGATAGTTTTCAGCATAGGCATGCAGAGCATTCCTATTTTAATGTTAGGCGAACTGTTTCCGACTGGTGTTAAAGCTTTCGCTTTGTGTCTGGCAGACGTCTATTATAGTATAGTAGCTGCGATTGCGTCCAAATTCTTGCAGGTGATGAAGGACAATTACGGAATGTATTTTGCATTCTACGGTTTCTGCATATTTTCTGTAATTGGTCTGCTGTTTATATATTTCTTCGTACCCGAGACCAAGGGTAAAAACCTGGAAGAGATTCAGCGGTACCTCCGGGGTAACACTCCCGATCATAGCAAATGTAATAAAGAAGAGTATGTAAAAGTGTAACTTATGGTGCTTTAGTTTAATGAACTTAATTTTTGATATGAAATATGTATTTTTAAAAATATTAAATCGTTAATAAATAATTTATTACTAATTTATTAATTAATTCCCTTCCCACTATAAACGGGGTTTATTTAAATGAAAGACTACAAATTCTACCAGATAATATTTATAATATTTTGAGTTTTGTATTTGCCAGTACCTTCACAGATTCCCTTAATCTGTGTACCGTTGTCAGTTCCTCAATAGCTAAAGTAGTTTTCAACAAAATTTTTATTATTTCGTTCCAATTTCATTCCAATTTTTGTTAGGTAGGCAACATGCAATACATTACATATATATACAAATATATATACATGCTTGTTGAAATATATACTATATCAGTTACGCTGATGTAATCCGTTTTTTGTAAGTTGCTTTCCTGAAGAAAAAAATTTAATGTAATTGTAATTTGCCAGTATGTATAGTTTAGAGAATTTTTTCAGATTTTTCCGAGCTCCAAAAATATTTTTTTTGAAAAAGCGATTTTGTCAAAAATTTAGGTAAACGATAACGGCCCTGACCAATCCAGAACTACTGTCACTTCCTCTCTAGCTTCTCCAGTTTTCAAGATTTTTTATTATATTCCTTACAGTTCATTTTGTTTTTGTTTGGTAGGCAACATACAATACAAGCATTTGTATACTTGGCTGCATAATAATTCATAAAATCGCCTTAGAAGCACTCTTTAATTTTTTCACGAATTTCATGAAAATTCTCAAAACATTAGAATGCCATCTAAAGATGGTACCCCGTAGCCAGTTTGAGCCACAGAATACGCAGATGTAGTTCCTTATTCTGTTAGTTAGTGTAATGAAGGAAAAAATTGAATATCTCGAAAATTACGCGAGCTAGAGAGAAATTCCTTTTAGTTTTGGATTTACCAGTGCCGTTATTGTCTGGAGGAATTTTTTCAGATTTTTCCGATCCCCTAAAATTTTTTGTCCTAAAAAATCGATGCAGTCCATCGATTTTCTCAAAAATTTTTAGGACCCAGAAATTTCTGAAAAAATTCAGGTAGGCAATAACGGTCCTGACCAATCCAAAACTGCTGTCAGTTTCTCTCGAGCTTCTCCAGTTTTCCAGAATTTTCATAATTTTCCTTCCAGTTCCAAAGCTTTTATTAGGTAGGCAACATACAATACATGCTAGTGTATAGTTGGCTGCATAAGAGTTCCCAAAAGTATTATATAATTATGGATTATGGGTAAATACATTAAATACAAGCAACAGAACTATAAACAAATCTTTGTCTATTTATAGAGCAGTAATTTAATTGCCGTATTTTCTATTATAGCTTAATAGTTCACAGGAAAATGACATGGGAACAATACATCTCACCTATGCAGAAAAACATTGGTTCTTACTCGATACAACCAGTGCGATCACGTTAAGGAAGTAATTTTTCATTCTGCTCCGTATGTATAACAATATATTCTCAAAGTTGAGACAAACCGGCTTTTAGATGAGCACTTTGATTATTTGGTAATGTTCATGAAAATTATTAACCTTAATTCTTCATGATAAATTAAAATGCCGTCGAAAGACACCACCCTATCTAGTTTGGGTTGCAGAATACGCTGATATAATCAGTTTTTTTGAGTTGCTTTCCTGAAGAAAAAAATTGAATCACTAGAAAATCACGAGAGCTAAAGAGAAATTCATTTCAGTTTTGGATTTGCCAGTACCGTTATAGTTTAGAGGAATTTTTTTAGATTTATCCGAGCTCCAAAAATTTTTTTCCGAAAAAGCGATTTAGTCAAAAATTTTTGTAACTGATTATTCTGAAAAATTTAGGTGGACAATAACGGCCCTGACCCATCCAAAACTGTTGTCAGTCCCTTAATAGCTTCGCCAGTTTTATATATTTTTTATTATCTTCCTTCCAGTTCCAATGCTTTTATTAGGCAGGCAATACACAATACATACGTCTGTATACTTGGCTGCATAATAATTCCTCAAACCGCCTTAGAAACGCACTTTAATTTTTTCACAATTTTCATGAAAATTTTCAAAACATTAGAATGCCATCTAAAGATGGTACCCCGGATCTAGTTTGGGCCGCAGAATACGCCGATGTAGTCCCTTATTCTGTTAGTTGCTGTAATGAAGGAAAAAATTGAATATCTCGAAAATTCGGCGAGCTAGAGAGAAATTCCATTTAGTTTTGTATTTACCAGTGCCGTTATTGTCTGGAGGAATTTTTTCAGATTTTTCCGAGCCCCTAAAATTTTTTGTCCTAAAAAATCGACGGACTGTGTCCGTCGATTTTCTCAAGAATTTTTAGGACCCAGATATATCTGAAAAAATTCAGGTGGGCAACAACGGCCCCGACCAATCCAAAACTGCTGTCAGTTTCTCTCGAGCTCCTCCAGTTTTCCAGATTTTTCATAATTTTCCTTCTCGTTCCAAAGCTTTTGTTAGGTAGGCAATACACAATACAAACTATTGTATACTTGGTTGCATAAGAGTTCCCAAAATTATTATATAATTATAGATTATGGGTAAATACATTAAATATAAACAACACAATTATAAAGAAATCTTTGTCTATTTATAAGCACACTAATTTAATTTCATTACTTTCTATTGTAGCTTAGCAGTTCACAAAAAAATGACATGGGAACAATACATCTCACCTACGCAGAAAAACGTCGAATCTTCCTCAATCCAGCCAGTGCGATCACGTTAAGGAAGCAATTTTTCATTTTTCTCCGTATAACAATATATTCTCAAAGTTGAGACAAACCGGCTTTTAGAGGGGCACTTTATTTATTTGGTACTTTTTCATGAATATTCTCAAAAAATTAAAATGCCGTCGGAAGACGGCTTCGTATCTAGTTTGGGTCGCATAATACACTGATGTAATCCGATTTATTGTGTTGCTTTCCTGCAGAAAAAAATTGAATATCTCGAAAATCACGCGAGCTAGAGAGAAATTCGTTTCAGTTTTGGATTTGCCAGTACCGTTATGGTTTAGAGGAATATTTTCAGATTTTTCCGATCCCCAACAAATTTTTTTCCTAAAAAATCGATTTTGTCAAAAATGTTTAGAACTCTGAAATTCTGAAAAATTCAGTTAGACAATAACGACCCTGACCAATCCAAAACTGCTGGATTTTTTATTATCTCCCTTCCAATTCCAAAGCTTCTGTTAGGCAGGCAACACACAATACATCTTTGTATACTTGGTTGCATAATAATTCCTAAAACCGCTTAGATGCACCAATTTTTTCACGATTTTCATGAAAATTCCCAAAACGTTAGAATGCCATCTAAAGATGGCTCCCCGTATCTAATATGAGCCGCAGATACGCCGATGTAGTCCTTTATTCTGTTAGTTGCTGCAATAAAGGAAAAAACTGAATATGTTGAAAATTACGCGAGCTAGAGAGAAATTCCTTTTAGTTTTCGATTTGCCAGTGGCGTTATAGTCTGGAGGATTTTTTTCAGATTTTTCCGAGCCCCTAAAATTTTTGTCCTAAAAAATCGATTTTGTCAAAAATGTTTAGAACTCTGAAATTCTGAAAAATTCAGTTAGACACTAACGACCCTGACCAATCCAAAACTGCTGGATTTTTTATTATCTCCCAATTCCAATTTTTCACAAAAATTTTTAGGATCCTGAAAATTCTGAAAAAAATCAAGTGGGCGATAACGGCTCTGATCAATCTAAAACTGTTGTTAGTTCCTCTCGAGCTTCTCCAGTTTTCAAGATTTTTCAATTTTCCTTTCAGTTCCAAAGCTTTTGTTAAGTAGGCAACACACAATACATACGTGTGTATATTTGGCTGCATAAGAGTTCCCAAAATTAGTATATAATTATAGATTATGGGTAAATGCATTAAATATAAACTATAAAATTATAAACAAATCTTTATCTATTTATAGAAAAGTAATTTAATTTGCGCATTTTGTATTGTAGCTTAACAGTTCACAAAAAAATTATATGAGAACAATACATCTCACCTACGCAGAAAAACGTCGGATATTCCTCGATCCAGCCAGTGCGATCACGTTAAGAAAGCAATTTTTCATTCTAATCCGTATAACAATATATTTTCAAAGTTGAGACAAACCGGTTTTTGGATGAGCACATTGATTTTTTGACAATTTTCATGAAATTTCTCAAAAAGTTAAAATGCTGACGAAAGATGGTACCCTATCTAGTTTGGGTCGCAGAATACGCTGATGTAATCCGTTTTGTAAGTTGCTTTACTGAAGAAAAAAATTGAATATTTCGAAAATCACAAAAGCTATAGAGAAATTCATTTCAGTTTTATATTTGCAAGTACCATTATACTTTAACGGAACTCTATTAGATTTTTCCGAGCCCTAAATTTTTTTCCAAATTTCTTTAGAATAAAAAGTAATTTAAGGTTCAAACTAAGTCCAATTTATAGCAAATCTGTGTTAGAATGTGGGGAAAGTCTGTTATTTGTGCATTAATTCCTATTTAGACAAACAAATCTATAAAAATGTATTACTGGTTGCCTATTCGCGATAAAATAAGAAAATAAAGACAAATTTTAATTTTCATTTATTTTCATTCTTAGGATCTCTTAATAATTGGCTCAAAATAATATTACAATAAAGGAAAGCATTAATTCTTTGCTTCCTGCACTTTCACCTTCGGCGGAGGTTGATCAGTCAATATATTAACGATTCCTTCGCATCCCGCATGCACAGTGTAACGTATATCCAATACGTTCCTTGTCGTCAAGGTAGATTGGACTTCCTTTTGTTTTAGAGCTATAGAGATCGCCTCTTCCTCTTGCAGTCGCTCTAAATCCTTTCTTGGTATTTTCACAACGGAATTCTCAAAACCGTTAACCTGAAAGACATATTATATTGCAAGCAAAACATTTCATCCAAAACCATAACACAAACCTGACACACAAGATCCAAATTATAGTCCATATCGGTTTCTGGCCACGTCTGTTCAAACACCGATTTATCCCAACGAATTTCCTCAGAATTATTTAACCGATTAGGGGCAGCTATAAATCCGCTCCACAATTCGGACGCAAAGTAAGGCGCCATCGGGGCTAATAAAATTATCTGCGTTGCCAAAGCTCTTTCGAACTGGAGGCCGTACGCAAAGATAGCAGGTGGGGATTTCTGTTAAACAAATCGAAAATTAATCAGCACTGGTAAAAAAAATCAAGATATATTCACCCTAAGACTGTTGGTAAGGCCTTGCTGTTTAGAAACGGCAACGCTGAGCTGTTGAGAGATCAGATAGTTGAACGACGTCCCTTTGATGTAGTAATTCCTGGAATCAAACATGAAATCTTCGTGAGAACGAAACTGATCCTCGGGAATCCGAGGGGGTAAATTGGTTCTGTGTTTCAAGAAGTCCCTAATCGTTAACCACAACCTTTTCTGCCAGTTTAAAATGCCGGGGAATGCTGGAAAATTACATAAAAAAAACATGTGCGTTTAACTGCATTCGTTTAAAATAGTTACTGTTGCTGTTCCAGTTTCTATGGGAAGTGGGAGCGACATCCGCTAATATTAGCAACCTAGTAGTATCGATGCCATAATTTTTGAACATGTCGTCGGGATCGACCCCGTTGAATTTAGACTTGCTCATTTTCTCCCAGGAAATATTAACCGGTTCGCCCGTTTCCTTAACCACGGCCTTGTTTCGTTTCAAGTCTGCAAACATCGGGAACTATTGCTAGTTTATAAGGGAATTTATATTCCGCAATGGGGATATGCTTACCTAAAATGTTTACCTTGGTCTCGGGTAAGTATTCACCGGTTCCCTTTACTCTAAAACTGCGGCCCATCACCATTCCTTGCACCAGCAACCTTCTGAAAGGTTCTCTTTCCGGTAGAAGACCCAGAGAATGCAGGAAATGGCTTACGAACCTTGCATAATATAAGTGCAACACCGCTGCAATATTTCTCGTTAAAAATAAAATAACTTACATACAGTATCGGACAAAATAGCGTATACGTCATTAAAGGCGCGCCCCTGTCGATAACAGAACTTTATTGACTTATTCTTTTTTTGGAATCTGTACAAAGCATTTAGTTCATATACTGACAAGTTAATGGAAGTAGCTCTAACTTTGTCCGAAGCTGTATATACCAACAATTTATAAATCCAAGAGGTATTATAAATATCCAATATTATTTACCGTGTTCCTTTCCTCCTATGTATAAATCTACAGGAGTCATTCTCCTGGTTTTCTCCTCGTCGAACATTTCATTGTTGTTCTTTGGATCCAAATATCTCAAATAGTACCAAGAGCTGTCGACAAACGTATCCATTGTATCAGTTTCTCTCTTCGCCGAACCTCCACATTTGGGACAAATCGTGTTAATGAACTCCTTAACCTCTGCTAGCTGTGAACCGCCCTTCTGACTTAGTTTAGTCAATTTAGGTAACTCCACAGGTAAGTTCTCTCTCGGTACAGGTTGGGTACCACATTTTTCGCAATGTATAATTGGAATAGGGGTACCCCAATATCTCTGTCGAGAAATCAGCCAGTCACGTAGCTTAGCGCTAGTCCAGTAACCACCGATGTTCAATTGTTGCGCTTTTTTACAAACCGCTTCTTGTTGGCGCTTAATCTCTTCTTCAACAATAAATTTAGGGATGGCACCGTAAGGTATATTATATTTTATGGCAAATGTTTCTGCCTGTTCTTGTGCACCAGGAATACCTAAGAAACGGTCAAAAAGTGTAACTTTTGCCTCGGTAATATTTAAAAATAACTTACCCACAAAGGTATCCGTTCCTGGTAAAAATTCAACATCATTAGTAACATACACCGGTAACTTTTCACTATTAAACGGATTTTCCAATTCGACATTAAGTTTCACTGTCCGTTCGCCACTTTTTACCTCTTTCTTTGCCAAAATGTGACCGTTACTGACTGCCACGAATTTAGCATGTTCAATATACTCAGGCATATCAGTCCACAAACTTACATTATCACCACCATCACATATTTTAAAGTCAAAATGAACGCCGTTACATTTGCCTATCCAATGCCTTTGTAATTTTATAATATCTCGCCAGTCGTGTAAAACAGAATCATTCAGACCTTCAAGTAAGTCTTTAGCGAATTTTGTAGTTCTCACAAACCACTGTTTTAAAAGTTTTTTTTCTACCACTGCGCCAGAACGCCAGGAGCAGCCATTTTCATCCACTTGTTCATCTGCCAATACTGTTTGATCAACAGGATCCCAATTGACCAAAGCTTCTTTCTGGTATACCAACCTAGTATAAAAAATTATCATAAATAATATTATAGTTTCTTGATACTCACCCTGCATTATATAGTTTTAAAAACAAGTCTTGCGTCCATTTGTAGTATTCTGGGTCACATGTAGCTAATTCTCGATGCCATTCAAAGCTGCACCCCAATTCTTGCAACTGTTTTTTCATGTAGGCTATATTTTGTTTCGTCCATTCTTCGGGTGCTATCTGTCTATCAATTGCTGCATTTTCTGCAGGAAGTCCAAAAGCATCCCATCCTATTGGATGTATAACCTTAAAAAGTACATGAACATATCAAATCATTTATATATAAAATACGTACACAATACCTACATTTTTACCATTCATTCTTTGATATCTGGCTATTGTATCACTGATAGTGTATACTCGTACATGTCCCATATGTAAAAAACCGGATGGGTATGGAAACATACACAATACGTAATACTTTTCCTTTGAAGTCTCATTCTCATTAAAATTTTCTACTTTAATTCGATTCCTCCAATGATTTTCTATCTTATGTTTAATTTCAGGTGAGAGTTCTTCATCCTACATTTAAAAATATTTCAATTAACTGGAATCCAAAAATTAAAAATAAAAAAAATTACCCATAAATTTAGACCGGATAAATAACGATAAGAAATATGTAGGTGCTTTTGGTAAATATTTTTCAAAAAATATGTATATTTAACTTTAAATAACATTTTGACATTTTTCTTTTATTTCATAACCTCAATCATCAGTGTCCCACTCACCAAATGCCAAACATTAAATTACAGAATTGCCATAACATCAAATTCCCGAATTGTTGATATGATCACATTAGTTGTTTCACATATTTGGCCAATCCGACAATCACCATTCGATCAGTTGCAATTAGCAGAATTAGCTGTAAGCGTAAATGAAATAAAATAAGGCGAAAAGAAAAACATAACCTAAAACGTAATTTAACGTCTTCGTCTCATCTCATATAGCAAATATTTGTTATTTGCTGACTTCTTCAATTGTATGCCAACATTTTCTTAAAATGTATGCATCTGGTAAACCACCAAATAAAAAATTTAAAGGTAGAATATTTATCGATATTCTGTAATATTTAATAGCATTTTATTTATTTGCATTATAGGTAAAGCCAAGATAGAAATAAAAACTGAAGAAGAGGATCCAAGCCCACAGATCCAAGGTAGAGATAATAGTATATTTGTCTTATTCTATTATTACATTGCTTGAAATTTTTTAGTCAATCGAATTCCAAGACTGTGCCCTTATCTTGATACCATTAACCGCCAGTATTTAGATTTTGATTTTGAAAAATTATGTTCAGTTTCATTGACGAGAATAAATGTATATGCTTGTTTGGTGTGTGGAAAGTATTTCCAAGGAAGAGGAACTAACACTCATGCTTATACACACTCAGTTGCAGAGGGACATCATGTTTTCCTTAATTTACAAACGCTAAAATTTTACTGCTTGCCAGATAATTACGAAATTGTAGGTGAGTATTCAGTCATTCCACGTTCTGCTGCACAGTTAAAATATTTCACTTTTAGATTCCTCTTTAGATGACATAAAATATGTTTTAAATCCTACCTTTACTGAAGAGCACATAAGAAATTTAGATTCCAGTACTAAATTATCAAGGGCTATCGATGGTTCTCTGTATACACCTGGTATAGTGGGGTTAAACAACATTAAAGCTAACGATTATTGTAATGTGGTTCTACAGGTATAGTATTTGCAGCTCCTCCGAAAACGTGTAATGAAATAAAATTTTAGGCTCTGTCACATGTTACGCCATTAAGGAACTACTTTTTAAGGGAAGAAAATTATAGTAACGTAAAAAGACCACCAGGTGATTCTGCTTATCTCCTGGTTCAAAGGTTCGGTGAACTTATGCGAAAGCTTTGGAATCCTCGAAACTTTAAAGCCCATGTCTCACCTCATGAAATGTTACAGGCTGTTGTATTGTGGAGTAAAAAACAGTTTCAATTTACGCAACAAGGTAAGACAATGCAGTTATAAATATCGCACCTATTTTATGCCATTTATTTAGGGGATCCTATTGACTTTTTATCGTGGTTCTTAAATGCGTTACACAGAGCACTGAATGGTAACAAAAAGAAAGACAGCTCGATTATTTACAAGTCGTTTTTGGGAAATATGAAAATTTACACGAGGAAAATACCTTCCACCGATCTTAACGATAAGGAAAAAAAAACTTTGTTAGCTACCGCTGAATATCAAGAAGTCATAACGGAGTCCCCGTTTCTTTATCTGACGTGTGATTTACCACCGCCGCCGTTATTTATAGACGAATTTAGGGAAAATATAATTCCTCAAGTAAGTAATAGAGTAAGCAAAGAACTTTGCTGGTGTTTAATTTTTAATTTTTTTTAAGGTGAATTTGTATCAGTTATTAACAAAATTTAATGGCCAGACTGAGAAGGAATACAAAACGTATAAAGAGAATTTTATGAAAAGATTTGAGATTACTCGACTTCCACCGTACTTGATACTGTATATTAAGAGGTTTACTAAAAATACATTTTTTATTGAGAAAAATCCTACGATTGTCAATTTTCCGGTCAAGTAAGTAAATATAATGTTAGAATGAATTAGGTTATGTGAGGTTAGATTTGATTTGATGATTTTTTTAGAAATGTAGACTTTGCCGAGTTTTTAACGCCAGAAGTAAAAGCAAAACATAAAAATACGATTTATGACCTAGTGGCAAATATAGTACATGATGGGGAACCAAACAAAGGTACGTACAGGGTGCATATCTTACAAAAGTCGACGGGTCAGTGGTACGAAATGCAAGATTTACATGTAACGGATATCTTACCGCAGATGATTACTTTGACGGAGGCCTATATACAAATTTATGAATTAAGAACATAGTTGTATTTATTTTGTACTATATATAATAATTTTAATAAAAAACCCTAAGTGTGTATTTTTCTTTCTATAAAATGAAACTTAAAACCACGCTGCACTATACAAATTCTATTTCGACTGCAGTAAACGCTAACGTTCCAATATAATGAAGCAGCGGCATAGTCAGCCATTTTTGTTTTGGAGAAGTATTGTTGACATTTATTTTTTCAAACGGCCTATAACGTTGTTACAGTTCACTCAAACTGGGTCATTGACACTGAGTTTCACGAACTAAACACAGTGCTTCAAATATCGTAAAATTACACAAAAGCAGTCTGTTAGAAATTTATTTTCCATCGCTGCCACCTCGTAGCTTCGTACAGTTGATTTAAAAACAACGCCAGTAAAATAAATATTTAACTAAAAAATAAAGAAATAAAGCTACGTTCCTCAACAGAGTTAATTTATTTTTAGGATATCGTTACAGACATCATAGTTATATATTCTCGTCTTACATTTTCTATATTATATTTTCGCATTTCCTGAAAGGGGGCGGTAAAGGAGTTATAACGGGAGGTATGTGAGCGTTTTCCCAGTAACCAGGGAATCTGTCTCCACTGGACATGTTACACTGCATACTTAAAGGAGCTTCATTGTACACCTCGTTCAAAAGTTGGACCCGCATTTTGTTCCATTTTATAGACTTGTAATTCTGGGATACTCCTTGATTGGTAGAAGTTGGCTGCCCCTCCCATCTATTTCAAAATTAAGAATTAAAATAGACACACGTTCCTGCTTAATTAATTTAATTATTTTCAGTCTCAAACTGTTCTTATAACTGTGACACATGTAACGGTAAACGGTAGCGATTTAACGGAGCATTTAACGAACAATTTTCTGTTAAATCGTTAGATGTATGACTACTACGAACACTAATATGAGTTATAAATAGATCTTACTCGTTCATGTATCGAAAATAAGTCTCCAAAGCCTGGTCACTGATAGAGCTCTTACATACTTCCAAATCTGTATGTGGATAATAATGGATGTAATTAACGCACATTTCGTCGGTTATTTCAAATCCTCCCAATGTGACGTTTTCCCTTTCTTCTGTGTTGTAGTCACATCTCGTTATCAAAACATGTCCCTGAAAATAGGAATAGATATAATCGAGAAATTTCTGAAGCTCGTGTAAAGTTCAACGTCACTACCAAATTTCAACAACATATTTGCTTTTACTCGAAATAAAACGAAAAGTGATACCACCGAACATTTTCAAAAATATTTAGGTACGTATGTTCTTACAGGTAAAACTTTGACAGGTTTCTTGAGTCTCCTGATTTCCTGGAAATGTGTACTGTAATGGTTGTCTCTATTCAATTCAGGCAACTCTTTTCCATAAGCGTCAAAATGTCTCGTATAGACACGAATTCCGGTTAAGTGAGTATGAAGTTGTGATCCAAAAATCGTTATTCCTTCAGTTGGTAGACCCTGAAAAATTGTTTTCTTCAAACTTGAAACTAAATTCAACTTGAAAGTTTTGTAAAAAAAAAATAATTTACTCGGATTTAGATTTGCTTGCATGTTTTGAATTTCTGTCGGGTTCACTTTTAAATTTGAATTTTCTACACAAAATTCAAAAAAAAAAAATTTAAAATTCCCACAGGTCATATAAAACTCATTTATTTCCTGATGGACTTATGTAATAAATTATCATGCATATTTTAAGTGGTACTTTTGCTATTCGTAGAATAGTCCAGAAGAGAATGGGTAATAAAAACCATTACCATTGAGGTGCAAGCACTGGTGCAGTAACCGGTAAGCGGAAACGATTCTTGACCGGGTGGGATTATCATTTTATCAGTATATTCCAGTCCCAATTCAATAACGCCAGCGTCCACCTTCTTCAGTTTCGTCGAAACGTGGAATCTTACACCTGAACTGTCGACGAAATCTAAAGAAGAGAAAATGATGCTATATTTTACTGTTGCACAGTTGTGCACCCAGAATGAATTTGAAGGATGCTAAATTCGATTGGAGTTTTACTTTATGATAAAGCTATTAATATTTACTTTTTATTATGTGACATATTTTATTCTGGAGATCGTCGATAGATCTGCTCTTATAAACAGTATTTTAAATGTAACTCAATAACAAAAATCGAGAGGATTAAGATCCAATGATCTCGCTGGTCAGTCTATCGGCCCTCGTCTTGTTTATAAATAAATTTTTTTGTTTAATAATTCTTAATTAATTAGCTATATCTCAGAGATTTGTATATTTTTCTAAAAATGTGTTAAAAAATGTAATGTTTGATTTAAGAAATATATCGATGACGTTACGAGATATTCAATGGCACCGAAAGACCAAAAAAATAAAGATCGACTTGTCCGTAACAAATCAGTTCTTTAAGAAATATCGAATCTATGCTTTATTTTATAACCATGTACAATTTACTTACCTGCTCTGTGTTCCGGATTATTATAATGAATCTCTAGCATAATGTAGGGATTAAAGTTTTCGCCTCCAATGGGTAAAGCAGCCTCCTAAAAAGTTTTAAATGTCAGGTACATAAGAAATTTGTATAATTTCAGTATAAATTCGATTATTCGAACTTTGGTGATCCAAATCTTTCGATTTCTAATTTTCTAAGAATATTGTTGTGGAGTCGGCAGATGATGATGCTCATTCACAGAAGTACGTGTTCATGAATCAATTCATTTCAATTGTAAAAATATGATTTATCGTTTATAATAAATCAATCGATTTTGCGATTGTTCGTGCTCGTTTTGTGCATATATGTGTATAAGGGAATATAACTATTAAAGTGCAACAAATGTTCGGTAGCGCGCGCTGGGCGCAGGGGTAGTCAGATCGGAGTGATTTTGGTGTCGTATAGGTTGAACCTTTTTCTGTTCAATTATCCAAATTTTGTTTCACCAAATGCGGATAATTGAGTTTATACAGTATTTCAATTTTTTTTTGTTTGGGTCCGATTACCATACATACCTCAGGGTATGTGAAAGGTGGAGCTCCCATGGCCCAAGCTGCCAAAACCCTTTTGCATACTTGAGTCTTTGGTGGTCTTTCCTTAGCGAAACAGTTGCCTATGTAGAGCGGAATTTCCTCATTAGCAGCTGTTTCACAGTGGAAAACTTCCATGTGATGGACTAGCCCTTGATTGCTCTCTTGAATATTAGATTCGTACTAAAATATATGACCAATATTCGAAATGAAGTACTTACGGGGGCCAAATCGACCACTTTTAATCTTGACCCCTTTCGTTTTGGCTGAAACTTTTTTATTGTTTTCTACCCCATTGAAAACCTCGTTTTTTCAAATTTTTTCACCCAACTCAAAAAAAAGTTATGAATTTTTTAAAGAAATACTTTTTTTTTAAATAATCAACTTTTTCAAAAATTGAGTTATCGGAACGTTTTTTTTTTCAAAATTTTTGTTTTTAAATGTACGTTATGAAAAAAATAGATCAAAATTATCTGGACCTATCTTCACTGCTTTTTTTTTAATTTTCGACAAAAACGAAAATTTCTCGATTAGCATTTTTGAAAAAAAAAATTTTTTCTTAAAAAATTTCGACATTTTTTATAAATCCCCAAATTTTTTCAGTGGTTGTCTTTTGGTTTCCTATTTTTTTTTTTGATTGAAAAAATTTTTTTTTTCACATTTAGCTTATTTCACATACTATTTTGAAAATTTTTTAAAATGTATATAAAATCCCAAAATTGAAAAAAAATATATGAAAGAAATAATTGAGTGGTAAACTTGAAAAAAAAAATTTTTTTTAAGTTAAGAAAGAAATAATATAGATGATTTAGATTCCACATTTTAGATTCTTGGATGGGTTATAAAATAACATATTCCCTTATTTTTAACAACGGCCATTTAAATTTTTCAAGGAAACTTACCTGATAAATATGATGCTTCGCGCTGTATTCTTCAGGCAGTTTGAAAACATGACACCAATAAGTGGTTTCGTCGGAAGGTACTTTGACCTTATCAGCTAGGATATCCAAAGTTTTCACATGCGACGGCAAATCAGACACCGCGTTAATATTTTTCAGTAGGTGAATTCGAACCATTCCGCTATCTTTGGGGGTTGAGCTTATATTTAAGCCGTTTACTTGGTATAATTTGTGTTTTCCTCTTGACCAAACTATATGGGTGGTTCCATCCTGGAAGAAAATAAAAAACCACAATCCGTAGATAGGTTTCAAAACTGTGATTATAAAAACAATTGAATTTTATATTTGGGATATATTTATTACATCTGAACTTTTTTAAAATAGAAAATAGGCAAATATGGTCAAAAAGTATGTTAATAATAAACTCTTTAGACTCTTTTGACCATATCTCTCTTACTATTAAATATTCACAAATATGTATATGTATATACAAGGTGTTCTGTCAAAAAATATGTATATCTTCGAAATGCAAAATATTTAATTATTTTCCAAGTACAGTTTTGAAACCACAAGAGAATTTTCTACGACTCACGCGTATATATATATTTTAAGTACGAAAAAGGCGAAAGGGCAAATATTTCCTAAAGTTAAAGAAACTTAGAAATCCAATATGAATCTTTTCTCTGATAATTAATTTCTATATCCTCTCACCTCAATGATATAGTCTTTTCTGTCGCAAGTATCAAACTTTCGTCTGTAAGTGAACTTAATGACGCCATTTCCTTTTTTATCTTTAAATCCATAGCAGTCCTGTTGCTTATCAAGGTAAATCACTCCCTGATCATTTGCGTATGTGTCCTAAAAAAAACTTTGGTAATTGATCTTTAATACAAATTTGGCATTTACAGGAAACCTAAAATATAGCATTTCATAGATCAAAAAATGTTTTTAACAAATTTATATTTGCTTGTTTAGAGAATTTTGCACGTTTCGTCAATTTATATATTCTACATTACCCTTAACGATAGCTCCCCCTTCTGATTTTCCCACAGAAGACAGTAGTCTGCAGGAAATAATTTCCCTCGGTCCGAGAAACCAACTGCGAACCATCCATAATCAGAAGGTAGGTGAATTTCAAAGATTATAGTGTCCGAACAATAGTCCAGGGTCCAATGTAATGAGATGGAGTTGTCCTCATTTAGAGAAACGTGGTAAATTTTATTTGCGTCTAGAAAAAAAATGTCTGCTATATGCTTAGTTTGTCAAATAAAAAGATGAAATCTTTCATTGTTAATTAATTCAAAATAAAAAGTTCGAATATTAGACACTTATTTAGTAACATTTCAAAGATTAAATTTCTTTGAAAATAAAACTTCTGTAATAGTAATAAGTGTAATTTTAAATAGGTATTCTGAATATTATATTTAACCTTACTTAGTATTTTAATATTAGGTACCTAACTCTCCAAATTTGTAACTTATTCCTTGTTTAATAAGAATTTTGAGGATCAAAAGATGTTTAGAAGAGACAAGTATATGTATTTGAACCGGTTCATGATATATCCAAGTTTTGTAGACAGCATATGCTAACAAATTCAAAAAAATATTTTACCTACAGAGTGTCCGGAAACGAATGGGCCGTACTTCAAGGACTGTTGTTTCCTTGAATGCAAATACGTTTCAGATCGAGTTATCTAAATACAATTTTACTTCCTTAAGCTCGAAAGCTTCAAAAAATTTGGTGTTAATAAAGTAACTTCTACATTTTTGAATCAGTCTTTACGCTGAAAAATTCAGTGACATTCAAACCGAAAGGCAACGTGAACAAATTACTCTGTCTCGAACTCAACACGATGATATTTCGCACGATAAAGTGGCAGCAATTTCCGAGGCAATGAAATTAATGCCCCTCATTAAATTTTATTCCAAGTGTATCTAATATCAATAAAACAAACTGGAATGGACCTGCCAAATAATATTCGCCGTACAACTCCTTATACAAGAATATTTTTACATACCTCTAGCCGATAAAACTTCGAAAAGAGCACATAAAACATAAGCTATGATACCGATTCCGACCATCTTTCACATAGTGTTCACTAATAGAGTCAGGACTATGCGTGAAGATATTTGAATTTGCCTTTAAGTATGGCAGAAACAAGCATGCGCCTGCAGGATAATTCGCGGCAGGTTTTTCGGCGAACGAGTGATTCGAATTTTGTGAATGGGTGCGAGGGTAAACTGCATATTCTTCGTGAGTGTTTATTAGCAGCAATAAAAAGTTGAAATAAAATTATAAACTTAGTCAATTTATTTTTCTATTTGTTTTAAAGGTATTGAAATAAAATCAAAATTTTATCGTATCAAAATTCAGTAGGTGTAACAAAACTGCATTAAAGCTTTTATTATTTGAAAATGAGAAACATCAATTTCTTTACGTAGCTGTGAAATTAGTGTCACATGCATTTATTCAGATACTTACATCCATGGCACACTTAACTCTGTATCATGAAACAGTTGAATTTCAAGAAAATATCACTAAAAAATTGAAAGGTTTAGAAAAATGTTGTACGTCACTAAATCATACACAAAAATGAAACAAAAAGTGTTTTTGACATACCTAACGAAAATCGGCCGAAAATTAATATATTTCTTAAACAAATCAAACCGAGATGCGATTCTAGCCATTCAATTTTTTCCTAAATGTGTAAAAAATTGCTCCACCCTGTAACTTTTTCACTTATTATTACTTAATCATAGAATAAAGTATACTGCAAACCAATTTATAGGGGTATAAATAGTCCTATTAATTCATAAAGGAGTTTTCAGAATGGCTAGATAACATTTTAGCAATTTTTAAAATAATTTCATTTTAAATTTACTTTACTAGTTTGGTCGTTTTCCTGGAGGGCTAAATTATTGGATCATTAGATATTCCCCTTGAGCATTGAGCGTCATATGAAATTACTTACCGTAATCCTTAATTGCATTTAAGACCTAGTTAATTAGCAATAACTATATTGCATTGCCTGAGGTTATGGTTACTTTAACTCAATTGGGTACCTATTAACCACGAACGCAAATCTGTAAATTCATCAGAAATATTTAATCGCAATGAATTTAGTGTAGCTCTTTTTTCATTTACGTTTTAAATTTCAGTTTACATAACAGCTCAAACACAATTATAGGTTGTATCTTTGCAAATGTTCATTGCAAAACACGAGGTACATTTTTTTACGGACGCCGAGATAAAGCTTAAAGGAATTTAATGAAGTGGAATATATTCCGCTGCTGAATTCCATCGACTATCGGACGAAAAGAGCCCGCGCGTGATCGCGTCTAAATTACATTCCTCCGCCATTCCTGCGATATACCCTGCTGGTGTCTTCATTATCTCTATTATTAATTCTTATTTTATAGGGGCTGATAAAATTTTATTACGCCTCAGGCTTTTCACTGCCTAGAATATTATTTTTAATCGAACTATTAAAAAGTCATTAAAATCAGTTAGCACAAAGACTACAAATATTAAATGAAGTTGATAATAACTAAGGAAGCAAAGAAAAATAAATTTAAACTGTCAAAAATTTTAAAACGTAACGTCGCTGCCACAAAACATATAATACACTGATGAATCTGCTTTTTTCAACTAATTTCATAAAAAATAACTAGACATCCGCAAGGATTTTTTTCCATGAATTTTTTAATGTTATTTCCAATAAATAAGAAAAAATTAACGCTATGCCACAAATAAAAAACTTCAGACAATATACCTACAACTTGTAACACCTACACATAATTTCTGATAAAAATGAAACTTAGATGCAACCCGCAACGCGTAGGTTAATTTTACAAAATTAAAAAATTGTTGCTGGTCCCATTTTAAAAATGTTTAAACATTTTCACTAAGTTAATTCAGTACCAACAATTGGTATTTGAAAAATAATTGTTATATTTTTACCTTTTTTACTTCCCTTAATTTTTTTGCACCGCGAATGTGATTGGTCAATTCAAGCATCTTTCGTTTTGTTTTAAAAGTGACACAAACCTACGAAGAGTAACGTTTATTAAATTTTGTTTTTACTTTTATGTCAAAATGGTTATGTAGTTTCCACATATATTAAGGAAATGTCCAACTTTTATTAAATAATACAACGTATTGATTATATTTTGAAATACCAGTTGGTTCTTGTCAAGAAAGTTACAGGCGGATTGTTAGTGTCGAAATTGGAATATCGTATTTTCTTTGGAAATAAACTCAAAACTGAATTAGCTATTTTCGGTTTTGATTTTGTCTGTCACAATAAGTAGGAATATTAACAAGTTTGAAGTTATTAACTGCTAATGGAGAACTATGAAGACTTTTCGTAAGTAACTTTTTAAGTAGGTATTTAATATTCGAATTTTTTTACTGAGGAAATTTAACAGGAATTAGATCATTACTGGATATAGTCTTGATATAAAAGGTGACAAATATTAGTATCTAAGTATCATAAATTATTGGATATAGGTATATTTATCTGACGACTAATCAACAGAAAAATACGAGGAATTATATGGAACACAAAATAAATTTGTGTTTTATAAATACTTTCCAGAAGTTATATACTTACATTTGAAATAATTTAAGATGCTTATACTTACGTTACAAAAAGAAGATAATGCAAACAGATAACAAATATCTCATCAGTGTATTTTATACCCACGTACCTTATCAGATTCTTCTAATCTTCATTTACTTATGAATAAGTACTGGACCTATAATTTGTGTAAAATGATTAACAAGTAATCATTGTGTTGATGCTGGATTAAAGCTAGTTATGCGTTTCGTTCAGTTGTGTGTACCTTGTGAATAACCTAATATGTATTTACTAAATTTAGAAAAATCTAAACTTCCTTCAAACATACCTGTAACATACTTAAGGTAAAAATAACCTTATCTCTCGCTTATCTTTTTACTTTTTGTTTATTTTCTTAATATCAAAAACGTAACGTGATTGTGAATTAAACAATAATTTTTAAACGTATATATTATAGCAGCCAGTAAATAATTTTTTTGGTGCATTCGAAAATACTTATATTTTGTATGAATGATTAAATAATGTGGTTTAGCAACGGATTCCTTTCCTTTATTGTTACCGTTTTAGTTAAAATAAAGCTGAAGTCACCCGATAAAAGAGAAGTATCTCAGCAAATACAATTCAAAAAGCAAAAAATGGGAAGTGATATTACTCTTAGGTAATATGCATGAGGTTGATCCTCTTGCATTTTTATTTATTTCTTAATATCGTTCATTGAAAATCATTTTATTTCTAGGGATTCCAAAAATATTCAAGTCAAATCAGTATCCAGAGTATACGCCGATGTCCTATCGAATAAACCGAACTCGTACTATGAATACGATAATTACTCCCCCCAGTTGGAAGACATAAACAGCTACAGCCTTATTCGCAAACTAGGTCACGGAAAATATAGCATAGTCTTCGAGGCTCTACACGACGAAAGAAACGAACGAGTGGTTATAAAAATGCTGAAACCGGTTCGAAAGAGGAAAGTGAAACGTGAGATAAAAATCTTGGAGTGTTTGAAAGGCGGCCCCAACATCGTCAAATTGTTGGCCGTTGTCGGTATCCCACACACCGACCTCCATGCTTTAATCTTTGAACAGATGGTCCACCACGAGGATTTCAAGAACATTTATTTGAAACTCAGTGAGAGCGACACTAAATTCTACTTATACGAGGTGCTGAGAGCCTTGGAGTACTGTCACAGTAGAGGAATCATGCATAGAGACGTGAAACCGCACAATATCATCGTCGACCAAGAGAATCGAAAGATCAGGTTGATTGACTGGGGCCTTGCCGATTTTTATCATCCGGGGCAAGAGTACAATGTTCGGGTGGCGTCGAGGTACTTCAAAGGCCCCGAGTTGTTGGTGGATTACGGGTTTTATGATTACTCCCTAGATATGTGGTCTTTGGGTTGCGTTTTTGCCTCCATGCTTTTCAGGAAGGAACCTTTTTTCCATGGAAACGACAACTACGATCAACTCGTGAGGATTGTGAAGGTGTTAGGTGAGTTACGCTTTTAGTAAATAGTGTGTTTGTGCTGTACTTCCTGTAAATCGATCAAATTTTTCGTATCTTCGTAAAATTGAAAGCATTGCTTAGCCAGGCTGCGTTTCATGGATCGAAACAACTCATCCGATGGAATCGGATCTGGTGAATATGGCGGGTGGGGCAAAACATCCCGTCTCAGCGTTTCTAAGTATTTTTTGACTTCAGAGCAACATGTGGTGTACTTTATCATGCCTTTGCTCGAACTGCAGCCAGTTTTCCTTCAATGCACGGCTCAAACGTTTCAATTGTGTTCGGTAGCGTTCACCAGTGACGGTTTCATTTGGTTGAGGCAGCTGGTCGCACCAAATACAAAGTATGAGCTTCGAACTATGAATATTCAGCCTTACCGTCGACGTTGATGCATGATCAGGCAAGTCCACGATTTTCTACGCTTAGGATTATCATAGCATATCAATTTTTCATCGCCAGTGACGATACCATGTAAAAACCCTTTCTTCTTTGCGTTGAAGCAATTGTTCACTCGTGAAAACTCGCTGTTCGAAATCTCTCGGCTTCAATTCATATGGGACCCAATTTCTTTGCCTTTGAATCATAGTGAGTGTCTTTAAACATTTGGAAACTCTTGTGCGATCAACATTCAACAAGTTCATAATGCGTTTGAAATGAATCTTGGTCAAGTAATGCTTTTTCGGTTGACAGTGCGTTCTTTGTCAAATGTATCGAAATCACCACTTCTAAAACGTTGAAACACACGTTTATATCGATGGAATATGTTCACTGTAAGTTTTTTAACAGCACCCCATGACTTTCAGCAGCACTTTTCTTTGAATTGAACAGGAAAAGTAAAACTTTCCGCAAACGGTGTTTGTTGACGTATAATACGACATCTTCGGAGCCTAATGATGAGATTTGACATAAATATAGTTACAAAAGGGTCCGATGCGATATAGCGTAAGTTACGCCGTCTATTGTGAATCCCTCAAAATTAATTCGCAGTCCTTGTATGTCCCCAAAAATGTCTTCAATTATAACCATTTGAATTAACAATGTAAAAAGCGGAAGTGTTAAAGAAGATAGTCAAAACGTAATTGAATTGTTGAGTACCTGGGTAAAAAAAAACGGTTGCTAGTCATTAAAAACAACTTTTAAAAAATATTTTCACAATACGGTGGTTTTTCTTTCAGGTACGGCAGAGTTGAACACCTACTTGAAAAAGTACAACATAACGATCGATGTTAAATTTTCATCCATGTTGGGCGTGCACACTCGAAAATCGTGGCAGAGATTTGTCAACACCGAACACGAGTACCTAATTACCGACCACGCGATCAATCTCCTAGAGTCTCTGCTCAAGATCGATCACATGGAGAGAATTTCGGCCAGGGAAGCTCTGAACCACAAGTATTTTTCGCCAGTGCGTCGGAAACTCCACCCGAAGTCACCTTCCCTTTTAAACAGCGTGCTTTCATCTCCGGAGGAGTGTCCTTAATTATGTATTCCTTTTATATTTACCACATTAAATTTAATGTAATTTTTAGGAACAACGGTTATAACACGCAAGACTATTTTTTAATTTATTAAAATATGTTTAAATTATTTTAGAGTAACAGAATGTTTGTCGATTTAACTCAGTTTGTGATAGATTTTAAATAAAAAAAAACAACGTTTACTTCTTTTAACTCTTCTTGTACCGTAACGCCCCCTGTCGGGCTAATTTATCAGCCTCCTCATTGCCCTTAATGCCGTTGTGGCCGGCGACGTGAACCTGGAAGAATAAAAAATTTCGGAAAATTGATATATCGCTGTAAATAAATTTATAAGGTTTTATAGCAGTAAACGTACCCACTTGATGTCTGTAAAAGTCTTCATGATAGTGTCTAATATTTGTAAGTCCTCTTTATTTTTCACACTACCTCCACTTGCAGTTTTCCAGTTGTTCTTCTTCCAGTTTTTTATCCACTTCGTCATGCAATTTATGGTAAATTCCGAATCGGTGAGTATTTTAGCTTTATCTTCCCCTACAATGTTGTCGTTTTTCAAAATTTTGTAATATCAACCTTACGCGGTAAATTGATAGACACCGAGTTTATCTCAAAATAAAAGTTTAGAAACTTATAGTAGATAATTTGTATTTAATAATTAAAACCATTGATATTGGAAAATGATGCTTAAAATTAATAATTGAAATTGCTAAAACTTATTGAGATCTTCTGGAATCATCCCCAACTTACATACTACATAAAAAGAGATGAATAGTCGTCAAAAACATTAAATTTATTAAATATACGCCTCCCTATATTTTTATCGATTTTCTGACCTCATCAACGAAGAACCATTTCCAAAATTAATTGCTCAAATATTAGTTACTAAACAAAATTTAAAATTTTCTTACCATGGCTCTTAATAACTTTAAGTGCCTGTACACAGGCCTGTATCTCAGCGGTGTTATTAGTTGGTCTTCCTTCAACTGGCTTCGAAACATTCCTAAAATTTATGAAAACATTTAAAAATTTCTCGCCTTAACGAGCATCAATCACAAATAATTGAAAAATAATACAAATTCTTCACGAAACATTTAAAATTTAATTTTTGTCTAAAAAGACAAATTGAGATCAAGATCAAGAATAAAACTTACAAAGGATGTTCATCGCCAAAATATACACCAATTCCTGCCTTTGCATTAGCCTTTCCATTATTCTCACAAGCACCATCGGTATACACTACTACATAATCATTTTCCTTATTAAACTCGAATTTTGACTTTTTCTTGTTTGAAGGTCCACTTTCGTCTATCGCTGGTCTTTTGTAGGATGAAAGACTATCAACTGAACTTGTACCAGGCTCATCATCAAGTAAAATAACACTGAAAGCATGCCCGTTTATATTCTTTTAATCGTAAATGCAATTTTTGTGGAACGTTTATAATCAAACGTAAATGTTGTAAATGTCTTACACTGACTTCAATTTTAGCTATATTGCAATGCAGAAATTAAAAAAAAATACCTACCTGTCTGATAATAGTTGAGTAGTAGTCAACGTGCTGGAAAAAATACTCGCATTTCCGTTTTGTGTTCCAACATTCTGTCGTAAAATCGAAATTTCCTGACGAATAGATTTAACTTCATGTTTTAGAAGCTTTGCCCTTCTTTCAGCTTCATTTAATCTCCTTATTAACACATCAAGCTGACCAGCTCTAAGAACATACAATCATGTTTATTTTGTATATATTTAATTTTTTAAACTGATTTTACATTGCAGTCTCCGTCATTCTTAATGGGATCGCTACAAATGCTGACAAAACCGACTCAATACTAGTAAACGTAAATTTGTATAGTAGCTTTAAAGAACAGTGTAAGCCAATAAATTTGAATGGAAACGGAAACATTCAAATCAAATACTGTAGTAAACAAAGACATCAAACATAACCTTACATTTCAAATGTTTGTTTATCTTCTTCTTCTTTTTTGGCCCACATGTTTGTTGTATGCATAGACCTTAGGCAAGTTCGGTATTAACATCTAAATGTTCTGGACGTATTTCATCCTTTTCTAACAGCAACAGATGAAAAAGAAAAGGGAAGTATCTAAAGCATCTACATACTAATACTGAACTTGCCTCTCTGTTCTCTACTCACACGTCTCCTGTTCCTGTTTGTACGTTTTTGTTTTGATATTTGAAATCAAGGGTAGGAATACATTGACGTTTAGAAAACGTACGTTGAACAGACGTTATATTGTATTAGCAAAATATAGCTTAATTTTTTCGAAATAATGTATTGTTTTATACATTAATTAATTAAATTAAAAAAAAGTTGTACCCCTGGTGGGACTCGAACCCACAGTCCCCGGCTTAGGAGGCCGATGCCTTATCCATTAGGCCACAGGGGCGATATGTATTCAATTTATTTAAAGTGCTTAAATACTAACTATGTAAAACCACAATTCAAAAATATGTCTGTACTTTTTTTATAAACGAATTATACAATTACTAACACCTCAAGATTTTCGAAAATTAGAGAGTGAATACAAAAAAGAAAAATCTTTTCGAGATTGGGGTAGGTATATCCATTTATTCTAAAATTAAATTTCAATTTGTACAGAGGCAAATATTTTGGCGGCAAAATTTATAATGCAATGCAATGGAATTAAAACCGTTTACGATTAAAAAATAAGAACAAATTACATCTTGATAACTGTTGAATACAATTTTAATTTTGTTTCCAATATTTGTTATTAAATAATAAAATTATTAAAATGAAAGTCAAAGAGATTAAAAATCACTTCCTTCCTCAAATATTTCACGTTTTCTTATTTTCTCAACATCCTGTACATAAAAATTTACGTCGAAATTATTCTGATATATTTTTGTTTGGCTTACAGCCAAAGATCTTTACAATTTTTTATTTTTACTAATTTTGTATTTTATTATACTACTTTAATAGGCAGGTGACTATAAAGAAAACAGATACTTATATACTTCTATTTTAATTTATTTATCCTAATAAAGCAGCACCAGAACATGGTATCTGCGTATAAGTTAAAGAAAATCCTCTGTTTCCTGTATCGTTTATTTCATTCGTATTTGTTACCACCGTTAACACAAATGGTTTGGAATAACCTGAAAAAGTATATTATTGACAATGTAAAACTATAAACATAGACTGTGACAAAGTAGGTAATTGCAGTTTGAAATATTTGGATCTGTTTTTTTTGTATAGTTTGAAACAATATGAGATTTTACCATCAATCTGATTTTAAACAATTTTGTAAGTTCATCTGTTGAAAAAAATCGTTTAAAGTCTGAAAGACATCCGAATTGGAAATGAAAACTCACTTATGAGGGTTGGAAAACCATTTCCACAGAATCTGTCCGTGTTTACCAGCGTGTCATTAATATATATGGGTGCAGGAATTACAACAAAATCTGTTGTACAATTCGATCCTAAAATCGCAGCTGCGTCGGTACCTATAGTACCAGTTCCCACGTTGGTATAAGTGTTATTGGTAACTGTGAAGGAATAAGCACCACCAGACTGCGACCACTGGATACCACAATATCCTACAATTTGGACAAAATGTAATGAAAGATGGAGGGATCACTAAAATAAATTTTTTAGTTTACTTTTGAAGGTAGACATATATTGAACAATTTATTTAAACATTGACAACATGTGACACGCTGGCAGCAAATTCCCGATATTTTTAATTACTCGTTTTATCCAGTCTATATGACGCAAAAAAAAACAACTCACCCGCCAGCATCGCCACACACACTCCGTAGTTTTCATTCACTAATTGCCTGGTGCCCAATTGACTTCCAGCTGATCCATAGTTAAAGCTGTTTACTGTTGCTGATAATTCGGTGTAATATTGGGTACAACCAGAAGGAGCTAAAATTGGATATGGAATAAGAATAATCTGAATTAGTTAAATCCAGAATATCATCCAAAGAAGCAAGGTTGTCTTTCCTACCTCTGTTGGGACAATTGCAGGCAATCTGTGCGATTTTGATGTTCCAAGCTCTCGAGGCAATACTCGATGTACTTGTACTGATAGTAAGGATGATATTATTGGCATCATTGAAGTCCACATAAATATGTTGACCGCTGTTTTCCCCACACAAAACGGGCACATTGGAAGCACCGCCAGTGATAATCAAGGCGTCTGTAACGCAGCTACCGTTGTCGTTCGGCTGGGCCAAATTGAATGAGAGAAAATCTATTCTGACCTAAAAAAAGAATAATTTTGGTGCGAAGGGTGTCTGTCCTAGGTATAATGTGACAAACTAATTAACGAGGCAGAGCACACTCATTTCGAAGCATCCCAATTTATAACTTTAATCTTAACCGTTTATGATATACAGGGTGTTTTGTCAACTTTCATACTGTAATCTTCTGTAACTTTCGAACAGTCCAATGTGCTTGGCTAACATTTTGTGGGAATTATTAATCTATTGGATTAATCAAAAACGTAGCACATTATTAAAACTTTCGATAATATCACCCTGTATATAATTTGACTAATTAAACACAGATAAAAAATTATTCGTAAATATAGACGACTTTAACATAATATTACTTTTTGCGTAAGTTTCTTACGACTAGTACCTTTAAATACAAGAAAAAATATTTTGTAGTAGATATATTTAAATTTAAACGATTTCAATCACACGATTCAGTAGAATGGTGTGATGAACATAACCATCAACACTTGACACAGAAGGAAATATATTTAAGTCGTCTGGATATATTAATTTATGGCAACTGAGAAAGGTAGTAATGTCGTTAATAAATATAGTAAAGGACCCAGATTAGAACCCTGGGGTGCTCCAGGCAATGGCTAGATTTAAATCCATTGTAAGTGACGCAATTCAACGAAAAATGTGACTTGTAAAAAGCTCCGAGATGATCAATTAGAAATATACTGAGTGATACAAACGAAATTAGAAGCGGAAGGTAATATGCCTCTACTTGTTTGTTTCTGATGGGTCAACATTTTTAAGTATCGGGCAACCACTAGCCACTTTCCAGACGCTAAGTGAACAATTAAAAACAATACTTACTTGACAAATATCAGAGTTACACCTACTGATAGTGAAGGTACAGATGGAGGTGTTTGTGTAAGCAGTTGGGAATCCTGGGCTAACAAAATATGTATTATTTAGCGAAGAGGTCTCCCCACACGTCCTTTGAACTAAAACAAGTTAGTATTTGACTTTTCAACGTAATCCATAGAGGAAAATATCGGTAACTGACGGTAATGAATTATTTAGAATTGGTGAAATGACATTTCCGATTCAAACCACCAAAACGACTTACTGATGCAGCATATGCCTATACCACTTGCACATCGGACGGTACCTACACCGTCAGCCAGGGCGCATTGTCTTCTGGTGTAGCAGGTACCTTCTAATGTGCTGTTCCCTCCACAGAGTCCATTCTCGAACCTCACCAATCCAACTCCAAAAAATGGGAAGACTAGAATAAGATTACATTTGTTTTGACCGCATTTAAAATATAAAATTATACCTACTCACATTTTCCGTTCCTTAAGGGATGGACATTCTCCAAATCTGCTTCTGTGTTTATTAGTAATAGAATAAAAACTCCTACAATACCGAAGGCGAGTGTCCTGACGTACATGACGAATTCGACCTTTCAATTCTTGGACTATGAAGACTGCGACTAGAAGTTTGAGGATTAATTAACACATATTTTGTTATTTAAATATAAAACGGTTTAAGTGGATCAGTTAGCGGTTTATAATAATGCGGATGTAAGCCATTAGCTGATACACTTTTTCGGCATATGCACTAGTCATCTAAAGAAAATTTTGGTAATGTGGATTAAATTAGGTTTTATTTGAATATAACTGAACATAAATATATGTTTTTTACACATATCCTGTACAAGCTAGACTGCTGTGCAGATACAAAGATTACTACACTTAATCCTTTTATTCTTTGTGTTGACATTTTAAATGATCCCATTGTGCATTTGATTAAAGTTTGCATAACAATTACCGACATATTTTTACCTCTTCGTTCTGAACAGGCTGACCTGAAAATCCATTATTTCTATTAACTGACACTTCTTTCTAATTGCCAACGACGATATAAGCAAACATAACCCAAATTGACCGTAACGTGAGTAGAACTTTAAGAAATGATATAGTTAGACCTCTTCACCCTATCATGAAGGTTGAGTTACTCGGGTTAATTGGGCTGTTTGTCCTACATTTTTATTTGCATGGCGCTTTAGCTCTACCAGAGACACAGGTTGAGCGTCAGGGAAAATGTAAGTTTTTTTTAATAAAATATATTCCGTTGTGTTAAACTTTCGTGTTAGTTTGGCCTATTGGACTGGTGCGGTTTGCAAACGACGTCTGCACTTCCTTGGAAGGATTTGACGGCACATGCTACAGAGCATCCCAATGTTCATCTTTCAACGGTATTGCTTCCGGGTCTTGTGCTCTGAATGGAATTGGAACTTGCTGTATATGTAAGTATTTAGGTACCCACATTTTTATACACAGGGTGTCTCAATATAAGGAATATTAAGAAATCCCCATATATTAGTGTATACTTAGCTTCGTTAAATTTTCCTCTTTTCAAAAATATATAATATGTTACTGTTTGATTCAGGACGTTTCGACATATTTCAGTTTAAAGCTATTTTTGAAAAAACAGGAGGGAAATTTATGACGAATCGCAGTGGCTATGGACGAGGCACGCGGAACAAACAAATGACTATGACAGAAGTTTATTTACCATCGTTAATTTGTTTCCTATAAAAAACTATTTTAACAAAGAAATAATTTCAAGAATAAACTCACAATAAGTTGTCGGATTATAGTGACTAACCCAGTACATGGAGCTACCGCAGTTTTCTACTACACCAAAGTTGATAAACTTTGAAACACCTTTTAAGATTTTATGAAATTTAGTACACCAGTACTTCTATACAGGGTGATTCAGAACTTATCAAAAAAAAAAAAAATCTGGATGTACAGGGGACCCTTACAAATACAATTTTGTAAAGAAAAAATCAAAAAGGGCAGTTCGAAAATGATTTAAAAATACACTTCTGCACGGCACTGGAAACTGGTCCACTGTAAAACCTGACCTCGCACAATGCGACCGGCATGGCGGTGTGATAAAAACGGACAAAAACTTTCGCAAGGAAAGAAATATGTAAATAGAATTTTATCGCACCTATTTTATATCGGCAAATTCAACTGCTTTTGCCTTTATTAATTAATAAAATTAATTTGTGTTTTTAAATAATAAAATCATTTGACATACCCGATGTTACAACGATTGTTCAATATTTTTTATCTACTAATGTGTAAACACATTTGGGTCCGTTGTACCCAGTTTCTACGAACTAACACAAATGTTGTCTTGGTTCACCATAACACACATGCTTCACCATAAATTAAAACAAAATCCATCAACTCCGAGTACACGCAAACCATTTTTGACACTAACTACCCATTTTTTGACACTAACTACTAGAAACCTATTGCAAACACCACAGATAACAGGTAAATATCGCAACGACGATTGCAAAATCCGAATTCAGTATTCGGAGTCGCTGAGGCCACGTGGCGAATGACGCTAGAGATTACAGTTGTCCAGCTATGTAGTGGTTGAATGTACCACAACTTCAATATTTTTTTTCTCGGAAACTATAAGGATTTTACAAAAATTTTTTTTACGATATTGATTCCATTTCTCATGCTGCATCTATTCCCAAATTTTTTTGGATAAGTTGTGAATCACCCTGTATAGATGTTGAGGAAACAATTTTCTTGTGTCAACTTTCGTAGGAAATTATGGTAGTTTCTTGTACACGGAATATCTGGAAATCCGGTATATTCCAGTTCACATTAATTTTACACGATTATTAGTTCAAAGGACCTGTGGAGGATCGTCAGCTTACAATAACACGTACTTTATCAATTCTGGCTTTCCTGCGACAGTTGCTGGAGGAACGCAGTGTACTTTTACTATAATACCATGTCCTAACGCTTGTCAGGTAATGTTTTATAATTCGGTTAGTTATTTTGAATTATTTTTAAATTATCCTAGATTAGATTGGATTTTTTAAATTTCATCTTGGCCCAACCTGATGGAAATGGATATTGCGTCTTTGATTCTTTCACTGTAACAGGATCTGCTTCAAATGTTCCAGTGCTTTGCGGAGAAAATACTGGACAGCACATGTACCTCATGGTGAACAATGGTACTAACATTCAACTGACAATTGCCACGTCTGCCGCTGTTGTCTTGGGCAGGAGTTGGAACATAAAAGTTACTCAAATTGCTTGTGATTGTCCCACACTAGGTAAAAGTCCTTTGATCTCGAAGCTATCATCTTTTACGTTTTAAACATACCTTGTTTCAACTCTTTGAAAGATCAGTTCCATTTATAAGCATTATTCCCTTAATACATTCATACAACATGAAAGAAATCTGAGTAGAATGATTCCGTTGAGACCACACTTTCACTAAATTCTTCCATTTTTTTGCCTTCAGCGCCAATCGGTTGCCTTCAGTACTACACAGAACTATCAGGCACCGTGATGAGCTTCAACTACGGTACCACCATCAATGGTGCCTTAGTTACATGGGCGAATGGAACCACTAGACCTGGAACCAGGCAAATTGCAAACCAGAACTATGGTATCTGCATCAACATGTCGCCTGGTTACTGTTCCATCCAATGGAGCCAAGGCTCAGATGACACCTCCTTCACAGTCAGTGGCAACACGGCATTGGTGGCTGTCACTCCTGGATTACCTGGGGGTGGAATAATAGGGGAGAATTGTACGACTGATTTCGTTGTGATTCCTAATCCGTCGTACGCCAATGGTACTGCTGTGGCGGGGGACAGGTTTTGCGGGAATCAGTTTCCGACAGTTGTTAGTAAGTATTAAGAGAAAAATCGAATTATTCGTAAAACATTGAAATGTAAGCATTATTTGGATTGTTCTAAGATCAAAGCTGTAATACCTAATGAAGGATGAGTTCTAATTAGAAACCTTAACAATTATTAGAAGTAGGCCGATATATGTTCATAAATCTAATTTTATCCTTTTTAGCTTCCTCAAAGCCGTTCGTGCTGACAGTGGTGACGGATGATGACGAGCTCACAGACGTCGCTAACAGAGGATTCCTGCTGAATTATCAACAGTTACCTTGCACAAACTCTATAGCGAATCAAGTCTTTGTCTGATGCTTATAATACAAAAAACAGAAACAATCAAGTTTTATCATAATTAGAATAATTAATTTATGTTCAATAGTTGCAAATTTGAAAGCGGTGATTATTCATCTATATTTAGTTTTTTGTTTTAGTTACCTGATTATTTTTTCATGTTTTACAATTAGACAATATTTCAACAAATTATTTTTTTTAGACTTGGATCTTATTCATTTGTTTTAACATAATAGGATGAAGCATCGTTTTTTAGGGAATGATTTCTAGATTACAAAGAGAATTTTCACGTAATTTACGAAATAAAAATTTTAAACAGGAGCAGCTAACCCCGAGATCTCGTAGAAGGTTGCACATATTTGTGCAAAATATTTTTCTTCATAATCAACTGATAGAAACATAAAAATAACCGCTGTTTTTCTTTGTAGGTATACCTATTTATATTTTAATTTGACAACAGCATTATATTTGTCAAACAAAACGGTAAGTTTATGAAAAACTCTTATTTGTATCTACCAGTTGATTATGAAAGAAAAGTATATTGCAACCCTTAATTTAATTCTAAATTTCGCAAATTTCTCCCGAAATTTTTTCTTCATGGAAGTTCTCTTTGTCATTGACTACAGTTATAAGGGTCCGTCTTAAAAGGTAAAAAATGAAGCACATAATATTTAGCGTTGTAATTAGATATGTTACAAAAAAACTGTTGTATCTACTCACATTTTCCATTCCTTAACTATCCACATCTGCTTCTGCTTTATTGGTAATAGAGTTAAGACTCTTACAACACCGAAGGCGAGTGTTCTAACGCACATGATGAACTCTGCCTTATAATTCTTGTAGGTACTATGAAAACTGCGACTTGAAGTTTGGGGATTAATTAACACATCTTTTGTTATTTAAATATAAAATGATATAAGTGGATCAGCTAGCGGTTTTAAAAACAATACAGACTTAAGACATTAGGTGATACAGTTTTTCGGCAAAGGAAACAGAAATTTGAGTCGTGTAAAGAATATTTTGATTCATCACTGATTCACTTTTGCAAGCAATTTCAATAATTACTACGCCATTTCAGTTCATTCTTTAATATTGCTTTTATTTACTGCTTTTCTACAAGTAATTATACCATTTACTACTAGTATGCTTGAAAGAGTTTATGATCATGTTACGCTATTGAAATTTTGATTTTATATAGCTACTGGTGTTAAGAAAAAAAAATTGTCAGAGAGAAGCAGCTGGATTTTCCTGAATGAATTATGATATGAACATCATCGTATTTAAACTTTAATCGAACATTAATTCCTTCCTTTAAAGTTCATCTTGATCTAAATTGAGATTGTTTTTACAAAATCTAAGTACTGAAAATTTATTTTTTATACAACTCCTGTGTAAACTAGACTGTCGGACAGTTATAAAGATTACCACACATAATCTTGCTCATTCCTTATGTTGACACTTAAATGATCCCATTCCATATTTGATTAAAGTTTGCACAACCATTTTTACCTCTTCGTTCTGAACACGCTGACCTGGAAATCTATTATTTTTAACAATTGACACTTTTTTCAAATTGCTACCGGCGATATAATCATATTGAACGTCAAGCGAGTAGAACTATACACGAAATAGTTGGACCTCTTCACTCTAACATGAAGGTTGAGCTACTAGGGTTAATTGGACTTTTTGTTCTCTATTTTTATTTGCTTGGGGCCTTAGCTCTTCACGAAACACAATTTGAGCGCCAAGGAAAATGTAAGTTATGTTTTAATAAAATATATTCCATTGTGTTAAACTTTTGAGTTAGTTTGGCCTATTGGACTGGTACGATTTGCAAACGACGTCTGCACTTCCTTGGAAGGATTTGACGGCACATGTTACAGATCATCTCAATGTTCAGATTTCAATGGTATTGCTTCCGGGTCTTGTGGAATTGGGACTTGCTGTTTATGTAAGTACTTGGATACATATTTTTTATATATAGTCCGGTCCACGACGTTAATTTTACACAAATATTAGTTCAAAGGACCTGTGGGGGAACATCGACTTACAACAATACGTACTTCATCAATTCAGGCTTTCCATCCACAGTATCCGGAGTAACACAGTGCACTTTTACTATAATACCCTGTCCTAGTGCCTGCCAGGTAAGGTTTTATAATTTCGTTAGTTATTTTGAATTATTTTTAAATTATCCTAGGTTAGATTGGACTTCCTAAATTTCATCTTGGCTCAACCCGATGGGAATGGATATTGCGTCTTTGATTCTTTGACTGTAACAGGATCTGCTTCGAACGTTCCAGTGCTTTGTGGAGAAAATACTGGACAGCACATGTACCTCATGGTGAACAACGGAACCAATATTCAACTGACAATTACCACGTCCGCCGCTGTTGTCCTGGGCAGGAGTTGGAACATAAAAGTTACTCAAATTGCTTGTGATTGTCCCACGCTAGGTAAAAGTCGTTTGATCTCAAAGCCATCATCTTTTAAGTTTCAACCATATTTTGTTTCAACTTCTTAAAAGATCAATTCCCTTTATAAGTATAGGAGCATTATTCTCTTAATATAATCATACAACATGAAAGAAATCTGAGTAGAATGATTCCGTTGAGACCACACTTTCACTAATTTCTTTCACTTTTTTGCCTTCAGCACCCATCGGTTGCCTTCAGTACTACACAGAACTATCAGGCACCGTGATGAGCTTCAACTACGGTACCACCATCAACGGTGCCTTAGTTACGCTGGCGGATGGAACCACTAGACCTGGAACCAGGCAAATTGCGAACCTGAACTATGGTATCTGCATCAACATGTCGCCTGGTTACTGTTCCATCCAATGGAGTCAAGGGTCAGATGACTCCTCCTTCACGGTCAGTGGCAACACGGCACTGGTGGCTGTAACCCCTGGATTGCCTGGGGATGGTCTAGTAGGGGAGAATTGTACGACTGATTTCGTTGTGATTCCTAACCCCTCGTACGCCAATGGTACTGCTGTGGCGGGGGATAGGTTTTGCGGCAATCAGTTTCCGACAGTTGTTAGTAAGTATTAAAAGAAAAATCGAAACATTCGTAAGCCACTGGAAGTAAGTTCTAGTGTCAGTGATTTATGGAACAAAAAATGGTTATATTTCGTGTATTTCATACTTGGAAGACTTATTCTTTTACGTATACTGCGATTCTAAAACAGATTTATAAAGGAAAAACAATCTTTAAGGAGGAAGATTATCCACTTAAGAAATGTTTGGAAGTTTGAATGTGGAGGAGTTTCACAATATTTCATTGCATTTCTTGAGGTTATGGTAATGTTATTAGAAATATTGTATGTATTGGTAGATGTGTTTTCTAAACTAACTCCTTATGGACTGTCATACTCTATGATTTCTGTGGATGTAGATCTTAATGAGAAATAAGCACCACAACAGTAAATGTTATTAGAAATTGGCTACTTATTTGTAGGTGTATTTTTAAACTCTTTTTGAAATGTCATGTCATAAATCATATTTTATCCATTTTAGCTTCCTCAAAGCCGTTTGTCCTGACAGTAGTGACGGATGATGACGAGCTCACAGACGTAGCTAACAGAGGATTCCTGCTGAATTATCAACAACAAGCTTGTGTAAATTCTATAGCGAATCTAGTCTTTGTCTGATACCTACTTAAAATAGTAAATAAAGAAATAATTAAGTTCACTGTTTTATTGTAATAATAATATCATAAAAAAAGATTCGATTTTATTCGAAAAAAGATAAATTTTTGAGCAATCAGTTTTTTTAAATGTAAAATCAGCCTTCGACATAATAAATAATAAAACAAAATGAATTTAAATCAAAATATTATGTTTAGGTATGTAATAAATTTAATTTTAAATATATCTTTAATGTAGACAAAGTTAAGAAAAATCATCATAGAAATTTTATATTTTACCAGGGATAATAAACATTCTAAAATAATAGAATTGCCACTCCTAATATTTTTTTAGCTTCTAATAAGTTGTATTTAATATTATAACAAAAAACACCTATTTTAGCACCACATCTTCAGAGTTATTTTAGAATATGGATTTTTTTCAAAATAATTATCTTAACCACCCAAATTAAAAGTTTGGCCAGTTTATTATTAAAAATATTATACAGGGTGTCCCGTAATTCCTCGTAAATATTGAAAGAGGATATTCTATGGCCTATTTTAGGGGGGTTCTTTTCTATATTTTTTTCGTTTTGAGTTTGTGGGGTGAACCAAAAATTCGGTTTTCATTTTTTTCTTTTAAAAACGGCTTAACCTAAAATTTTTAAATTTGGTACGTATATTCTACTGATGGAACTACGTCTTAGCAATAAAATTTTATTTGCACCCTTCACTTCGAAGTGGTTGAAACAAACAACCCTTCCTGATGTTTTGGTTAGAACTTTTTTCTAGATGGCTATGGACCAAAATTAAAATTACGGTTTTGTGGCCCTATGAATTTAGAAACTGTACTGTACTGATGTACACCTAAAATTAAACGCAGATGTGCATATAAAAATGATTTATTAAAGGAAAACTTACATAGCTATGGAAACTAACACGTTTGTACTAAATAATAACATTTAAAATAGCATAAACTTAATTTAATAAGATATACATTTACTGCCTATAACAAGTATTTCGTAATACCCTTGCAAGTAAGCTTTACCGCCGTAGTGGTAGTGCAAGTAGTTATCCTGAACGACGCTTCCCAGGATTACAATCCTTCTGCTGTTATCCACGAACCTACCGATATATACCACTTGGTCGTCGGCATTGAAACCACCAAGAACCGGATTTATGACAGCTGTGACTAATTCATTTTGGAGGGTAGAGTAGGTTATAGGGTACCACGCTAGCTTTTCCAAGTTCTTAGCGCAGAGCACCTACAAAAAAAAAGTGTTTTCGTAATAGTAGATTATTTCTATAATGTCCTGCCAAGAGGCTGGTCATAAAGGAAGATTGGCCTTAAACAATTTGCTTAATTGTAACTGACTTGAGAATGAAGAGAAACTGGATTAGGAAAATGTTAAAAGTGAAATTTGGTAAATTTCAATTCACCTTTAAAGAACGACTATCTGCTACTATAAAAGTTGACGATCTGGTTGAGTTAGAAACAGATACGTTCACTTGGTGCTGGTTAGCAAAGGCTTGGCCGATGTACAGTCCACGATTTGGTACGTAGCCCTCTACTATGTATGATACGCCCCTGTAGTCGCGCGCAGTGACAGCGTCCGAAGGCGGTGAACCGGAGGTCCATGGTCTCCAGTAATACTCTAAAAAATAAACCGTTACTATTCCGCTATGTTTCATTAAAGTAACAATATTCTTTTTGTTATTCGAATTCAATACACAGCCACACACAAAAAAAAAGTGTGTGTACTTTTTATGCGACATCCTATGTTTTCCGTAGTATTAGCCTCCTGATCACGAATCCGGTGTCAGAATTGAGCTATCACATCACAGGAATTTCCTAATCTCAAAAAACAGGTCAAAAATAGCAAAAATTCAAGAAAATGTGTTAAGATAAATACACTTTTTTTTTTCTATATTCAAATGTTCATTTATATGAGACCCCGGCGAACGTGAATTCGCGGTCAAAATTGATAGTTCATTTTCTAATCTCAAAAAAAACGATTCAATTAAGGTCAGACATCACGAATTTTCCTAACAGTTTCGCGCCAAATTTGGTATACGGAGGTTTTCGGGGTCACTGATCACGGTTCCGAGGTCAATTTTGAAAAATTCAAGATGGCGGATCCAAGATGGCCGACCAAATTTTCAAAAATAACACATTCGCGCCAAATTCGGTATACGGGGTCTATGATTAAGAAGACGAGGTCAGAATTACGAAATTAATTTTATAATATTTTTGTTTACTTCATAACTTGTGGTATCAAAACTGAAGCTGCATTTACAAAGGAATATAAAATTAAGCAATTAAGTCATAACAAAAAGTAATTTCAAATATAAAATATTTCATTTTAACACGTAAAATATGAATAGTTTAGATATTTTATTTATCTGAACATTACTTAAAAAGAAGGTAGGTGTATCAGTAAGTTTTATATAATAATATATTACATACTTACCTCCTTCATCGCAATGTATTGAAGCTGCAAATACACTCAGTAAAAATAATTTAGTAACAATTGCTGGGAACATGTTTTATCTCTAATTTGAATTGACTCTGTTTCTCAGACTAAAATATCGACTGTGCTCGTTTTGTTTCTATAACCATTTTTATATATGTACCTATACACTTTATCAAAAAGGGGAAGTTTCTAGTTCAGGTGATTCGGAAATTTATTTTTCAAATCTTATTGCGGATTATAAAAGAATTGGGTAACTAACTGTATGCAAAACAATCAATTTTAATCCCTTACTGTGAATTGGCGTAAACAGATTAGCATCTTGCTTTACTTGATCAAATATTTGCAAAAAGATAGGTATATTGGTATGTGTTTTTGGTCTAAGTAGTATACAGGGCGATTAACAAGTGATGTCGTGGAAAACACATTTAGAGTTTCAAAATTACGACAATGTGATTAATTTTAAACCAACTACTATATTTTTAATAAAAGATATCCTCTATATGCGTTAGTTTTCTTAAAATTAGCAAAATTTTATAACAAGAATTTATATCTTTACAAATCAATGTTAGTCTATGTGTCACTTATAGACTCGAATACCACTCGATCGATTTGAATTCAAATTTATGGGTTAAGTTCGATACAATGCAATAGGTGGCGCTGCGAAACGTGACAGGGTTCAGCTAGTGAAAAATACGGGTTTGCGTCTATTCAAGTTCATATTTGAAATTAGTTTTAGTGAGTACCAGCTCTCGGGTACCGCGCCCCTAATAATTTTCATAGTAAAAAGTTAATTTAAAATTTAGTTTAGAATGTTTTATCTAGATCAATGGTGCGAGAAATACCAAACTTTAAAGAGTAAAGTAATTGAAAAGGTTATTGGGGACAAAAGCAGAAGAATGATATTGTTCATTATAAAAAATAATATTGAGCACGTTTGTCCTATATTTCAATAGTACTTAAATTATATTTATTTTTTTTTTCAATACTTTGTACCTAAATTTTTCCGCACTCCCTGGTATGTAAATCAAGATACGCCATTGGTGAGTACCCAATTTTGCCTTTGTTATACGAACTCGACACAGCCTGTGCTATTTCTACCATTTTTTCCTCTACAGTTCAGTTTTTACTATCACCGGTTAAATGTTTTTTTTCCTCAAAGTTTAAACTGATTCTAGTTACAGGATAGGATTACCTTTTATGAAAGATAACGTATTTCACCGAAATTGTACCAATTACTTATCTTAGCATTAGGAAATGTTCCCAATTCAGGAAATTTTTGTAAACAGATTTATAAAATAGGTTAACGTTTATCTTCTTCCTCGCCATGCAATATTTCTGGTTAGATAAATCTTAGAAAATCATTTTGGCCCAAGATGGCAAAAGGTTTATATTTTATATTCCTTTTTCTCTTCAGGATAGTAGAAATACTCAATTGAATAAAAACATAATTCTGAGAAATAATTATCATAGCAAAATAAGAATTTCAATGTTTCAGATTTAATATTAGAAAGATTTCTATTTAGAATTTTAGACTGGAAAGGTTAAAAGTATTTTCGATCTCAATTGAAGAACCAAGAGGTTGGCAGAATTGTACCAGGTTTGGTCGCTGACGTAGCAACTTAGCATTGAAATATTTGAAAAACATGGTCCCATATTTATTTAGCCATACCCATATCGGCACAGCATGTGATATCGGTCTGGTCGTACTAAACGTGGAGGTGGTAGAAATGTATACGCCCACTTGAAGAATGCGGGCGCGGGAAACGGCGTACACAGACAGCCGAACTGGGCGACTAAGCAATAAATCTCAGCTGTTGAGAAATTGCCTAGCAGTGCAGTGCAGGAATGCGGAATTTGGTGTGATTCAGGTGATTTTATTTATATTATAACCGCGAAAAGGAGAAATAAGGATATTTTGTTTTCTTACGTGGCATTTTGGAGACCTTTTGAAACGGAACAGACAAAATTTACCATCAATATAATAAAATTGTTTGAGGAGATAATTAATTAACATATGTTGGCTAAATGAACATATAATGGAAATTTTTTACACATTATATACAAATTATTGTATGTTTTTCCTTTAGCAGAAAACGTTTTTAGGGACTCATATGAAACTCATTAAATTTTATTGCTAGGCGTTTTTATACATGTTCAACTGACTTCGGAAAGACTATACTTACATGAAATAATTGCAAAATCTTGTTTCGTAAAACTTCGATTAAATACTTACCTAATACAAAAAACATTAATGTTGAGACAAAATAAAATCTGTTGCAGGGGATTCTTTTCTTCAAAAGGAAGTGTAGAAGGTAAAAAAATATACGAATACAGGAGGAAATTCAACAATGTTTATATTTACATTATAAAATATATATACACGATACAACTGAAAGAATGGATGAAGTATCAGTCAGAAACTAATATGTACTTAATTTTACATGATTGGCTTTAACACAGAAATGATTTAATGTAGTTTTAGAATTTTTTCTGACCATTGAAGTTATACTAAAATAAAAAGATGGTCTAAAAATAGAAAAAATGGTACCAACTAGAAAAATCCTGATAAACTTGCATGTACTGAAAATTTAGTTTTTACGAAATCAATTATAAAAAAGCGTAATATTCTTTTGGACGTGGAGACACACAACGGTGTAAATAACGGTTTATCATGATGCGAAATCTTGTAAATTTGAGTATGTAAATCTCATTTAGGATATAAACACAAACCTTCCATAACAAAACATTAATGTTGTGGTTATAACAATATTTACTCGATTTAACTAATATGTTGTCAAACAACCGTAAATTATACAACTTGTTTGTTAAAATAAAGCCTTTGAATTTCTAGAAAAGTTATCTGGGTCAATAAATTACAAGGCCCATTCATATATTATATACAGGATATTTGGAATTATAATAATTAATTTTAACCTAGAGAACCTAGGGAAGATACGATAAAGAATAAACATGTTAAAAATTTTCAAGTTTTCAAGCGAAATTACTTAAAAAAAAAGGAAAATCAATGAATATTTTTGGGACCCATGTTTCGCAGTTAATAATAACTGTCAAACTTGGCATATTACTACCTCTGCTATTACTAAAACATTTGCTATTAATCAAATAACTAAACTATCAATATCACACTTTCATGGTAAGTACAAAACTAAAATTTAAACAAACCGGGCACCTTGATGTTGCGTCACTGCTTCCTTCATAGAAAAATACCATTTCCCTATCTTAGTACGATCGAGGCAGTCTTTGAAAGCGTCGCACCCTTCAATACTGCTCAGGACGCCGTAAACAGCCAAGTCTGCTAAATTAGGCCCATCTCCTCCCAAGAATTTAGTGCCTTTCGTGTTTATAGCTCTAACCCATGTGTTACATTCGTCGTATAAGGATTCCCTTACGTCGTCTTTGAGATTGTGTCTCTTCTTGAGCCGTTTACCAATTAGCCACATGGCTGTTGCACCAACGTAGATTATCAGCGTTCTTTCCCAAGTCGGAAAGTTTTTTTCCCATTCACCTACATCGGAAAACCAGTTGAAGGCCTGAAGTGCCTCTTCTTTCGTCCGATATACGTTTGGAGAAAGCACGTGGACTAAGACGTTGTCAGTCCATTTTCTCCATTTTCTTTCCTCACTAGAAAATATGTAACAATAAAAATAAATCCTGGATAACGAAAAGACTTTAAATTCTTACGTATATTCCTTTTCTTTATGCTGATCTATTGGATTACTCAACATCAGGAAGTACTTATTCATTATATCATTTTTTTTCTTTCCGTCTTCATCCAAGTAATCTATTATAGGAAAACATTTAACTATCTCTGGTATATCTTTTTTTACGTCTTTTAAATATGACGCCAGTGCAGATATAATCATTGTACTGTCGTTTAGGGGCTATAAAAATATGTAAATACTAAGCTAGAAAATATTCTTGCACTTAATTTGTTACATACCTGATAACCGTCAGCAGTTTTAGCAACCAAAATAGGAACCTTTTTGTATGTCGACCATTTTATAGATTGTCTTAATACTGGATCAACTTCAACGATGTCATAAGATATACCATAATAATCAAGAAATGCCCTAACTTTACAACAAAATGGACATGTTTGGTATTGAAATAACGTTAATTTTAGACCACTATCATCCCCGGCGTATTTAATCTATAAAACAAACAATTTAATGCTTACATATGTTGTTCAAAAAATTTCACTTACTTCCCGGCTAAGCTTTATGTTAGGCATTTCCTTAACAGCAGGTACGAAAGTTTGTTCATTGATTATATGTGCCCTTGGTTTGTTCATTTGATGAATTGAATAGCCAGTGCCCATAATCGCACCCATGGTAACCCCAACAAGTCCAACTTTAAAGATACCTTTCGTAATTCTTCCAACATTAGATTTTGTAGCAAAGTTTCGAACTGCTATTTGCACGGAAGAATTAGAAACAAATGTATTTTGCAATAAAAACAACATTTGCCGGCGTGGAATATTTGGATTTTTCGATAAAAAGGACATATTCTTGAGCTCCTTAGCCTGACAGAAGTATAACCTAACCTCAAAGTCCTCAAATATGGAACACACTTTTACGCGGTAGTATCATAATTTATAAATATAATATAATTAACAATAACTAAGTGAGTTCAATTGATTAATGATGATTAATTAATTAACATAAAAATTAATAAATACTGTTCAATGTCGATTTCAAAACCAGAACTGTGAACATAGCTCCAAGTTCAAAACGCAAAATATTTTTTTTGGTATGTCGTATGTCGAGCAATTGAAAAAAAAAATCATTTAATTTATCATATACTTTCATAATATTGTTGTTAAATAATAAAAAAGTAACAAAAGTTTCGCTTTAAATTTTGTGGCTAATTTAATAGTAGCAGCGCCATCTATGAAAGTAAGAGGAAATTGTGTGTTCCATGTTCCATGCCAAAATGGTAGGATAACTATAATTATCATAATTTTAATAGAAAAGTTTACCAATAACAAAGTTAACAGTGTATTTAAGATGTATAAGTTATATAAAAGGTGCACACTATGTAGTAATAAAGTACGCATAATACGACTCGGATTTTTAAGAGCAAGAAGCACGAAATATGACAAAGAAGCCGCCGGTGAGTTTGTTTACTATTTTAATTTTTTAATTATCAAGCATGATACCAGAGGTCTCTCTTGTAAAATCTTTTGGCGCATTTCTCAAAATTTCAAATATCTTTATTACAGGGTAATTTTTATACAGCTACTAATTTTTCAAAATCTTTCAATAATTAATTATATAAGTGACATAATGAAGCCAATTTGAATTTCTGTAAATTAGACGAGTATAATAAGAAAAAATCTTTAACATGCCTCTGCGAATTTTCTCATGTCTTACAATTTAATTAAAAATACTTATAAAACTATGATAATGTAATATTCATTTATAATAAAGCCGATATGTTCTAGATTTTATTTTTTTTGGCTTAATTAGCAATTAAATGTATGTAGGTACCTAATTCAAATAATATAAGGATTTGTTTAGAGTTGAATGCTGGATACGTGCCCCACGAAGTAGAATCTCTATCACTTGGACGTGGCTATTTTGAACCACCTATAAGGTCTAACAAACCATTTACTTTGGTTTTACCACCTCCAAATATTACTGGAACTTTACATTTGGGACACGCCCTTACGACAACCGTCGAGGACGTTTTAGTAAGATGGCAAGTAATCCTCTTTTTAAAACTTTGTATTCGATGTTCCAATTAAATTAATGTAATCTATTACCGCTGTTATTTTAGATAAAAAAGAGGAAAATTACCATAAAAGTAACCATTTTTCTGTTGCTTAATGCTCTGTCAAATCGTAGCATTCGTGCTATTTTCAAAGCTGATGTGATTTAGCTGATTAAGTTAATACTACGCTAAAAACAATCGATTATTGCATAGAAATTGATTTTAATACACTAGGAACTAGTGTATTTAAAGACTATTATTTTAAAACCGACTAAACTTTTAGAATACCTAATTTAACTGCACAATTGCACTGTTCAATAACAAAATAGCGTAGTTTGGAATACGTGGGCAAATTGGCCTCTTCTATGATACAAAATAATTCAAATATTAAAAAAAATTCTTCTAATGATAATGGAGTTTAATACTTGGGCAGATTTGCAGAGCGTTAATTTCTAATTCCCAAGTCTTCCCCTGCTTTCATTATGCAGTCATTTTATCGACCTTTTATCAGGACAAAAGCCTAACCCGTTGACCTAGATTTACAAAACTCTGGATTGTTGTTAAGTACTTTTCCCTTTAGAAGCAAATGAGACTTGTTAGGCCTACACGAAGAGGACAAAACAAACACGCGCACAATCTCACTTCTGACTTTCTAAGTCTCGTTTAAATAAAATTATTTCGAAAATATTTTAATTTTAGTATCAGAGATCTGAACAATTAAATAATTAGACCGTGTTATCGTTTTGCCTGAAAATGTTGCACTTTTCATCCTGACACAAAAATTACTCAAATCAAAACATCGGTAAAAAAATTACAACGGGATTTTGTCGTTCTAGAGAACTATATGTTCTTTATAACTTTTTACTATTCGGTTAATACCGTTTAGTGAAAAGTTCTGAGCCGGAACCCGATATTAAATGCAGTGGGATTTTCACCAGGCACAGAATGCAGGGAAGGGAGACCTTGTGGGTGCCTGGCATCGACCACGCCGGGATCGCCACTCAAGTGGTGGTGGAGAAGCGATTGTGGAAGGAAAACCGCCAAACCAGACACGACATCGGCAGGCTTCGCTTTCAGGAAAAAGCGTGGCAGTGGAAGGAGGAGAAAGCCAAAGTTATAGGTTGGTAGTTGGCAGGTTAACTCACAAAATTGCTCGAAGCTAATCCCAATTTAGTTCTTGTTTGGAGAATCGCATCCTTAACTTTTATATGTTAATTGCGAGGAATGTAACTATAGAAAACATTTGGAAAAGTTTGTGAAAAGATTTGATACTAGTTTTCCATTTTCTGAAATGCCTTTTGTTAGGTCAACAACTTCGTCGATTGGGAGCTTCTTTAGAATGGGAAAGGGAAATATTTACCATGGATCAGCGCTGTTCAAACGCTGTCCAAGAGGCATTTATAAGACTGTTCAACGCTAACCTTATATATAGGTAGGCAGTGTCTCAAAAATGTGCCTTTGACATACTATGTATGTCTTGCATTTACAGGGCTGATCACTTAGTGAACTGGTCTTGCGTTTTGAGGTCTGCCATTTCGGATATTGAGGTAGAACACGTAAATGTGGAGGGACCGACAAATATATCCGTACCAGGTTATGAGAAACCTGTTGAATTTGGTACTCTCACGAAATTTGCTTACAAACTTAAGGATAGCGGTAAGTACCGAGGATTAAATTTAGGAAAAAAATGTATGTCTTTGTTTTTCTCTTTGTAAAACACCCCAAGCACGGTCAAACAATTTCGTCATAACTTTAGAGAATATTCCTTGAATCATTTTAAGCCAAACGATTTAATCTAACCACAGGTACAGGGTCTTGGCGTTTAAAAAAAATGTGAAGGCATTGATGAAGCTTTAACTAATACCAAGATTATTTAAATACAAACCATCAAAAGTAAAAAAAAATCACGCAAATTTTTTTCATAGTATTTCACTTTCTGTGAAGTACAAGTAGAAATTTTATGAAATTATACTGAGAAATGCTGAAATTTCTGAAACACGACTGGAAATCTATTTATAGACAATCCGGCCCTGGCGATTTTAAGTTTCCTATTTCTAATTTTCGGGATATTATCGACAGGAGCTCATACTCATTCGCTTGCGATATATCACCCTCATCCCCAATAAATCTGCGTTTTTTTATATCCAGATGAAGAAATAGTGGTGGCTATGACGCGTCCCGAGACGATGCTGGGCGACGTCGCCGTTGCGGTGCACCCCGAGGATCAGCGACACTCCGGGTTCGTGGGCCGTTATTTATGGCATCCCTTTAGGAAGGAGGCCATACCGGTGATAAGCGACCCCTTCGTGGACCGGGAATTTGGCACTGGTAAGTGTTGCTTTTTGTTCGTTGGGCGCCATTACGATCGTGTTTTTATTAGTTCGACGTGAATTGGCGCGTCTCCTGACAGCTTTAGAATTATGGGAGTTTTGGCGACGGAAAGTGTGAATTTTCGTCGTCGGTTATCTGCGCATAAAAGAAGAAACGTTTTTACTTTTTCTTTGGCTGTAACACTGAAAAGAAAAAATAATTTAAATATGTATATCGAAAAAGAAAAAAATTAAATTTTTAATGTCGATTTTCTCGAAAGTCTTATTGACTAAATAAAAAACTAAAGAGCTCTTTTCAGACCTGTAGACCTTAAGTGCCCTTTTGACCCATTAGAACTGGACAATTTCTATTTTTGCCCAATACAATGTTTTTCCCTAAACAAGTGTGTCAGCAAAAAAAGGAAATAAAATAAAGTAAACTTTGAGACTATGTTACTGGGTTAATACTGACGTTTTGAAAAAAAAAATTGAAAAAAATATCTTTTAACTATAAGTATATACTGATTAAAATAGGTTTCGGAAAGGTTACACTGCTGCCATAATAGAAAATATTTCGCTAAAGAAGTCTATTAGTCACTAAAGTTCTTTACTACAGTACAATTTTTTACTTTAGCGAAAGTTTTTTAGCGATTGTTAGGTTGTCATCCTAGGATGATGAGTTTTAAGACAATACCCGCAAATATATATTTTTTTAAATTCAAGTGGCTTTTTAGACACTAATAAGTGTTTTTTTTTTACCATAACTATGTACACTTAGCAAGATTCAATTATTAACTTTGTCTTTAAACCTTTCTTTAACAGTAAAAAGTTACAAGTAAAAAAAAAAATTATTGTAATTACACGGATTCACCATCCTTCGCTTTTTACTTTTAATTTTTCAAAAATAAAACAATTATATTGGCAAACATTAGTTTTCCAAATTCTCTTTTTTTATATAATATTAATGTTATTCATTTTTAAAACTTAAAACCAAGAAAGTCCTTCAAATCGTTGGTAGGTCATAATACGTAAGCTTTCAGATCTAAGAACATATATCATAAAAAGAGACCTTAAACTATTGTAATAGGGTAACAAATACAATAAATGGTAATGCTAAATGTCTGCTGCAATAAACGTCTATTGCAATGCCCCATCTATGACCCAATCTTTTTATTTTTTCATACAAACCATGTGTATACAGATTTTGACTGACTAAACATTTTTTTGTTGTTTTCGACAATTATTTTTTTAACAATTTGAAAAGTTCTGCCTGTAAATCATTCCGGTTTTGATTAAGTTTATAATAATAATAATACATTTTGAACAAATTCTGTTTCATTTTGAAAACCTTTTGCTCTATCATTTGAACTTTTTATAATACTTTCCTTTAAACAAATATGGTGGTTTGAATTGAAAAATTACTTATTAATTTTTGTTGGCTTTAAACCCACGTTTCAACTTTGTCATAAGGGTACATTCTAAAAATTTTAATGACGTCATTTCAACCCTACTTTCATCCATTTTTCTCCACCCAAATCACATATTTTTTGGTAAATTTATTAATCCTACCTAATACTTTTCAAAATGTTCCATAAATATAGACTTGAGGACAAAATCCCGTAATTATATAACGCTAACGTCAACAATAGACTCCTGGAGTGGTTTCATGCGGATTACTTCGTATACGCGAGAGGTGCGTCAATAAATACAATGCTTTTACGTAGTATACCTTATCGATACATTTTTTTTACGCAAGTAGTTAATCAGTTTTAAAGCCGATGATAACAATAGATAAAAACATATACCGAAAAGAAAATGTTTCGTTTTAATTGATTTGAGGTGCATCAGTCTCAATAGAAGGTAAGTAAAATTTTAAATAAAACATAATTAAATTCCATGTACTTGCGACAAAGTTGTATAGCCAATTTGTCTTGTCGAAATAAAAAATTGGTTTCTAAGGGTTCCAAAGAAGTGATCTGAAGGGTTTCAACCTTTAAAATGTCAATTGACATGGTAGAGAAATATCTGTTGTAGATTTTGAACAATTTTCAAAGAAAATTTTTGTACTTGTGCTTTTTTCTAAGACAAGGCAACATTGGAACGTCATATAATTTTTTTGACAGTTGAAATGCCTTCAATCATTGTTGAGAAATTGATGAATCTAATCTTCGAATGGTTTTAGGGAAAAAACGTACCTAATTTAATTTTTATCTTTATATTATGTAATAAGGAAGAAATTGTCTGAATTAATCAAGCTTTACGACGAATCCTTTCTTTATTAAACGATTTCTTTTCCAGTCACCGAAGATGGAAATAAGCAGCAGTCTGAACCTTCATAACAACTTGAAGTGTAGCGTCTGCGACAACTACCTGAACATACCCCCAGTTCTAACATCGGAGGATGGGAAGGTAAACAAGTGCGGGCGATGCAACCTAAAAGGCCCATACCTGACAAACAGGAACTCGCTCTATGAATCCATAGGGTCAAAACTGAATTTTCCTTGCATAAACGAGCAGTGCAAGGAGAGACTTTCCTGGTTTGAAGTCGAACGTCACGAAAAGTCCTGCCCCCACAGAAAGATCCCGTGTCCCTTTTGGGCGTGTAGAGATAAAGACATCCAGATGAACGCACTGAACGATATAAGCCATTTCCAAACCGAACATCCTGGCATCATGTGCAATGACAAGTTGACCATTGACTTGAACGGGATAAAACGCCACAATTCCTTCATGAAGGTGCTAACTGTGGACAGTTTGCCCTATTTGATCATAGTACACGCTGTTGGTACTGGAGAAAGGATATGGATTGGAGTCTTCAATTTCGACACCACCAGGAAGGATTACCAGATAAAGCTATACTCTGGCAAGCAATTGCGGAAGTGTATCATTTACAAGGAACCTGTTACCTTGTACGACGAAAACGAGCAGTGTTTGTACTGCTTGCAAAATTTGTGCTCCATCGAAACCCATAAATATTCCAAGAACTATTCGGAGACGCAGAAGGAAAAGTTCAAGTTCTACACTAAAGTCGACGTGCTTTGCACGAAGAACGTACTCCTGTCAGAGGATATGCATTTTGAGATTAGCATTGTTCCGCCAGAAGTTCAAGTGCCCAATGGAACAGCCTGAAGAATATATTGTGAAGGACAATCTCCTTAAGTGATCGGCCTTATTTAGAACAATTTGATATAAAGACCAAAATCGTCATTTGATACAGGAAAGTGAGTCTTAGATTCATACGAGGAAAAGTGGACGGGACAAAATAATCATAATTTTCAGTAAATGGCGGACACTCACAAAAATACTCGTGATAAAAACCTCTATGTATATTTTAAGTGCCTCCTAGATTATATTATCTCACATTACCATAAAACTGTAATAATCTTAACTGCGACTAACCAAAAATGTTAGTTAGTTATGAACTTAGTACAGAGTTTTTATCCACATCTAGGTAAAGGTTTTATTGTAATAAAAAAAAGTAAATTTTTTTACTTTTTACTTTTCTTCTATTACTAAGTTGTTAAATTAAACAAATGAATATTAAACATTTTTAAACAGTACCAACCTACATTTTCTTTTCTTTTCTTCGATGATCTGTTTCAGTTTTACCTATTTCTGGAAACTCTTTTTCCTCTAATAAACTGACAATGAGACGTAAATAAACTGATTACAATTGAATGGCGGTCTTGAATTATTTTTTTTTAGATATTTGTTATCTGAAATCTTTTATTAATTACTTATTTCAAGTATCTAATTTTATCATCAAAATCATCAGGTGCGATATAATTGTATACTAATGTTTTGTTATTGCAATAAAGGTCTACTACAGTAATTGTATGTTATTTTTATTGCTCATATCTAATAATGATAAATTTCACAGTAAAATGAAAAACTATGAAATTCGAATAAACTTTTATTGAAATAAAAATACATAATTATACATTACAATGATTTTTAACTAAATTATTTTGATATACATAGTTTATTCTTGATATGCACGCAAAAATTTCTTGATTCAAATGTACAACATTTGAAAATATTTTCTTCTTTCAAGAAAATTATTTATTTAGTTAAATATTTTCAATTTCTACCCAGAAATATAATTTCTTACTTTAAAAATAGGCAGTATTTAAAATAAATATCTGATACTTACGGTTAAACGATTTCTATTCTTTTTGATTTTATGATCTACATAGATTTTATAGAAACATGTTTTGTATTGTATATTAATGTATCGTTTGTTTAACACAAAACTTAATAATTTTGGTCAAATGATTGTATATACTTATTTTAAGAATATAATTTTGGATATAAATATTTCTCAGTAATAAAAAATATTTTGTATCAAACTCACAACACCTAATACAACAGAGCTAGGATCGTTCGTAAGTTTAACCAACCAGACATAGGTCGGTTTGGGACTTACTGATGGTCCTGATCAATATGTCGTTAGAACGATCCAGCTGCTTTAGTGTCGTTACTCACAAAGAGATGTGTATACACAGAGTGTAAGTGGTTCCATCTATCGTGCTACTTCCCATCTACGCCATTCTATGACCTGCTACAATTTTCTTTCAAGAAAACATAAGATTGATTATAATATGTTACATTTGTCTTGAATAATTCCTACATTTATACTTTAAAACTATCTGCTCACTTTTTTCCAGTGTAGACGGAGGTGGTTATACTTTCAAATGTAATGTTACTTTATTTGCAAGAAGAGTTCGAGCTAACAAGGTCTTCGATAGAGTTTTCTATAGAAAATAGTAGTTTTCCATGGCAAGTCTAAACATTGTTTAAATTAACCATTTAAATAATAGTTTTTCAATTTGACATAGACAGTTTCTGTGTTGCTGTATACACCACGATATTGTCACAGATTGTGTACCTATATCTACAATTTCCTTACATTTATAGTCGCCCCTTAAAAATGTAGGCTCCGTCACCCCTTCCATGCCCGTAGGTATTTGCTAATCGAAAATCTATACCGAGATTTTGATGACTTACCCCGACTTGGATCCGTGCAAGATTGCAAAGAAATAAAACAATCTTATTTCGATTTAGAGTGAACTGTTACTGTAATTTGTTTGATGAAACCGGATCGATTTTCTATTCATTTCTAGTTTAGTTGAACTGCATCTTATCTAGCTAGTCTTGTGATTCGGCACAGTGCAATAAGCAGTTTTATTATCTTTTGAATTTTTGTGTATGTCTATATTTACAGAAGATAATTTGTAACTTTATTCTTACATTGCGCGATGTATATTTAAATGCTGAGTGTTTAAAGTAAAAAAGACACGAATACAAGTGAACCTAAAACTATTTAAAATGTACTTATATAATTCTCAGTTGTTTTAAAAGATTTCAATAAAATTTATTTTTGTGACATTACTTTGCTGTCACTTTCCATTTTCCTCGTAGGAAATACGAAATTTGGCGTTACTCCTACAATTTAAAAGCACATTTTCCCATTTAGATATTTCTTCGGGACAGTCGTGAAATGATAGCGGAAGTAAATTACTTCGATTATTATAGCAAGTTCTGCTTTATCGTTTACTCTAAATAACAAGCAGTTTAGATCGGAATGAGGGTTTTGTAAAGCCTGTGGGATATTTCGTTCCATTTATTTCCTGAAATTTTCACCGTCCCTATATTTCTAAAAAATGGTCTCCTTGGTTTTGTCTTTCACCGATTCCTTCTCTGTGCCTCACAAAAGATATCGTGCAGAATATGGGAAAGAATAAAATGTGATTTTTTATTTATACAAGAAGGTACATATTTTTTATCTTATTTGTTGATGCAAAACTATCTCTTTTAATATACTGACTAGAGGAAAGGGTGTTAATATACATATAGAACCCCATTCTGTTTCTCATCAATAAGTTGATGTATAACATGACTATTATTAAATAAATATGATACAGTATGATACAATAGAAAAGTGACATTTTTTCTTGGAATGACTCACAGCCACACAGAAAAAAAAAGTTGGGTATACTTTTTATGCGACATAAATGTTTCGTAGTAATTTGGCCTCCTGAACACGAATCTGGGGTCAGAATTGGCCCATCATGTCACAATTTTTTCCTAACCTCAAAAAACTTGTGAAAAATAGTGAAAATTTATGAAAATTTACTGGGAAAATTTGGAAAAAAATTTATTTCCACATCAAATAGTACATTTTTATGTAAAAGACTCTGCTGAATTCAAATCCGCTGTCAGAATTGAGCTAGAACGTGTGGTTTTTTTTCTAACCTCAAAAAACCGAGCAGGAATCGCTATTTTCAAATTCTGAGCGGATTTTGACCAGATTTTGTATAAAGGGGTTTTTTGGGTCGCTGATTACGAATATGAATTCACATTGTAAAAATTCAAGATGGCTGATCCAATATGGCGGGTGTACTTTTTTGAAATCCACCGATTTCAGTAAAATTTGGCATCATAAGGATTGCTGGTTGATCTCACCTTCATTAATCACACATCTGGAGCCAGATTTTCATAAATCAAGGTAAAAGATTCCACTCCGTCTAAAAATGTGACTTCGCTTAAAAAAATGACTTAAGGACTCTACACATGTAATGATGTGTAGTGTGATGTGCTTGTTTCCATGGGACAAGACAAAAAAGTTTCTACTTTATTCTTTCATTTATTTAGTCGTGCATGGGCTTATGGTTTTCCAATCAGATTTTTTTAACTACTATGCAGTTTTCCTATGGCATTTAGATGCTTTTATTTCTTAATAATTTTAAAGTTCAAGGAAAAGGACACATTACTGCCACACAGCACATCACTGCATCTGCTTATGCCTTCAATCTAAAAATGTGACTTTGCCGAAAAAATGCCGCCTACTCGGCCTAAAATTATGACTCTGCCTACAAATTTTACCTTGATTTATGAAAATCTGGCTCCAGATGTGTGATTAATGAAGGTGAGATCAACCAGCAATCCTTATGATGCCAAATTTTACTGAAATCGGTGGATTTCAAAAAAGTACACCCGCCATATTGGATCAGCCATCTTGAATTTTTACAATGTGAATTCATATTCGTAATCAGCGACCCAAAAAACCCCTTTACACAAAATCTGGTCAAAATCCGCTCAGAATTTGAAAATAGCGATTCTTGCTCAGTTTTTTGAGGTTAGAAAAAAAAATCACACGTTCTAGTTCAATTCTGACAGCGGATTTGAATTCGGCAGAGTCTTTTACATAAAAATGTAATCTGACCCCAGATTCGTGTTCAGGAAGCCAAATTACTACGAAAAATATATGTCGCATAAAAAGTATACCCAACTTTTTTTTTTCTGTGTGGCTGTGATTAAAGACTCTCTAAGGAAACTAATTTCTCCTATCCCAGATATATCCTTGTAAACAATGAACAAAATCTGAGCATTATGAAGACTTCAACTGCGCAAATAGCTATCTGACAGCGGGATGAATCAATCTAAAGTCTAAAACTATGAAACTTTGAGTTAAATTCTATACGATTAACAGGTGCAGTAAAAATCACTCCAGCCCACGACCAGACCGACTTCGAAGTAGCAAAGCGTCACGGCTTGAAACACCTGCAGGTGATCGATGAAACGGGAAACCTCACAGCTGCCTGTGGCGACTTCTCCGGTCTACGAAGATTCGACGCCAGAGACGTGGTGATGACTCAGTTGGACAACTTGGGCTTGCTAAGGGGTCGCCAACACCACGCGATGATGGTACCGATCTGCAGTCGATCTGGGGACGTGGTGGAATTCTTGGCGCGACCCCAATGGTTCGTTAGGTGTCAGGAGATGGCGACGAAGGCGGTGCAGGATGTAAGGGAAGGGAGGCTGACGATTGAACCTAGTCATTTCGAGAAGACCTGGTTCAATTGGTTGGAAAATATCCGGTAAGTGTATATATTCTAGAGTTTGAAAAAGGGTTCAATTTGTTGGTTTAGTTAAATTCGGTCTTATTTATTTCCTCGCACAGTATTCAATGTCCATTATTTCTGTCTGGAAGACTATAGAATTCTTTGCAGAGTAAGAATTTGCGAAGATTTGATACCCGAAACGTTCTAACATCTTAGTATGGAAGACTTGGGACGGCCCAGGCCAATTCCATGTATCTGTAGTTGGCCTGGGGACATGGTGGAACTCTTGGAGTGACTCCAATAGTTCGTTAGGTGTTAGAAAATGGCTAATATGGCGGCGGAGAATGTCAGGGAAGTAAGGTTGACTATTGAATTTCAATTGGTTAGAAAATATCATGTGTGAAAACACCATCTTGTTCCACTACAACTATTCATAGGCAATATATCTTTAGTTCTTTAATAGTTACCATCCATAGTTTTGACAGGGGTATAATTTTCAGCTAGTTTCTTCCTTTCCTTCAGAATATATAAAAGCTATATTCCACCAGATCAATGTTACGTCGTTTCGAGTCTGCACTACCCTTCTGAGCAGTCTTATTGTTATAGTTATGGATATACAGTCTTGGTTCAGTAAATCTGTCGTTAATTCCGTTGTTGGAAAAATTTCTGAGTTTGACTTTGTGTAGGGTTTCCTTATTACCATTTTTGGGTCCCTCTTAGATAATAAATGAGCTTTTTTTTTAACTAACTCAGCTTAGGTGTTGCATCGATGGACTTCATGTCCTGATACTCAACATTTTGACAGATTTGATCCGATGAGCTAGTTTTTTAGCTGTCTGTATACCAGATTAGATTGGATTTAACAGGAAGCCTCTTGGCTTAGTGCTTTCTTTCTGATATCCCCCTAAGTTCTATCCATAGAGCCTCTGATATATGTGACTGAGTTACTTTTTCCTTCATTTTTAAACGTTTTATTGCAGTTATTTAAGAGAATGTTATCAACTTATGACGTAAAATTGTCATCAAGATTTAGTTGAAGTTTAAATTGAAAGACGTTACAAAGAAAATTAAACCAAGCCCAAGAAACGAAGTTTGGCTCAATATCGTCCTTTCTACACATTAAAATCGACTTAAATTTGACTATATCAATTGCATTGTCCGTTAAAGCGCTCTTTACCACAAGTTTGCTCCGAAACGACGTAATGGAATCGTTATATAAATATAAACGCTCTTCTCAGGCTTGTAATTACCGCCGTGACAGTTGTATATTCGGGTGAACAACAGCCGTACGACTCCGCATACACATTCCTGGTAACACAATGAACAAATAACGAGCCGCTTTGTGTGCGGGGTTCGCTCGAGCAACTCCAAACTGCGAGAAAAATTGCGGATACTTTTCCGAACCGCTGAATAATGATCGGTTCGACGTTTGTGTTCGAGCCGATCGGGAAATGATGCAAATGCGGTAGAAGCCCGTTAATTGCGTCCGTCTCGCTCCAACCTTTGAGCGGAACGGGCGAGTTTCAATGGACCTGGGCGTTGGGACGGATAAACGTTTCTTTGGGAGCTGTTTATTAACTTTATTGCATGCTACGCGCAGTTTTTTGGGCGGTACACAAAAAATAATATTTATTTGGGATTCACATAACTGTGGCAGTGCTGAGACTATAATTTATGTAGAAAATACGACTTATTACAATTTGTATCACGCATTATAGTCTTTCCGAAGTCAGTTGTACATATAAAAACGCATATATTATAATGATGGTAGACTTCGTTTTGTTCCGTTTCAAAAGGCCTCCAAAATGCTATGTTGTAATAATATTAGTAAACAAAATATACCTCTTATTTCTCCCTTTCTCAATTGTAATATGAACGATTAATAGAAGGTGCTTATAATACATTAACCCGAATCACACCAAATTCCGCATTGCTGCACTGCACTGCTAGGCAATTTGACAGCCACTTGTCAAGAGCTGAGATTTATTGCCCAGTCGCCCAGTTCGGTTATCTGTGTACGCCGTTTGCCCGCGCGCGCATTCTTCAACTGGGCGTATACATTTCTACCACCTCCACATTTAGTTCGACCAGACATGTATATGGTTATGGCTAAATAAATATCGGGACAAGTTTCTCAAATATTTCCATGACGAGTTGCTGCGCCAGCGACCGAACCTGGTATATACCGTCAACCTCTTGGTTCTTCAATTAAAATCGGAAAGACTACACAAGCGAATTTTATTAAAAATGTTTGATGTTACTACACCGTTAAAGACTATTACAACTTTTTGTCTTTACAGCACACAGTTATAGAAGATACTTACGAATTAAATTAAAATATCTAGGTTTAGAAATTCCGAAGCCTCATTCGATAAGTTTTTGTGACTATGCAGAATATTGAATGTAATATAGATGGATTAATCCAGTCTGCGATATTGCTTGGGAAGTTTCGTGCTTTACGAGATCTTGACTTGCATATTACCTACACTTTAGTTGGGAGTAGAATACATTACTCCCCAACATTCTGGAATTAAATTTACAAATAATTGGAAAGCGTCGCATGTGCTGCCCTCAAAAGTTTAATTTTAGTAGGATTTTCTAGAATCTTGCATTTTTATAACATAGATCTGAGGACTAACTTAAAAAACATAACATTTTTACTATTTATTTTTCCAATATTTCCTCACTTGAAAAAAATTTAAGTAATTTCAAAACGATTTTGGTATTGGCCTTGCAATAATGATAATAGTATATAATGTGGCAAAATACCCATAGAAAATTATTAATATACTTTGTCCATACACTTTTCTATTTGTAAGTGTGTATGAATGTGCCTACATCTTCATTAAATCGACACTAAACGAATGTCCATTGGACGATGTGTGCTACAGGGGTACTTAATCAATAAAAATATATACAGGGTGATCCAAAAAGACCAGAATTTCCCTCTCCTATAATTTATCAGGATATCAGATTATCAAATAAAGTTTCAGATAAAAGTTGTAGGACATTATAAAAACAATATGTTGAATTTTACTTTGACCTTAAGTTTCAAGATAAAACCAATTTCAACTTGCAAATACTAATTATTATTAACTATTTTTTTATGTCAGCAATCCATAGAGTGCCTAGCTCTATATCCAACCATGGGATCAGAAAACCGGCATGTCCTTGCAGATTACATTTTAAGTAAAATTTGTAGGATTTTGACAAATCAGATGACTAGATTAGATGATTAGATTATGTGGCACTTCCATTTGATATTGAGTTGACCTTAGTATGACCTTGCAATTTGTGGTGAAGGTCAAGACCAGGGTCTTCATTTAAGATGTCAAAATCCTACAAATTTTGCTTAAAACATTTTCCTCCCAAATTTGTCGAAAGGAATAGGGTGTTCAATTTATTATTTTCAAATTGACCTTGGTTTGACCTTGAAGCTTAAGGTCAAGATTAAATCCATGGCTACCAACGTATTGGTTTCTTGATATGCTACAGCTTTTATCGGAAACTTCTTATGATACGACTTAATTCTAAACAGTTATTAGGGTCTTTCTGGGATGCCTTGTACATATTTTTTTTATCACAAAACCACTTTGTCTAAGAAAATTTGTGATGCCTTTTAATAAGGATACATGAATATAAAGGAGTAGGATTTTTCCTTTTTAATAATGTCTTTTTTCTGCCCTCAACTTTCCATTCCAGGGACTGGTGCATCTCCAGACAGCTATGGTGGGGGCACCAGGTGCCGGCCTACTCCTGTCGCATTCGTGGTGGAACTGAGGGGACGCTATGGATAGCAGCGGAAAGCCAGGAGGCTGCCCGTCGGAAGGCCGCACGGCAGATGTCTGCTGACGAGGATAGCATCGAAGTTGTCAGGGATGAGGACGTGTTGGACACGTGGTTTTCTTCCGCGTTGCAACCTTTTGCCGCGTTCGGTTGGCCTCATCAAGTAAGAAATTATTTTTGATTAATTATAATGAACGTTTTTAAAGAGTTAATTAAAAATTTGCGTATGTTGCCAAGTATCAAACCCCAAGTTTTTCTTATTTTCCAGTCTGAGGATCTCTCCAAATTCTATCCGTTATCCCTGATGGAAACGGGTCACGACATCCTCTTCTTCTGGGTGGCCCGCATGGTGATGCTGGGCAAGGAACTTACAGGCCAACTTCCATTCGACAGAATCTTGCTGCACGGCATCATATGTGACGCGCAAGGCAGGAAGATGTCCAAGAGCCTTGGTAATGTCATCGCTCCCGAAGACGTCATAAACGGTGCAAGTTTACAGGTAGGTGGCCAATTTATCTCAGATTATTTTTAAATATGGGGGATATGTATTGAAAAAATGATTGTTTGTTGCTTAGTGGTATTCGACAGTGGCAGCCATTTTCTATTTGTGTCTCAAATTTTATTCCAATACGTTCATTATTTCATGTTACGGACAGAGTAGCAGTAGAAATATCACCACGAATGATTGAAATATATGGGAACGAACCTCGATCATATTTTGAAGGTGATATAGTTTCGGTAGGGTCGTGAATCCATTGAAAACGATCCAAGAATCTTTCAGATCCAACCAATTCTGATGTTTTCTGGAAAGTAGGAATAATGGTTTCGAAGATAGTAGTTCGAAAATGGTTATTATTGCTAAATCATGTCTGAATCAAGCGCTTTAACAATTTTATATGATAAGTTAAGATTGGGGAAAGTTCCACCAGGGTGGGTTCCAAAATTGTTGACATCCAAACGACAACTGGGATCTAAAAACAAAATTAGAGTGTATGAAATGAGTCTATAATGGTTTCTCTCCTCCAATGGAGGTCCGCAGACAATCTTCAACTAGGAAGGTCATGGCCATCGTCTTCTAGGACCGAGCAGGAATCATTTTTGTTGAATATTTGCTAAAAGGCACGACTATTGACTGAAAACGTCCAGGTTTCCGTCACAGAAATGTACTCTTTCTTCACTATAATGTGTGGGTTCACAAAGCAATCAAAGTTCAATCTCTCTGAGCTTACCATGCGCAGTATAGTCTGGATTCTGACTTTTTTATCCATAAATTTGAAGGAGTCATTTTGGAAATTACTAAATCAATGAGGATATTGATGACAACAGGAATCATTGCTTCCTGATGGAGTAAAGCCTTTGGTGGCGCAAGTTCATTGAGGTTACCAAAAAAGTCGTCATTGGTTTCATTGATAGGGGCTTTTCTAGGACCCTTTACATAAAAAATGCAACTCGTTTGATTTAATCACTACTTTTTTAATTAAAATTTTGGAATGTGTTTGTTATAGTTTTGAAAAATCCATACTTTTTAAAAAGATTTCCATTTCCCATATCTAAATTTGGAAATAGCAGGGGAGAATTGGTATAGTTTCTATTTCATCACCTTTTTTGAACTTGTCAACATTTCTCGACAGACATCCAACTAATTAGTTTTAGCCTCATTCATATAAATTATCTCCTAACCCTGTTTCTGTTCACATTCAGCCAATTCTATTTCTAAAAGCAGCCGTTTGAAAAATCAGTTCCTAAAATGCAGCAATACATTAATAAACGTATCGCGGGTGTATTTCAGTTTTATGTAACGATATTTCCGCGTCATCCTCAAAACGATTATGCTCACCGAATTGACATTACCGAAATTTATTGTCTTTTAAANAAGCTTTTCTAGGACCCTTTACATAAAAAATGCAACTCGTTTGATTTAATCACTACTTTTTTAATTAAAATTTTGGAATGTGTTTGTTATAGTTTTGAAAAATCCATACTTTTTAAAAAGATTTCCATTTCCCATATCTAAATTTGGAAATAGCAGGGGAGAATTGGTATAGTTTCTATTTCATCACCTTTTTTGAACTTGTCAACATTTCTCGACAGACATCCAACTAATTAGTTTTAGCCTCATTCATATAAATTATCTCCTAACCCTGTTCACATTCAGCCAATTCTATTTCTAAAAGCAGCCGTTTGAAAAATCAGTTCCTAAAATGCAGCAATACATTAATAAATGTATCACGGGTGTATTTCAGTTTTATGTAACGATATTTCCGCCTCATTCTCAAAACGATTATGCTCACCGAAATGACATTACCGAAATTTATTGTCTTTTAAACAGCATATGCACTGTCGGGCGGTAATTATATAAACCATATTAGCGCAAATAGCTGGCGTTATTTATCAAAATGTGGCATTAATTTGAATTAATGGATGAATACGAGCGGAATTTAAATAGTACCTGTTCGTATAATTGCAGTTTGTTGGCGTATAAATTTATTTAATGGAGAGGTTTATTTCATCGCGATATCCGGAAAAATTGATTGGAAAGTCCAATTCGCAGTATTCAAACATTGAAGGCATTTGGAAGGAAAATTGGCGTTACGACTGGGGAAAATAAAATAAAATATGTTGTCTGAAATTGTTCATTTTTTATTATGATGTCCTTGAATTACATTCATCTTCATCGGTCTAGTTTTAGACGCACCAGAGATTAATTGCCTCCTTTTCCTAGAGGAAAGCGTATATGTCCGGTGAATCTTTTTATTTCACAAAATCCTTAAAATATAAATACGAGTTTGTTTCTCATAATTTTCTTGTCCGAATTGTCAATTTTGTCTTGCTATTATCACTGTATATATTTGTTGTTCCAAACAATGTTGCTTCAAAAGAACATCTACGAATATCTTGAAGATTCTTGACTCATACTGATGCCAGATTTACCACAATTCATGTAAAAGGTGTCCCAAACTTCATGCAAGATGTAATTGTAATAGAAAACAGGTTTTTAATTAAAAATTGTAAATTTTTTATTGATTCATAAATCATACAGTACTTATAGCGTTATGTATCGGCTAAATGGCCTCCACGCTTTGCACACTCTTTTGTCGAAATTTTCCATGACCTTTTTGCTTTGCTGAATTTCCTTGATGCAGCGCTCAAATTCCTCCTCCAAGGCGTGGGTGGGCATGGGTTTGTTGGCATTTACCTTAGACTTCAAAAAAACTCAAACGATGTTAGATCGCAACATCTGGGCGGCCGATTCTGATCACCAAAACGGAAATTACACGACCAGGAAATTATTCATGCTAAAATTAAATTGTTTCTGGGGCTGTATGACATGTAGCGCCGTCTTGTTGAAACCACATATCTTGTATCCATATCTTGCAAAATAGGCACAAAAAACTGCATTATCATGTCGCCATTAACTGTTATTGCCTAACCAGCCGCATTTTCGAAGAAGAATGGTCCGATGATGCTTTCAGCCCAAAATCCGCACCAAACAGTGACATGTTGTGGATACATTTGTTTCGCAACAATCACCCCAAATGCGTAAATCAAGATGGAAATGGGCTGGAGACGATTTTATTCGAAAAATCAGCATCTATTTGTTGTTCCATAAGCATTTACGAACTCTTTTCGCTTTACTTGATCAACTGGCTTCAGTTCTTCAGTCAATTGAACTTTATAAGCATGAATACGCATATTTTGCTTCTCTCAGCTAATTTTCCACGCTCTCGTATATTTATTGTCTGTTTACTGAGTTTTTAATTGTTTGTTTTGGTTGCGGTAGGCTCTCGAGGAGGGATCAAAGGCAAGTTATGCGGCGGGAGTTCTCTCGGAAGACGAGCTGAGCCGCGCCGTCCTAGGCCAGAAAAAGATGTTCCCACAGGGCATTCCAGAGTGCGGATCTGATGCGCTGAGGTTCACGCTCATGTCGCACAACGTTAAGAGTGAGTTTCTTTTACAGTTTTTACAAAAATATTCGTAATTTCCACTAAAATAATAATACTATACTACTACAATACTAATACCATAGCAATAATACTAATTTCTACTTGGTACATTAATCTTGCATTTTCCATACCGCATAGGTACTGCGTTACTAACAAAAACGTGCTTGTGCATCGCATTTAATTTTATTAGCTCCGAACTGAGGAATTAAATACAAAATAAATAAAAACAGAGGGGATAAATTACTATTTGAATTAAATTTAGCCCAAGTTGTCGGCTGGCGCTGGTTTATGACATAATTTAATTACGCTAGCACCAACTAAATTGCTTTGCTGCGCTGGATTTTATTTTAACAAATTTTATTTTCACACTTTACGACTTTATCGCATCTCCCTTTCATGCATCGCGTTAAATTTATCTGTGAAGTTTCGGATCTGCGCTTTACTGGAACATAATTCAATATCGCGATATCAAGGGCTTTTAGCCGTTTTGATGAGCTCTAAAGGTATGCTGCACGAAGTTTAAAGTCAGGCTCCCTCTGTAGTTTTTTAATTCGTGCCAACCTTGCACAGACCATTACAGAAGGTGATATCCGCATATTGATTACAAAAATGTTCCACCTCTTTATATCGGTGTCCCAAAAGTCACAAGATATGCCAACGAAAAAAATGGATTGTGGAATAAGTGGATGCTGATTTTTCGAACAAAATCATCTTCAGGTCATTTGGCTTCAGTAATCGATAAAATGGTCAAAAATCCAGGAGTGATTGTTGACAAACAAATGCATCTAGCCTTAAACTGCATACAAATTGTGCAATCTCTTGTGAAGTACGGTAAAATTCACCGGATCACACGTAAAATACAACAGAGATCTGAAAATTGCGTCAAAATAGGATAAAAAATACGTTGGAAACTTCCAAACTTCGAATATCAGAAATCAGCGAACCACCACTAAAAAGTCAAATCACCTTGAAACTTTAAAGGTTTCAACACAGAAAATTATGAAAAATTACAAAATAATAAAACATATCAAAATATTTTAGAATAAAATCCACACATCTGAACCGTTTAAAGTGATACTTTATCCACTAGTGGAATATCCACTGTATTTCACTAGTAGCTTCATGAAAAAATAATAAATCTAATTTAATTTATTTACTTATTAACAGTAACATTTACTTTTATAGTAATAGCCATTTCGTTTTTTATTTTATCACATTTTATTTCCTTTCCGTTAATAACAACCCTTGTAGGGTTGTTATTAACAACCAACAACAACCAAAACAACCATCATTTTCGGAACGCATAACATCTGCCGAAGTTTGTGAAGAATTTGCTCAAGTTACGGATGTGTCTTCTTGTAAGGAAGAGCTATATTTTCCTTGGATTTTCAAGTTTGTTAGATATAGACGCCTCAACAGAACTTTCTGCTACAGAGGAGCTCTTCCATCCACCATGCCGTTTGATGGTTGTAAGATAAGCTCCTTTATTGGCCAATAAAGTTGTTGAAGGCGCCTCATACAATGGCCAGTATATGCTTCTGGATCTGCGATATTCAGGAATGAAGCAACTATTGAGGGTACCTTCGTCAATGTGTTGATTCCAACAGGTTGACAAATACATTTTTGATTGATGTATCTTAAAAAGAATCTGTCTTGTGTTAGGCGAATTGGACGCAGAAAAATATGTTTTCTGCATATTTCAGCAGCATTCACGCAAAATTCTTCTATAACTGGAAATTTTCTTGAAATGCCCGCCTTGGTGTTAGGTATTGAATCAAATCGGTAACTGCCAAAGTTCTGTACGTCACTAATTTTCAAATTTGTCAATTCGCACGAGAAACTCAATTCTTCGATATGTGCTCTTTCCAATACTGCAGCTTTTTTGTTTTGTTTCCTCTAGTTTCACTCTTCAAATAAGCAGTAAGCTTGTTGTAGCCTTCAATATCGAATATTTCGACCACATAGATGAAAGAGTCGAGTTGAGTAGTCGATAGTAGACACGTGTTTATATAGTTCTCTGAAATTACTGATTTTTATATTGTGTGTCTGGCATTATTTTCTGGCTTGTTATCTGAGGTGGTAGATAGCTTCAAGATGACGAGGTCTGCTTCTAAAAGTATTAGTCAGGAGACAAAATATGATGAGAGCTTAAAAGATTACATAGCTAATTTAGTCAACGAGTCAACAAGAGCTCTACAACAAAAATTATTATCTTTGGAACAGCAAGTAAGTGACTTGGTTTCAACAAATAAAGAACTGATTGGGTTGTTAACGAAGAATAAACATATTGATTCGTTAATTGTTAATGATTCTAATAATAAGGTTAGGTCCTCCGCATTATCACAAGAAGTAGTAGCTGCGGGGGAACAAAGAAATACTAGGAATTCGACTAAAAAGTGCCAGCCATTTGATAGCGGCAAAACGGATGGGTCGGTCGCCAGTGACGTCCCTATGAAACGGAATAAGAATATTATTAGGGGTTCGGCTGCTATTACTGAAGGCTCTTCCTTGGNACAATTAGGTGACTGCCAACGTCCTGTACGTCACTAATTTTCAAATTTGTCAATTCGCAGCATCGACAGGCACCAGAAACCCCCATTATTAGTGCAACATAAAATAATTCAAAGTTCACTATATACTTAACATGTAAAAGGTAAGTAGGTATATTAATTTAATCATTAAATATTCTTTGTCGGAAGCTCCAGTAAAAAATTCTTCAATATGTGCTGTTTCCAATACTGCAGCTTTTTTGCTTTGTATCTCGATTCACTCTTCAAATAAAGAGTAAGTTTGTTATATTTTCCAATATCTATATTTTTGTAGACCTTTATAGTTTCCTTCGACATCGAATACTTCGACCACATAGATGAAATTGCATATTTTTTCTTCAAATTTAAAAAATACGACACTATGACTTCTTCATTTATTGTCATTAGTCCCTGTTTTTTTCCTCCATTCGTTAAATTCGGCGAACACTTTTTCGTAATGTTCTATGGATTTCGCTGGCAATAAATGGAAAATTGTTTCTTGAGCTTCTTCAAAAGCCGCCACAAGATCACAATTATTTTCTTGCATTTTTACCAACTTCAGATATAACTGTTTACTAAATAATTGATAATACCAGTAGGTATAAGAAAACCTACCAAGTTTCATTGAGTACTAGTAAGAAATGTCAAGTCGTATTAACATTTTTTTTTGATTCCAATAATCCTGACTCCACAAATATGATTGTGATGTGATTATGGATAAAACGTTGTATTGCATTCGTGATTTAATTGCCTTTTATCCACTTAAGAATATTAAATGACTGAATTACTGAAAACACCTACACAGAGAGAATTTCTTTGCTAGTTAGTAAAAATCCATTAACTGTAAAATATCTGCATTAAATAACCGCCAAGTGAGTTGCCTTCTCACCACAAGAAAAATGCTTTGCTGGAAGGAACTCACTTGCAGTAAGTAGACAGTTGTGCTATAATGTCTTTGCTACCTCAAGCAAGTCAACTCATTAACCCCAAACGAGTCTTCATTAATCCCAAGCGAGTCAACTCATTAACCCCAAGCGAGTCAACTCATTAAGCCCAAGCGAGTAAACTCATTAACCCTAAAAGAGTCAACTCATTAACTCCAAGTGAATCATCTCCGTATTTACTATTTTTCGGTGTTGTTGGCTCTCCTCACTCTTCGTGCACCATGCAATGCAACTAAAAAATGTTGTACACATATTCAAGCAAGCATAAATAATTTTGAAATCCCATTCGAGAAGTAAGAGTTTGTATTCAGACTGTATTGTGTGTATGTAATCACGCATGCACACATATTGGATACCTTCGCAAATACCCAAATAGAAAACTTTCTGGCAATTGTTAGACAACTGAAAACTGTGACTTTTTTTGTTGTGGTAGCAAACACGTTTCAGCAAAACGTCCTTACTTGTGGCAGCATGAATTTTTTTCTACGACAGCAAAAATTTTACCTACTACAGCTCAGTGTATTCAATAAATAACTATAAGTCACCTTCCAGGACGTATTTTATAAGTCAACGGAGATTTCTCGCCGAGTTCTGCGGAAGAACTCCTACATCAAATAAATATCGCGGCTGTTATTTAAAGCAGAACGCGGTAGCCGAGGCGGTAAAATTGTTTTTATACCAGTTCCTATATTACCACTATAAGTGGTTGCTGATTTTTCGAACAAAATCATCTTCAGGTCATTTGGCTTCAGTAATCGATAAAATGGTAAAAAATCCAGGAGTGATTGTTGACAAACNAACTAAAAATGTTGTACACATATTCAAATAAGCATACTTAAATAATTTTGAAATCCCATTCGAGAAGTAAGAGTTTGTATCTATCTCTGCGAAGCCCCTCACTTGGTAGATTTCTTTCAGTGTATTCAATAAATAACTATAAGTCACCTTCCAGGACGTATTTTATAAGTCAACGGAGATTTCTAGCCGAGTTCTGCGGAAGAACTCCTACATCAAATAAATATCGCGGCTGTTATTTAAAGCAGAACGCGGTGGCCGAGGCGGTAAAATTGTTTTTATACCAGTTCCTATATTACCACTTGCTCCGCAACGTCTCTACAAACCACACGTTCAGATATATATCCGAATCGCAGGGACGTTTTAAATATGCGCGGCATTACGTTATTCCGGCCCATTTATGTCGCCGCAAATGCGAATGTCGCGTTCTTACGATTTGGCGGAAAACCTGGAATTTTATTTACCGTTATAAAATCCCACCCTACGCGTCGATAAGTCAATGCCTGGTTCCTTTGTCTTCCGGGATCGTCTGTACTTTGCGAGAAGGGTTAGAGGAAAAGAAAGGAGGGTAAATAAAGTGTCAGCTGCCAACGATATCGTCGGACAAGCCATCTGTCCGTACCTCAGTTTCGGTTCTCTCATAGTCTATGAATTATTTAAAGAAAAACCTTTGTATATTTGCGTATATGTATTGATAGAACAGTTGGTACATGTTCTGATGGGTTTATCTCTGATCGAGAAAAAAACAGTAATGTTTTAGTCAAATTCCTTTATTTCCCTTTCTTGGCCATGATTTCCTCACCATCCCTGATATTGCAACCACTGTTCTTTTCTTTTGTGCACAATTGAACTTTTGTACATCGAGTTGAAGAATTTGATAATTTTTTTCTCGGAAATAGTTGAGTTTAGGACCCATGTCATATAATGTTTTTTTGTTCATTTTAATGTATTCTATCGTCTGTTAAAATTAAGGCAGTCAAACTTTTAACACCCTGTATAATAGTAAACAATTCCGAAACTTTACATAGTTAGTGTCAAAAGTAAAAAAAATGCCACTTACTAAAAATCGTATTATTAGTCTGTAAGAAAAGGGTGTGGCTCAGTTAAATTTAAATATTGCTAAATCTATTACTTAGCTCTTGACATCCGTAGAGGAAGATTTTTTACTAGACAGCATTTGGTTCTTTTTTCTCTAAGTCACCCGTTTGTTCCGAAGTTGTGTAGATCAGTAGATGTTAATAAAAGATCTGGTATAGTCAATGAAACTCATAGACTACAATACTGGAACCAATAGAGGAAATAAGACTATTTGATAACGATTTAAGGATTAGTAATCAACTAGAATGTGAGACGCTATGCGCCATATAAAAACCAAGTCCATGCCATACTATGTCAAGTCTATGGTTGAGGAAATTATACCCAAACGAAGGTAGGTAACACGGGAAAAATATCTTGCAATGAAATTCCTCTGGTTGTATGAGGGAGTGAGATAACCTACAAATATCCCAAAACTACGAAGATTTTCTTTACTGTCAAAAACCATGCTGGTTATCCATTTTTCTGACATCGAAGAATATGGATAATGCATCTTTATTGATTTTCATTAACTAGTAGAAATTTGTAAATCTGTAAGTTTATACGAGCTCGTTGAAATAAAGGGAAATATGTATTGAAGATAGGATCCGTCGGTCGTAATTATGGTAGAACATAAAACAAACAGATATTAAAGTTGTCTACTCTCCAGCAGATGTCGCTAGAATTACCAAATAGTTAAAGTTTCTAGACTTACTGTCGAAGTGATTGATTCACAATTAATTACCATAACAAATTTATATTTGGGAAAAGCAAATGCTACACTGCAATCGGAAAATAAAATAAGCATTATCTTTTTAATTAAGTCAGTATTTCTACTACAAATTCAAACGTTGATGTCCAAGATTTTTTTCTATTTCAAACAAGAGCTTCTGCTGTACATTTGACACCAGTATATGCACTGGTTTAGAAACTATCTACAATTTTAAAAACGCTAAAAACGCTATTGAAATGTGTTATTGATTTTATGAAACACCCTTCGTACACTTCAAGAACATATATTTTAAAAGTTAAACACGCCGAAGTTTTTTCTTTACTTTTGCTCCAGACCATTTCATAAACTTCGACGTTAACGAGTGTTACACAAACAAGACCTTCTGCAACAAAATTTGGCAAGCCACGAAATTCGTAAAATTGTGGTTTTCGAACGTATCCAAGGGACAGGATCTGAGGGAAGCCGAAATAGATGTACGGTGCTTGACGTTGATGGACAAATGGGCCTTGAGTAGGTTGTCTTTCATGGTAGATACAGTTAATGATGGATTAAGGGGATACAATTTCCACGTTGCCACTGCTGCCCTCAAGAATTTCCTGTATTACGACTTCTGCGATGTTTACTTGGTAAGTGCTCGATTCTAAATGTTTAATTATTGTCACATTTGATAGTACTTTGATTGTTTTAACCTTTTAATATTAAAATTTCAGCTTAATGAGCAATGGCACAATTTTTTTAAATCACGCTCCTTTTTTAATAAACAGTTTTTTTTATAAATTGAAACCAGTTAAGTCTATTTTCAATAATAACAATTTGTGTTTCATAGTCGTATATTTAACATACAGACTAAAACTGAATGGGTGACCTTGATTTTTTAGGAGAAAGTTCTCCCGATATGAAGTGAACGTACAATAATTTTGATTCACTGATAATATTTTTGCTTTGTATGGCGGCTCAATGGTCTAGGGGTATGATTCTCGCTTTGGGTGCGAGAGGTCCCGGGTTCAAATCCCGGTTGAGCCCACTTTTTGCTGAATTTGGTTTTTGATTCGGCGACCTTATACAATTTCAAGTTTTAAATGTTACATTTGTTGTTTGTACTATTCCTAAGATTTTTAATTATTTGCGATTTAAAAATATATAAAATAGAAAATATACAAAAAAAGAGATCATATTTCGTTATTAAACTGACTACTCTGGTTCTCTTTTCGCATTTGAAAATATTATTACTCAACTTTTCATATAAAAATATAAATTAACTTTTTTTTAGGTAGGCACCTTTATTAATTTCATAAGTGTTCTGGGTATCACCTATAATCTTTAACTGATGGTACAGAAATTTGTCTCCATATTTTTATTTTTGAATGAAATATTTAAAATATTTTCAAAGTGACCAAGGGCGACAAAATTATTACTAGAAAAAGGAAACACTTCTTTTGTTGTTATCGTGTACTACTACTAAACTTTTGAACATAAAAAATGTATCGCCTTGTATACACGTTAAAACAAAACGATGAGGAAGTGTATACTAGGAAAAAACTCAAGTAAATATTTATTTTGCTCCCACCCTGCGTAATTTATTTGCCAAAATTGCGTTATACCTCGTTGTAAAGGTCTTTTCGTGCTTTATCTCGTGGTGAATGCGTGATAGTCGATAGTCGATGATATAGTCGTTTACCTCAATATGGAAACCTATTTCCAAAGAATGCCGTTTTATGGATTTTTCTCAAAAATTTTAAATGAATTCAGCACAAAAAACTGTTTTGTCGCAAATAAAGGTCCTAATTTAATTAAATACGTTGGATTTAATCGCATTGGCCATGGCCAATTTGTTGTACATGGCGGCTCAATGGTCTAGGGGTATGATTCTCGCTTTGGGTGCGAGAGGTCCCGGGTTCAAATCCCGGTTGAGCCCAATCTTTTATTTCTGTAAAAATCTACATGTGCCTATATCGAATTTGCTTACATCTTTTTTATATTTGAATTTAGGATTAAAGAAAACAAATATTCATTTTATTAAGCCGGTCTTTTCTCTCACAAAATTCCGATACTTTATGTAAACCCTGTATATACCCTAGAGGCCCAGTGGTCTAGGGGTATGATTCTCGCTTCGGGTGCGAGAGGTCCCGGGTTCAATTCCCGGCTGAGCCCAGTTTTTGCCAAGCAATGCTTATTTTTATCGAATTTCAGTTGTTTTTTTCTACAGCTGTTGCGTCGCACTTTGAACAAATGATTTTTTAATTAATTTTACCGGCTTACACAAAAATTGCATTATAAATTGAAGAAATTGAAAGAGTTTCATAAGCAGCACATTCACCAGAGCTTAAGCCTACAAAAGGTATTTTCCAATTTATGAAAAGTATAACTATTAAGTCCTTGGTTTTAGATGTACAGGGTGGTTACGCGGAAACGTTACCTTTCGAGGTAACGACGAAAAAGTTAAGAATAAAAATCCTAAGGTTTTTTACATTTTTTTGGTATACAACGAAAACTTATGTATTTTTTTATGGAATTACTTATAGATTTTTATACTATACAAAAAAGCTCTTCAACAATGTATTTTACGTGATACTTACCTTTAAGAGTTTTCGAGATATTACGTATTTTAATATAATCTTACGTAGTAGTTTTGGAAGAATATTGACAATTAAAAAAATGTTGTTAATCCGTAATGAATTTAATTATGCTTAGTAGGGTGGCCAAAAAAAAACGAATATTTTTTTTCGTGTCTCTTGTGAAAATATGTTAGTTCATCATGTTTTAAGAGCCCCCTCAAAAAGTCAGCTCAAAAAAATTTTTTTAGAGGTCGTTAAATATTTTTGAAAATTTCCAAAATTTTTTTTCTCGTTATTTTATCATTTTCTAGGTTGAAAAAATCTCGATTCTGAAAATTTCAAATTGATATTTTAATTTCTAAAGGTTTTTGTTTTTATTCGAGAAAGCGAGCCAATTTTTTTATTTCAATATAATTGAATAAATAATTCCAAAACTATTAATTTCACAAATATTAGAATTATAATTATCTTCAATTCGAAATTAGTGATGAATGATTTTTTTAGCAACTGATAACTACATTGCATTTAAAATGATATTTCTCACAAAAAAAAATTTTTTTCGTTAGGGTTTTGAAGTTATTTTTGATTTAATCAACTATGTTGAGATTTATTTTAAATTAGAAAAATAATTATTCAAAAATTACTTAAGTTTCATAAATGTATGCCACACACTTTAAATGAATGTGAAATATTTTTTAATTTCAATACGCTGTGTCTGAAATATCAAAGAAATTACTAAATATAAATATTATAAGGAATTTGGGTGCTTGTACTCGAGTGTTATATTGATTACATACATAGTAATGTTGTTATGTGGAGAAGATAGCTGTAATTATTATTATGATATCGTTACACTTGATTATTAATGATAATAAACGTATAAAGATAGGCTTTTATACCTTATTTAAGTATTTTTGCTGCGGTAAATTACCTTTATATTGCATATGTGACTAGATATGGCGGCTCAATGGTCTAGGGGTATGATTCTCGCTTTGGGTGCGAGAGGTCCCGGGTTCAAATCCCGGTTGAGCCCATTTTTACAAAATTTGATTTCGCTAATTCTTGAAAATACAACAAAATTATAAATAATTATATGCACTTATGTGACGACAACTAAACATAATATGTGCAAATCATTGGACAAAGACGTTCGCTATTGAATAAATAAATTTTTGCTGCTATTATAAAGAGTTAAGTACAGTAATTAGAGTAATTTAAAATAGTTAAGGTGGTTTTGATTAGAATAATTTATAATTTCCTTTATTAATCAACTAAACACTGCCGATCTTAGGCTGTTATGTAGTTTCATATAAAGTCGAAGTGTACTCAGCGAAATTTTTCTTAGGTCACAAATACAAAAAAAGGTTTACCACGAACCACGGAGCATTAATCTTAGGCGGTACAGTGACAGCTTTGGCAAGTTGGAAGCCTTACAAGCTCTGAGTTGCAGAGATAAATTTGTCTTGTTATACAGGGTAGTTTATTGGCAATATTTATGATCTTTTTTAAGCTGTATACACTTTATTTTGATTACTGTACACAGCCAACTTCAATAAAGTATTATTTACATTTGTATAATTCTTCCTTGTTAATTTGTAAGGGATATAAATATTCGATTGCGTCGTGAAAATATACCCTTAACGGATGTTCTTCGTTATGTATTTCATAATAATCAGTCACTTTCTTTATCAGTTTCTGAAAAGTTGTAAGGAACAGGACGAAATCCTTTTCATGTTCGTTATTTAAATTCCTCGACGCTTTTTAAGCATATTTCATGTACGCCGGCGTTTAGATTGATTGACATATCGTCCTTAATGCACTTTTTAAAAGCTTCTTTGATAAATTACACTCGTATTATTTTTACTTTTCCAGTCACATTATGAATTATAGCTCCCGCAAAACTCTATCATTAAAGGGATTTTGTAGAAATTAATAATCTGTTCGGTACTAAATCACCACGAATGTTTTATTTGCTAATAAAAATGAATGATTATCGTTCAAACGATACGCCTTCCGGATTGTGTTCGAAGGTCTTCGATATTGTCGTTGTTCTTAATATCGTGGGTTTATACAAAGTTCATCGTGCTTTGCTTACTCCGTTTATTGTTATTTTAGCGAATTTATAAAACATACGTTCAAGTAGGTCATGCATTTAGTAACATGTGCAAGCTAAGTTAATATAATGTAATCCGTAAATATTCTGGAAAATTAGTTTGTAGAAACTAGCAGTGGTAAAAATATTAATTCCTTCAATGCTACATATTGATCATAAATGTTTAGAATGACGCAAGTAATTAAATTTTGTCACGTGATCAAGAATGCATTGTGACGTCATTTGGTGCGACCTAGAAAGCAATGTGCTTCTCGGTCGCCAGTTGTATAATCTGCATTTCCCAAAATGTATCTTAAAACTGAATTTGGCTGTGTCTAGATTCTGGTTACTCACTATACTTATGTTACCAGGACATCTTGTACCTGTTATCCATCTTTTCAATCGCACTAAATGACGTCACAAATTAGTGCACAGACACCCGTTTAAAACTATATTTTGAACGCCAAATTTTAGTAATTAATTATTAATTAACAATCTCTAAGATATTTCTAATACTTTCACCTACATGATTATATAATGTTATAGATTATTTTTGGACATTTAACCCATTCTAGTGTTTTAGACAAGTTGTCCCTCAGTATTTATACCATTGGTTGATGACATAATAATGTAAATACGTCATAAGGATATTCAGGATATTATTCAAATTGACTTTTTTTTACGTATTTAAAGATCACCCTGTGTAGCTGCATTTTTTAAACATAAAAATAGAGGAGATTCAATTATCAGTATCTTCGTACAATTAAAATACTCAATACTTGTTCATGAAACCAATAGGTATAATAATTTTAATAAGATAGTTGGTACTAACAACCGGTCCATTTTTTCTCTTTGGATTTAGTTATCTTCCTCAAATGACAGCTGTGGAAAGAAGTACCCGTCATTCTTATTGGTTTTTGTTACAACATATTTAGTTTAAAATAATTTGCTGTTTCTATAAAAATTTCTATAAACGTTTTCAGCTGTTGCGTTCAATATATTGGTAACAATTTAAAAAAAAATTGTAAACCTTCATTTCCAGTGTTTTATTAGTGCTAGAGGGAAAATTAAATTCAAAACAGGGCTCAACCGGGATTTGAACCCGGGACCTCTCGCACCCAAAGCGAGAATCATACCCCTAGACCATTGAGCCGCTATGCTTTGAAATTTAGTCAATTCAGAGTGTTGATTAATTAAACTCGCATCAGCAACTTTCTCTTGTGTGCCACTTACGTGGAACATACTTATAGTCCAGTCATTGAAGCATTTTGGCTACCAATTTTTTCGGATGGAATGGATTGACGTGAAATTTGAACTGTAGCTAGGGAATAGCCCAAGAAACAAAAGTTATATAGTGCCGATGTGTGCTTTTACCCTAGGGGTGGATGCCACCCCTTCTGGAGGGTGGGAATTTTTTTAATTAAAAACGATTCGATAGAGGGACGTATCTAAGCAAGAAATGTTCCTTAAGATTTTTTTGTATAGTCAATACTTTTTGAGTTATTTGTACTTAAACATATTCGTTTTTAGCCCAAAAATGCATGTTTTTGAGCCATTTTTCGTGAATATCTCAAAAACTACAAGTTTTATCAAAAAAACGATCATAAGCAAAAATGAAGGTAATTAAATAGCAAAGAGATTGCTTTTTTTATTTTTGTAGATGGTATAGAACACGAGTTATGACTCCCAGAAGTTGAAGTCAATTTCGAAGATAGCTATAATCAAAACGTTCAACGTCCTGTAGCGGAAAAATTAAAGGTTTTTCGAGGAAAACTTACATAACACCTATTAAAGTTCTTGAAAAGACCTTTAAATTGAGTGATGGTAGAAGTCGTTAGCACGAAAACTAATGAAATTACAATCAAAATAAAATGACTGTCTTGATTTTTGAGAAAAAAAATCGGTATTAAAATTATTGACTTGACGAAAAAAAAAAAAAAAAATTAAACGTATTCCTTCAGCAATTTATTTTATTTATGTATTAACAGTAGATTATGGGAATTTGAACGATTTTAGAAGACTAAATTTAAAAAAATATTTCATTTACTTTACTTCATTTCAAAAACTAACAAAGTTATAAAAAATGATAGATAAGTAATTGTAGGTTTTTTCTTACTGAACAATTTGCTTTTTTTTAAATTTTTGTTTGACAAAATTTGACTGAGTTATGATCGTTCATTAGAACCTCAAAACTAAGCTCCAAGACTAACTTTCCTGATCCCTTTTTGCTTACAAATTTAAAAAACGAAGGGCTCAAAAAAACTGCATATCACAGAACTTAAAGTGCTTTAAATTGCCTACAAAATGGTGTTTTGAGTAAATTTATAACTTTAAAATTACAAAAGTGATGGTAAAATAATTAATCCCATTTTTTCGGTAAAATTTTCGGTGCAGGTAAATTACCATCATTTGTCTATTTTGAAGCACTTGTGAACTGATTTGAGTATATTAATAATATACATACACACACGTATCCATTTATAATGTATATAAAAAAATTTTTCATATCTTAATAAAAAATATTAAGAATAAATTCAATAAAATTAAAAAAAAATTATTATATCATCATACTCACATATAATTTTTAGGAAATTTTTCTATAAGGGGTAGGGTTTTTTATGAGGGGTAGGTCTTCCATAAGGGTTTTTTGGGTGGCTGAAAAGTTGCAATATATCATAGATCATTTGAAAACCAATAAAAAGTTTATAATTCAACATATGCATACCATTAAAACATCTCAAGCTTTCAATAATATTTTTTTGTTTATTTTATTATAAGGGATGGTTTTTAAGGGTTGCAACTTTGTAATGAGTCGTAAGCTTTCTAATGAATAACAAAAGAAATGCAATACATTGTGAATGCACCAAAAGAATATTTTAAACTGTAAAAAACTTGTTTTTTCTATTTTTTTGGCCATGGAAGGGTAGTTTTTAAGGATTTTTAAGGGTTGAAAAGTAATTAAATTTCATAAATTATATTAAAAAACATGAAAGGAACTTTATCCAAAATATTTTAACATGAAATGAATCTTTAAAATACGTAAATCTGCGATTTTCGCATTTTTTTCGTACAAGGGTAGTTTTCACCCCCAAATAGAAAAAAGCACACATCTAGACAATATAACTTTTGAACTGGGGAGTCAGATGAGCTTGTATGCAAATTTTCAAGAAAATCCATGCTATCCGAAAAAATTTTAGTGAGCTTTTACTTTATTTTCGCCTTCAATGACTGGACTATTAATTCTTAGCATATGTAGGTGTCTAATGTTGAAAATATTTTGCTTGTATTTGTATATCTACCTGTGTTCAACATAATAAATTTATATATCACGAAAGAATTTCGTTATCAGTTTAATAGCACTTTAAAGAGTAGTTTCATTAATAAAATAATAAAATGCGTGTTTATCCAATCTTTTTATATGGCGGCTCAATGGTCTAGGGGTATGATTCTCGCTTTGGGTGCGAGAGGTCCCGGGTTCAAATCCCGGTTGAGCCCATTTTTTTCAAAAATTATATTAACGTTTATTTAGAATTGTACCTTGTACTCAATATTAGTCCAAAAACTTTTCAAAACGCATCATTTTGAAGGGAGTCTCATCTGATTTTTTTGTACAGCAATTTTCTTTGCCTGCTTCTACTAAAAAACAAATAATTAGAGTCAAAAAAGTAAAAAAAAATAAAAAAATCTTATTTTTGCCTTTTTAAAATTTTGTATTAACCATTTTTTGCATCAAATTTTTCTTTTAAATCAATCCTCATCTAGTCATTCAATATTTTTGAGCTTTAAGGATTTTTAGTTGACAGTATCAACCGTGTGATGTTGGTTACCTAAGCTTACTGTACAAAAAAGTAGAATTTTGTTTAAAGTTGTCTCCTTACTTTAATATTCCTTATTTGTTTATATTAAGACCTTACAAGGATATTTATTGGACAAATTCTATATATTTTTATTAATTACAGTAAAAAATGTAAGACGTGCTGTAATTAATAGTTGCAAGGATCCATTTGTAGAACACGGAGGCTCCGTTACTTCCAATCAAATCTAGATGGCGCATCTCATTTATCTCGAATATTGCATTTCCATAGAATTCGATATTAGAGACAATTTACCGGTGGGTTGATTCAGATATCCGGGTCGGCATTAAAACCGCGACAGTGGAAATTGGAATAATATCGGATCCAGTGGGACCGGGAATGTTTTGTAAGGGGATTATTTTTGCAATTTTTAATGAAGAGTTCGCGCTCCGGTTTCCTAATTGTGTTTGGAGAGAAAATGATTGAATTCGTGGAAAAAGTAACATTGGAGGTGCTGTAAGATGTGCAAATAAATACTCTCCTCTCTATTCTCAGGTTTAAATTAAATGTAAATTGTCACAGATTTTTTACCGGGTCTTCTTGTCTCCCTGGTTGAAGATATACAACGAAAAATCAAATAAATGTGTTGCAATCTTTCAGTAAATATGGTTATCCTGTGTATTTAATATTCTTGATTTTGTAAAAAAATAAAAAAATATGTTTATCTCAATTAAATCACTAAACTAATAAAAGCATGAACTTTCTGATCATCTAATTGTATTACATAGAGAAGTTAAAGACAAGAAACAACAGCGAAGATTCACCTCGAGAATTGGCGGAGTTGACTCTGGTTTTCTGCAGTTTATTAACCAGGGCCACATTCCTGGCCAGTACAAAGTACGACATTCATTACGTTTACTATTGATACTATTTTTTCTTAAATTTTCAAAATATATATAGGAAGGTTACCTTCACAGACCACATACTATACATCTACAGCAGACATCACGTGACGAAACACGGGTATAAACAGCATTTGATCGCTCTTTTCAATTGTGCCTCCTCGCCCGCGCTTCCTATTACACCCTTGACCTAATGGATGTTCCGTGTTCTTTCTCCAGCCCTTTTCCGTCAGTTATTGACCCTCGATTCTTTTCTCATTAAGGAAACAACGAAACGAGGATTGAGAATCCCAAACAGCCCGGCGGCCGCAGGGCATTGTTGGACACTCCTGGCCTGCCTCGACATTGGACTGAGGGCCTTGGCACCTTTTATGCCTACCTTGTGCCAGCATTTGCATTGTCATCTGCCATTGTTCCCCGGGAAGGAGAAAAGCGTGGATTTTCCGAAGGTAAAATGAGATTTTTAATATCAGAAATGACTTGCAGGGCACATAACCTTTTTACTATCTACTTCAGGATTTGAATTGGAGAGACGAAGGAGTTGAAAGAGACGTGAATGAAGTGATGGACGTTGTGGTAGCAATTCGAAGACTGAAAAAGATATTTAATGTAACTGCCAAACACAGACCGCAAGGTAAGTGCAGACAAATTTTTAAAAAATCCTTTTATCTGTTTAGTATTTGAAACTGGTTCAATTATTGCTAATGCACGTTTGAACAATGTTAAAAAATATACTCTTTTACTGAATGAAAGTTGGCCATACGTCAATTTGACATTTTTTGTATCTTTTAGATATATTTTATTTAATAGTTTTTTTTATTTATTTCACCTTCACAAAAGTAGAGCTATAACTAATGCCTCTGTAAAAAGAAAATATCGTTTTGGATATAGAAGCGACTTTCCAATGAAATATCATTTGAGCTAAAAGGACGTAATTAAATTTTCTGTCCTTTGTACTCTTTCAATATAATCATTTAGTTACATAGGTACCTGCCAATAAGCTATATTAAAATCTAAAAATACTTCTTTGCCTTGGACCAACAACAAAGAAACAAGCCTACACATTTCTGACTGAAATCGACTTTAAATAAGATTTCCAATTTGCTCACCGGTAGTTCTATGACGTCCTTAGTGTAACTCATACAACTTTCCAAGGACCAAGGCCCCAGTCATAAATTAGATTTTTCTTCGACACCGCACCCACGCGCGAGTCGATGCTAGGAGGCGTAATCCCTCTCGAGTTCCTCGCAAACTTGCCAGAGCGGTTTCTAATAGAAACAAGCAGCAGCTAATTGTCTCTATATAGCGTTCGCGGAATTCCTATATATGCGCTTCTCATTAGGTGCGACTTTATTAACGCAGTATTAATCTTCTCGATCAAAGTATCAAAGTTTCGGCAACTGCAGTTACCTGCAAAGTCTTCGGTATTGGATTCCTTGACGTCACTTGCCGCCACATCAAATAGTTTAGTTCCCGAGTTCATACATCTCGTATATAGGCAAGCTGTAGGTTCACATTCAATATGCTAGATGTGATGTGATGACTAGGGGGGCCAATTTAGTCAATAGACACATTTGTGTGCAGTTCAGTACAGTCAGTACATTTTCTTGCATTTAACTAATGTGTTGAGTGACTATGCTGTTTGCTCAAATAATTCTTATCTCCACCTATTTTATCTTGTTTCTAGACGATCTTCCATTATTAGCATTTCGTTGGGTTTAGACTTAACGCGAAATTCTTATCTGGGTTTTTTCCACAGCATGTGTGCTTTTCTTCCACACTCAATTAAATGTCTGTTTCTTTTAATGGAACTATCTCTTATAATATACGTCGAATTTCAGTCCATTTGGTAAACAGCTCTCTCCATCTCGCCAATTTTGGGGAAATCATCCAAGATCTTTCAGCATGTCAAGCTGTGAATGTTTCTCACCAAATAGAAGAGGTTCCACTAAAGAACACTGTGAGAGACAGCGTGAGGGATACTGAAATATATCTGGTGGTACCAGATGAGTTGAGGAGAGCTATCGAGCTTGACCTACCCAAAATGGAGAGGAAGAAGGAAAAGTTGTTGAAGGAGCTGGAGAAGATGAACAAGATGATTTCCGGAGACACTTACAAGGTCAATGCGACTCCTGAGGCTCAGCAGATTCACTCGAATAAGGTGTGAGTCTTTTATTGTCTCTATAGTTTTGCTTGTATGTTATGATTGGTAGATTGATTGATGTGATGAGCTTTGTGACGTGAAATTGGAAAACGATTTGATTTATTTTTAATTTCAGATCACGTCCCTTGAAGAAAAGTTGTCTAGGATTAAGTATATCCAGACCTTATCCAGCCAATGATAAAACTTCTGTTTACCATTGTCATTTGACTAAATATATGTATTTAATCCAATACACAAAGTGAGTTTTGATTATTTCGGCATCAAAATTATTTGCTCGACAGTTTAATGCGGTAATTTTAATTAAGAGGGCGTTTTTTCCTTAGGAAGGGAATTAATTTGAATTATTAGGCTATATCGCGTACAACCGAAATTTTATTTCTTGGTGAGAGGAACAAATTGAACAGATTTTTCAAAGCAGTGCATTTTGTTGTGACTGATGGGGATAATTTGTAATATTTTAGGAATTTCCGGGTATAAAGGGTCTAGTAAGTGAAATCTCTGTAAAATTTATTACAGAATTTGCTTCAGTTGTTTATGGTTTCGTATGCAGGGAGATATTTATCAAATATTCTATTGATCTAGTTTTTTTTCTCTCGAAGTCGTCTCTGGTCGCCGCCAATAACGGACTTACAATGCATCTCCTTAGCCTAGGAATCTTTGATCTGTCCCTGTTGTTCTAGAGCTGGGTTCTGTGGGGGTCTACCCGCTATGATTACCTCTATTTTCGCTGTAAAAACACTTGAACCCATAACGAAACTTCAATCTGATTTTTTTATTCTGATTATTTTTGTTGGGAACCCTGTGTGCGTATCTACGTATAAAAAGATTGAATTTAAATGCGTAGAAGCGAGTAAATTCACTAAAAGGATATAGATTGTCTCAGTTCTAAATTAAAAAAAAATTGGATTTCCACGTGCCAGATCATTGATTATACTTGTTACGAAAATTCACTTCGACGACTTATTTTATGGAGATAATTCTCTTCTGTGTTGTACTGTTCCGATAAGGGTCTGCTTCTATTGAAAATTTATTACGTCTAAAGCTCCTCGAGCGGTTGTGGTATGCCAGTGTAGATATAGATTAAAGTATAGTCTTTCCGATGTCAGTTGAACATGTATAAAAACTCCTAGCAATAAAATTTAATGAGTTTCATAGGAGTCCCTAAAAAAGTTTCCTGCCAAAGGTAAAAAATTATAATAATTTGTATATAATGTGTAGACAATTTATATTATATGTTCATTTGACCAACAACATATTTTAATTATTGTCCTCAAACAATTTTATTATATTGATGGGTAATTTCGTTTTGTTCCGTTTCAAAAGGTTTTCAGAATGCCATGTTCTAATAATATTAGTAAACAAACTATCCCTCTTATTATTATAAATTCCTCATTGCTGCACTGCACTGCTAGGCAATTTATCAGCCACATGACAACAGCTGAGATTTATTGCCCAGTCGCCCAGTTCGGCTGTCTGTGTACGTATTCTTCAACTGGGCGTATACATTTCTACCACGGCTACGATTAGCTCGACCAGACCTGTATGACTAAATAAACATTGGATCAAGTTTTTCAAATATTTCAATGCCGAGTTGCTGCACTTGTGCAATACAATTGAATGCAAGAAACTCGAAAACCAAGTTTTCCACTAATACAATTTTTCTATTCACTAACATGTAACTGCATTGTTCTTTTATTGAGTCACGTCGTTTGAAGGGGTTCAGGGAAAATGTGAGACTAACCGGGGAAGGCAGGAAAATTAATTAACAAGGCGTGAATTCTCTACGAAAACTTCCTTCTTTAGTTTAGACTACATTGAGTGAATTTAATTTATTTTCTATTATAAACAACTTGTTAAACACGGAAAACTTTGTTCCCTAAAATTTTCCTCTCATAAAATTTTGATTAAACCTCTCACAATCAACATTTTAGCGACGCAAACTCGGTTCACTCTCGCCTGTCTTAAAAAATTGGCCCAAATGTAGTAAATATCACACAGGCAGTAAATACAAGCAAACAATTGTAAATAATGAAAACATTTTTCGCTTAAGTTTTTTTTTAAGACGGATACAGTTGGTTTTTATCATCAATGTATTAAAAGGTACATATTTTCATCCTCCCTTGTGTAACAAGGTGCGCAGATCCTTATTTAAAATGAAATTTTTTCTATTTTAAAATACGGAGTTTGTTGGAAACATAACCAAAACTTTTACGGAAACGTTTCAACTTTTGAAACAAGTTTACGGAAAGTAGTCGTCAGTGAATTGAAGATGATCCTCGACCAGGAAGGCCTTCGACTTCATCTGATGACTCCTACGTTCAGAAAGTCAGAGATCTGGTGTGTGCAAATCGCCGATAATCTGTCAGAGGAATTGCATAAGAGGTTAGCTCCTCAATTAGATCACACCATGAAATTTTGACTGGCAGTATTATGTCGTTCATATACAGCGAAAATATTGCAGGGCCTAATATAGATCCTTACGGAACACCTATACTGATTACAATTATTTCTGAATTAATAGTTTCTATAGATTTAAAAGCATTGTAATTAAGGGGAACATATTGTTCTTCTTTACTAAGGCGTTGTCTATTATACTATAGAAAATATACAGGAATAAAAATTCATTTTTTCTGGATGTAAATTTATAGCAAGAGCAAAATTTTTTAGTTTCTCCAAAACTCTGGTGACCTTATTTCTAAAAAGTTTCGACGTTAAGCTAACTAAGGTACACGTCGCTATATTTTCCTTATATCCTCTTTCCGAAATAGCTAATAAATTGTGTCTTTTAAACAATCAATTCTTTGCTCGAAATCCATTCGAATCCCTCGAAGCTATAAAGCAAGTTCTCATAGCGGCACTTGCCCTGATAAAAGACTAGTAATAAAATTTAAACCTTTCAATTTCCACAGCAAATCGATTTTCAGTTTAGCGCGTTCGCCGTCGGATCGACATCCAAATATTTCGAAATGAACGTCTACGTCGAGGTTTTGTCTGGATAGATAAACTCTGCGAAAACGATATTTCTTTTTTTCTTTGATATCTGCATTCATTCGAGCTTCAGGACCCCGTTCAGGACACATTGCGAATCCACCTTTTATAATAGCTTTTTGGAAAAAGGAATTTCTTCAACATTCTATACGTCGCATGAGAAAGAAAGTATATTATTTTTTTTAAAGTTTTTTTTTGTTCTTTTAAATGCAATGCAAAGTTATAAAGTCTTAAAAGTATATTTATTTAGAATTCGTGGAGTGAAGATTATTATAATTACAATAAATTAAAACCTTGTCGAGGGACAATCAACATTTTGAGGACGATCACAATTCAGTATTTTTTCGTTCCATTCAGTGCCCGTTGGGCACGTTCCAGGAACAGCTTCACCGGATACGCATTCATAGAACCTCTTACAATCTGTGGGGTCGGCAAGGTAGGAACCGTCAGCTTGATTGTCGCATATATGGGCTGAAATTTGAGGTACATTTAGTGTAGTTGGTGATTTTAAACAATTCGATAAAATACGGATACAAAAGAGACTTGCAATTTATTAATTTTTAAGGTTAAGTTTACCTGGAGAAAAAGTAGTAACGACAGGCTCTTCAGTTGATGTGGGAAGAGGTGCTGGAGTAGTAGACACTTCTAAAAAAAATAGAGGTAGGTTTATAGTCATTTGTTTAACTAGACCGTGGCAGACGAAGCGCAGCCAAGCCTACATTGAAGGCTGAAGGCTACATTGGGGAGTCCATAACTCGTAAATCAGTTGTTAGCAAAAAATTGCAAATACATCAAGTGCTGGAAGCGATTTTTTAAATAATTCAACCACTTTGATAGATGGATATCTCTTCCAGGCTGTTCTAATTTCAATATAAATGTTTCAAATAAATAAAATTACATAAATTTGGTATCTGTTCTGTTATCTTTGATGATTCTGCTGTAAGTTCTTTTAGAAGGAAGGACTGCTACGTACTGTCTTCTTCAGAAGAAGCTATATCATGAATAGTTAAACTATAAGGAAAATTAAATACTAGTGTAGCAACCGCAAAAAGTAATTGCATAGCTGAAGCGCATTGACTGGTTATACCTGGAGCTTCAGTAGTGGCAGACGTTTCCGAAGCTGGTGCCTCGGTTGTCACTGGTTCAGTACTAACGGGACCATCTGGTGTTGGATTTGGTCCTGAAAAATGGATTTATGTAGGGATTAATCAACATAAAAATATACAGTTTTCACAATTTGGTTGAAGTAACCATGTAACAGTTATTAATCTGCTAAAACTGCTAACGTTAAGTAAACAATCTCATAAGCCTTCAGTGGTTGCTTACTTGATTTGCAGTCGACGTTTCGTGGGTAATCGCAAGCCAGATTTTCCTCGTCCCACAGTAGACCCCTTGCGCAATTTCTTACGTACTTCACCCCTTCGTAGCATTCTATATATTTCGAGCAGTCATCGGGATCGGAGTAGAAAAAGATTTCATCCGATGGGTAAGGGCAGAACGGGTCTGGAGCCCAGGTTGTAAATGGAGAGTCTGCCAAAAGATTTTTAATGAAAAAAAAAAGGAAATGCGTAACATCATTATTACTTCTTTTATGAAGTAGTGCTTGTTTGTTTTATTTGTATGTACTTTTGCGTCAGAGGAAATATTAATAATATCGATAAAAGATCTTATCCATGGCTCCTATTTTTTTCTGATAAGGTAAATTTAAGAAAATAATTACCTGACGTAGTAGCTGTAGGATCTGAAAAATAAATATATTGGTAAGTATTGTAATGTAATTGCGTTTTATCTGCGTTGTATTAAAGATTGTGCATTTGCGTCTAAAAAAAGTTGGATTGTCAAGTATTCTAAAATAAACTGAAAATCGTGAACGAATAATTGTTTTTTTGTGGTCAGTTTTGCTTTAAATGAGTTTTAAAAAAGTGTTTGGAAATATACTTACTTGCTAAACATGTAGTCAAGCAGAGAGCAAAAATGACATAAACAAAACCTGGAAAGATAATATTGTTAGTAGTGTCTATTAGAATTAAATATATTAGACAACACATCTGATTTAAAATGACAAGCCATTTTGCGTTGTCACATTTTGATGCAGGAAACTCCTGAAATAGTAATTCTAGCGATGGAATATTATCGAATTTAATTGCGATTTGAATGATTTTGATATAAATTTGGTTTATCACCGTATCTTAAGTGTCTTATACTGATTTATTTGTTCTTCTGTCATCTAGAATCAATTAACCGATTGTTAGAGGTTATATTCAATATAATCTTGCTTGCAATCGTTACCTGTTTTTTTAATAAATAACGAATTGACAGTTTTTATTTTAATATTTTGGAAAAGAAAAATATTTATGTATATTAATTTTATTATAGTATAACACTTTCTCATTTGAATACACTAGGGGGAGTGAATAGAATAGAATAGAATAAAAAAAATTAAAATTAAATGTCTCTCCCAGATGTATTGAATAAAAAAATATTTTTAATTATTCACTAAAAACGAGTAGCTAATTATTATTTTTCTATATTTTAAAAAGTAAAAAATACTCCACGGAAAAATGTTTTCAAATTATAAATGGACGCCCAATTGATTATTTTGAAAGCACATCAAATGTTTGTAATGTAATGTGATAATAATTTTATTCTTATTTAATGCAATATCTAATAGAAAGAGTGTTAAAAACCGACTTACTTTCCATGTTGTATGAATAAATACCAGTTTTCTCAGCACTTCAGCTAATTGAACATTATGGATTGTCGCAAATGTGCCACTTATATAGTTGAACTGTCAGTCAGTTTTACTCAGAATTCCTGATCTCTTTGCCGATAAGACATATTTTTTAAGATTTTGAATGCACAGCGGTTGGTTGAATTGTTTGCAGTGTTGCGACATCACTTCAGACTCATGTGATAGACTAATTAGGAGTCAATGAGACTTCCAGATAAGAACAAATTTTTTGCTCATCTGGTACTCTAAATCATTGATGTTTTCACTAATAATTTTTCCTTTGTTTTATATTTTTTTCGCCATTTCCGTTCAGATAATTACTTCCAAAATACGATTTTATCTGATAAATTATGTTTGAATAGAAAAGAACATTGTTTGTCTAAAACTTAGATAAGACAATGGGTGCAGCTTTTAAAAAATGTCAAGATTAAATTTAAACGAGTTATTTCTAATACTCATAAGTTATGATTTCAATTACTTTTACTTGTGCCAAAATTACCGTCTATCTAAAAAATCACCGATCTTTCGAATTGTCTAGTAAAATAATACGAAATCTTCAAAAATTAAGCCACACCAACAAACGGTAGAATGAACCAGAAATTCTACTACATTCGATGACGAACCCAAAACAACGCTAAGGACGGCTGAAGTCCAGAGCGACTCAAGAAAGGAACGAGATCGAGGATCCACGTCCAGAATAAACGAAACTATCAAGAGATGTGATTGAAAGTCGACTCTGGTTTTCTGCAAATACAAAATACAACTCTGCAATTTGCATTCACTTTCATTACATTGCATGTGTCCTACTGCATGTAACCAAGCAATATATTTTTTGTCAATAATACTTTATAATCAATATCAAATTGTTATAGTTAAAAATTGAAACATTATTACTAAGTAATATTGTTAAAGATCTAGCAACCAACATTACTCCGATGATAATAGCACAGCAGCACAGAACATAGTGGGCTAGGCTGTGGACCAGACTAGTGTATCCTGTTATGTTTTGACCTGTTGAATATTGTCAGAATTTCTTGATTGGTTCGTGTTTTTACCCTAACATCAATAAACTTCGTTAGGAGATTGACTCTAAAGTCAATCTTTCGAATGACTAATCATTCGAATTCATTCATCATAATTGGGAAAATATCTGAAGTCGTGATTTCATTGCACCACAACCCCACAACGCGGGATGTGACAGCGAAGAATCACAAATCTCTGAGTTAACATGGATTTCATACATCGGAAATCCATGACATATAATTCTGAGTAGCACCATCGTCTTAAAACTCGAAAAATTTAACTCCTATGAGCTTATGGTCTGAGCATTGATACTTCTCCATTAAGTTATCTGGAAATTTTTTTCTTTCTACTTCTAGCACTTTGTAATAGAAATCTGTATATCGCTTCCTTCTATTTTTACCATTTGCTAAATAGACAAATTCACAGAGGTAAGAGGCCTTCTTCCTCTTTTAAAGTGAATCTAAGAGTGATTGAGAGTGACATAACATTTTTATTATATAAAAAATAGTGGAAATAGTTATATTACATTACTAGTATAAACATATCCTTTCAGTTAGATAGTAGATATAGCTCTTTTCTCAAAAAAGTGAAACAAATGTCTCATTTTTAGATAGGTAATGGTGCCAATAAAATCAATGGTCATATCTTCAGTTTTATCCTCTCTTGAACGATTCTGGTTCAAATTTTCCTTTTGTTACTGTACCTTGTTTCATATTTTGAGGAGTTTCATCAGAAGATCGGCTTGTGTAATTTAGAATGGTGTGATTGGTACAAGGTTAAGAATCACAAAATCAAATAATTTCGTTAAAAATCAGACTTTATTAAATTTTATAAACAAATATAAAAGACTATTAATAATTACAGGTTAAATATATTATAAATTATTAAAATTCTATCTCCCTGCTTTACGGTTGTTACAGGGTACATTTGTAGGATAGTCGCAAGAATGAATCGCTTGGTTCCAGAATAGATCACCAGCACATTGTTCCTCTATTGCTTTTCCACCAACACATTCGTAGAATTTGCTACAGTCAGTCGGGTGAGGCAGATAAGTTCCGTCCGGCTGATCAGCACATGTAGGATCTGAAGATTATAAATTACTTTTAATATACACTATCCTATCTATAGTATTGGAGAAATATTAAGTATGCAATATAGTATTTTAAATCATATATAAAAATATGTGAATGATCAAAGACGATCATAAAGTGAGGTACTTTTAAGTAAGTGGTTTAGCATCAGTTGTAGTTGTTGTGGTAGACTACCAAGGTTACATTGTTTGTGCTAGAAACTTTTACATAGGTAACTGAGATGAGATTAATTACGGTAGACATTTCTACCACAATAATCTACTACTAATACAATAAACTATCATATTTTACAGTTTTATTAAAAGCGATTGCTAAATACTTAAATACTTACTAATGGTTGTCGTACTAGTTGAACTAGTTGGAGAACGTGTTGTGGTAATCACTGAAATAAAAAAATAGGTTAACAGAACTTACTTACAAAATTTTTGTTGGATTCAACCTAAGAGCATTCACTCTCTTTTCCAAATTGGTTACATTACAACTGACAAGATCAAGACCTGCTGTTTTACAACTACTGCAAAGAATTGAAGAAAAAGAAAAGCTATGACGTCTGACACTTATAATGTAACCAAATAAATCCCAAAAACAAACAAGACTAATTTATCTGTCATTTGAAAAATGTTTGTTTCTACTAACCTCTATCGCAGTCTACATTATCCTTGTAATCGCAGGTATTAATCACGTGATTCCAGAGCAGACCATTAGGGCAAGACATTACAAACTTGTTACCCTCGTAGCATTCATAATACTTAGAACAGTCTGAGGGATGAGGTAAGAATGTTAATTCATGAGACGGGTAAGGGCAGTCTGGGTCGGGGATGTTGCTTCCTGGTGTGGTGGATGTGGTACTTGTGGTTGTGGTGCTACCTTAAAGGCGAAGTTTAGAAACGCTGGACAATAAATATTAAGTACTTATGGTTACCTCGAGTGCAATCTACGTTCCCGGGGTAATCGCAGTAGTTATAATTGGTGTTCCAGTGTAACCCTTCTGGACAGCTCATCAGATACCTATGTCCTTGGAAGCACTCCCAGTATTTGGCACAGTTAGTCGCTACAGGAAAAAATACGAGTTCGTTGGATGGGAAGGGACACTCTGGTAATGGACCCCAGTCTTGAGTTGGCGCTACAAAAATAATGTAATAAATAAACAATTATTGCGCGTGGGGAAGATGTGAGATCGTCATGAACAAATAGTAATAGTAATAGTTAGTAGTCCTTTCTCAGCATTAGCCAGTAATCTTTGTGAACTGCTCTTGTTGTACTTGATCTGGGCTCTGTGGGGGTGGACTTGCTATCAGAACCCCTAAGCCCTTATATCCATTTCGGTCTGTTTTAGTTCCAAAGCTGCTACAGACGGAAGGAACTGTTTCTCTTCAGTAATTGGCCGCATCCAATGCTTCTAAGCGTTTTTTTATTGCAAATTGCGTTTTTTTATTACAAATGCTTCGATAAGACGCGAAATACACATCAGCGCGGACTTAGAGGTCCGAGTCCGTTGCCACAGAACCTAGCTCGAGAACAACAAGGGCAGATCAAAGATTACTAGCTAAGCTAAGGAAGTGCAAGTACAGAAAAAAATCCTCTTTTCGTTATTTCTTTCTCTATTTCGTAATAATTTGTAAATATTATCTATTTTATTTTTTTTGGATTTGCAATAATTTGTTTCACGAACCTCACGTTTGTTTAACAATTGCTTTAGCGAATTGCAACGAAGATAATGATTAAACTTGATATAAAATTAACATTGCCAGTTTTTAGTAAACATTTTTGTATGTGTTTTTTGATATACTTACTAGGAGATGCTGTCGATACTGTGGAATGTGGAAATGTTGGGTAACTTATTATTGCATCTGTAAATAACATCATGTGTTAAATTTTGATTTTTATATATCACCAACAAAAACAAAAATTAAATAGTTTCTGTTAGATTTTTGTTTTAGAAATATCGTATCCTTTTCGAGTTGCTAAGTTGTCCTTCAAAATATGTATCGGTACTTATAAATGTAAAAATTAATATACTTTTGGCATCTCATTTGGCATCAATCAATTTTTTGACAACATGTGAACGATATGCAATTCAAATTATCTCTGTCTGTCACATTTTCATCAGCAGATTATGAATCTGGAAGATAATAGAACGATTCTGAGAATCTCACTGAGTAATCAAGTGTTTCAAACTGTCAAATTATCTGATATCAAATTGATGAAAGACTGGCACTTCAATTGAATTGAATCATAATTTAATCCGGATAGTAAATAATAACGCGATTGTAACAAATCTTCTTGTTGTGATTTTTTCTGTCCGAATCAGAATTGTTTGTTCAATTTTCATCAAAACTCAACTTATCTTCTTTCAGTTTAACCGAGTAGGAAAGACATTGGAAGCTATTAGAATTAATTTGAAAACTAATCACTGTGTTGAATTGTAAGCAATCCTCAACTGGTAGTGGCCGAAGATCAAAACTTAGCTCTTCAATTCAAAAGAAATGACAAGAAAACTGATTTCGTAGTACCTATGATAATTCTCATTATCGTTTCATTTTTTCCGTTCTTCATCTAAAAATTTCCGAGTAATCTCAGCTAACAATGAAACTACTTTTTATTCTCAAACCATTCACCGAAAAATATTAGGAGAAGGATACGCGAGATTAACAGATGCACTATATTCACCTGGGTCGCAGCCGGCTAGATCTGGACTGTCGCATCTTGACTGAATATCATTGAACTCTAACCCAGTTGGACAACTCATGGGATATCTCGCTCCATTATAGCATTCCCAGTATCTCGAACAATCTCCCTCATAAGGAAAACGTACCAAGTCTGTAGAGGGGAAAGGACAAAGAGGACTAGGCGTCCATGGATCCACCGCTCCTAAAAATTAAAAAAATTTACGGTGATTTATTTTCCATGTAAGGTTTCAGTTTTTGGACCGATGAAAATGCAAATTAAAATATCTCAGATTTAATTTGTGGCAAATACTTGAGCTGGAAAAATAAATATTGCAATACTTAAATATTCGTATTGATATAATTGTTATCGCAAGCAATATTGTTTATTTGACACACATTTTCGCTGTTTAAATAAATATATTCTCATTTAGTATTACCAACAAAACGGTTATTTTTTCATTTATCTCTGAGGTAATCACTAATAATAAATCGTATCAAAGTATACTTTAAAAACAACTGATATATCATTTTCTGTACAATTTTTCACATCATTCGTTTTGTACTTCATTCCCATATAATATATATGTATATTGTGTTTAAAAAAAAAACAGTGACATAATTCCGCTAATCATTCTTGGCAGAATATCTTTGTTGTTTTTTAAAATTTAAGTATTTAAGTCCGTAATCTCTATATTTCTCATTTTACCCGATCATATTTATGTTATGTTATTTAATGTCAATGTCACACGATGTCTCTTGCAATTATACGAAAATCAGCTCCACACTTAGAGCTACAGAATCGCCAACATTGAATATCATCTACTTGTAAAACATGTCGAGTTCTATTTTTTATTATCATGATCCACTTTAGATAGAGGAAAAACTATTACTTAGCATAGCACAGTAAGTGCATTACGAAGCAGGTTTTTATCTAAAATACAACTACATTGGAATAGGTCTTATTTTCTGTTCATGAAAATAATTTTCAAAGTATTTATATGTCCAACTAATGTGATTCAGAATTATGCGATATAAAAATTGTGGAATTGTCGAAACAAATGTGATACTCTAAAGAAAAATAAAAAAATATATTATTACCAATTTTTAAAAATGTAAGGCAAGAACTACAAAACTACAAAAATCTTGTTTTCTAAGACAAATTTCCCTTGTAGTCTAGAAACAATGCTTCTAGAACTTTACTAGAATTTTTTACTATTTAAACACTGATGTGATATATCAGGGAAAACGAAAAAAACCTTACAACATTTTTAATTGAACACAATGAAATAATACATAACCTGTCAAAAGTTAAGAAATACCAGCTCTCGGATACAGGGTGATAATTGTTGAAGAATAAAACGTTACTACGCTAAATATCATCTGAACAAATGAAACTTATATGCATAATACCACATGGAATGATATGTAGCTTGAAAAAAATTACATCACAACCAAAACCAGTGGTTATGCTGTCACATTTTGCTGAAAAATGGTGATAAACTATAGGAAAAAAATAAATAAATATAATTTATATAACACACCAGAATCTTCTTTTCCTCAAAAACCGCTCCAAAAAGTGTTCATTTGTCACTTTTGAAACATAATTTCAACTTTTGACTGATAGTACAGAGTTTAAGTTAGACCTGTTGCTTTTTTTACTCTTTATTAATGTATTAAGATTAAGCTAATTCAAACAAATATAATATATGAATTTATGAAATAGACCTGTTATTTATTATTATTGTCTTACTTACTTGTGAAAGATACCAGTAAGGATGCAGCGACAACAACTGTAATTATGCCTGAAATTATAAGAATAATTAATAAATCTTATGTGTTTATTTTACTATTATTATCACATAAAAATATTTAACACTGATATTTTACTTTTAAATTTGGGAATCATAATGTCACCTTTCTCTGTTCAATTTACTACTTCTATTTTATTCCATTTTAATCTATTTTTAACTGTCTAGCCGATAATTTAAGCTATTTTATTACGTACTTACCTATCATGATGCAAGTTTGTTCTTTTCACGAAAACAACTGTCTACTGTTAAAATTGGGGTACCCTATATATTACACGAAAAATATCCTTATTTACATATCGGTGTGTAATATAAATAAGATAAACTTTATATGCAACCAAATTGGAGATTTTTATCGAAATCTAGGATAATACTTCATACTGATAAGCAGCACAATGTGCTTTCAGTGTGATGATGATCAAAACAAAATAGATTTCCTTTTTTTTCAAGAGGTTTGCCGTCACTTGATATAAGAGGGTTGTCGAATGTTAATTATAAAGGTAACAAATCTATAAGGGATATGAGGACATTAATAAAAAAATACACTAGCAAATTTCAACACCCTTTATCTTGAACACATTCTAAATTGCTCTGGTACATTCATTGGAAGAATATAACATGAGTAATATGTTTTGAATAACAACCTTTTTTTTGTTTTCACCTAACAAATCATTAGTTTTACATATTTGTTATTAACTAAGTTAAATCGTAATAAAAAATTTGTTGCGTCAGTTTCTAAAACTCATCTAGTTGTATCTGAACCATTATAAATTATTGTACTCGTATTTTGTTTTTCAGTCAGTTGTTTTCGGTACTTTAAATTCAGAGTTTGTTTAAAAACATTACTTCAGACCAAAATCAGAATATTTTTGAACGTAACAGTATTTCAAGCTTTAAACAGTAGCAGTCCCTGTTATTAAATTATACATTAACCAATTTTATGCATCTTTAAGCTTAATGAGAAATAATTGATTTATGAATTATTTTTCAAGGACCTTGAGATCATAAAAATGAACTTAATGTTAAGAGAATTTAGTAGATAGCAAAGTACAAAGTACTATATGTATTTGTAGTACAGTATGTTACGTACTTACGAACCGGAAAATAGTTTTTAAGAAAGTGACTGGATATGAAATGATAAACAATGCCACGTGATTTTTGCGTAGATTATGAACAAAAAAAAAATGTATTTCATTTTTTCAAGTGGTTTGCGTTCACTTGATATAAGAGGGTTGTCTAGCGTTAATTAAATAAGTTAATTATATTATTTGTGATTGAGTGTAAGAATCATTATCTTCTCTAATCTCTCCTTCATTAATTTAGTGGGCGCCAATCAAACGCTTAAAAAAATAATAAGATAAAATAAAATAATATTCAAAATTATTTCTATTTTATTTTTTTTAATAAATATATATACTATTTAAATTTCAATAAACATACTGGGGTTTTCAGGATTATTTACCCAAATTTAAAATTTCAATTGGGAAGGTCAAAAAACGATCTTTATATAAATGTCCTCAACGTTCGACGTAGATTTATGAAATTTGGGCAAGTTACAAACCTAAAGTTTGATAAATACGGCAAGCAGTAGCGAAAATATCGGCTGCTGTCATTGTCACTAAAAATCACAGAAATTCGACTTCGTTGGGTATTTTTAGATTTGATCACTACTTGTATATCTTAGTCGTATTTTCAAGAAAATAGTAATAATATATTTTTTTGAATTATGTTTCCATACTTTTTAACAAATCTAAAATAACTATAAAACTATTTGTTTTATAAAATAAATCATTTGATTCTTTCTAAAAAAAAAATAATCTTGTAAACCGTTTTTGAGAAATGAGAATTATTTTATTGAAAGGCTTGCTAATAGCCATATAAGTTAAAAAAGGTAAAATACTAGAAAATTATAAATTTTTTCGAATATAATCTTTTTTTCAGAAATATTAATAGAACCAAAATATAGTCCGTACGACATTTGTTGAAACTGACTTTCTTGGAATTAACCTCACTCATAAGAAATTTAATTGGATTTAAAAAAGTTGGAAAACAGTTTTTTTAATCCAAAAAAAATATTAACGCATTATATTTTCTCGAGTTTCTCAAGACAAGTCTAAGCCCAATGTTAAACAAATTTTATAAACCTGTACAAAGTAACTATTTTGCTACATAAGACACGTATTTACTAACCAATCGGAAGACAGTTCTTGAGAGAATAGATAAAAAATAAAACAATGAATTTCCAGGAAAAATTAAAACAGAGTTAGCTGCGCAATTATGAGTAAAGAACAATGAGACATGAAGTGAAATAAGTGTCGCATGATATCTATTTAAATGTGTGTGATGATTACAGTGCATTTGTTTTTATTAAAGGGAGAAACCACATTAGGATGCTGATTTTCAGAAGTTCCTCATGATTTTTTTTTTTGATAGGGACAAATTGAGTAGAATTTGATTAAATTTTTCAAGTTGTTTGTATCCAAAATTGCCCCAGCAACTCACCAGAATTTTCTAACATTAAAAAATGCTTAAAAAACGTACAAAATATACAAATCAGCATGTATGTATGATTTATCAGCTGATAAAACTAGTGGTCAGATCTTTATATTCCCATGTATCTGCTGAACAGAAATCCTAATTCAGATTTGACTCATAATGTCACAAATCCTTCCTAATCTTAAAAAAGCTTAAAAATCCACAAAATTAATTTAGCTTTTATGATCCAGTAATGATTTAGCAGCGAATCCGATATAAGAATTGCCCCAAAAAAATCACCAGAACTTTCTGACATAAGAAACACCTTAAAATCGTTAAAATTCTCGAATTTTAGAATGATAAAGCTACTAGTTAATGCAAAAATATATTATTCCCATGAATTCAGTGCTATCCATAGAAAATTTCTCGGCTCCCAGCTATAAACGAACGGAAAGGCTTTAAATCTAATATAGCCTAAGCATTCACTTATAAACGCAGAAAGGATTATTCAACAAGCATAAAATTTATCAAAGTCTAAGGTGTAGAATCTTAAACGAACAGAAAGCCCTGTATGAATTTTGGGTGCTCATTACCAATCTGATATCAGAATCACGTTAGCAGATCAGTTAATGCTTTACACATTTCAATAATAATCTTTGTAATATTTATTTAGAGATTATCTGGATATAATTAGACTTTAAAAATAATCTTCTGTAGCTAATACTGACAAAATCTTGTCTACCTTGTGTATTATCCCTATTTTGCTTTTGACAAATTAACACTGTTGTTTTACACCAACTTACTTGTATAAGATCGTTAACTAAGTTTGATTAAGGACCTGTTTATAATAACCAAGATACCAATGCCAATAAAAAATAGTAAAAACAACTGTATAAAGGAATAGATGAACAAATTTCTTTAAAAAACTATAAAGAACGTAACTTTATTAAATTATACAAGTTTAGTTAATGAAATTTTAGAGTATTACACTGTACATTACTGGGAAAGTCGCAAGTGAGTGCTGCTTCGTTCCAAACTAGATCGTTAGGACATGTTCCTTCTATTACTTTATGGCTAACGCATTCGAAGAATTTGTGACAGTCATCTGGATCGGGAATGTAAGTTCCATCTGCTTTATCCTTACATAAGACATCTGAAAATTAAAGAAACAATATAGTTTATTATATTTTGCATCGTAACACTTCCGAGATGGATTGAAGTCTTGAAGAGAACTCACACAATAACTGTACTCACCATATGGATTACTTGTGGTGGTAGGTATAGTAGCTGTAATGGAAAATAAATTATGAGAATTGATCTTTTCGAATGGAAAATCAAAAATTAAATAATTTGAATGAATGAAGTGACTTCCAGTATTAATTTTGGACACAACAAAAGCAGTTAAATGGTTACCTGTGTTTCCAGTTGTCTTCGTGATATCAGTTCCAGCTGTCGATGTCGTCGTGGTACCAGTTCCAGGAGACGTAGTAGGTTTTGCTGTTGTCGTTGAATTATTATCTGAAAGCAACAAGTGCAGGTTGAAGGAAATTCAAACTTCAAGACACTGGACTGAAGTTGGATTCGTATATTCCACTTACCGGCATCGCAGGGAACATTGTAGGAATAGTCGCAAGTTTGAGCAGTGTCGCTCCAATACTGACCGCTAGGACAATTCATCAGATACCTGTTACCTTGAAAGCATTCCCAGTACTGAGAACAGTTGTTCACCACAGGGTAAAAGGTGATTACGTCAGATGGGAAGGGGCATTCTGGTCTTGGGCCTGGATCTGAAGTTGGTCCTACAAAAAGCATTTGTGTCATTATAAAGTAAGTATTAAAGAGAAGCTTACTTTTAACGTAGTTTTTGCATTCATTATTCTAAATAAATTATTATTGGAAAAGAAGATGATGATTGAAACAAGTTGAATCAACATGTTACGTAATTAATTTTTTTGTGAATCTAGAAATGAAGGTCTTTAATATCCGTGTACTAGACTTTATACTTCAACTTTGTATAGAAGATATTATTAGACCTTGGCTTGAACTATACCCTGTAAATTATTTTTTACTTACCTTGAGATGGTGTGGTTTGCGTGGAATGGGAAAATGTCGGGTAAATTATTGTGACATCTGAAAAGTTTAAAATTCATGACATATTTCTGTATATGGTAAATAAAATGACATAAAAATATTATGTTTGTGCAATTTATAGAGATTTTCTTACCTGGATCGCAATTGGCAATATCTGGACTGTCACACCTTGATTCCGCAGCATTGTACTCTAAACCGGATGGACAGTCCATGGGGTATCTCGCGCCTTCATAGCATTCCCAATATTTTGAGCAGTCTCCTTCATACTGAAACCGCGTCAATTCCTCCGAGGGGAAAGGGCAAAGGGGACTAGGAGTCCATTGTGCATCTGGAAGTAAAAAATATGTAAAGGATTACCATATTACAGTAGACATGTTTTTTTTTGAATTTGCGTTTTAATAATTCACGGGTTTAAACATTAAACAGTCAATACGCAAAAATAATCATTATTTTGGTACTTACATGCAGAAGATACCAGTAATGTTGCAGCTATAAAAGCAGTACCTGAAATAAAAATTATCCAAAATTATATGTCAATTGATATAATTTATATTATTACCTTTCAGTAATAATAACTATAATTTAATTTTTGCAAAATCAAAAATTTAGAATAAAATCTGCCAAATGCTTGTATTTACTTAATTTAGAATTTTAATTCATGCTTTTTTATTTTGTACTTACAAGCCATGGTAAATAATTGAATACTACAACTGAACAATAGTTTGAGTAGCAAACCAACTGATCGGATGTCAATCATGATGTTTCCTTTTATACCTCCTCAAACAATAAATTTTTATTTTTGGTATCAATGGAAAAAATATGTGCGATAACATTTAGCTACAGTCAATTAAAGATCAAAATCTGGGATAAGACGTCAGTGATAAGACATGCACATAGCGGAAAACGCATATATTTAAATATTTTTTCAATGGAATATCACTTTTCATAATTTTTTTATTTGTTGCTCTAGGAAGTTGTAGTAAAATTGATATTAATAATAAATATCTTGCACACGCTTGCGTATTCAAAACAACTTTTAAAAGACCATCTTTCAGATTCCTTAATAATTTTTGATATGTTACATTTCATGAGCAGCATAGAATTTCAATATACATATGTCTTTACATTTTTCAATACCTAGGTTAATATTTATAATAGCATGCTAACTACACACCGAAAGCCGTAATCGGTAGAAGGGGAAGGGATGGGAATTTTGACACTTTATTTATGAATAAAATGTTTATGAATGATAAACCACTTTATTATCTCATTATGTAGGTACTTAAAATGTAATTTCAATATATATTTAATATCGTAAACTAAAATTATAACCACATAAATTTTTTTAATACGGAATGGAAGAGTATTTTGTTTGAACAGGTTATCTTTTCCATGGAAAACAGAACAATACACAGAGTTAGACATTTTGTAATAAATATACATCATAAATATACAATAACAAACAATGTTTTTTGAGTTGAAATCACGTTGAAATCCTAAAACCAAGATTGAAAAAAGGGAAATGTGGAAATTTCATTTGAAATTTTAGAAAAAGCTAATGCAGGCTTCATTCCGCAGAAATCAAAATCTATATACAACAAAGAATTGAAGGAATTTCAAGATTGGAAAATCAAAGAAGGGGTGAAAGGATGAAGATGTCTTGCTGGCTTATTTCTCAACTTAAGTGAGCAATTAGCTCCATCCACATTGTGAACTAAATATTCCATGTTAAGTCAACTTTGAGAGTTTACAAGAACATTGAAACTAAATTCGGAAGACTAGTGGCATTTCTAAAGTCTAAGTACAAACATTTTCAACCAAAAAAATCCAAGGTCTGAGAAAGAGGTTCTACTGAATAGTTTAACTGCGTTATATTTATTAAATTTTTTGATTTTAGGTGGCGTTCATATGAGGAGTTTTTGGCGCTTGCATCTAAGCATAAACAATATAGAGAACAAAGGACAGTATATCCACATCATGATTTTAAATACTAAAACGGACAAACCAAGAAACTTCGCTGTGTTAAATGAAGGTAGAAAATATTCTAAGCTATGGTCTCAAAATGTGCAGCATAGAAAGTTCTTTTGCAATTTTCAAAAGGGAAAATCCACACGTCAATGTGTTGGTATTAATAAGCTATCAAAAATCCCTACTGTTGTTATGCGCTTTTTGGGCTTGACAGATTCTAATTTATATACAGGGCATGGCAAAGAAATTATAGTATCATTATATACAAGTGTTGGATAAAATATAATTTTAACAGAGGACACAAATATATTTGAATAAAATTCATAGGCATATCTACAGATTATTCATTAATTCTAAGAAAATTACCAAAGTCGTAGTGGTAAAAGGGGAAGACCTGGCAACTTCTAATATTTTTTAATAATTGGCAAACTGTTCCGTTATCTTATGAAGGTACTTAAAACATATAAATAAATTTTTTAAAATTATCTAATGAGTTTTTTGATAAATGAATGAACAATGGAAGAGGACTATACTTGAGTACGTTATCTTTTTCGTGGAAAACAGTTTTGCAATATATGGCGTTATTCAAGTAATTGTGTAAAAAATTGTTTGTGTTCAGTTGTTTGTCGAATTATACAAAACAATGCATGAGATAGGCATAATTCTGTTATTTGATGTCAAAATCTAAATATCGTTAATATAGCGTCATTTTTTTGGTCTTTAGTTGTATGAGTTTTTTCAACTGAGTAATATTTGAATTAAAAAATTTGAATATTCAAATTACCTTTTTTTAGTTTCACGCAATTTTTGACTAATGAAATCCACATTAATGGGTTAAAACCAGAAGCTATTTTACAATCTCCAAAAATTTTACTTGTTCCAAAACAAGACCACCTTTTAAGTTGTGATATATGGGTAGTATCTATATTTAACATGTATTCATACGCAAAAATAGCAAAAAATCGCTTAGCAATTATTAAATTTAGATGACCATTTTATGAATTTTGTGAAATTGGAACAGCAAAATCAGCAAATATTTAACAGAAGAACTTAATAGCTCTGTTAACATTTACGAACTAATTATTACAGTTTCTCTATCATATTTTAAAGTATGACATTGGTCGAGGTTGCTTCTGAGGCGTTTTGAATCCATTGAAGATGATTCTAGAAGAGAAAGGCTTTCCAACCAAGCGTTTTGACAACTCCAAATAATAAACTAGACCTGATTAATGTTTTATCAGTGTAGGTTCCAAAATTGTTGGTTCCTCAACAAAAACTGTTCAAGTAGAAAATTTTTCAAAACCATTTGAAATGTTTAGATGCAGATCCTAACTTTCTTTTTTAGTATAGTGACAGATGATGGGTACATTAGACCCTGTGACATATATCTATAGCCTTTATCTTCATATAGGAAACTTAGCGTCATCGTCATTTAGAATCAAGCATTGATCCAAAATATGCTGGCCTGCATCATCAAAATGTCCTCATTCACAGAATCGCGCTAGTTGAGAAGCCAGCCAAAGCCCACCCTAGCCTAAATATGAAAAATTTCTCTTGTGGAAAGGATATATGAGGGTTGAAAGAATAGTTAAAGATATGTAGGAAAAAGAACACATCGATTAAAAAATAAAATGCTTTATTAGTACCAAAAACTTAAATAATTAATCACTAAATCTACTTTGTATTACAGGATACGATTTGAGGGTAATCACAAGAGAGTATAAGGTCGTTCCAGAGAAGATCTGCAGCACACTGTTCCTCTATCGCTTTTCCACCAACGCATTCATAGAATTTGCGGCAATCGTTTGGATTTGCAAGATAAGTTCCATCCGGCTTACCAACACAGATGGGATCTGAGGAGTAAATAATTATATTTAGCATACTGTTAGCAATACGTAATTCTATATTTGTTATAAAAAAATATGTATCTATTTATGCAGTTATTGCTTCTACAAATGTATGGCATTCGAGGTGTTGCCTCAGAATTGATAAAATCTTACCTGCTGAATAGGAAGCAGTGTGTTGTAGAAACGGACGATACTGGCGCTCTCATAAAATCAAACGTAGTATTAATAGAAAGGGGTGTACCTCAGGGATCGATATTGGGTCCTTTGTTGTATATTTTATACACAAATGACCTGCCCTCAACAGTTGATGTAAAAACTATTATGTATGCTGATGATACATCTATAATAATCGGTAATAAAAATAAGGAATACCCAAAACAAATGGTGACCGTCACATTAGATTCCCTGGGGGGACTATTTCTATAAAAATAATTTAAAATTAAATAAAGAAAAAACACAAATAATCAACTTTACATACAAAAAGGAGGATAATGAGATTATACATACTACTGGCAATGACATCATAACNTTCCAGAGAAGATCTGCAGCACACTGTTCCTCTATCGCTTTTCCACCAACGCATTCATAGAATTTTCGGCAATCGTTTGGATTTGCAAGATAAGTTCCATCCGGCTTACCAACACAGATGGGATCTGAGGAGTAAATAATTATATTTAGCATACTGTTAGCAATACATAATTCTATATTTATTATAAAAAAATATGCATTTACTTATCACAGTTATTGCTTCTACAATTTTTATGAAATGGTTTACGAGACTTGTATTATTATAATTCAAAAAATAGGCGCTTCCTTTTCCTAAAAAGTTTTGACTGTTTGTGTTGAATAATAATAATTAATTGTAGAAGACGTTCTTAATAATAGAATTTACAAATTTGTGATGATCACTACAGCTTTCTCTCAGATTAGTGTTAAAACTTAGATATAGTTAACAAACGAAATTTACTTACTTGCAGTCGTAGATGCAGTAGGTACTGGTGTTGGAGGCGATAGTGTGGAAACTGGAATAAAAAACCTGATTATTTATGAATGTTTTGTTGGTATTTGTTATATAACGAATTATTTTCAGTAGCTTGTTGTCCACGCCTCCGTTTCCTAGTAGATTCTTGTTACCAGATTTTTTCGAAGCCGCGGCTAGTGGGACTCTTAGAAAGGCGTAGAACTTAGTATTGCTGTTTTTTTTTGTAAAAAAAATAGAAACTTTCTAAATTGGTTTGATACTAAAATAATAGTCAGAGATTTGATTTACCGTGGCCCGAGAGTCAGTAGTGGATTCGTAATTATGCGTCTGTCACTATCTTAATTTAATTGGTGACTGATGACAGCGATGTCGCTGTGTTTTCGCTGTCTACGATGATTTTTTGCTTATTTTACATTAATTTTAATTGAAAATCTCTGGTTCGGTGACATTGTATTAGTAAATAAAAAAAATCTGACATGATACAGATAATCGACAAAAACAAAGAAACTATAACAAATACAACAAATTTTAACTCGACTATCATCAACTAACCTCTATCACAATTAACATTCTCCCTATAGTCGCAGGCGTTTTCCTTTTCATTCCAGTACAAACCACTGGGGCAAGACATCAAATACCTGTGTCCTTGATAACATTCATAGTATTTATTGCACTCGGTAGGATGAGGGTAGAACGTTATTTCGTCAGATGGGTAAGGACATTGAGGATCCGGAGTATTGCCCCCAGGTGTAGTCGTGGTGTTAGTTGAAGGTGTAGTAGGGACAGGGCTTGATGTGGTTGTGGCGTTGTCTGAAAGTAAAGAATCAAGATTACAGTTCTGTGACTAAATTTAGAGTCTACAATATTACTTATGCTGCAATTTGCATTTCCAGGATAGTCACAGTAATTGTATACTGTGTTCCAATGTAATCCAGGCGGACAGCTCATCAGGTATCTGATTCCTTGGAAACATTCCCAATATTTGGCACAATTAGTCGCTACAGGAAAAAATATGAGTTCGTTAGAAGGGAAGGGGCACTTTGGTTTTGGGCCCCAGTCTTGTGTTGGTGCTACAAAAATATATAAACTGTCAATAAATAGTTAATTAGTTAGTTAGTTAGTTAGTTAGTTAGTTAGTTAGTTAGTTAGTTAGTTAATTAATAGGGAATTAATCCAGGTTTTAGTTCTAGAAAGGGAAATAAATAAAGAATTTCTTTACTTACCAGTAGATTGAGTAGATACTGTAGAATGTGAAAACGTTGGATAAATTATAGTAGCATCTGGAAGAAATGAAAATTATGTATTTTGATACTAATGAATCATTTATATGTATAGTACGTATTATATTTATTGACTCTAATTTCAAAATTATCCAGTCTTGCCTAAAAAGTAATTGTAAGGAATGTTTCAACTGCAAAATTTAAATATATTGCAATATTGCTATATTCAAAAACAAATCATTAATTTTTTTATCAATAACTGCATCTACATGAAGATAGAGACTAAATAATAGATAATAATTCGAAAACATTGATTAAACGATCATATCAGCATATGAAATGATTCAAGATGTAAGATCAATGAAAATGGACAAAATTAACAAATATAGTGAATCTAGATAAAGGCTCCACTTTACTTCAGTCTGATGCTACAAATTTGGTTAATCCAAAATTTTCAAGGTTTTACATATAAATGCTCCACAAAACGGCGTTCGGTATTTCTAAAATTTTTTAGTTAAAATTCTTTTGAGAGGAAGTATATTCATATACACTTTTATAATTAACTTGCATAGTTTTACCTGGGTCGCAATTGGCAAGGCTTGGAGTATAACACCATGACTCAGCAGAATTGAACTCTAACCAAGTTGGACAGTCCATAGGGTATCTCGCTCCATTATAGCATTCCCAATATTTAGTGCAATCTCCCTCATATGGGAAACGGACCAGATCTGTGGAGGGAAACGGACAGAGAGGACTAGGCGTCCATGGATCCACCGCTCCTAAAAATTAAAAAAATTGACGGTGATTTATTTTCGATGTAAGGTTTCAGTTTCAGTGGGAGTCCACGGGTCTTCAGCGACTAAAAATATGTTGAAGAAATATTACAATTTACACAGAAAACTAAACAGGCACTATTTGTTGAATAATTTTTGTATATATAGATGGGAAAAAATCTGAAGATACAAGTGGCTATGTCAAGAGATTGACTCCAACATACTCAATGTGGTGCAGTTCTACACTTGACATATCCATGCTGACAGACATTATCTTGCACTATTATTAGGAGGTTCCAGAATCTCTTGAATTTCATGTCACATACTACTTTAGAATTGTCAAAATCCAATATTTCAACAAAATGTACTCAATTAGCAGGGGTAACACTGGACTGCTCTGAGAATGTTGCAAAGGGTGTCTTCAGTGTAAAAATTCGTTCCTAATATGACAAATTAAAATAATGCATATCATTAATTTGGCCACTTATTGAACGCCATCAATAATAATAAATCATTTTTAAGTGCAACCAGATAGTGTCAACACGGTGTTTATATTTTTTAATATATATTTTCTAGTTTTCATTGCACTTTAATTTCTCAATTCTTTATTGCTCATCATCATTTTTAAGTGCACCCAGATAATGTCAATATGGTCTTTATATTCTTTAACATATTTTTTTCCAGTTTAACTGTAACTGTACTTCCACAATTCTGTATTATTCTACCAAAATAAAGTAACACAATTTAATTATCAAACATGGTTAGTTGTATTCAAACTGCTAAAGTAAATGTTTTGAGTGAGGAAACGAAGAACAAAATGTAGATCACAACAACCTATAATTTCTCTCTGTATACGTTATGTGATAATGTGACATACAGTTATAGTATTAATATTATTAGTGGTCAAATTAACAGTAAGGAAAAAGTTGGATCAAAGTTTGATAAAATTAAAATTGAAAAGAAAAATTTAAGAAGAACGTCATAGTATGAAAAAAAGCTATTATTCTTGAATAATTACACAGAAATTAGTTGAATTGACTTACCTGTGCCAGCTACTAATAGCGTTGTAGCTACAAAGAATGTGACTGTATCTGAAATGAAGAAAGGTTTAAAGCTGGCGTTTCATGGATAAGAAATAGCACTTTTAGTAAGGCCTGAACACCGATGTAAATATTGGATATACTTTTTCTGTTCTATCGGAAATTTTATAAAAATACTGAGTGTGATTAGTACCGTAACCGATCTTCTTTATTCAACATGTGTGTAAATTTCAGGTATTGTAATGATAAACATAAGAAGTAAAAATATGCTTTTTTTCCTTATTTTGAGATGCCTTAGAGTTAAATATAAGTTACTAACGCTTGACTTCATTTAAACATTTAATATCTATTTCTAGTCCCTGATACTAGCTAAATATAAATGATATTGTGGGTTATATTAGAATTATAGGTAGTAAATAGAAAGGTAAATTTTATTTTTCTAATAATGTACACAAAAGTGAGGGCTTTTTCATGGTTGAATCTATACGAAAATGGTATATTCGTCTCTTATGACGAAAACAAAAATGAGTTTCAAGCTTCTTGAAATTGAACTTGAACGGAAAATGCTTTGTGCACACCTAATAATATAAAAATAAAAAAATAAACTTTTTACTTGGAAAACGTTAGCGGCACTAGAAAAATACATAATTCATAATTTGCTTAATTATAGTTAATTTTACATTAACTTGAACATACGAATAAATCTAAAAGAATATACAGCATTTTCAACTTGTGGAAATACTTTTTCATTAGCAGATTTTTCGCAATCGCATAGAAAAACGCCGTTTAATATAAAAAAATACTATTTTCGTTTTGAAATACATCATACTTACGTTTCATGATGAAAGTCTTCTTCTTACAGTAGTACTGACAGTTGTGCAGGATTAGGGTCGTTTTATACCTCCAAAGGGATTAACTTTTAAAGATAATTTTACTGATAAAGATACAATTTGTTTTTCTTAACTTTTTGTCAATAAAAATTCATTTCCTTTATTCAAGTAGGTACGTGGCAAAACAAAATCCTTGATTCGTTGTATTGGAAAAAGAGGAGGGGGTTTTGGATTAAAAATATGTATTTGCATATTAATAAAGGTATCAAATTTGCATTGAAAAATGATCTATATTTTGTTTTTACCAATATATGTCTTCTTTTCAATTCGAATTCATATTTGTATTAAAAGTATTCTTTAATGTTAAATTTAAAGAAAATGACGTAAAACAAATTTTCTTGGATCTTATCAGATAGGTTAGTAGACAAAAATATTAATATTAATATACCTATGCGTCTGCCCACCATCACTTTGATAATTTTCTTGCTTTTTAAAGATTTGGTAATGAACATGAAAAGATTTTTCAAATTTCAGAAATATGAAGGTGCTCAAAATCTAGATAAAAAAATATTCAGACAGACTGTTGATGCCACTTTTTCTCAAAGTTTTAAGCATAGGTTGGCACAAAATCTCAAAAAAAAAAATATATTAAATTTTGGAGGGTCAATTTAGTCTGAAAAAAATTGTACCTAAAATCCCATTAAAATTCATATATGAATCCATATATGAATGTCAATGATAAAACTGCACAGGTGTTTTAGATTTGTATCTTGACACTGACATGATACAACAGGAAGAAGGTACTCAAAAAAATCAATCGAANTCTTGGATCTCATCAGATAGGTTAGTAGACAAAAATATTAATATTAATATACCTATGCGTCTGCTCACCATCACTTTGATAATTTTCTTGCTTTTTAAAGATTTGGTAATGAACATGAAAAGATTTTTCAAATTTCAGAAATATGAAGGTGCTCAAAATCTAGATAAAAAAATATTCAGACAGACTGTTGATGCCACTTTTTCTCAAAGTTTTAAGCATAGGTTGGCACAAAATCTCAAAAAAAAAATATATTAAATTTTGGAGGGTCAATTTAGTCTGAAAAAAATTGTACCTAAAATCCCATTAAAATTCATATATGAATCCATATATGAATGTCAATGATAAAACTGCACAGGTGTTTTAGATTTGTATCATGACACTGACGTGATACAACAGGAAGAAGGTACTCAAAAAAATCAATCGAATCGAATGGCGTACCATTTATCAATAGTGAACTGTTGCTTATTGGAATGACATTAAAATATAGTTGTAATGGTTACATTAATTTATAAGTAAATATAGTACAGAAACTAAAAAAAAAATACGACGGAACGGAAATGACGGAATGACAATAATATTATATTGATTTTAATCAGTGACGGCTGATTTGGGGGGTTAAATTTGTTATGTGCACTCAATTTAACTCGACTTGCAAAATTCGTTGTGGTTTTTTATTATTAAACGTAATTTGTTCATGTATGGTTTAAAATTTTGTTACGTACGTATTGTTTCTTGTGTTTTTTTAAAAGATTGTAAAAGTTGAAATTGATTGTCAAGACAGACTAACAGTAATGCTATCTATTGAAAAATCAGCGGTGCGAGAAATACCTAACTTTAATGGAAAAGTAATAGAAAAGTATATATCGAACAAAAGCAGAAGAATGGACTTTCACTATAGAAAATAATGTTGAACGCATTTTCCCTATATTTTAATAATACTTAAAATAAAACTGCCCAATTATATTTAATTTTTTTTCAATACTTTGTACCGCTCTCCCTGGTATGGAAGACAATAACCGCCACTGATTTTAATATTATGCCTTATCTATTTTTGGCTAATTTCTAGGAATACTATATATTTCATCGCAACAATAATTGCTTAATAGAGGTAATCTATTTGAACTTTGTATTGCAAATTTGGTAATCTACACATACATATAAGTCATTGCCAGGAGCAGTACTATTTGTTAGAGTAACAATCTTCATGCTGTTGGTACTTTCTACTTTTTCCTCTAGAATTTTTTATTCGCGTGTGGTATGGAAAACTAATTTGATCTCTTATATGGTACAAATGAAGAATACCTAATAGCTTTGTCGAATTGTTCTCATTATGAAAATTTAACATGATTTTCTTTATCTTGGCACATTATAGATCATAACACTTGTTAAGGTNATATATATATATATGAAACGAATTCTGGATTTTTACTTCAAGTTTTCTCAGGTAACATGGAAGCAGGGCAGGTGTATGTCTATAGTAGGTGACTCTAATGGCGTTTTAACTCAGCTTATCTCTATACCACGTCGCCATGTTTACTCGCTAGATGGCAATAAACCAAAAAGTATAAAACGATTTGTCGGACTTAAATCAAATTTTGTATGTCGGTATTCGTGGTGTAGATGTCACTTTTTGAACTACTAACTAAAGTAATTGCATTTACAGAATACGCTAATATCCTCCGGTTCAATTACGAGTCACCCTGTATGTTTGATTTTAATATATCTCTATCTGTATCTTGTATTCCTTGTGACATGTCTATTTCATTATTGTTAGTGAGCTGGTACAGCATCTGGTGTATCAGCTTTTCTAATGATGTTGAATAATTTGAATTCCATTTAATGCAGTTTTAGTTAATTTTATCCTATTTATAAATTTGGAAATTTTTAAGTAAATTTGGGCACTTTTCTCCAATTGTTTTTACGTTTTGGAATCTCGCCAGTTTTTCCCAATCAAAACAGATTGTTAAATATGATGATTGAGGTAAGTCTGAAATTAAATATACTACAAAAAAGCGCATAACAGAATTCTTGAACTACAGAGAGGGGGAAAGAGCTAAAGTTTGGAACATTAATAAAACACATAGTTTAAAAAATCTTATTAAGAATACAAATTAAAAAAATAAATCAAATCTTCTTGCATCTGTGTCACAATCGACATTTTCGGCATAATCACAAGTGTGTGCCGCCTGGTTCCACAGCAAGTCACCAGGGCAGTCCCCTACTATTACTTTCTGGCTAACGCATTCGTAGTATTTGCTGCAATCATCTGGATCGGGTAGGTAAGTTCCATCTGCCAGACCGATACACATAGGATCTGAAAAATATAATTAATTTAATTGACGTAATGTTTTTAACCATTACCCAAAACTCTGAGAGATGTACTAGATATCGTTTTATAAAAGATTTCATTAAAACTCCGAGGAATCACACGGTATCAACAGCGAATATAGAAAAATTAAAGGGCTTTACTTACTTGGAGTCGTAGTAGAACCGGGTTCTGTTGTTACTATGGTTGTACTTAATTCAGTTATAGTGACTTCAGAACCTGTAGTTCCTGTAATAAAATGCAAATTAAAAAAATGTCGATATCGAACTAGTATTTGTCTCTTAAAATTGCTTTAGAGACACAATATTGTAAAGAGGTTCCTAAACTGGTTTTATATGGTCAACTTGATCAAGATACAATTTCTGTGTGAAAACGTTTCTGATATTAAACGACGTCAATATTAAAAGCTTACCTGTGAAGTCAGCTGTAGTCGCATTATCTTCTGGTGTTGTAGATGGACCAGCTGTGGTTGTGGCGTTATCTGAAAGCAACAGCTATAACTGAAGACACTGGTGCAAAAATCGCTGCATTTTAAATTAAAACTGACATTTTTACACTGATAGAATTCATAAGGTCCAACAATACACATAAAAGTTTTGGTAGTGATCCGTTTACCTTGTAAAGGTAACTAGAAGACAATAAAGTATTCTTGAATAATTCGAAATAGACTCGCTATGGCGTTCCTTGGGGACTTTTCTTAATTATTTGGTTTTGATCTTATACAACAGATCCTGTAGTAGATTCTCTACTTCAGATATGTACTCTGTTGTGATCAAGATATCAGTTATTTTTCCCTTGTTGTTTAGGAATACCTATGTCAATTTCTGCAGTTTCCTTCTGTTCTTTGACAACTTGGATTTCTTTTCTATACAAATTCGGTTTCAGGAGTTTGGCAGTTTGTAATTTACGTGCTGTATCAGCTCTTACTTCTTCTGAGACTTCTTGAGGCAAACGTCAGCATGTAGTCTCCAGACCGTTGATGATTTTCTCCTCAGGATCGTTGGGACTTGGTTTTATATTTGCTTAATTATTATCTAATAAAAAAATACACCAAGAGGAAGCATCTTGTTTGGTTTATTTTATTTACTAAATGGTTTTAAAAAAATTGATTTAATTGGCTCTTGCATCAATCACTTCACCTTAAGGAAAGCTGAAAATCTCTTACTGAAATTTTACTTACTTCTACTGCAGTCGACATTTTCAGCATAATCGCAATAATCAACCAATGTATTCCAGTACAGTCCGGAAGGGCAAGTCATAAGGTACCTATTCCCCTGGAAACATTCCCAGTACTGAGAACAGTTATTCGCTACAGGGAAGAATACTAATGCGTCAGATGGGAAAGGGCACTCTGGTTTTGGACCGGGATCTGGAGTTGGTGCTGAAAAAGAGTAATGCATAAACCTGAAGTAACGAGTTCAGTGGAAAACTATGAAAAATATAGCCACGAGGTACTCATTGTACTTTGTTCTTTAACAGAGTCCACTAAAGCAGTGACGGAGCAAAAGAAAAAAATCCACGTAGAACAGAGTTCATCGTAGTTCATCGAGTTCAGTATGTGCTGACCTTATTGGTGCGCATTTCGTGGTCAAGACTAAGATGAATTTATTCAAGCATGTAAATTTCTAGAGTGCTGGTAGCGTACATAAATATGGAAACTGCTAAAAAACAGTACCAATACTATTATTGCCTATACTTACAAGATGTAGACGTAGTAACCGTAGAATGTGAGAACGTTGGATAAATAATTGTAGCATCTGAAAAAAAAGGGAAAATTATATCTTTGTACTTATTCTTTAAATTAGCTACACATTTTTCATTGCTTACTCGACACGTTACTTTAAACTTTTAAACATTGGGTACTAAAATCAGATTAAAGCTTTTAAAATATACATACATATATTCGTATTTATAGCTGCGCTTTGATTAAGAACAGCGTTGAAGATATTTTAACGAAAAACAAAAATGTTTAGTATTGCCAGAAAATGTATTTAACTAGTTATAGATATTTAGTAGTTTATAACAATTTCTTTCTGAAGTGCCTATTTGATTATATATTTTTTGGATAACTTCAGCGTAATCCAAATTATCTACCGTAAAAATATCATCAATACAGATTATGAAGTTGAAAGATACAAGTAATTCTAAGAAATTAATGGAGGAATCAAATCTGAAGTGGACTGTCAAATTATCTGATATAAGGTATGAAATTTGAACAGACACTTCACTATAATCTTCATGGCCATAATAACTTTCGATTGAGTAATAATTTACAAAACGCTATAGATGAGATACACAGACCGTTTTATAACACAATCCACATTTACATGCCATAGAATTCATACAAGAGCTTCTAAAATTCGAAGTCAAATTGAAACCGAAAACGGCGTTTTTATCTGAGTACTTCTTTTTTATAAAAAAATCAGTTTCCTGTTTAAATAATGAAATCCCCTCTCTCGTCTTACCTGGATCACATTTGGCATTTTCTGGAGTGTCACATCTTGAATCATCAGGACTGAATTCTAAACCACTCGGACAGTCCATGGGGTATCTAGCTCCTTCGTAGCATTCCCAATATTTTGAGCAGTCTCCTTCGTAGGGAAAACGAGTAAGATTCTCCGAAGGGAAAGGACAGAGGGGACTGGGGGTCCATTGCGCATCTGGAAGGGTATTAAAAAGTTACATATCTATTTAAATTATTTAAGGTGATTTAAGATAAGTAGTTTTTTATCATCTAATAAAAGTTTTACACAGAAAAAATACATTTTTTCGACTTGAATTAATTGGTATGTCGTAATTGATGACAATAAATTTTACACTAACTGATATTATTGTAATGGACATTAACCTATTTAACAACAATGATACTATGTACGCTCCTTATAGTGATTTTTATGTCAGTAAGGAATCTCTACTTATTATATTTAATAAAAAAATATATTTTAGTAAGTTTAACAATAATTGCTTAAATTATTCAAATATGTGTATTTTCTCTTATAATCTTGAGGATGATTTACAACTATATCGAAACGTAGGAAAATAGGCTAACTGACACCTTTCGTAACGTAAATATTTTAGTACTTTAACATTTGAGTTACATCTGTTTTATGATAAATTAATCAAATAAATAACAATACGCTTTTAAATTCATTATCACTAATAATGACCAGGGTGGATCTGTTTTGAGGCGGATGTGAGAGGGGGCAAGCAAATTTTTTCTGGATTACCTTCAGTAAAACTCACATAATAAAAGTGTAGATCTCTAGATCTGGGAGAGGTCCGGAACATTTTCAAAATTGCAAAAATGTTTAAAAAATAAAAAAAAATACCTATTTTCTGAGTTTTTTATTTATATCTTGGTACCTATGCATTTTGGAAGAATATTGAAGAGGAAGTTTTAGAATTGAGTTTTGTACAATATACTGTAAATTAAAAATCATTTTTTGGATAATCTTTTCAAAATATTTTAATTTCTCCGAGGGCATTCTAATTTTGATAAAAAAAACTTTAGAGTATAATAAAATAACACACCAAATTTCGTTAAAATCGATTACAGAGTTTTTGCAAAATAATTTGAAAATAAATTTTGGAATTTTCAAAATGTTGCATACATTTTTACACAGCCTCAAATAAAGCATATAGATACTTGAACATTTTTTCACATAGAAAAGACCGCTCAACCTTTCAAATGGTTTAGAACGGCCACAGTAAATTTTTAAAGTTATAATTTTACCGATGCTTTATTTGAGGCTATGCAAAATTTTGAAAATTCAAAATTTTTTTTTCAAAATTTAAAAAAAAATTATTTTGCGAAAACGAACCGATTTTAATGAAATTTGGTATGTTGTTTTATTTAAGTAAAGTAAAAAGTTTTTTTACCAAAATTAGAATGCCCTAGGAGTTATTAAAATGTTTTAAAAAAGTTATCCAAAAATCTTGATTATTTTGCCTTTTTTTCATCAATTATTGCTGTTTTGCAATATCGGTAATAAATTTAAATTCTTAACTTGCAGTATATTGTGCAAATTTCGAATCTAAAACTTTTTTCCTCTTCAATATTCTTCCAAAATGCATAGGTTCCAAGATATAAGTAAAAAACTCAGATAAAATAGGTATTTTTTTATATTTTTTAAACATTTTTGCAATTTTGAAAATGTTCCGGACCTCGCCCGGATCTAGGGATCTACACTTTTATTATGTGAGTCGTAATGAAGGTATTCCAGCAAAAATTAGCTTGCCCCCTCTTACACCCAAGAAGTACATATATGTAAATTAAATATCCAAGAAAGTTACAGTTATAAATCAAAGTCAAAACTGAAAACTTAAAAAAAGTGGTATTATGACATTGGAAAGAGTATTTACAATACCACAAAGGATTTTTATTACTATAACACGTTTAAAAATTAACAAACCTAAAAATTGACCTGTCCCAACATTATTATCAACAAAAATTACATTATTTCTTACTGAATTTATGCTTAACATCAAAGGCGTATTCTATATTAAATAAAAAAACTAGTTATTTAACTGTTTATAAGTACTTTTTGGAAAGAGCAAAGAGAGAATAATCTGTTCATTGTGGCAATTGTCGAAAAACTTTCAAAATAATGAAACAAAAAATAAAGCGATGGAAAATATAGTTACATTTAGAATGTACCTTCATTTAATAAAGTCTTGTTTTCATTTTATCTACATCATCTATACATATCGCTATCTAAGTAGTACATCGCTGGCCTTTTATGTTATCTTTATTTTTTTACATACGTACATTTTGTTCCGAATCATGTATGTTATTGATAATTATTAAATAATTGTAATGCTGAAGTTTTTTTATAATATTTATCTTTTAAAATACAAAAAAGTTAGGTCCTTATTTTGTTACTTACCTATGGAAGCAACCATTAACGCTGCAGCTACAAGTTTGACTTTATCTGCAACCGAAAGTGTAAATATTAATTTTATATTAGCTGTTATTATAAAAAATCACTGGGAAAAATTGTTTTATTTTCTAAAAGAAGAAATTTTGAAATATACTCAATATTTAGTATCCTTTTATCATTTATTAAAGAACATCCAATTGTGATTTCGGAAATATATTGACACCAAAGCGAATTTTAACGACAGTGAATCTCAAATTTTTTACTTGGATATTTAGAATATGTTAATACTTACATTCCATGATGTAAGTTGGTTCTTCTCACAATAACTACTGACAGGTGAGCAAAAAACAGTGTACCTTTTATATCTCTTAAAAGAAGTATATATTTTTTCCATATCATAAAAGCTATACGTAAGATAACATATATATATGCAACAGAACTGAAGATGTTTATCAAACTCTGGAATAATAATTGACTGATATAGATAAGAAATACAATAAGTGTTATGAAATAAGTCGATTCGTACAGATTTTCTTCACGGGCAGCTTACCGTGACTCTCCATTAATTCTTAATTATCTATTTTAGGTGGAAGCTGCAAGAGAGTTGTCCTGTATATTGCAACACAAAATAAATATTAGACAAAAAAATTTGCACTGAACATCTTTTATTTGCAACGTAAAATTTCGCTTGAACCTGGCGAATTTTTTCACGGAAACGTTTCAGCTTTTGAAAGAAGCTGTTGCGAATGGATTTAAACGTGGTCGTTAGTCAACTGAAGATGATCCTCGACCAGGAAGGCCTTGGACTTCAAGTGATGACTCCCTTCGACTTTAATGGAATTGTGCATTTTGAATTTTTGCCTTAAGGTGAAACAGTGAACCTTGTGTACTATCGACGCGATTTACTGCGACTACGTGTAAAAGTCCGCAAAAAGAGACCAGAGGTCACTAGTTTTATGGCAAAAATTAGATTTTCTGTCTTCCCACACCCTCCTTACTCGCCGCACCTGGCAACTTTTGATATTCATGTATAACCTTTAGTACGTCGTGATGGTTATGGCAGGGGAAGATAGAATTTGATTTTTTAGGGTCTGAACTGGTTGAAAACTTATGAATGGTAAGTTACTCCTTTTATCTTATAATAAATCTCGATCAGAAATATTTTAATATTCCGTATTTATTAAGATTCACAACTGATAGATAATTGTTGAGTGTGATTAATGGAACAGCTAGAGTACCAGCCAGAAATATATATTTTTAAGTATAAATGCCATTCCGTACAGTTTGCGACAAATGAATGTGCTTTTTGCGAATCAAAATTAGACGAATAGTTGTACAGAATGAGCTGATGGCCAGGAGTTTAATCTGAATATTTGGCTATTACAGCTTTTCTTGTAAAATTTGTAAGACGAAACATTTTGTTAATTAATTATAATTAAAATCGGACGGAGGTTCCTTACACGTGATTCTGCGTTACAATCTACAGATAAAGCAGGATAAACCAAACGACTGAATGAAAAATCATGAATTATTTTGCTCCATATTATTTATTTACTTTAGTATACCTACACGTAAACCAAAATTTGATTTGGATTTAATAGCGCCTTTCATACATAATAACAGGTTATAAAATCATTTGTATTACCGAGCTGTCACTGATAATTGTTAATTGTGATGGATGAAACAAAATAAAAGGTCAGCATGATTAATATTTGCAAAAAGATATTATCAACACTTGAATATAACAATAAGTGTTATTATTTACCGTTTTATACTTCAGTTCAACAGGTCGTCGAGTCTATCTGTTCCTGTAAAACATTTTCTTACGTATTCTGCATATATAAAGCTATTGGAACTATTGTTGGTTTCGGCTATGTCTTATTTTTGGTCTTTTACCACACCTAACAAACATATTTGTCGATACTCTTTACAAAGAAAGTTCCTCTGAGCTTCTAACTTCATTCTATATAGATCTACATACTTCCGAAACATTGAAATCGATACTAGTGCTTGATATTGAAGCTCACTCAACAAGAACTATTCTTACAATATTAGATCTTATAAAGCTTTACCAACAGCATATACTTTGTTTATTGTGAAGTATTATTCGTATGGTACTATTAGACTCTAATGTGTTTGGTCCTTTCAGGGAACACAGGGTCAGAAATTTACAGATGATGAAGCAATTGAGATGATATAGAGGTGATTGGAAGATGGAGAACAAATATTTTTTGTTAAGACCATCGGCCAGCTTATGGATTGACAGATCATGTTGAGAAGCAAGAGGAGTATGACAAAATAATCTTTCCGTTTTGACAATATATTTGCACCTTTTATTACTATTAAACTTAAAGAAAAATATTCAGAAAACAGCAGTATCATCACAGTATCACCAGAAATTTAATCGGATGAACATTTACTGCCTATAACAAGAATCTCGTAATACCTCTGAGTGTAAGCTTCACCACTATAATGGTAATGCAGAACGTTGTCTTCAACTACGCTTCCAAGAATTACAATTCTTTTGTTGAAATCCACGATTCTGCCAATATATACCAAATTATCGTTAACATTAATCCCACCAAGAACTGGACTGACTACCGCCGTCACCAGCTCGTTATGAATAGTGTTGTAGTGTGTGGGGTACCACGCCAGTTTTTCTAGGTTTTGAGTACATAAGACCTGTTTAAAAAATATTTTAATTAATTGAAATGTGTGTCTATTATTATAATTCAAGAAGAACTGACCTTCAAATATCGGCTGTCTTGTATGACAAAATCCGAGGTCTTGGATGAGCTAGGAACTGAAACATTTACTCTGTGCTGATTTGCGAAAACTTGGCCGATGAACAGTCCGTAATATGGAACGTAGGCCTCGACTATGTAAGATACGCCTCTGTAGTCTCGTGTAGTGACAGCGTCTGAGGGTGGGGATCCAGCGGTCCATGGTCTCCAATAATATTCTGGAAGAAATAGGATTTACAAAGCACTAATAACAGCCAATTTCTAGATAAATTAACTTTTGTACTCTACTTAAGATATATGCTTAGAATTAGTTAATATTTTGGGTTTATATGACCACTTTATGTTTAATATTTAACGTATTTTTCTGAATTGAATAATGTGTCCATAAAATTGAAAATCAATCAAAATAAACAATTATGATGCTAACCTCATTTTTATTCCTCGAATTCACATACTAAGAGAAAAAGGTTTCTAGTTTTTGGTGGAGATAAATTTCAAAACCATCTTCTCTAAGTGACTTCAACATTATTAACAAGAATTGTTTTACTAAACTAGACTTAATTGGAGAAATTTTTTTCACGTACTTACCTCCGTCATTACAACTTATGGAGACCACAAATGTACACAACAAAAGCACCTTAGATATGGTGGTTAAATACATTTTTTAAATTGGAAGACTGTCTCTCAGAGTAGGATAAATTGTGCAGCTGCCATAACGTTACAAACCACTGTTATATATCTCCCTTATCGAAAGGGGAAGTTTTTGGTGTAGATGATTTAAAAATTTAATTTTTTTACGTTGTAGGAGATAGATTATAAAAAAATTAGTTTTTTGCAAAACAATAAATTTTAATCCTTCCAAAACTTAAGACTATTTACACAGGCTATTATCTAATCTTAATTGGGCAAATGTTTGCAGTTTTTAGTTTAAATAGGAACTACGCCTACAGGGTGGTCAACAAAACTGTTGCGTATTTCTTGTAAATATCTAATCATTAATCACTGGTTCCATCATAAAACAATTCAATTTCAGTTCCTGATAACAAACTGTTGAATGAATAAAAAAAATTGAGAAAAAATAATGACTAATTAAAATTTTATTTTTTTAAGCTACCATAAAATTGTTTTTATCTGGTAAGGAAATATACATACACTATTAGCATTAATTGATAACAACCTGTATGGAAGAGTGTATGTTATATTAACATTTCAGATTCCGGCCAGTCACTACGCCGAGAAATACCCTGTAAATTATTTTTCATAATTTTAGTTAGTTCCAGGTATAATGTGACTGGGAAAGGTGTGGTGTAACATTAATACGAGTATTTTACTGTAATTTCATTACTTTTATCTGCTACACATCACAGGGAACCGTTAAAAAACAGCTTGAGCTCATTTTAGTAAACATGATAACATGTAAATATTGAACACGCACATAAATGACGCCAGCAAAAAAGGTGCAACCTGTGTAATTTTCTTTAAAAATTAATTAGTTAATGTAATTAATAATAATAATAGTTTATTTTCTTTGGTGACGCTATATGTACAGGAATAATCAAATAAAATTTACAGCTCAGACCGAGTTTTATTATTATTATCGAACTGTCATCAGCATAGAATCATAGATAGTAAAACCTGTATTTAATGAAACGAAATCTAAGTCATTTATATAAATTTAATAATGCGCTGGGTCTAGAATTGAATCCTGTGGTATACCTATCCGTATAGGGTAGTGCACAGAACAGCTAGTTTTAATAGTAACATATCGAAGCCACTTTTCAAGGAAATGTACCTAAATCAGAGCCAAATCCCTTATATCATAAGAAAGCATGTTAAAAATTACTTTTTGATGGTTGATGTAATCGAAGGCTCTACTGAGATCCCAAAATATCCCAATGGTGAATGAAATGATATGTTTTTGTTACGAATATTTTGTTAAATGTTAAAATGTTAAACTTTAGTATTGCCAATATTCCTTCATAATAAACCTCAAAAATTGATCAACATTTTGACGTGATAACCTTAATTTTACAAACAGTTATAAAACAAATAAATTATGTTTATGGAATTTCCAAGATAAATCATTATCTGTCTGAATTTGATTCAACCTATTTTTTTTTTCATGTAACTACTCACGAGTTCATCATGTTTTATTAGGAAGAAGAAGCTACTAAAAAGTGTTACATACTTCTGAAATAAAATATATATAGTACTTATATACTTTTACACAAAAAACTTGTAATGTGGTTTACCTATATTATTAAAATAGCCATTATGTCCTGATGATGTTGCCAAATTTTTATTGGTTGATAAAGCGGCTATGTAGATGTTTTATTAGATTTAACAATAAATATTTACCAATGCTGTACAAATAAATTTCCCTTTGTGATGGATTAAACGTATTAATTATGAAATGGGAATTTTATTTACAATTTCCAAGACTACTAAGTATTACAGCCACATGTCTATATCGAAAAAGTTGACATATAAAATGAAAAATTATATTGCATTACTCATCCCGAAATAAAAATAATATTCCTATCATCTAACCAAATTTAAATAGCAAACAAATCAAACCAAATATCATTTGTTCGTTACGTAACAATAAAACTTTTAATATTTTTTATTTTCTAACCATATATAGGTCTGTTAGGTCTTTATAATGCTCGATGATTTTTTTTTACACTCAAGGACATTGGAATGCTAATTAATTCAGTGAATTCAATAAATTCCTGAAGTTGTTATTGGAATCGATTAACCTTCAGACAGAAGAACAAGTTATAGCTATGTGGTTTAACTGATAGCTATGGGAAATAAGAATTAAAATTTGAAACTTATAAAAATGAAAATTATATTTTTAGGGCAAGGTCAAGAAAGGGCATATACCGTTTTGTAATAAATCGAAGCATTTGTAGTAGCAATAATAGCAAAAGTTCATTCAGAATTATCTACAAACTCAACAGATAATATAATAATTAATTCTTTTAAGGGGAGAATTTGATGCTTTCCATTTCGCTTCATTCTTAATTTACATAAAAAAAGGTATTAATTATGTATCTGTGTGTGTTGCTGTTAAATATGATATAGTGTTCGTCACAAAAACATTTGAATTATGCAACATGCAATGTGCTTCAGCTGCATAACGCGTGATACGGGTATTACACAGGGTGTTTTTAAAAGAGATACATGGTTTTGAAGTTAAAAAAATATGTTTTCTCAAATATCTCTGAAGAATTTTCTGGTAGACTAATGAAACTCGAACTTTTTTCAAAAAATATTTTCATCAATTTTTTGTTCTGGATACAATTTTACATAAAATATAATCATCAAAATGCAGAAAAATCAATGATGTACTAGGTAAAAATTTAGATATGTAATATTCATACAATATTTTTAGGAAAAAAAAGAAATATTTATCCACTTTTCTCAAGTACTTATCTTACTTTATTAAATGAAACATTCACAATTGTTAGCTATATTTTTTACACGTTTAATATAAAACAATTAATATTAATGTCTTCTTAATTTGTAATTAATTGACTTAGTTCAATGATACAATTTTATAAGTCTTGTATAATGGAAGATAATTTAAGAGCGTTTTTTCCAAAAAGTTTTCAAATTAATCCTTCTAGAAAAATAACTTTCAAGTGGATACGTTTATCGTTAAAATCAGACCTCGATCAATATACTTGAAATAAGAGAAATAAAAAAAAATCACTGCTAATCTTTTTTAAGCGTCATACTTATATCACGAATTATCACTAAAAGCATCTTGTATTGGCACCAAATACATTAAGATTGATTCCCGTTATTTTGTTTTTGTGAAAACTCAGATCTAACAGATTATTACTACGATTATGAAAATGAGGTCTATCTTAAAAATGTTTCAGAAAATTCAGATTAAACACCCTCTCTCTTTCTCTCTCGAAAACTATATCATGTCTAATTTTAGATTTGATTTATCTCGTTAATAGTTATAATTTGATTTGGATTTATGCTGCGATCGTTATCAATTTGTGTAAATGTGTGGCATCAAGATTATCAGTTATCTCAATCCTGGAGTAAATGTGGGAAGCAAATACCGTATTCCGAGAACCAATCATAGGGGACCAAGATAATCTGTTTTTTATTATCTGCCAATTTTGCATTTTTACTAGATTAGATATCCTTAGAAAAAAACAAGTCTTACTAAATAGCATTACGTAAGTTATTGGACAGTTATTTTCTAAATGTCACTAATCAATCATCCTTTGCAGAACTGTGGATAATCTACAACATTTTAAGCAACCAATTGTACACGCCTGCTGTCAGTTTATCCAAAGAAATTAATATGAAGAGAATTTCTTCAACTGAAATTTACAGAAACGACAGGTTTCTGTAAATTTCCAGTAAAAACGATGGCAAAAGACCTTAAAGAAATGTGTCCTTATTGACATATAATTTGTTATTCGACTTTCTTTATATCCCATCTATTTGAATTTCTTAGCAAATGTTTTTCTGTATTTTATCGCTTTCCTCAAATCCCTAAGCAAACTGATTTTGCCTTCAGAATTTTACATAAAAGGGGTTTTCCCTTCTGAATTTCTTTGCAAGTGCTTATCTCTTTAAAATGTGTCCTTCAAATGAGTTTTTGTTTCTGAAGAGAATAGAATACACAAAAAATCTGAATCTATTTAGATTATTAACCTCCTTGGTATTTATTAATAGATATCTATTATCTTTGTTAATATACTGAAGGTAAAGCTCAATTTGATGCTATATTTAAAACAATGTTTATTACTTTGAGTCACTGTTTTGAAATAGACGAAATATTTAAAAATAAATACATATTCTCTGGTCGAATTATCAGTCCGTAACAACAAAATTATCTTCTAAAACACTTTATATTAATTGCTGCAATAGGTACTTCAAAAATGTTTATAGCACATCTAGAAACAATTATATAATTACTTCACACCCGAAAAGTATGACGTTAAAAGTTTCAAATTATCTTGATATTAGTTTAAAACAGGCTTTAGATGACGCGGTCACACGCCAAACGTTCGTCAAATATAATCGTGTCAAGGTTACTTGGTCAAAATCTGTAGCGCATATGACAGATAAGTCCTCAAACATTCCTAAACGTTTTACACATGATGCATGTTTATCAATTGTTCGCATAAGAACGCACCTGTGTACACTTGTCTTTTTTTAGGAATCCGGAGAACAACACGCTGTGGAAGTTGTTTGAAGTGTTGATAGTGGTGTTTGTACATTAATGAAGATAATTGTCTTTTATTTGTCTGTTATCTGAGCAAACCATCTCATACTAACATTCGCTTTCGGCTTTATCGATATGCACCATCCACACAATACGGCATTTGTTTACGTCCGGCAAGTCTACACACTTGCTCTCATTCTCCGTCATTCAGTTGTCTATACTTGTTTACATTTGGCGATTATTTGGCAAGTGACCCCATCATCTGAAACCACTTAACTATTTGTGCTGACTCTGATCAAAGTTCGATGTGTTAACCGCATAACACAAAGCGGCAAATAAGAATGACTGAATTAATGTTTACTCTAATTTTTTCTCTGTCTTTCTCTTACAGTACAGCAGGTTTTAAAACTGATTTATAATAATATCCTTAATTAAATTATCCTCATACAATTTCGATAAATGACGGAACAATCTTGTCTTATTGTGTTAAATTACTAAGAATATGTTTCATCGCTTATCAATTAACACGATCGATAGCGATTTAGTAAATGTATAGTTACGATAATTTTTTATCAGCAAAGCAGATACAATATAGAAATATGCATGAAAAGTATTTAATAATTAGCTTTTAAACGTTCTTATCTCAAACAAGCACTTAAGTTTTCTAGTAACTGCCGTCAGTATAAAAAAGATACAAAATCACAAATCCATTTTCTGTTTGATCGGAATTGTCAAAGGTGTAGCTGAATTTGTGCTGTTGTAAGATCCTAAAGTGTTACCATGAAACGTAAGTCCATGTACTGTATGGTAAAAATCATATATTCTTAAGAAACACGTCGATTTTTGAACTTTGGCTGTTGGGACTATTTGCAAAGTTAACGACTTCACCTTCTTCCAAGTCATAGAAACTATTTGACTTGACAAAAAGAGTGATTTTGTCAATCATGTCTGCTTTCATGACATCTTCATTAAATTCAAGCTAGGTAATTTTAACAGACTGTCAATAAATTAATAATTTTCTGGCAAAAGTTGCTAAAATATCTACTTTGATAATAATCGTATAAAATATAATTTTACAAGTAAGTCTGATTATATAAACAGACATATTATTAACTGGAGCTATTGACTTATGTTTATAAAACTATACGAGCACAAAAAAATAGTTCTAGTTATTTAGAAATTTCTATAAATATGTTATCTTAAAAAGTTTGTCTGGAAAATACTAAATTCAAGTATTTTTTGCAGGTACGGTTTATCTTAGTGCAGTATTAATATTGCTAGCAAAAATTGCAGGTAAGTAGAATAATTTAAAAGCACCTATTCGTTTAGATATCGTAATTATTAAATGAAACTCAAAACAAGTTCTTGATGTCAAAAAAATCTTCTATTAAAGTGAATAATTTTCAACGAAAACCTTTTTGTCTGCTTTTGTCTGTTCATAAGCAAAGGTTCAAAATCTAGAATATAGAATACATACAATAACTTGACTTCCATAATTTTGCAAATTCATTAATCTTTCATTTTAATCATCAGTAGCAACTGAAGAAGTCTACATAGTATATACTAGTTTGCTAATCCATTGCTCTTGAACTTTTATTGTGGAACTTTTTTTATGCAGATAGATAAATGTAAGTCTTTATGTGAAGATAAGTTATATTTTCATCCTCTATACGATATTTTGCATATGTTTAGTTCTTCTCCTACGGTTTGAATATCTTCAGTAACAAAGAAACTTAATTTGAGTATTTTGAAGATATTTTAATCATTCCTTAACTTCCTAGGAGCTGACGACGTGACTCCAAATCCCCTGTGTCCGTATCCTTCAGAAGATTTCACACGATTTCCGTATCAAGGCGACTGCACGAAATACTGGGAATGCTACCAAGGTCAGAGATATCCTATGTCTTGTCCTGATGGCTTCGAATACAACTCTGAGACAGGCGTGTGTGATTTTCCAGATCAAGCTAATTGTGACAGCGGTAAGATTTTATTTATCTTTAAAATATAGGACATAAGTATCAGTAAACGAATTGGTAAAAGAAGAATGGAAAAATGGCCATTTTCTGATCCTTTAATATAATCAAATTGTTATAACCGTACAAGGATGTGCATGTATTTTAATTTTTGATAAACTTTTATTTATTTTTCAGACGTTACTGTCACTTATCCCACATTCCCTCATACCACAAGTAAGTATGTAGCTAGTAATTAATAGACTTCGTCTATTTTTAAATGTTCTAATGACTGAGATTGTTCTGAACTCTGCCTATCAAATAGTCTTTTAAAAAACATGAAACCATCGTAAATATACGAAAGTGTTGATATCAATAAAAAGTCGATAATAACAAGAAAGTATTATAGAACAAAATGCAACTATAAATACACTTTTAATAATCTTAATTTGTAGAACTGAGCTAATATCATTGTAATTTTGATACTAAAAAATAATTTTTAGTTATTTTATTTTACAATACGAGTCCTGTTCAGAAAATGACGAAACATTATTTTTTTAAACTTACGGGGTTCTTCCAGCATCGATTTTAATTCGGAAATAAGAAAAAATCGTAAGGAGCGAAGTCTGTCGAGTAAAGTTAAAGAAGGACAGTAGTTTGATTTTTCTCAAAAAACTGATGGATTGTCAGAATCCAGGAACCATGAGTTGTCGAATGACAACTATGATGGTCTCTTTTTGTAGATTTTTTTCACGTAAAACGCGTTGATAGTACACACTGTCCACTGTTTCACTTTGAGGCAAGAATTCAAAATACGCAGGTCCATTAAAGTCGAAAAAATAATGGGCTACATATTGACATTGGATCGATTGACATACTTGCAAAAAAGGTCGGTTATTTTCTTAACAGACCTCGTATGATAATGGTTTAGTTTTGTCAAATAATATATCTTTTCTTTCCTTCCAATAGGTACACCCGGAACTGGACGTAAGTATCAATTTTACTATTTTCAATTGATTTTTGTAATTTCTATTATTTTTTTGTGCTAAGATTTGAAGCCTTTGACTGAACAAAATAAAATTTAATAAAAATTTTGAATTAGAAAATCTACTAATTTAAATATGAGAAAAATTACAATTTATCTCAGATAATTACTGTCTATTATTTCATTAAAAGCGACAACACCAACAACCACTGTATGGACTCCAGATCCTATATGCCCATATCCGTCTAGCGAACTGACATACGTTGTGCACCCATACAACTGCTCTCTTTATTACGAATGCTACCAGGGAATAAAGTATTTGATGGCTTGTCCAACACCGCTTGTGTTCAACATAGATAAAAAATATTGCGATTATCAGGAAAACGTAGATTGCAGCCGAAGTAAGTATTAAGAAAAAATCGTTAAATAAAAGGAATTGTTCAATAACATTGTTGTAACATATACAAAAATAGAAATTTATATATGATATAGTTGAAAGCTATACCATGTGAAGCAGGAGGACTATGTCAAAGGAGGCATAAGTATATTTGTAACAATGTTATTAAACAATACCTGTTATTTGGTAACTCCTCTGTATATATCTTATCTTCTAATAAATGAACGGATGCGAACAAAAGTGGATATCAGGTTTGGTTTATTCACAGACTTTAGTTAGAGAAAGAATTATTAAAGGGGCTTCATATTTAGTCGTTTAAGGGATGTTTCTAAGGCATTGTGTCTCTCTTTATTAACATTTAAAAGAGCCGTTGCCTTGAAATTATCACTCTGCTCAAATATTCACAGTTCTTAATGGACTCCCTGAAGTCTTGAGAGTAACCGCTAATGTAAGATAAATAATTGAAAAGGGGATTTATAAAAAATAGAAATAAACTGATCTACTTCCACTTGGGTCATCAGCATTTTCAAACTGTACAATAAAACAGGGAAACTTAATGTAAAACAATGATAATATCTGTTTCAGCTTCAACCACTACAACTCCAGTAACGATAGAAACCACAACAGGACCTTGTAAGTAATACTAGAATTAACTGAATAAAGAAGTTTATAGGAATTTAATAACTCAAAAATAACTAGGAAGACAGTAAAACCCCCAGAACACATAAAAGTAAACATTAAATTGAATTAATGATTAAATTTTGCCTAATTTAGATGTTACTACCAATGAGCCGCCTTCTCCCGGAACAACTACATCACCAGGTTCCACTACAACTCCGGGTAAGAAAAGTGCTTTGTAAAATTTTGTCAAACATGAGCTATATTTTGTATTTTAACTGTTAGATGGCAAGTTAGATTCATAGGATGACCATAAAAGTCTGGAATTGATTTCGTGAGACTTTTTCACAATTACAAAGTATGTTCGGTTCTTCCCTTCGAATGCTATGAACAGAAAGCTCGCTTCATCATGCTTTCCTACCAATTTTCCTTTGTTTATGATCAACTTAAATATTTTTCAGCAAACTTATGTGCAAACATGCCAGACGGAACCTTCCTCTCTGACCCAAGCGACTGCAGTAAATTCTACGAGTGTCTTTACGGAAAAGAGATTTCTGGAACCTGTCCTCTAGACCTTCTTTGGAACGAACAGAAACTTACTTGCGATTATCCTGAAAACGTAGTTTGTAATAAGTAAAATACCTTTACTGTGTACTTTTGATCTGCAGTTTATATGCAACAAATAAATAAATAACTCTGGAGGTACTTAATTTATTGACTAAGCTAAAAGTAATGGGCGTAATATAATTAACGGGAGAGAGTGAGAAATTAGGTTTAACGAAACGGATTAATAAATTTTGAAAAATCTTAATAACGTGGGAAAAATAATCTGGCAGGATTTTGATGAGATATTAATTGTTAATTAAGTACAATCCTCTCTTTTAATTCGGGAGATGATTAATTACATACCACTCATTTTGTCTGCAACATTTGGCCCAAAAATTACAGCGCCAGATGTTTTAATGGTAATAAACTATTAATTGAAGGAAAGACAAAGTATTCTGGCGCCCCAGACACTTTATATTACATGGAACTTGACACCCATTTATGCTCAGTTGAGGTCACTTTTTATGAGGCAATAAACTAATCCCTGTTATGCATAATTAAAGAAATTCAGAAGAAATAATGCTTTTTATTCATTGTTGGTTAAAACGTATTTATTACTTTCAGGATATTTCAAAATATGTTTAGCAACATTTTGAAGTTGAAGTGCAGAAACATAAATAGGAACAGAAGCGTCCGATATATTTTTTGTTTTAATTATCATTTTCACCGTTGAGGGCCCGTAACTTATTAACGAAGACCTGTATGAAAATAAATTATATGAAGAACGTATATTATTTGGACCTCATCTATTTGTAGCCGACTTTTTGTATCAAGTACCGGGACACCCTGTATATATACAGACTTCTAATTAATTACGTATAATGGGACACATATATGTCACAAATTCCGATTTAGATACCATAGATGAAGACCAGAATACCCAATTTAATATTAACATGAAGAAAAATAAGTAGTAATATATTCCTACTGTTTATTAATATAAACTATTAATAAATAGTTCTATTTCGTTAGACTCTGTACCTTTATCTATAGTACTTACGGTTGACATAAATTTTTATCATGGGAGTGTAATGATTTTGGTTTGAGATGTTCATACAAAATTGTTGTATATAGGTAAATTTATATAAAATTTTAATGTGGTACACAACATAATCTTTCATTGAATTTAACAGTATCCTGTAGATGATTATGAAAAAGTCACTTATTTAGATATTTTTAGTTTGAGAATTACCAGCTAATAGTAGTATTGCTCTCTGTTATATGTACATAATCTGCGAGTGAGATATAACCTACAAACTATATCTGTTTTTATTTGTCAATGCTGCTGCTGACATAATGTGATAGTTGTACATAGCACCTGTACACTGGCAGAGAGCGATCTACAGACCTGTAGAGAATAGCTAGTACCATACTAGGCAAAATAAACTTTTTAGTCATTGATATTCTGTTACGCAACTACTCTGCGAACTACGGCCCCGATCAGCATTGAATTACACTAGCATTTAGTGAATTGTTAAGATCATACGTCAGCAGAATCACCACACAGAAGTCTTGCTTTCATAGTACCTACAGATTAGTAGGTTGCTCTCTGCTAGTATGTAGGTGCTATGCAGAGCTATAATCTATGTCATTAAGCATTGACAATTCAGAAGTAGGTAGTTTGAAATCAATCTATGTCTGGTGATTCAGCTGATCTTAGATGTTTGCTAGATATTGTAGGTGTAATTCAATATTGGACGGGGCTGTAGTCCGCAGGGTAGTTGTTTTCCACAATGTTGTTAGTTGAAAAATATCCAGCAGGTCTCAAGTTTTAGGTATATTTGAGTTAAAACTGAAATTTGTTAGGTAGGTATTAGCAAATTTTACGTTCTTTCAGAGAACGAAAAACATTTATTTATTTTTTTTAAGTAAATTACATTGTGGTTTATTCGGCCAAAATGAGAAATTCGACGCGTGATTATCGAACTAAATATAATACATTGCTTGCTACTGCTGTAAATATAATTTGTAATTCCTATCTGTTTTCGTGTATTTGGTGATTTTTTTTTGAATGACGTAATTTACGATTAAACCACACTATTTACATCCCTCGTAAATTTGCGGGGACTATGTAACCATTATTTATAACACCGCTAACGGTATAAGGTTAAGACAACAACCCAAATCCAACGCCATGCGAGTTATTATTAATCATACCAAAGTAGTGTTTATATGTTGTGAATATAACTCTATTAAACTTTATTACATTCTTCAGTAGTGGGTGATCTTCAGCTGAATCATGTTTATACAGAGGCTCCTGATTTGTGCAGCCGTCGTGCTTTGTGTCTTGACTTGTTTAACAACAATTTCTGCTAACACCACAACCACCACCATAAGACCACACGTAAGATTAAATGCTATTAATTTGGATACATGTTCTTTTACTTGGTAAAAAAATGAGAAAGTTTTCTTGATATATTTTTTATTCTCACTTTTATTATTTTCACAATTAAACTCGTATTATGTAACATAGTATCTAATTAAAATTTTATATTTTACTTTTACATCAATTTAAGTATCTAAAAATTGTCAGATATTTTTTGATAATTTGATACACCGTTGGCTGATATTAAAAAAATGCAATTAGTAAATAATAAAAATTCGAATATTTTAACAATTTCTGACCGTTTCCAAAACAGCAATTTCATCGCATCTAATTTGTAACACCCTGTATAACAATAACCGTATCAATTTTGGAAGAAATATTTCTGTTTTAGATTGACACTGACGACAATGAATATTATCACCGCAGATATAATTCTGGAAGAAGAAACTGTGACACAGAACAAATAGAATACAGACTAACAAAATTGGAAGTACAGTTAGGTGAAAAATCGGCCCATTTGACCTCTGAACTGAGAGAAGGTAACCGGAGACTTCAGGCACTAGAAATTCAAAGCGCTGAAGTCCAGACATCTGTAGAAGGTAGTTATAAAAAGTATTTCACTTACTTATTAATTTAATTAGTTTCATATTATGCAGAAAAAATGTAAAATGTTAACCTTCATTAATATTTACTTCACCAAAAATCAAAATTTATTTTTTAAAGTAATATAATGAATAAAATTAAAATGTGTTTATGTAAGTAAATTTCATGTTGACAAAATTCTGTTAGTAAACTTCAAACAATTGTAGTAATTATAGTTACTTAAAAGTGCTAATGTCGAAATTTATTCTACATAGAAAAGCTTTTAGGTTTTATTAGATTATCAATTTATTAAATGTACAAGTCCTTGGATTTGTCCCATTAGTAAATTAATTAATAATTACATAAAATTTATTATCAATCGAACAAAATTTCTGTTGAAAATTCCATAATGAATACCCTAGGTGCAAATAATTCTATACATAGATTATCATCACTTTTATAAGCTTTAGTCAAGGAAAATATTTACACCATGCCTCACCAGTTTATTATTCTATCCTAGTTATTTTTATGAGTATTTTATTTGTTTTAAGCGGTGTAAAAGGGATGTTTACGTTTTGAAATAATATTTTTCTATCAATATATGTGAAAATGAACATTTTCTCACGGCTCATTGTATATAAAAGCGAGTTTTTAAATAGGAATGTCATATTTATGTTTTCTTAACTAAATTGCTTAAACCTTTGTATAAGTTATTTAATTTCGGTAGAACGTATTTTGTGTAAAGCATAATATTTTACTTATGTCATCTTCTATGTGAATCCAATAATAAAGACTACAAATCAATAATTTGTCACTCACGAAAAAATGGCATTTTTCAAAATGTAGTAGGTACTAAGATAAAACAAAAAAACGAAAATAAGACATTATTCTTAATTATTAATTAGAAAAAGTCTTAAATCAAATTTCTTGGGTTTCAAGCAAAAACCAATCAAAAAATATGTTTTCAATAATGTCCTGAGGACACTTTTTTTAAATTGTTATGTTACAAACCATTAACAAAACTTCCTATATAAGATTCATGTATATCCATATATAGCAAACAATAGCCAAGTGCTTGCTTTATTGTATTCTTACTTCGAGAAAGGTACAATACTAACGTTTTTAAACAAAGGTCATACCTATTCTATAGGATTGTCGGGATTGATTATCATGGTACATAAATACCACCTAACATAACAGCAATTACTGATAAATATGTATGAAGCCTCCAATCACTGACTGCTTAGCGATTGTGATTAAAAAAAATATTGGCTTAGTCATTATTATTTGAAAAAGTCTAATGAATTGTGTACGACACGAAAAAAACACGTGTACACTATATTATTCCTGTGAAATTTAAATACAAATTTTGTTAAGTTCATTAAAATGCATAAGAAACATTCTTCAAAATCTCATCACTGTTGTTTTTGATTTGTATTACAGTTCATAATTAGTATGTATATTTGTTTACAATATTCTATATTATATATTTGTATTAAAGATACCGACGATTTTTTTTAAGGTTTTAGAAATGAAATGAGCAGAATAGCAAATTTTGGCCAAACAGTCCCTGCTAATTATTATCAGCAAGCAGGTGTCGACAAAATGGAATCCAAGATTAGTAATTTAGTCAAGGGAATGCAGCTAGTGGTAGCAACCCTAAGAAGTCTTAATTCAGACGTTACTTGGATCAAGAAGAACATTTCTTCTATCACTAATGCCACTGAGTAAGCATCCTCTATTCTAATTTTTGTTCTCAGATTGACCCAACTCATCTTGTCAGCTAAATGTTCAGATCAAGGAGAGAGATGACATATGAGTGACGCAGGGACATATTTTAATAGCAAGGCAGGTAATATAGGTATTTCATGGAGTTTTATATATGAGCAAATTACCTGTGCGCAATCGAATATGGCGGACAAGATGAATAGGTCAAGCTGCTATATTTTTAATTAATGTATTTTCAAATATTTTTTCCAATATAGAAGTTACTGTTAAATAGCAATAATTGTTTCTTCGCAGCACCCTGCTACACAAGTACAACGATTTGACAACAAAGCAATTTCTGTCTAATTCTCTGATCGACGTAAAACACAATCAGCTTTATCCCCCAATACCTCCAAACATATTCCGGGAACCAGACACATCTAATTTATCTCATCTCCCACGAAATTGCAAGAATGTTCAAGAAAATGGTAAGTACGTAGTGAGTTTTCAGTTGATCTTCTTACAATTTGGCTTTATGTACTCTCTCTATTGTTGTTGATTATCAAGATTATTTGGTATTATGACTTTGCTGCGCATTATATGCAACCCTAAATGGTGGAAGATATACGTTAATGATGCTCTTTGTTCCAACATATATTGATTTATTCATTCCAAAAGACATCTTTCGGAAATATGCATATATTATTGTACTGATTTGAACTTTCGTTAACGTCTTTCTTCCAGGGGGAGTTAATTTAAAACTAAATGACTATAATTTGTAGGTAACAACGTCTCAGGAATCTATTTGATACAACCACATCAGTCACACAGCCCTTTTATGGTGCTATGCGACATGGACACCAAGGACGGTGGCTGGACATACATACACAACAGGTATGATGGGTCTCAGGATTTCTTTAACAACTGGCATGACTACAAAATCGGATTTGGAAACATTGGAGGCGAATTCTGGCTGGGCTTGGAGCATATTTACCAACTAACTGGTTTGTACAAATACAATTAGTATCGAATGCAGAACCATTTTGAAATTATCAAAATAATTAAGGCTGTTCCAACATAAGCATCTTTCGAAACGTTAGTCCGTTGAAAATTTACAAAATTCGTATAAAGCAGAAAGAAGTCTAAATATGGAACCCTGGGGAGTACCTGAAAATTTTGAAAATCCATTAAATGCTTCTATAAAAATGCTGAAAAATTTGTACTCATTGGATCTATATGAATAAAATAGTTCTGGATATTTAAAGAAAAAGAAAAAATAACTTGTGTGTTACATTCAACACTTATATTGCACTTACTTTTTTAGGTCATGAAGTCAATGAATTGCTAGTGGAATTAGTGGATGCCGATGGTGATAAGGCATACGCCCATTACGCTGCTTTCAGTATAGGTTCGGAACAGGAAGGTTACGCATTGAAAGTACTAGGTGGTTACAATGGCGACGCTGGAGATTCCTTGATCTACCACGCGGGAAGTCGGTTCAGTACCAAGGACTTCGACCAGGACAGCTGGGTGGAAGGCAACTGCGCACAAGCTCACAGTAAGATGGATTGAATTTACGTTAATAATAATTTATAAGTTAAGGTTCAATCAGAAAAGAGCTTGCCTCTATTTGTTTTCCTTACAGCCAGTTGACAATACATCCAAGGGAACCTCAACCTTGTGATTTATTGTAGTGATACTTTCATTTTTAATATAGCACCCGTTCCATTCCAGCACCCTGGTTCCTTATGTTAGTTTATGCAGCCTTACCAGATCCAGTGCTGTACTTGATTCTAACTTTGGTAATCTCTAAAGAGCCTGTTTTCTGTGGCTTAATGCTTAATGTCGATTAATTGTAAAGTTCCGCTTCCAGATATTCGACACAAAACCCTATATTGTTCAGATGTCATTTCAGACTGCAAGAAGACTTGTTAGTACGCATAACTGTGGTTTTTTGATACTCCAAACACCTTTCGCATCAATATTGACGAAAGCTTCCTAGCTAATTCTTCAGCTTTCTCATTGCTCCCAACACTTGAACTTCTTGTATGTCATAGTTAACTTATTATGATCAATTTAGACTAGATTTGTTCTCATTACCAATGAATGCTATCAGGAAACCTGACTACCTGCAAGAATATTTATCTGCCTATTGCTACAGGTTCTCATTTTCTCTTGTACATTGGCCAGTCTTTTTCTTTCTATTTGTAAGATTACAAATTTTTTGGATTTTAGTTTATATATGGCTATAGGCTAAATATCCACCAAAATGCTGTTATTCAGTGTTTCTAAGATATTCATTTCATAGAAATACTTTAGAATCATCAGTATCTTTTGCCTGCAATGGGATAATAGTAACTGTAGTCTAATTATAAGTGCATGGAAATGTATTGAACCTATTATTTTTAAAACTAATTAGAACTTTCCCTATACCTAAGGTGGTGCGTGGTGGTACCGAGGGTGTGATACCAGCAACTTGAACGGAAAATACTTAAGCGGACCGCTGCCCGATGATTTCCTCTACCAAGGCATGTATTGGGCCGAATTTAGAGGTGCTCAGTACAGCCTGTCTCAGGCAAGGATGATGATCAGGCCCAGGGGCCCAAACAGCCCACCAATATTCCCAGAAGGACTCTTCAGCAAAGGGAATTAATGTGTTCAATATTACATGAGATTACTTGTTCTGGTTTTCTTTCAGTGATAGTTTTAATAATTTTTAGTAATTACTAATTAAATTCTAACTGCAGTTCATTTCGTTGCATCAATGAAAAATAATTGTACAGACTTTCATCAGTATCTACCGGGGAACAATAAATTAATGATTATGAGATTACAATTTAAGTCCAGTCTCAAACAAAACTGCTGATGTTTCCAACAAAGTAACAGAATGAAGTAACTTTATTAGTCAATGACTGAAAGCTTACATACTTACATTTAATGTTTCTTCGTTTTATAATGATTATTTAATAAATTGCAACAAAATCTTTGTTTTTATTATTTATTTTAAGTCCTGCATTTTCAAACATCCAGAAAGTCTTTCTTGGTTAAAGTTTAAAAGAAAACCTGTTGACTGTACCATGAACGCATGACTTGTGTCACCAGTAATGTCAATTATAAACGTATGTATCTATAATAAATGAGAAATTATCGAAAAAACAACGAATATTATGTGATTATAAAAAAATATTTATAGCGATGTAGTAACAATTAAAACAAAGTCAACATTTAAGGTACCTATATAACATATACATGTAATGATGTTATACAAGTAAAACTATCTAATTCTATGGAAAGCTCTACGCCTCCCGGGTTATAACGAGGCTATACGATTCCTTTAGGACGATTCTGGGACGTCTTTACAAGTTAATTAATAGGCTTTATAACCTCTTCAAACACGCTCTGGCGGATTCTCAGGTGTGGAGGCTGAAGGATGAATACAAACGGGTGAATATTGCAGAGTAACCGTTAGAGCTCTTTACGCAGGGCTCAGCTATCTATTTGATTACTCCATTATCACGTCTTCAATTTTCTCTTCAGAGGAAACAGGGCCTTTTAGTCTGGGATGGATGTCTCGATTTAAATTTCCATTAAATAGTTGTAATGTTCTCGGCCTATTCTCTTTGGTAAAGTACATTCATAGATTTAGGAAAATGCCCACTACCTCTTGCTTAAATATTAAATCCTTATCCAAGAAGGTGCAACAGTGGCAATGAAAATAAACCGACTTGTTGTCCAGATCTTGTACCGAGTTATCTGAAACAAATTATACCTATATTTTGTCCCATGCATCATCTATCTCTGATAATGTCCTAATTTCCATTATGGAAGGGGCCTAGTGCATGCACAATTTTGATGTAAGGAGACCTTTTCCAATGTTGCCCTTTTTTACAATTTTTGCGATAAATTACGTACATTTAATGTTTTAATTACAAAACCTTTCAATAAGCAGTGTTCCTTAAGGTTCGAATCTTAGTCCGGTACTCTTTTTAATATTGATTAATGACGTTGACAGTATACTTAAATTAAGAGAGGCATTTTTATGCTGATGAAGTAAAAATTTATGTTTACACCTCTTCAGTCAGGCGGGCTCAATCTTCAAGAAGAAATTCAGTTCGGTCTATTAACAACATACTTCATCTGAATGTGTATAAATGTAATGTTGTACTCGAAAATTTAATTAAACTTTAATTTGAGATTTTTACACCTATTCTTATTTTAGTGGTACCTATTGTATTTTAAATTATTTGTTCAATATAAAATCAGATAAATGTAATTAATATGAAGCACCTAAAACTTTTATTATTAAATTATTTGAACCTCTAAGCATATAGAAAATCAATAAAAAGGAAAGTTTTCGGATTTCGTATTATTTTAGAGATTGGGCGTATATCTGTTAATACTTCAGGTAAAAAATATTGCAGTTTTTACATAATTGTGCCTTTTTAAAGCTTTTAAATAGCCAGAAAAATTCATTTAATAGTAAATTATATACATTATCGTCATTAAATGCAAAAAATATACATTAACAGTAACACCGAGGACAAATTGATATACTTTTTTACGGATTTCCCATTTTGACTTGATAATAGGTTGTGGTTTACTATCATTTTCTATCAGTATACAAACACAAATAGGAGACAGGAAACAGGATTATCACTTATCACTTTGTTTGTCAGAGAATTCTTGACAAAAAATAATTTATACCTAATATTTAGAAGCGAATATTTTCACAATTGCAAAAAACAAAGTGTCTACTTTTTTAGAGGCAAGCAATATATAAAAACATATATTTTCAATTTATTTTAAATGTTTAAATTAAAATATATGAGAAAAATTATATATCAAACTTCAGTCCAAGTATGTAATAGGTACAAAATCTGTTACAAATAATTTTAGTGGGGAGTCAAAAGGATAAATGCAATTATTATTACAGGTTTTTTTTTTCAAAGTGCTGTTATGTGACATAATAATAATATAAAACACTCATATTGCGCCGAATTTTACTAAGCACCTGTTAAATATACACCTCTCTTCTAATTATTGGCAAAACAATCGAATATAGTTCAAATAGGATTAGCTGATTTCTAGCAGTGCAAGCGCATGATTGAATTTGATTTGGTTACATGAGCTGTGATTGTTAATCAGATTTCCAATCCTTAATCAAATTTTAACTATTTTGTACCAGTGAGTTGCACGTATAAAACTACTGGAATTATCGCTCTGTGCAGTGGTTACTAAAAATTAAGCTACTTTGCGATGATATTCCATTAAAATACATTAATCGATATTATTCAACACAATGTCCAACTTTTTTTAAAATATATAGCTCGGGCTATATACGTAACTTTGTTCATTTTTTTATTACAATGTTTGCGAAACTATGAACTTCTAATTTTCAGTTGACAAAAGATGGCTGCTCTGTAATCGAATTGTTGTTTTTTAACCTTTTAAATTTAATATCTACAACAGCAGTGATATTGAAATAATTCATCGAAGCAAAATCACCAGATATGGGCATTGTCGTTATAATATTCATCGTCACAAAGTAGACCTGTTTTATGTTATCGTTATATTGTAAATGAGTTAAAAATTTCTGTATGAATTTAGTGAAAACAGATCAAGGAACAAACAGAAATAAGATTAATGGAGGTTCTTCTTCCTGTAAAAACATCCTGCAAAACAAAATCACCCCGTTTCCCCTGTATAAAAGGACGGAATTAGAGAATAAATCGTTAATGTCCAAAAGTCAGTTCTAAAACAATGATTCAATTATTGTCCACCGTACTTTTCGTGATTGTGTATATTTTTTCTCCTGTAGTATCACATTCTGTAAGTATATCCAAAAAGATTTATGTTATTTGACATTCAATTATAAAAAAATATAATGAACAATTCACCGTTTTCTTTTTTTTTATGTGGAGTGCAATGAAGAAAATAGTCCTGAAAGACAGTCAAACGTACTGGATATTCGTGTAGCAATGGATTCTGATACAACTTCTATAAACTTACAAAGTACAGTAAATGGTGGTACAAAATCAATTTTAACTAGTGAGTATATTTATCTCACTACGTGACTGATTTGTTCAAGCTCTGTAACGAAACCCTATTTTATGTTTTTGGTAGAAAATATTGATTAAGCATTTTTTTTATAGAAACAAGAATCTATGTGACTTTTGACCATTTAGACCATTTTATCTGTTCACAAAAGACGATTATCTTTATAACATAATTTTGCATGAAAAACGTAAATTAGACAAAGTTTTGGGATGGCCCAAAAAAATAACACCCCTTAAATAAATGAAGATTTATATCAAATAAGAAGCCTGATAACCGTTTTAAAGTTATATGAAGAAATATTGATATCACATAGAGAGGATGTATCTCTATAAACTTTATGTTTTTTTACACAGGTATTTTTGTCCAAATTGTTTTATTTTGAGCCTAGAAATCTATTTTATTGGTACACGCATTTCAGCCTAGATATGTAATTGTTTAATGATCTATTTCCTTCATATGATAACAGAAAATTTAAAGAAAAAGTTGTCGTATTTGTTAAATTACTATAATATGATGTGAATTCATTATTATTGGCATGGTAGGTAGCAAACAATAATTCTTATTTAATTTACCTTGAACACAGTGAAAACATTTTTGCAGATATTACAGACGAAGAACATCCTGCAGGGGCACCTCTTACAGACGCTAGTTATGACAAAAGTAATTTAGCCGTAAAGTTGGGTTATTTAAAGGCTGAGTTACAGACAATTGATAGGACACTGAAGGATATGCAAAATGGATACAAAACATTTAGGTTAGGGAAGCTTCAACTCAATACACTAAAGCAGTTTCAATAGAGTCAATTTAGTATGTTTAAAGTATCAATGATTATTTGCAAAAAGTGGAATAATAATTTCTCGTAATCTCTTGTATATTTAGTGTCCAATAAAAAAAGACAATTTTGCAAAAAATATAAATGCCTATTATTATTAAAAGTTTCTACTAGTATTGGAAGTGTCTAAAGTACCATGGCTTTCCGGGTTGTTATGGCGTGGTTTATGTATCTGGGCGTCGTCAGTTACAGACTGAGATCTGCCCTTGTTGTTCTCGGGGTAGGCTCTGTGGAGCCGAACTCGCTATTAGAACCCCTAGGCGTACCCCGATATTTATTTTGGTTCTCTCTGAGAGATCAGAACGGAACGTGTCAGAGGACCACCATTGTCTGAGAAGTGTATTCGTCAGTAGTTACCATAGAACCAACGATGAGAACCGGACCAAAAATCACGCCGGGTCTAGGTATCCTGAGAACACCAACGGCAGGTCAAAAGTTCCAAGCTAAGCGAAAAACCATAGTAGGTACTTAAGATTCCTAAAATACCGTGGTACTTCCTATCGATATTCCTATAATTTTTGTTTAAAGCATTAACACCGATCAGCAATTCTGCCAGAGAACCAAAACATCCTTAGGAGTAAATTACAATCCTTGTACAAAAACAGTGAAGAATCAAACATCCTATGCTAAAAACTGCAGAGAAGTTCAAAAAAATGGCAAGTAGTTCCCTTGTATAGCTTCTGATAAATAATAAATTACGTTTTAGGGAATAATGTAACAGGAGTCTATGAAATCTTCCCCACCTACTCAAAAGCGCCCTTTTTCGTGCATTGTGATATGGAAACAAAGGGGGGAGGTTGGACTCACATACAAAAAAGATTTGACGGATCGCAAGACTTCACACTCGAATGGCGGGAGTACAAATTTGGCTTCGGAGATCTGGAAGGCGAATTCTGGTTAGGATTGGAAAACATATATTTACTAACAGGCACTAGGTAGTAACGGATTCTGTTTTATGCTTAACTTTTTTCAAGTTAAAGAGTAAAAAAGTTATGGGGCGATTATGCATAAAACATGTATCTTTCATATTCATGTCAATCTTTCTTAGCAGAAGAACGTTCCCCCATTCAACTGATATTTTCGGTAAAATGATACACTATATCGATTTTCATCATGTATACCTTTTTTGTGTAGAATTGTCCACGGAATCTAAAAATAAATCCCGAATAATTATTAAATCATTGGCGTAGAAGTTAACGTAAAAAAAATCCCACTTTACTACCCATTCCGACGCCACTGACCTACAAAAATTTGTAAATTTTACAGTAAATTATGCACATGCGTAAATGTTAACACCACACCAAATTTGAATCAATTTGTTACCAAAGATTTCGTAAATAATATGATTTTAACAACCGACCACTATGACCCTTGCTTTATAAGGCAATTCTGAATTATTTATTGAGTTCTATTTGTGGTTAAAGTTTGATTCACTCGAACTGAATCACCCTGTATGCAAATTTCAGGTTATGGATTATCAGAACTCCTAGTAGAAATAGTGGATAGGGACAACGTGTTTGCCTATGCCCATTATACTTCTTTCGCAGTAGGTCCTGAACCTGAAGGATATAATCTGAAACACCTGTCAGGATTCAGTGGGGACGCAGGGGATTCATTAACTTACAATCTAGGACAAAAATTCTCCACAAAAGATTTGGATTTTACAGAGAATTGTGTTTCAAAATACCGTAAGTGTAATTTAATTTATTGCCAGTGCCAGATTATAAACAATACAAACAGGAACAGTGAAATATCTTTAAAACGTTACGAACATTGGAAAATTAAACAGGGGTAGATAATATATTATTAAACTGAACAATAATTTATTTGATTTCATGGAGTTGAAATATTGTTTTAATATAAGTAATTTTAGTTTAAACTCCACTCGGTTATAAAAAAACGCAGTTGCAAATTAGTATAACTCATATCAAGACAAACTTGATTTGCTAACTAATTAAAAAAAAATCAATTTGTTATGAGAGGCTGACTTAAAATTGTTTGTCAACCTTTTCTAAAAAATATTTTAAAAAGCAAAAAGATCGATCGATGCGAAGAAGTACAAAAGATGTGTAGTTCCTGATAAAGTAATTATTTTTTCAGCTGGTGGTTGGTGGTATAAGGCCTGTCATATCAGCAATCTCAATGGGAAGTATATAAACATTGATATTCCTTCAAAATTCGTCTTTCAAGGATTGCACTGGAAAACGTTCAGGAGTCACGAGTATTGCCATTCAAAATCTAGAATGTTAGTTAGGCCTGCCAAATAAAAGACGTATATTTAATTCCAAAATTTGCTAAATACAAAAAGTATTGACTTGTCGAATAGTTCTTTTTAAAATAAATGTTTGGAAAAGACTGACCCCCAATTTATATTCCAGATCCAGTTATTTGTTATATACAGTAGCAGGTATGTACATTTTTTTATGGTACATAAGCGTTCTATAACCCTTTTTATTCAGAATTTAAAACATCAAAAAGTGACTGAAGAAAATAGTAAAATATTTGTTCACCTTAGCCGGACACAATGTAGACTCTTTAAAACATAATTTAAAAAGCTCTACAGCCGAAAAAATTATCTGTTTTGGAAATAATGCAATAAGGAAAAGGTAATCCAGGTACTGCACAGATGGTTCAGGGTAAACTATCTCTAAAATTTAATTTGAATGGCTCTTAAGTCTTTCAAGACAAAGACTGGGCGTTCCATTAAAAAAAAACAAAAGTATGGATTATCCCTTAGAAAAGATTTATTTATGTATTTCCTTAACATCACAACAAAATTTCCTACAACTTTGGTCTTTACTGTTTTTTCCTGGATAGAGAGGTTAAAGAGATAAATGAGATAAAGTGTTATGTGAATTACCTTGTACATTCAGACTTGAGATAACTGCGGTTATTCTTCCCGCTATATAAAACTTCCCCGATATAAAAAGACGACTCTCAGAACATACCTTATTCACATTAAACACTAGTTCTGTAAGAATGACTCCGTTTCGTTTGTCAATTATTGTGATCATTATAGTGTTCAGTGCGATCAACGTACAAGAATCTACCACTGATACTTCAGTGTCTTTGCCAAAATCTGTAAGTTCTTTCAACATAACTAACTTAACGTTTTTAAATAAATAAAGAATAGCTTGTAGTAGTAGCTGGCACTAGATTAGGCAGCTTGTGTTAAAGTAATAAATCGCTAAGTGTTTTCTTAATTAGGAAGAGATACTATTATCTTTTTTATCTAGTCGCTTGTGGAAATAAAAAGCAACCAAGAAGATGGTGGTGGCGTCCATTCAAACACGCTCGATATTCATCTGGCAATGGAATCCGGAGGCACCTCGTTGTCAAATACGAGAAGTATAATACGTGACGAATTAAAATCCATTCTAAGAGGTAAGTTTAAAATAAATACTTCTGTCGCGAAAATTATCAATTTGCCGAGCCATTTTAGGCTTAATAACATTCAAACAATAGCCACTTAAAACTAGTAAACGACCTTAATTAAACTCTGTATCCATATGAGTAACAATTTGTTTATATTAAACAAGTATAGGTCAATTGAAATTTTGTTTAACTTTGCCTGTAAGTGATTGGAAATTTTTATATATTGACATTATATTGTTCTTTACAGATTACAACAATTCTATATTAGAAAACGTAGAAGAGAAAAGCCCTATAACAGCACGTTCTGTGGTATATGATTTTGAGAAGACAAAATTTGATTACATAAACACAAAATTTCAGACTATTGAAAATATGCTAAAAAATATTCAAGCTGAGAACAAGAAATCTAGGTCAGTATTTTTATAATCTTTTTTACGATAGTAAAATACAAAATAGACATCAAAGATATCAACTTTCAATGCCTTTAACAGAGCAGGTAATAAATAAAATTAAAAAGGAAGTTGCTTCGCAACATTTTCTATACGCTTTGTTTAAAATAAAGATGTTTATTATGTTCACTACTAACAAACTGGTAATATTTACCTATTTAATAATATAAACACCTGTATCAAGTCATTAATCTTGTAATACTTTTTTTAGTTTAAAAGTTGACGGAGAAGTGACATGTTTAAAAGAAGAAACATTAGGAGTGAGACACAGCACTTGTCCCAAGCCACCGAAGAGTGAGAAGAGTTATCCTAAGAATTGTAAAGAAATTCTTCGAAATGGTATAAAAAATATTGAGGACTGTGTTATCTTTTAATATTCATGACTTAAGGCTGTGAGAACAGATCCCCGGGACATAGGCGTACGCATTATTTATTATAAAAGCAACAAATTAAATTGTCTACACTACACTACCATGGATAGAAATTAATTGCGCAACATCCACGCGATGACAAACGCAACAGTATACTGACGTGAAGTGAACGTGAAAAGCTAAGCCAGAGGCTCACGTATGTCTCGGTTGGCTCGCTTGGCACGCCATTGAATTGCCGCTTCCTCTGACAGCCTTGTCTATAAGTTAAACACTTGCTCAAAAAATAATTTTGCATAAAATCCATAAAAAATCTTTCGTGTAGCAACACATGTATGTTTTAGGTAACAACGTATCAGGAATCTATGATATTCTTCCAAAATACGCGGAAGAGCCGTTTCCAGTGTTGTGTGACATGGAAATCAAGGGAGGAGGCTGGACCCATTTTCAGAAGAGATTTGACGGATCGCAGGATTTCTATCTCGGATGGCGAGACTACAAATTTGGTTTTGGAAGTTTAGAAGGCGAGTTCTGGTTAGGATTGCAGAAAATATACTTATTGTCAGGTAATGTTTCTAATGTTTTTTGCACCTTCCTTCTTAATTATATAATTTTTATATTTGTCCACCTGGACAATCTTCCAATCAAAGCGTATTTCTTCGTATGTAGAATTGGAATTCTATCTCAACAAATATCGTACGGATTGTATTTTAATTTCTATTATTTGTTGTACGGGAAATAACATACGAACTAAAAAAAAGTAGTTACAATATTCTGCAAATTTTTAGGTTTCGAACCAACGGAACTTCTGGTGGAAATAGTAGACAGGGACAACGTATCTGCTTTCGCCCACTATACATCCTTCGCAATAGGAGCCGAACCTGGAGGATACAAGTTGGATCGACTATCGGGATTTAGTGGAGATGCAGGGGACTCCCTAACTGCTCATCTTGGCTCAAAGTTCAGCACAAAAGATTTAGATTTTACCAACGATGCTTGTGCTACAAAGTACCGTAAGTATCAGAGTTTTAAAACGGAAGTGACATTGCAATACACTGGAAAATAATGTACATTGAGTCCCAAAATGATGGAATAAAATTAATAGTTTTTTTCAGTTGAAATTTTAAAAGATCGCTGAAACAGGTCAATTAGTAAATAGAAATTGTCACTTTTCTGCTATATGTTTGACAGACTTATAACATTACTTAACTGTTAGCTATTGTATTCTTACTTTCTTTTAAAGATATTAAGCTGATTAAATAAATCCAAAAAAATGTTTAAAAAGAACATAGGGGAAAACGGTGTTTAACTTTTTTATAGGGTTCGTAGGTTTAAATTTATTTGAATTAGCTTAATACCTATAAAATAATGCAAAAATCCAATTGATTACTTGCCACTTTAATTTACTATGATTGTTTACAATTTTAGTTGGCGGTTACTGGTATAAAGCCTGTCATATCAGTAATCTTAATGGAAAATATATAAATATTGACCTTCCCGCAAAGTTCAACTATCAAGGATTACACTGGAAAACATTCAGAAGTCACGAGTATTGCCATTCAAAGTCTAGAATGTTAGTTAGGCCCCTTAACTAAAAATATTTAGTTGTATAAGTATATTAACGTTTATAAAATATTAAAATAATTCTTCAATACTATCGCTAGTATTAAATTTTTTTTATTAACCTTTATGTTTATCCTTACAGAAAGATATAAACAGGATAGGGTAGAGTAAGGCTAAATTAAGGCATTTTTGACAGCATTTGTTTGTTTTCTCACGTTTCCATAGTTATATAAAACACATTATTATTAACATAATTTGTATCTTCTAAGTTCTACATAATTGGAATATTTTGTAATTTTTTTAAAATTATGAATAGTACAGCAATAAACAAAGTAAAATGTTTATTTATTTAAAAAGAATTTAATAAATATTAGAGTTATTAATCTGACTAATTACAGAGAACAAAAATATAGGTAAATACATATTTTCCAATTTATACATTTTTATGAATATAAATATCTATATACAGTTATCATCATTGCACTACATACCTGTAATTATATTTATAATTTACAAACTAGATTTGCTCAATTTACAAACCAAATATATGTTTACTATCTGCTTGTTTTATTTTAAATGTTTTTTTTATGTATTATATAATAAGATAATTAAAGATCTTCTTCCTGTGACCACAGTATAAAAAGGCGGCTCTGATAAACTGATTACCACTTTTTAAAACTAACCTCTTCTGCAACAATGGATACAATTCGGTTAACTAACATTGTGATCCTTATTGGAGTATTTCTTACGAGACATATAAAAGCCAGTAATGCAACTTTTTCAGCACCAAAGTCTGTAAGTACTTATCTCAAATAAAGCTACTCTTTCAATTTAAAACGTCTTAATATGATAATTTGAATGTGTTTAAATAAACTTAAATTAAACAATTGCCGTTTTGATATTTTAGCATATAATTCAATTTCTTATTATTACTAGTTATTGCCAAAAGTGAAGAGTAACCAGGAAAACTCGTGTGACGTAAATTCCAATGGTTTCGATATTCATTTGACTGTGGAATCCAGTAAAATTTCATCGAACTTTCGTGATGAAATTATCGCAGTACTAAAGGGTATGTATAAATGTACAAAAATATTTAAATTTTTTCTGAATATCTAGCTTTCGTAGGTGTATATCTCTTTAAAATTATGCTTATTGTCATAAAATGATTAATGTATTTATATTTTCACAAACTGTTACGTAGTTGCAATGATTTTCAATGAAGATTTAGTACGTAATATTAGTATTTTGTTTCGTTTTTAGATTTCAATAAGGGTACAAACTGTGTAACGGAAGAGAAGTCAGAAGAGGAAAGTCCTATATTATCACGTTCTATAGAATTAGGAAATTTAGAGGCAAAGTTGGATTATATATCTACAAAATTTCAAACCATTGAGAAAGCACTTGAAGACATTCAAACCGATTATAAAAAATTGAGGTTAGTAATATCTTTACAAAGTATTAAGATTTTGTAAAAAAATATTAAAAAATTTGCTATCACGTTTTGCAAAACGGTTATATAATTCAATGAACGGTGAAGGATTTGCTTCAACCAGTAAATAATAATAGATTAATCATCATAGCTCTAACAACGGAAAAAAAAATTCGAAACGTTAACAACTTTTTACTGGAGCGATATATATTGACGTATTTTTTGTATTTTGTATTTGTTTGCTTTCTTTCATTGAGGTTTTGATTAGGCATAATTATTATCACAAAAATAACACTTAATTGATCATTTTGTTTCATTCACTTCACATATGGCAAAATATCCAATAAAAAAGGAAAAAAAAACTTAATGGTTATTGAATATTTCTAATAATAAGTGGAAATATTAGTTCATCCGAATCAACTGCATATTCTCCAGTTTTTTGCATTTATAGGTGCTTCTTTATTTATTAATTAATATTTCTTTTTAGTCTCAGTATTGAAGAGAAAACTACAGATCTAGGAAAAGTGACGTCAGTAGGTGTACGTTGTAGTTCTTGTAACAAAGCACCGAAAAACCGAACAAGTTATCCTAAGAGCTGCAAAGAAATTCAACGAAATGGTAAGCATTTTTTTTATTTACTTAAATCTTACTTAAATTATAAATGCTCTGTACTATTTGTAGAAATAAAATAATAATAAAAATAAATAATTTCTAATTAACAGTTTTTTTTTGAGGAGTGATGTTCCGAAGTCACAAAAATTCAAATACACACACAACAAAAAGAACATATTTTGTTACATTTGTTACTTGTTAAATATAAAATATAACTCGTATACCAAAAGGGTGCGACTACGAGCTTTGTTTACATTGAAATTAAGAATTTATAAAATTTGTAAAACTATCAATGTAAAATGTCATAGAAATTGTATCGTTTTAGGTAATAACGTAACAGGAATTTACGAAATACAGCCCAGACACTCGAAAAAACCCTTTCCGGTATTGTGTGACATGAACATAAGGGACGGGGGTTGGACTCACATACAGAAAAGATTTGACGGATCGCAGGACTTTAATCTCGAATGGCGGGATTATAAATTCGGTTTTGGGAATTTGGAAGGAGAATTCTGGTTGGGACTGGAGAAAATATATTCATTGACAGGTATTCTATTCCGCTAAATATAATGAAATCAAAGGTGATGCCACACAGACCATGTTAATAGTCACAATTGTTTTAACAGATTGTATAAGATACTTACACTACATGCAGGATAACGTAAATATTTTTAAAACGTCAAATTCCACCCTACGTATTACCAAATTCACTTAATAAAACAGTATATGCATTGTCTGTATTCGTTTGTTCAGTTAAAATAATAATTTTCCTTTTCTCAATTTCCAACTTTCGAGTCATTTAAACGTACAATGACTTTACTGCTGGACAATCGTTTTGTTGTTATTTGTTTATCTAAACATTGGCAGAATTAAATACCACATGGCCTTACAATATCGTCTGTTCTAACGTATATAGCGAATATAGTGGACAATATTTTTTCGATTCAGGTTTCGAACCAGCAGAACTCTTGGTGGAAGTAGTAGACAGAGGGGGTGTGTCCGCTTATGCTCATTATAATTCCTTCGGAATAGGGCCTGAGACAGGGGCTTACAAACTGGAACGTCTTTCAGGATTTAGTGGAGACGCTGGAGACTCCTTGACTCATCATTTTGGAGAAAAGTTCAGTACAAAAGACATCGACTTTACAAAGAGACGTTGCGCCACACTGCATCGTAAGTATAAGAGATCTACAAGGAGATGCAGAGGTGAAACGTTTTAAGACCATTGGCAACAAATAATGTAAATTATAAATTAGATTTAGCTAATTCCAAATCTCTCTTTACGTGACTGATGGATGTTATTGTAATTTCAGTTGGAGGTTGGTGGTTTCGTAACTGTCTCTGGAGCAATCTCAATGGAAAATGTTTGAACATTGACCTACCCCTTACAACATTTTATTATGTGGGATCGTACTGGTATACGTACAAAGACGAGAATTGCCTTTCTGCGTCTAGGATGCTAGTTAGACCCGTCAATTAAAGGACTACCCGTAAAAGAAATCCTCATGGAGAGAATAATAATTTTCTGATATTAATAAAAATTACATATTATATAATATATTCTTATAATCTATGTATAAAGAAAGGGTTATTCCACTTTAAATACATTACATTTACGTTACATTTTTATTACAAAGAAAACTATATTTCCATCAATGTAAGTAATGTCAATTTAGCTTTCATCACTTTAAATTTCTTTTCACATCACGGTTTTTATATAGTTGTAACGTCTTTCTCCCTTTAAGAGCCAAATTGACAATAATGATTCACTAGTACTTTATTTTATCTTTAAGCACCTTAATAATAATTGTCAGTAAATATTCTCAAATTTCCTAGTAGAAAAGTTCTTATGCAAAATTAATTTGTTTTATACTGTGAAATATTCCTTCAATAACGAATTAAAATCCAAAAATGGCACAAGAAGAAAAAATAAATTTGATAGGGGTATATCTACAGGACATATTTCCGTTACCATTTATCAAATGGTAACGGAAACATGTCTCTAAACTATCTGTTTTTACGGGTATAAAAAGCGGTTCTGATAAAACATCAAATTTGGTCGTTTGATATTTTGGAATGGTTAAAATTCAGTTAACGACTATTCTTATTTTCATTGGTGTATATGCTACAATAAATATAAAAGAAATCAATGCTACTCCTTCAGAAACAAATTTTCTTAATACTTGAAAAATATATTAAAGTAAGTATTCAATTAAATGGGCCTTTAAATCGCAATTTGGTCAACTTGCCTGAATATTTGATATAAGTTAGTTTGGATTATCTCTTAGAAACATTTTGTTCATATATTTCCTTAACATCACAAGAACTTTGGTCTACTGTTTTTTCCTAGATAGAGAGGCTAAAGAGATAATTGTACCTTGTACATTCAGACTTGAGATAACTGCGGTTATTCTTCCCGCTATATAAAACTTCCCCGATATAAAAAGACGACTCTCAAAACATATCTTATTCACATTAAACACTAGTTCTGTAACAATGACTCCGTTTCGTTTACCAATTATTGTGATCACTGTAGTGTTCAGTGCGATCAACATAAAAGAAGCTACCACTGACACTTCAGGGCCTTTGTCAAAATCTGTAAGTTCCCCAACATTAACTTAATGTTTTCAAAGAAATAAAGAATAGCTTGTTTGTTAGCATTAGATTAGGCAGCTTGTGTTAAAGTAATGAATCGTTAAGTTTTTTCTTAATTAGGAAGATACACTATTATCTTTTTTATCTAGTCGCATGTGGAAATAAAAAGCAACCAAGAAGATGTTGGTGGGGTCCATTCAAACACGCTGGATATTCATCTGTCAATGGAATCCGGAAGCACTTCGTCGTCAAATATGAGAAGTATAATACGTGACGAGCTAAAATCGATTCTAAGAGGTATGTTTAAAATAAATACTTTTGTCGCGAAAATTATCAATTTGCCGACCCATTTTAGGCTTAATAACATTCAAACAGTAGCCACTTAAAACTAGTAGACGACCTTAATTAAACTCTGTATCCATATGAGTAACAATTTGTGTAACTTTGTCTATAAGTGATTAGAAATTTTTATATATTAGCATTATTATTGTTCTTTACAGATTACAACAATTCTATTTTAGAAAACGTAGAAGAGAATAGCCTTATAACGGAGAAGTCAAAATTTGATTACATAAACACAAAATTTCAGACTATTGAAAATATGCTAAAAAATATTCAAGCTGAGAACAAAAAATCTAGGTCAGTAATTTTTATAATCTTTAGGATAGTAAAATATAAAATAAACATTCTAAAAAATATCGATTTCCAGTGCCTTTAACACAGCAGGTACTTAATAAATGTAAAATTAAAAAGGAAGTTGCTTTGCCACATTTTTTATACGCTCTTTGTTTAAAATAAAGATGTTTATCATGTTCACTACTAAGAAACTAGTAATACATATATTTACCTACTACCTGTATCAAGTAATTAACTTTGTAATACTTTTTTTAGTTTAAAAGTTGACGGAGAAGTGACATGTTTAAAAGAAGAAACATTAGGAGTGAGACACAGCACTTGTCCTAAGCCACCAAAAAGTGAGAAGAGTTATCCTAAGAATTGCAAAGAAGTTCTTCGAAATGGTATACAAAATATTGCGGACTGTGTTATCTATTAATATTTTAATGCGTAAGGGCTTGGCACGTCATTGAATTGCCGCTCTCTCTGACAGCCTTATTCATAAGTTAAACACTTGATCAAAAAATAATTTTGCATAAAATCCATAAAAAATCTTTCGTGTAGCAACACATGTATGTTTTAGGTAACAACGTATCAGGAATCTATGAAATTCTTCCAAAATACGCGGAAGAGCCGTTTCCAGTGTTGTGTGACATGGAAATCAAAGGAGGGGGCTGGACTCATTTTCAGAAAAGATTTGACGGATCGCAAGATTTCTATCTGGGATGGCGAGACTACAAATTTGGTTTTGGAAGTTTAGAAGGCGAGTTCTGGTTAGGATTGCAGAAAATATACTTATTGTCAGGTAATGTTTCTAATATTTTTTGTACCTTCTTTCTTAATTATATAATATTTATATTTGTCCACCTGGACAATCTTCCAATCAAATCGTATTTCTTGGTAGGTAGAATTGGAATTCAATCTCAACAAATATCGTACGGACTATATTTTAATTTCTATTATTTGTTGTACGAGAAATAACATACGAACTAAAAAAAAATAGTTACAATATTCTGCAAATTTTTAGGTTTCGAACCAACGGAACTTCTAGTGGAAATAGTAGACAGGGACAACGTATCTGCTTTCGCCCACTATACATCCTTCGCAATAGGAGCCGAACCAGGAGGATACAAGCTCGATCGACTATCGGGATTTAGTGGAGATGCAGGGGACTCCCTAACTGTTCATCTTGGCTCAAAGTTCAGCACAAAAGATTTAGATTTTACCAACGACGCTTGTCCTACCAAGTACCGTAAGTATCAGAGTTTTAAAACGGAAGTGATATTGCAATACACTGGAAAATAATATGTTTTTATAAACAAAGCTATCAAAATAAGTTTTAAATTCACGTTAAATGTGCCTATTTATTGAAATCAAGTATACCTTATGTTCAAAATAGTTAAAATCCAATAGATTACTTTTAGTCCAGGCAGTAGAGTATTCGAGGTGTTTGTATTTGAAGTTATCTATTTTGTTGTACAAAATCACAAATATTATGTAGAATAAGAATCCGAGTTTGCCTATTCCAAAAAACCATTGCTAAAGAGCGAAAAATGACCCGTTTTTCGACATATTTTTCCCTGTAACATTGAAAGTAAGCCCTAAATAAAAAAAGTAATTCTTTATTTTTTGTTTATTTGACCATTTTCTATAAAGTTACAACAACTGCGAACAAAAAAGTTGAATTTTGCATTAGCAATGTGCGAAAAATAGTAGTAGTAGTATACTAGGTGCAATTTTTAAAATAGGTAAACATTTATAAATGTTGATGAAACTTATGAACAAATAGTAAAACATGTCAATTCTACCCTAAAAATTTTGCAACGATCAATCGTGTGGTTTTCGATTGACAGGATTGGTTAATTAAGAAAATTTCAAAATGTTTATCACATACCGTGGGTTTAAATTAAGGTTTAGAAAGGGTATACAATTTTTTAGAGTTATTTGTTGTCATAATAAACAATGATCAATACCAAACATACTTATTTTTACACTTTTATAACCATTTAGAATTTTTTTTAATTTTTCAACATTTTACTCTATAAACAATTATTTATTGCCCAGGGAATTTTCTATGCATTAGACTATAGCTATAAATTTTGCACTCATAAAAACTACGTCGTAATCCCGTGATTTTAGCCAAATACGACAGCATTCTATTGTGTAGATTCTGAGAGTAAAATATTGAAAAATTAAAAAAAATCTTATAAAAGTACAAAAATAGATATTTTTAGTATTGATTTATTGTTTATTATGACAACAAGTATCTCTAAAAAAATGTGTGCCCTTTCTAAACCTTTATATAAACCCACGGTACGCGATAAACTTTTTGAAATTTTCTTAATTAATAATCCTGTCAATTGAAAACCACGCTATCGATCGTTGCAAAATTTTTAAGGTAGAATTGACATATGTTTTAGAATTCGATCACAAAGTTTCATCAATATTTATAATTATTTACTTATTTTAAATATTGCTCCAAATATACATATTTTTCGTCTATTGTTAATGCAAAATTCAATTTTTTGATTCGCAGTTGTTGTAACTTTATAGAAAATTGTCAAATAAACAAAAAATAAAGAAGCTTACTTTCAATGTTATAATGAAAAATATGTGGAAAACGGGTTCCTTTTGTATGTTTTTTGTTCCCCTGAATTTATAGCAGTGGTTTTTTGGAATAGGCAAATTCGAATTCTTATTCTACATAATATTTGGGATTTTTCTTACAACAAAATAGTTGACTTCAAACACAAACGCCAAAGCCTACTTTTACTCTCAACTGCCTGGACTATTTAAAAAAGGTATAAACTTAACTGTTAGTTAGCTATTGCATTTTTAATTTCTTTTAAAGATATTAAGCGGATTCAAAGAAATTCAAAAAATGTTTTAAAAAACAAAAAAACCTTCTTTGACTTTTTTATAGGGTTTTTAGGAAGATTCTTTAAATTTATTTGAATTAGCTTAATACCTATAAAATAATACAAAAATCCAATTGATTAGTTGCCACTTTAGTTTACTATAATTGTTTACAATTTTAGTTGGCGGTTACTGGTATAAAGCCTGTCATATCAGTAATCTTAATGGAAAATATATAAATATTGACCTTCCCGGAAAGTACAACTTTCAAGGATTACATTGGAACACATTCAGAAGTCCCGAGTATTGCCATTCAAAGTCTAGAATGTTAGTTAGGCCCCTTAACTAAAAATATTTAGTTGAATAAGTATATTAACGTTTATAAAATATTAAAATAATTCTTCAATACTATCGCTAGTATTAAATTTTTTTTATTAACCTTTATGTTTATCCTTACAGAAAGATATAAACAGGGTAGACCCTGTTTATATTTTTAAAAAGGAAGAAAATAGTACCGATAAAAGAACATTAAAAGAGACTGCGATTATTTTATGGAACTGTAAAGAAGTATTTCAAATTATTCTGTTAACTTGGATCCTTCTTGGCTAACTATCAAAACAGACAAAGAAATTTAAACTCTCAAAAATTATTAAAACAAAAAGCCTTGATTACCAGACATCTAACTGTCTAAAATCATCTATGAAAAGAATTTATTTTTAGATGCAAGAAAATAAGAGATAAATAAACGGAAATATGATTATTGGATGTTCCTGTGCATCTGTTCATCTAAACTGACTCATATTTGGGTATAAAAAGGCGTCTCTGATAAAAATTATTATTGTATCTAGCTGACCTCTTCTGTAACAATGGTTACAATTCGGTTAACAAACATTGTGATTTTCCTTATGTTGTATAGTGCCATGAATATAAAAGAATGTTGCTCAAGTCCCTCACTGTTAAACTCGGTAAGTACGTAAGTACCTCTAACATAATCACTGTTGTTCATATGCCAATCATTTTTCCCTTTTGTTAATATTATCGACATAATTAAAAAAAATTTATAATATCTCAGGAAATTTTCTATAAATGTATAAAAAATTATCCATTTATCTTTTTCTTTATCACATACGTAGGTAATTATGTATTTTTTCCTATATAGCCACTTGCACAATTGAATTTTAATCAAGAAGATGCTAATGGTGTACGTTCCACTAATATGAACATTAATTTGGCAATGGACTCTGTAAGCTCCCCATTAAACTTGAAAAGTATGATACGTGATGAGATAATATCAGTACTAAGGGGTGAGTATTAGAACGGCATAAGTCATATTTTTTATTGACCCATAACAACAGATAACTAAAATGAAGTAACCATATTTATTACCTTTTATTTTTTGAATACTGGCATAAATATTTGCATTTATTAATTAGTTTTTACTTCTAGATTTCAATAAGGCTGCGAATAGTTCAACAGTAGAAAATTTAGAGGAAAGCCCTATAGCAACACGTTCTTTAAAAGATGATTATTTTGCTACTCAGTTGAATGATATTTCTACAAAATTTCACGACATCCAAAACACGTTGAAAGATATTCAGGCCGAGAATAAAAAATCTAGGTTGGTAGTTCGTGTACATACATAATGTTCTGACAATAAGTGCGAATAATTGGGGGTATTCTTAAATTGAATCAAGAATTGCAGAGATGTAAAAAATTAGGCTACTTTCTTTTTGAAATTGGATAATAAGTATTGCTATCAATATCTTATATTTTATAGATAGGATATCAACGTGCACAATCTTATTCAAATCCCACGAAAGGGATAGTGATCGTCACTATTTCATACCCAGTTTTATAAAAAAAATATTTTAAACACAACTGAAGTACTTCTTTTATGAAAATTGTTCAAAAAGTGTGAGATTTAAAATCATAGGAGATTGATCTTATTAAATTTTACAAATGCACCCTCTTATGTAAACCTGAAATAATATCTCAGTGGTCAATAATTTTTAGAATGGCGCAAAAGGCAAAAATGGGGTGAAATAGCGATAGTCATCCTTTAAATATATGGCATTTTAATTTAATTAAATTTATTTAATTAGTTTAATAATATTGTATACATAAAAGTCCTGCGATTGATTTTAAATGATGAATTCTATCATTTCCCTTTAAAAGTGTATATGTCCCTTGTTATCAACATTTGGAAAAATTTATATAGGAAGGGAGTCTTGTAAAAATTTTTTATTTGTTTTCTGCCACGTGTGGGGATTTCGCTTATTTACAATTTTATTTTTTGCAATTTGTTTCTAAAAAACGCAATTAATTTTAACGCATTTGCAGCGATTCATCAAATAATTGTCTAACATATGAAGGTTCATTCAAGTTAGTTCTGTTTTAAGTGCATGTGTTGAACAAGAAAATATACATTTAAGAGAAAAGAATTACACTTTAGGTGTACACCATGGCCAGTCAACCAAGACATTACACAATCATACATCTTATCCCAAGAACTGCAAAGATATTCAAAGAAATGGTATGTATCTATTATTGACACCGATATATTTATTCAAGTCTTTGGTGTACTAATATATAGTTTTAACACCACCACCCAATTGTGAGTTAAAAATAAAGCGATTTAATTAAACTAATTGTAACGACACCCTGTGTTGTACATTTTACTATTACTTTTCTTTTTCATAATGATTTTATACTATTACTATAATTATTCTTTTTGACGTGTGTAAACACTTTTTGTGTAAGTAACAGTAATAAATATCTATATATCTATCTAACGTTAAATTTCGTCGAAAAGTGACATCTTTAAAGAAATTTTGGATATGGGTGAGTTAAGTTCAATCGTCTTATTTTTAATTCTAATAATAATAATAATAGAGAGAGAGAGTTATTGACCACCAGTATATACAAACAGTACATTTGAAGAAGAAGAAGAAGAAGCAGAAGAAGAAGAAGGAGGAGGAGAAGGAGGATAAGGAGGAGAATGAGAAGAAGAAGAAGAAGAAGAAGAAGAAGAAGAAGAAGAAGAATAAGAAGAAGAAGAAGAAGAAGAATAATTTTGGATATTTTCAAATATCACCTTCTTTTACCATCAGCATAGACTTGAGCATCGAATATTTTGCCCGCATTGTCGCAGGATTCATCTTTTTGGAGATATCCAAGAAGTACGCCAATAGGATATTCTCTCTCTGTTTAAATATNAAATTTCAACCAAGGAACATTAACAAAGCAAGAGTTTGCATCGAGAGACGTAAAGCTTTAGGACCAATTTGAATAAATAATTTAAAATAATAATAATAAATAATAATAATAATAAAGTTCATAAAAAGTAAGCGGGAATTTTACAATTTTAGGCAATAATGCAACGGGAATATATGAAATATTCCCAAAACGCGCAGAAGCGCCCTTTCCAGTACTGTGCGATATGGAAACTAGAGAAGGAGGATGGACTGTCATCCAAAAAAGATTTGACGGCTCACAGGACTTCTATCTCGAATGGCGGGATTATAAATTCGGATTTGGGAATTTGGAAGGAGAATTCTGGCTAGGACTGCAGAATATGCATGTACTAACAGGTAGTTCACATGAATTAATCCAGAATCCAGAATATTTTCGTCTTAACCTATCTTGCGCGGTGACCTGATTTTCAGGTTTAAGTCATATAGGTTTCCTATACCTATTGTAAAGGATGACCTTCAACGAATATGCCTTTAAAATGTTTTGATTTGTAGATTTTGAACAAACGCAACTGCTCGTGGAAGTTGTAGATAGATCTGGGGTATCTGCTTATGCCCATTACAATTCTTTTGCAATAGGACCTGAGCCTGAAGGATACAAGTTGGAGCGTTTATCAGGATATAGTGGAGACGCAGGGGACTCCTTGATATATCATCTTGGACAAAAATTTAGTACGAAAGACTTAGATTTTTCCAACGGTGCGGTTCCAAAGTTCTGTAAGTACACGTATACATGGTAAGCTTTTCTTTATTAAATTATATTGTTTATAACTAAGCATCTAAAGCTCATGATATTCGTGGCAGAGGTTGTATTTTTGTAAAATAAGTGACTATTTCCAAATTATGGCACTAATTGAAATACCTTTATCATTTTTAGTTGGTGCATGGTGGTACGCCTCCAGTTGTCAAAGCAATCTCAATGGAAAATATATAAATATCGACCTACCTGAGAACTACAAGTACAAAGGTTTACATTGGGATTCATACAAAGGTGCTCCTTACAGCCATTCGAAGTCTAGAATGTTAATAAAACCCAGTAATTAAACAACATGTATTTGCTTAACGACACCAGTAATTACAATCAACATAAACCTTTTTTCAGATAATAAAATTTTAAACTTTCCGACAAAGCTAGTAGTGTACAGTAAATTTAAATTTTATGCTAGTTTAGAAATTATAATGGTTACTACACTTTTGAAAATTAAATAAAGATCAGTTTTATATATTTCAAACAGATAATTTTTTAAGAGGGAATATGTTGTGGGAAGTAAATTAATTGCCTAGGGAAATAAAAAATTTTAAGGAAAGGAACATGTGTAGGTACTTTTAAAAATTAACTATATTTGACTATTTTGTTATAACATTAAAATAATTTGTATAGATTTTTGAATAAAAATTTAAGTAATACTTATATATTTATTCATTTAATGCACAAAAGTTATTTTCTTTCATTTATAGATATGTAAGTTTAAATGTGCATTAAAGTTCTTATTAAAATCGAGGAACAGAATTTTAGAGATATAATTGTAAGAAAGATAAGTAGGTATACGGAAATACGATTAGTATTTTCTTCCTGTGGATATATCCCTCCCTCTACTGATCTAAACTCTGGTATAAAAGGCAGTTCTGATAAAGTTAATTAATTGTTTTGACTAACGTCTTATGTAACAATGTTTACAATTCGGTTAATAAATCCTGTGATTTTTATTATAACATATAATACGATCAACGTAAAAGAATGTAATTTGGAAAACATTCCGTCTCGACTACATCTGTAAGTACTTAAAATTAATATTTTGCTATTTTGTTCAAAAGATAGTACATAGTTGCTAGGAAAACTGTGTGATTTTTTTACCGTACGACGTAATAGGAATCTTACATTGATCGCAGACGGTGTGTTTTTAAGTATTTACAGTAGTGGTCGTAGGTAATATACTTTTGACGAAATTAATTTCAGTTTCTGTGACTAGTGTTCACAAACACTAAGATATTAATTATGTAATTTTCTTGTTCAGTGACAAAGTCGTACAAGAAACTATATGTGTAAGAGAGAAGAAAGATACTTTAGGAGTACAGTATGATTCTTACTTCAAATCCTTGAAAAAGCAGACATGTTATCCTAAAGACTGTAAAGAAGTTCAACTAAGTGGTAAGCAGTTGTAATACTCGTAAATACTGCAGAGTGTTTCATTAGAATGCAGTTTTACCCTTCAACTTTCGTGTCCTCTACTGCTAAATTGCATATTTTTTTACATTTTATCGATTTAGGTAACCATGTAACAGGAATCTACGAAATCTATCCAGAACACGCAGAAGCACACTTTCCAGTACTGTGTGATATGGAAACTAGGGGAGGGGGTTGGACTCTTATCCAGAAAAGGTTTGATGGATCACAGGACTTCTTTCTTGGATGGCGGGACTACAAATTTGGTTTTGGCAGTTTGGAAGGCGAATTCTGGTTGGGATTGCAGAAAATATATTTATTGACAGGTACTACAGAAGAAATCGTAAGCAAATACATGCAAAATTGATCAAATTCAATTTTCTGGAAAATTCAAGGCGATTTCCTTTTCAGGTTTCGAAACAACCGAACTTCTTGTAGAAATAGTAGCCAGAGACAAGACGTCTGGTTACGCCCATTACAGTTCTTTTGCAATAGGACCCGAACCCGGAGGATACAAGCTAGAACGTCTGTCAGGATATAGCGGAGATATAGGAGACTGCTTGGCTTATCATCGTGGATCAAAATTCAGTACAAAAGATTTAGACTTTACCAACAAAAGCTGCGCTACAACATATCGTAAGTTTAAAGTCTTATTGTTTATGTCACGTTCAAACGAATAAAAAACACACTATAAACATAAACCGGAGTAAATATATATAAAATAATTTTAGATGGTGGTTGGTGGTATTATGAATGTCTTTGGAGCAATCTCAATGGAAGGTATATAAATATTGACCTACCTTTAAAATATAAGCATCAAGGGCTTCAGTGGGATACATTCAAGGAAAATGGGAATAGTCATTCGAAATCTAGGATGTTAATTAGGTCCATAAATTAAAGCATATTTAATCATATCTTAAACATAACTAAACTCGATACATTTTTATATAAAAGATAATATTTTCAAAATGTTCCCTGCTTTTATATTATATCGTTTTATAAACCTTATTGTAAAGGGTTCTCTGCTTGTCAAAATTTACTTAATTATTACTAAAATAAGGCAAAGTCAGTTAAGACATATTTAACTATCTTTATATGTTGTTGTAAATGATATTTTCAATGTAAAAGATGGTTGTTCTATAGCACGTTTTCTTAAATTAAGAATACATTATACGAATAATGTCTACATGAGTTGATAAATTAATTATATATTACGAAAAACAGAAAATTTATTATTAAAATATATTCCTGATGATCTTTTGGTTTGAAATTTGGACAAAAAAACTGTACAGTTTCCTTAAATAGAAAAAGCGGCTGTTGAATCGAATGTAAATGCAATTGAAGTGCAGCGGAGGACGAGTGAGCTAAAATTGATGGAGCATATTGCCACGAAGACACCCCGCCATGAATTTTTCAGGGACCTTCGATCACATGGGAAATTCCGGATTGCGGCTTGATAAAAGGCTCTGCTAGCTATTATTTGTCTGTGCACAGATGTAAACTGAATAAAAAAGTTATAAATGAATTATCCCGTAGGCAATTGACTACGGAAAACTGATGAAAACAATTATTTAGTACCTTTACCACCTTGTAGAGAGGGGAAACAATAAAAACAACATAAAATAGACCATAATTAATTCAGTATCACTCATACTGTTACCCAACAATAGACGAAGTTATGTTGAAGTGTAATTAGATTTGGGTTGCATATAATTAAAAATATCATAAACGCCATCTTATTACTATTTGTGCACATATGTATAATTAAAAACATCATAACTGTATCTTATTTATTACTCTTTGTTTGCGTAAAATGAGAAGATGTTTGGAGAACCTTATTATTATTACGTTTCAACGCAAATACTTTTATATATTACTGCACTTTGTTTTACTTTAAGCTTTATTTCTAAAATTTACAGTATGAACTATATGAAAAATACAGGAAAGTAGTTGACTATACCAAGGAAAGTGACACATATATTTATTCATTTAAAGAAACATGTGAAAACTCCAGTAACAAAATTTTAGAAATATAAATGTAACAAAGATAAGTTTACGGAAATACGATTAGTATTTTTTTCCTGTGGATATATCCCTCTCCCTAAAGGCTCGTACTTCTCTGGTATAAAAAGGCAGTTCTGATAAAGTTAATCTTGTGTTTTCACTAACGACTTATGTGACAATGTTTACAATTCGACTAATGAACACTGTGGTTTTCATTATAACATATAATACGATCAACATAAGAGAATGTAATTTGGAGAATATTTCTTCAGTGCACCGGTAAGTACTTTTAATTTATTTTAATTTTTGCTATGTTATTCAAAAGCTGTAAGTGTATAGATGATTATAAAAAATAATGAGGAAGGTTATTATTATTAGCATTAGAATATTTACAGAATAAAATATATTTTTTATACATTTTTCCGTGGAGTTCCGTAGTTTTCATTTTTGGATAAAATGGTTATTGTAATACCATTTTACATCCGCGAATACTTGACAGACTCAAGTAGCTGAGTCAGCAAGAAAAATAAGTGACATTTTTATCCTCGATAGGTACATAAAGTAACAATTAAATAGCAGTAGCGCAAATAAGATATTAACTATGTAATTTTCTTGTTCAGTGACAAAGTCGTACAAGAAACTATATGTCTAAGAGAGAAGAAAGTTACTTTAGGAGTACAGTATGATTCTTACTTCAAATCCTTGAAAAAGCAGACATGTTTTCCCAAAGACTGTAAAGAAGTTCAACTAAGTGGTAAGCAGTGTTTCATTGGAATGCAGCTTAATACCCTTCAACTTTCGTGTCCTCTGCTGCTAAATTGCATATTTTTTTACATTTTATCGATTTAGGTAACCATGTAACAGCAATCTACGAAATATATCCAGAACACGCAGAAGCACCCTTTCCAGTACTGTGTGATATGGAAACTAGGGGAGGGGGTTGGACTGTTATCCAGAAAAGGTTTGACGGATCGCAGGACTTCTTTCTTGGATGGCGGGACTACAAATTTGGTTTTGGCAGTTTGGAAGGGGAATTCTGGTTGGGATTGCAGAAAATATATTTATTGACAGGTACTACAGAAGAAATCGTAAGCAAATACGTGCAAAATTGATCAAATTTTCTGTAAAATATGTAATTTACTTGCGGTGTATGGATTTGCGTTAAAATTGACGAGGTAAATTCAAGGCCATATCCTTTTCAGCTTTCGAATCAACCGAACTTCTTGTAGAAATAGTAGCCAGAGACAAGACGTCTGGTTACGCTCATTACAGTTCTTTTGCAATAGGACCCGAACCCGGAGGATACAAGCTGGAACGTTTGTCAGGATATAGCGGAGATGTAGGAGACGCTTTGGCCGGTCATCTTGGATCAAAGTTCAGTACAAAAGATTTAGACTTTACCGACAAAAACTGCGCTACAATATATCGTAAGTTTAAAGTCGTATAGTTTTCTCACGTTAAAAATAATAAAAAAGTCACATTATAAACATTGAAACTTATTTTTCCCTAACTCAAAATATTTCATTTTGAAGTAGATATTTGATTCGACTAAAAAAAACTGTAGTACTTTACTTGCTATCACGTTCCGAAAACTTCTCAAACCATTCAGTTCGAATAAACACAATTTTTACACAAAAATTCTTGGTTAATATGTCATTATAATTTTAGCTGGTGGTTGGTGGTATTATGCTTGTCTTTCGAGCAATCTCAATGGAAAATATATAAACATTGACCTACCTGCAAAATATAAGCATCAAGGACTACAGTGGGATACATTCAAGGAAAATGGGAACAGTCATTCGAAGTCTAGGATGTTAATTAGGTCAATTAATTAAAAGATATTTAATCATATGTTAAACAGAACTAACCTCAATACATTTTTATATAATAGATAAAAGTATTTTCCAAAGTATTCAGTTGTTTTAAACCTATAATGTCAATATTCTCTACCTTTCGAAATTTACTCAATTGTTAAGAAAATCCAAAGTCAGCCAAGCTATATTTAACTGTCCTTATATATTTTACTTCTTTTCATGTAAAAAATGTCTATTCTATGCTGCGTTTCATTAAATTAAGAATACATTATACGACTTTCGAGTTTCCTTAAATAACTAATACTAATAACTAATACTAACTATAACTAATAACTAATAAATAAATAACTTCGGCTGTTAAATCAGATGTAAATGCAATTGATGTGCAGCGAAGGACGAGTGTGAAATTTGTGGAGCAGATTGCCACGAAGACTCCCCGCCATGTTTTTTTAGAGATCTTTGATCACATGGGAAATTCCAGATTCCAGCTTGATAAACGACTGTGCTGGCTATTATTTGTCTGTACATAGATGTAAACTGGATAAAAAAGTCATAAATAAATTGTTATAAATTAGGTAATGAAAACAATTACCTCTACTACAGAGACAGATTAGTTATGGAAATGATAAAACATCAGGAAATGAATCATAGTTAATTGAATAGCAGTCATGCTGATACCCAATAGACAAGGTTATGTTACATTAAAAATATCATAAATAGTATATTATGTTTGCATAAAATAAGGTGGAGAAGCAAACTGTACTGTAAATTATTTTATTTTATGCTTTGATTTTAAACTTTGCCAAGATATATAAACCATATATAAAAAATACAGCAAAGTACCTAGTTGATTATACAATTTTAAAAAGATATATAGATTTTCGAAACAGTAATTTGAAAATATTAAATCTTACACAAATTTTAGGGAAGCAATATGTTTCAAAATTGTTCATTGCACATTAAAAGATTCCTGGAAATTCTTTCAAAGGAATAATAATAAATATAAATAATATTTGTCGCTAATAAAAAGCGATTGATATATGAAAGATAAAAGTAAAAAACATCAAAACTTTTGCTGTGGTCTATGTTTTAAAATAAGTACAAGTAAAAGTATATTTATGAAGTGTCATAGACCATTAGTGGAATTACCTCTAATTCGCGTTTTTTAATGACAAACCAACAGGTATGGGTAACGGATCTAACGCCTACTAAGACCACGAAGCTTATATACTACAAGATGGGTTAGGAAACTGAATCCAATAATCCTCGGGACGTTTTAGTCCGATATCTTCTTCAAACGTAACAAATTGCTTCCGGCCTTTAATGACCTTCAGAAGCTGTTTAGGTGTATACCCAGATTAAATAGTTAGTTGGTGGAATTTCTTACTAAGTTCCACTTTTCGCTAGTTTTAGCTAATCCTTACAAGCGAACTACATTATCTCTCATGCATATAAGCTAGTAAATACAATTTTTCAGTGAAAAGTAAAATTTCAAAACAGTTAAGTACATAAGATATACTAGTTATACTAGCTTAGAACTGCAAATAATAATTATATTTTATACTATTGAATTAAAATGATTAGTTCAATATCACCTTGTAATATTTAAATAATAAGGGACTATCCTTGTCACTAATTATTATGATATATCTAGGTTTTACCTTTGTTTCTCCAAATAACTCTTTTTAATGTGCAGGCACGTCTGTGATATTGAAACATGGTTTATAGAAAAATGTTCGACGGGGGTATGCCCCCAAATTGAAAACACGACCCTTGAACCAAATAGAAATGCAATTGAAGTGCAACCGAAGAGGCGGTGAGCAAAGATTGATGGGGCGCATCGCCGAGAGGTGACTTTGCTATGAATTTTTCAGGGTTTCAGCACAGATGGGAAATTTCGGATTCTGATCTGATGGCGGGCTTTCGCTAGTAATATTTTTCTGTGTCCTAGGTGATCGGGAAGAATTCTTGTTCCCAGTTGTCTTTAAATTGCGGGACATGTGACTTGATAATGGTCTAAATAGTGTCCCATATTCTCTGATTAGTGCAATCTATGTAATAATAATAAATAGTTTGTTTAAAGAAGCATGTACCGTGATTTCAAGAAACATTTTTGATCCAAATTTAACTCAAACGTTTCTATCTATAGCTTTGTTTCTGAGATACAAGGTTTTTTACGTTTTCAAGCTTTTTCAAATTTCTTCTAAATACTTTACCAATTCAAATGGATTTTAGATTTTGACAATTGTTAAAAAAGTACTTAATTTAGCATAAAAAAGGTGGCAGATACCAGTACTCGAAGATTAGCCGCAAGATTTGAAATATGTCATATGCTGACAAAATCAGGTGAGTGTGTTTTACTTATCATTATCACTTTTTGAGTTTTCTACTAGATTTACTTGTCAGGTACTGTTTCATAGTTTATCTCATTTAAAATAATTAAATTCTCGTTTATAAAGGACGATATGCACTCATGGTAGTGCGGAAATTTGATTTTAATAATCTTTCCTTTAAATTATTAGTTTTGACAACAATGCATAGTAGTTCCCAAGTGTACATGCGCTGTAACTAACGCGCTCCGTTGTTTGAGGTTATACCAGCTTGTCCAGCGGCGAAGTATGATAGTTACTAAAGAAAGATTTTAAAAAATTCAGTTCTTTTCGATGGAATTTGAGGAATCAAACTAATGATACGTGTTACTAAAGGTCAAAGCTAGCCTCCGTATAAATATGACGCCCAATTAAGGTTACACCCTGCCCTCTAGATGCTACTTGGTGAATCAATTACAATGATTCAGTTCGTAATCCATGACCTGCTGTGATTTTTTAAATCGTGTCTAAATATTGAATATTACAATTAAAATGTTTTACTTTCAATTGTTTTTTACTTACTGTGCTAATGGCATGTTTACACTTATAAATCGGGACACCCCTGCACGTGTAAGAATTAGAAAAACGTATCTATTTCTTCCTTCCCGAACGATTTTTCATCGAGTGACGATTCCAGCAAAAAGCAACAGGCCAATTTGCCAGCGGTCCTGAATTTAAATGAGTCATGCTTGTGACAAGCAACTTTAACGTTTCGCTGGGCTCACCTTTACCCCTAAACGGTGGCGGTTAGGGGAATGTAGACTAAAACGCGGCGGAACTTTATAGTTTGGGGGGTGTGAGCGGTGGCTGCATCACAATTACAGGGTGGCAACTATCTTCTAAGTGTTCCGACGAAAATGTTTTAATTTAGACGCGTTCAAATTCAATTCTGATAGAGACGTTTTATCGAGTGTCCCAAATTTCAATCAAGATTTGAATTTTGTGCGATCTATGGGGTAAACGGTCATGGAAAATTTCGGCAATAAAAAAAAATTACAATTTTTGATTAAAAACCAGTCTTCAATCAAAATTACTTCTTGAATGAATTTTCTAGTTCTAAAATTTCAGTTGAAATAGATTTTTATTTCAATCAATTGAAATATTTCAGTAACGCAAATTCCTTACAACATAGATAACAATATTTTAATACATATTTTAAAGAGTTATCCGTACTAAGTCGGGTAACACCACAATTTGCAATTTCGTGACCCATTGCATGATACACCTTGTACGAAAGGATGTCATTAGATTTGCTTGTACCCCCATTAAACCACTTTAATTGGTCCATATTGAACATTAATACACATGTGCTGACACCTGTGAGAACAATTTCGTTGGATGGCAGCCTAAATTGCTGATACGGATCGCTAGGAACAGAGAGATATGACCATGTTCGTTGCAAATGAATCTATATTGCCAATCAACGGAATTGTAAACGCAATACACAGTCATTATGTGCTTTATTTAAGGTTTTTTTAAATAGAAATTTACAAACTTCCGGAAGATGAACTTTGAAGTGTTGGAGTAAGACAAGAGAAACGCTTCAGAGAGTTGTTTTTGTAAATCTACGATTTGTGAATACACGGTGGATTAAAGTTTCCAAAACGACAGCTCCCAAGACCCACGTAAACGATTTCGATACACCTCTTCTTTGACGTATTGCCGTCAATTTTTACATCATAGAGAAAACGGTGCCCACCAGATTCTCCAAAAATTTGTTCAGGATAATAATTATTCAGGTTCTTTTCCAAATTTGTTTGTCGACTTAACTTGATTACTGTTTTTGTTTCAAGATTGTACTATTTTCTTCCAATACTTAGATATGTCGCAAATTTGTAATGAATGTACCTAATCATTGTTTAAATAAAATTTATATGTGTAATAATTTGTGTTATATATTTTACAGCACTCCAAGACAATTTCTAGAAGATTTATAAACATTTGCAAAAATGATTTCAGTATATGTATAGAAATATAGTATAGTATTTTCTATATACATTATAGTTATCAACAATTGTTTAAATATTTTTATATCTACCATTTACTTTTCATGTAGATATTGTATTGTAGAGCTTTTTATAATGATGCACAAATACACAAGAGTTCACAGTTAAAACATCTGTTATTGTTTCTCTCAAAGATTTATTAAAACATGTAAAATTTTCTACATCTTTTACATCATCAAAACAGGTAAAAGGTAAACTAAAAGAGACAATTTTCGGATATCACATTACAAACTATTTGTACAATTGTAGCTTCCCGACGGGTATTGATCATGCTTTGTTATATTTGTACAAGGATATTGGGTAATCGTTATTTTCAACAGAGTTTCAAGTTTCAATTTGATAAACAACCGAGAAGCAAAATAAATTCCATTTCATTTCCTTCCCATTTGTAGTTTGCTCCTGTTAACTGGATTGCCGGCACCTCATAAAATATTTAAGGAGCAGAGTTGTTTAATAGATACCCTTTGACCTTTATTGATAACTGTAAGTACCTATTCGAAAGAAAAGTCTAACAATATACAAAATATAAGATTTTTTTCCTTCACATATTCTAGTTGCGTAGGAGCAATATCAATTTACTTCTGTCATCGTTTTGGCGTGAATTTTACACAAAAGCAAATATATTTCTAGTTTTAGTTGGCAAAGACTTTGTACACACTGAAGTGAAGTACATATTTTAATAATACACCAGATTTTTTTTACCCGTAGTAGGTGAAAGAGAGGTTAGGATCAATAGTCTGAACATTTTGATGGCTGGTTTTGCTCTCGTTAAAATTAATTGCTTCTTAACTGTCCTCTCACTTTGTATTGGCATTAGATTTTGGGCAATGTGTTTTTCATTGTATATCATGCTGTAGAATCTGCAAAAGTACACGCCAAAATACAACTTTCGCTTACCCACTTATTTGATGATTCGTGGCAATTTCGTTTAGACATTTAGATTTTTGGCAGGAAAATACTTGGGAAAAGTAAATGAACTACAACACCACTTAAACACGAAGTTTAGCTTTAAATAGGCAAGTCATTTATCAGGTATCATTAATCTTGTGTTAAAGAATAATAACAGTTGATGTGGAGGAAACTAACCATTAATATACTGAAGAACGTAAGCTTGATAAAGAGTTTTTATATTACAATTCAACTTCCGATTACTTCTAACAGTACTTCCATACGAATTTTTTCGTGGAAAGAACGTTATATTTTACGAAATGTTTCTCAACCTGAAGCAGATTTTTCACTGCAGTACATTGCATGTAATCTAATACTTCAATAAGTTAAAAAAATCCAATAACCCAAACATCTTTCTAAATTTCTAATTCTATTCTAAATTTTTTTGTCAAATAAATATACTTTTTTAATGTTTGCAAGCCTTTCATCGGGATCATCAAAGGGCGGTTTATTTTCGACGTAATTTATTTTCGGCTTGCCAGAAAATTGCGGCTAACTTTATCCACGCTAAGAATTATTGCAGAACAGAAGCCTTCGCCGGACGACTAAATATAAGCGTTTGTTAAAATAAAAGGGAAATAAGAATTCAAATACCTAAGGCGGCGGACAAAGATAACTCCATCTTACTACAGATTTAGCTGGCGATGTTAAAGGGTTGCTCGGACGAGCACGGTTACACATAAATAATGGAGAGCTTCAAGTTAAAGCGGTTAGAATATTACAAAGTTGAACAAATTTATTGTTCTGGGAAGAAGTTTGCTTACATCTGTAACAGCAGTGTGGGCGGGTATTTGTCGCGGGTAATGGGTTTTTAAATTTTAAATGAAAATTGTATGCAGAACGTGCACCTGGGGTAGTATTCCCAGTGGCGGCCGGTGCGGGGGGCTCTGGGGCGGCGCCCCCCCCTTAGGAGTTTTAAAAATAATTTAGTTTACAATGTTCGTTAAAATTGAAATGAAAAATTATTTTGAATACGTGGGCTCTGCATAGCTCCTACATCCGTAAAATGTTTACAACGGTGGTCATGGTTAACGTCACGCAGCAGTGAAAGACGGAGTAGGAGTAGCGCATATTTATTGTGCAGTTTGGGCATTGTTTAGTCCAAATAGTAGCTATTCACGACTTTTTTTCTTATTAAACGTAATTTGCTCAGGTGTGATGTAAAATTTTGTTACTTACGTATTGCTTCTTGTGTGTTTTTAAAAGATTGTAAAAGTTTAATTTGATTTTAAAAACAGACTAACAGTAATGCTATACAGGGTGCCCCAGAGTATCGTGTACAACGAAAGACCACAGATTCGTGGACTCAAAATAGGCAGATTAGGCTATTCACCTATATCCAAAATCGCTTCGTATGGCCGCTAGATGGCCTTAAAGTTCTTGAAAATATTTTGAATTTTGTAAATAACTCGAATACGTATTATTCGATTTTTATTATATTTGAGGTGTGGACTTTTGCTTTAAATCTACACATTCGTGAAACAAACAATTTCACATTGCAAAAGCAGATGTAAAAAATTGAAACAAAAGAATTTAAAATATGACGTAAATAAAGTATGTTAAAGATATTAACAATCAAGGTTTAATAAATAGGGAGGGTGTAGGTTTGTAAACAGAATAATAGGTCCCAAGAGAGGTATTAGAATTTTTAATAACGTACACCTAAGCAAAGAAGCAATTCATTTATAATACTTGAATTTTTTTAAATATATTGTTTTAGAACTATTTAATTGGAGCTACACGAATATCACCAACTATTAGCGACACAAATTATCTAAATTATAAAAATATTGAGCTATTTTTCTATTAAACTTTTCCTGAAATAAAACCAGAGATATTTCAACTAGTTTAAAACGAAGTTTGGTAAAGCTTGTCAAATAATCTTTGAATGTACATCATAATAAATAGTCAGTTGAAGCTATAAAGGAAAGCCCTATTTTATTACACTTTTCTAACTTCATTTTCTCGGTTCCAACAAATAACCGTGGCCTAAAATGTATATAGGAACAAATAAACTTACAAAATTATCATAATAATTAATATTTCATGGTTCACTCAAATTACAACGCTTCTGAAATATAATACGTACACCACATTTTATATAAATTTCTGGTAAATAAAATTATCCTTTAAAAATAACTATTAATCTTAGCACAATAATAAATAAAACTCAATTCGCGACAGAGTAAGTCTTCCTCTGCCGCAACAAGGATGTATTGCTTTTCCATTTAACCGTGAATAAGGGCTTACGAGTCATTAATATCCTGTGGGTGCATTTATTTTGCTGAGGCAGGGACTACAAGACGAAAAAAAATAATTTCATAGGGAATGGGTATTACTGTCCAGCTGCAAAGAATGCTGAAAAGGAATTTTGTCGATTTCATATTTCTCTGAAAATACGAGTATATATATAATCCTCCTTTCTCAGCAACTTAGTCTCAAGATGTGGCATACATGGAAACTATCATTCAGTAAATTTAATAAAAGCAACAAGATTTCACTACAACTGCCGATTCCTTAAATTGCGAAGTGAATAGTATTGTATATAGGTACAGATTATTTTCGTTATATTGATTTCTGTTTTATTGAGTCAGACGATTCCATATGAACATTTTTTACTTCTAGAATGCTTCTGACACTCTACTGGAAGAAGAGTTGAATACTCTTTCGCAATTTTCCTTCCCACAAAATTAACTGTAATCTAATGACTGAAAACAATGAAGGAAAATCAGCATATCCTGACGATACTTGGAAGAAGGAAAATAGGTCCATGCTGCTAGATGGAGAAGCAACTCTCAAAATATTTTGAACGTCTGAATCTTTATTTTGATATACCTGAAAATTGAAGGGAATGTAAAGATTGAATAGCTGTTCCTACAAGATGATCACAATGGCAAATTTTCAGCATATCCTGACGATACTTGGAAGAAGGAAAATAGGTCCATGCTGCTAGATGGAGATGCAACTCTCAAAATATTTTGAACGTCTGAATCTTTATTTTGATATACCTGAAAATTGAAGGGAATGTAAAGATTGAATAGCTGTTCCTACAAGATGATCACAATGGCAATGGTCAAATAAGAAAGTTACTCAATAATTTTAACAAAAAATTCCTGATTAAATCAAAAGAAGGACAAAGACTATTAAGATCTTAATGTGTGACCTTACTCATAACAGTAAAAAAATCAATTTTCTCGACGGAGTTTGGGAAAACAAACTTGTATGTATTTCCAAAGATCAATCTTGCAACTAAACATTGACTCAGCTCATTATCTACCCCAAGCCGATTAACCTCGCACTTCGAGCACGTTAATCTTTTAAAGTTCTGGCAATAGGGAGCCGCAGGGAAGCTCCAAAGCCTGTGACAATTTTTTCCAAGTTGCCGAGGAACAATCTGTGAGGCATTTCAAAATCAACAATCTTCCTGGCATGGGAAATTCAGCGACCACGGGCATGCGTTCAGCGTTGGAATAGGCAAGTCTTGTTTCGGTGTTGCAGTTCAGCGTCGACCCAGGTAAGGAGAACGCCGTCGCGACGCGCGGCGCCCCACGTGAACGTGTGCACTCATTTTCCGGCTTCGATTTTCCTCGCATTTCATTAGAGGAAATGAGCCTTGCTGCTTAAGTGTCAGTGAGAAATATTGGTAGCGCACCTCTTGGACCGAGATGGGTTCTATGGTAAGTGTCTCAGCTTGTATGGAGTTTTCTCATTATACAGTATAGAAAATAATTTATCAAACACTTTTCAAAATAATTTTTTTTTAAGATTTTTTTTCTACTAAAATGTTACAGAACATTAAATTTAGCTTATATATTTTGCTGTTGGCTACTATCATTGAAAGGAGTTGTATTTTATTATCACAGTTCTGTGGATTTAGTGGATTTACGATGCTACATGTAACAGTTCCGAATGCACATACATATAAATCTAATTTAACTCATTTTTTTATATTAATAAAAAAAATTGACTACCTGAAACAGTATTTGTATATCCTTATAATTATTCGGAATTTAATATGAATTATTTGTAATTCTATCAAAGATAATATTCAAATAATAAATCTTCTTCTATACACTGTCTCATACTTCATGAGGTCACCGATGTATCTAGGTTTTGCATTTTTGTATCTAGAAATTAGTATATACTAATTTGTTATCCTTAGAAAACCCTCTGTACAAATTTGAATATAATATCTTTAAAGGTGCTCAAGATATGGGTGCTCAAACAATTAGTTTTTTATTTTAGCGTGATAGTAATTTAAAACTGCCTTTTTTCGAGTCAGATTAATATTGGTAGGTACAAAAGAAGAAAGTTTTCTACATAAAGCAGAGCGGCCTTGTGATAAAATTACCGGGCAAGATATAAGAAAAGTAATAAGGAGCGTCAAAAATTAAAGAAAAAAGAAGTTCGTTAATTTAAATTGAGAGAATTATTTAGTTATTTAATATTATTTTATTATTTTGTTTGTTCTTTTACCATACATTCTCAGCGATAAATATTTTTAATAAATGTGAAAATCTTAAGGACAGACAGATTCCTACGCTCATTACTTAATATTGCTTATTAATTGTCATTACTAACTTGATTTAAAAAATTGCACGAGAATTGAATAGCTTTATAAAAAAATTAAAACATTAAAAAACTCCTGGGTAATCGAACACTTTTAAAAATAATTTGGAAGTTTTCGAGGACAATATTAACTAATATATTAAAAAAAAAGTCAACCCCTTATTTAATTTTTTTTCAGAACGGGACGCTTTTGACTAATATTAAATGTACTTATACTGAGTAATATTCATAATCAATTTGACACCATTTGCTGATTCAGGAGGATTTTAGCTATTAAAAATTTGCAGGTATTCATCTAATACACGAACTTGCAGAATGTACTTCTGACTTAGAAGTTATTATTGGAATAACTCCAGAACGAAGCCCGATAGGAAAATTTTTTTTATGAAGTACTACAACTATTTTGACATCCCCTGTATACCCCTTCATTTTCGACATCACCTTTCCGGACACCCTGTATATCTATTTTTTTAAATAAATGCACTTGCTGAAGTCAAACACCTTGTGTGACCTATTGAAATCAATTCATTTATTAGTAAATATCGAAACGAACAGTTAAATTATGTTTCAAGTTTTTTTTTTAAAGAAATGTCTAATACGATTTTCTAAGATTTGGTGAAGGGGTAGACCTCACTGACTATTTTTCATGCTGGAAACAATATGTTTAAATATCACCCCATTCATTCTGAAATAAAAGAGTAGTGCTTGCGAACGTGAAACACACTAAATAGTTTTTAACTTAGTGCAGGAAAAGTATTTTTATAGATTTCGTGCGGAAAACACGGTTATGATTTAGGTAATGGTTTTTCATTTATGAGATTTCTCTTACCAAAATCTAATAATATTAAACTACAACTGGCATTTTATACTGCGGTAATCGTATGTAACGACGCATATTACTGTGCGGGGTAATAAAATGTATCTACCTGCAACTGAACGGCAATTTCGCTGGCACCAATTTTGAGAGAGCCTTTTTACATTAAATTCCCATATTTCAAAAGCTTATTTTTCAGACCATTGCCTCTAGCTACGGTTACATAATAATATTGAAAATAAATATAAAATTGCTAGGAATAGGTTTCAGAAGAATGAAAATCAAGGACAGTATTCGATAAGTATTCGAAATGTCGGCAGAAATGTAACTGCTGGTAATTTCATTGAATTTTACTTGAGATGCGTCTTATTTATGTTATTGCTAAGTAGCTAAGATAAAAGTTATACGGGCTTAAATGATGACTAAAATTTGTATTGTAATACAATTTACGATAAACGTGGCTGAAAACATACATAGGTATTGTATTTTTGAAACCGAGAGAGTCGCACTAAACTAAATTTGTACAAGACATAGCTAATACAATGCGAAACAACGCCTTAATGTTAAAAATGTTGTCAGCGTAGTACATGGAGGAAACAATTTTTTTTTTAACCTGTCGAAACAATCGCTTGAATATTCAATTAAGTAAATGCGAAAATACCTGCCGATGCAGTTTCTCAATTTGAAAATTTTACTCTGGACGTAAATGGATTTAAAATTGCACCAGCAAACTTTTACAACCCACAGTATGGGCCGTTAAAGTTTAATGCACTGGTTAAAGTAGGGCTTCATTATTTCCCTTTACGGTGCAAACTTTGTGGTGGAAGTTTTTACTATTTTTTAATAAAAAGCAATGTGGTTTTTATTGTAGAAATATTACAGTGTATCAAATATTACACATTTTTAATGTTCGAATTCAAAAAAGAAAATCTGCGGATAAAATTACAGACATTAGCGATCGTAAATCTTTACGTCACATTATTGTCTAAGAGATAAAATTTTAAAATATATTATAAAAGTTACTACCGGTAAAAATTCTATGTGGATGTAAAGAAGTAATTTTTAATTTCAGTTATAATCTTTATCAAATTTACTAGAGCGACTCTATCCCTAAAAGTTATAAAACGTCTATAAAACAAAAACTGTTAAAATGCATTTTGCTTTTCATCACGTATTTCTAGTAGAATATCGTATCCCAGTGGTATCTCTATATGTGAAATATCGATCTGCAATTGGCACACAATTCAAACTATTTGTGGTTATTTGTGGTCCACTGCTCAGAATTCAATAAACATATATAGGAGCTGTAAGCCAAGCGAATAATGTAATTCATATTAAAATAAAAAAAAATGGGGGGAAAATGTAGAGTAATGACAATAAATAAAGAAGTCGTGCTATCGTATTTTTTAAATTTGAAGAAAAAATATGCAATTTCATCTATGTGGTCGAAGTATTCGATGTTGAAGGCTATTGTAAAGGTCAACGAAAACATGGATATTGGAAAATATAAGCTTACTGCTTATTTGATGAGTGAATCGAGAGGATACAAAGCAAAACAAGCTGCAGTATTGGAGAGAGCACATATTGAAGAATTTTTTACAGGGGCTTCCGATAAAGAATATTTAATGATGAAGGTAATATCTGTTGGTAATACATGTTGTTAGGTAATGGGGGCTTCTGGTGCTTGTTGATGCTGCGAATTGACTAATTTGAAAATTAGTGACGCATAGGACGGTGGCAGTTACCTACTTGCTTCAATACCTGATACCAAGCATTTTAAGAAAATTTACAATTACAGAAATGGATTGTTGAAATATGCAGATAATATATTTCTCTGCGCCCAATTCGCCTAACACAATACAGATTCTTTTTAAGATGCATCAATCAAAAATGTACTTAGCCTGTTGAAATTAACACTGGCCTCAATACCTTCATTCCTGAACATCGCAAATCCAGAATCATATACTGGCCATTGTATGAAGCGCACTTCAACAACTTTATTGGCTAATGAAGGTGCTGATCTTACAACCATCAAACGGAATGGTGGATGGAAGAGCTCCTCTTTAGCAGAAAGTTATGTTGAGGGGTCTATATCTAACAAAGTTGATATTGCAAGGAAATCCAGGGAAAATATAGCTGTTCCTTACAAGAAGAGACATCAGTAACTTGTGCAAATTCTTCACAAACTTTGGCAGATGTTATGCGTTCCGAAAATGATGGCAACAATGCTTCAAGGGTTGTTATTAACGCAAAGGATGATAAATGTGATAAAACAGAGAACTAAATATCTATTACTATAAATGTAAATGTTAATGTTAATAAGTAAATAAATTAAANGTTAATTTAAATTGAGAGAATTATTTAGTTATTTAATATTATTTTATTATTTTGTTTGTTCTTTTACCATACATTCTCAGCGATAAATATTTTTAATAAATGTGAAAATCTTAAGGACAGACAGATTCCTACGCTCATTACTTAATATTGCTTATTAATTGTCATTACTAACTTGATTTAAAAAATTGCACGAGAATTGAATAGCTTTATAAAAAAATTAAAACATTAAAAAACTCCTGGGTAATCGAACACTTTTAAAAATAATTTGGAAGTTTTCGAGGACAATATTAACTAATATATTAAAAAAAAAGTCAACCCCTTATTTAATTTTTTTTCAGAACGGGACGCTTTTGACTAATATTAAATGTACTTATACTGAGTAATATTCATAATCAATTTGACACCATTTGCTGATTCAGGAGGATTTTAGCTATTAAAAATTTGCAGGTATTCATCTAATACACGAACTTGCAGAATGTACTGCTGACTTAGAAGTTATAATTGGAATAACTCCAGAACGAAGCCCGATAGGAAATTTTTTTTTATGAAGTACTACAACTATTTTGACATCCCCTGTATACCCCTTCATTTTCGACATCACCTTTCCGGACACCCTGTATATCTATTTTTTTAAATAAATGCACTTGCTGAAGTCAAACACCTTGTGTGACCTATTGAAATCAATTCATTTATTAGTAAATATCGAAACGAACAGTTAAATTATGTTTCAAGTTTTTTTTTTAAAGAAATGTCTAATACGATTTTCTAAGATTTGGTGAAGGGGTAGACCTCACTGACTATTTTTCATGCTGGAAACAATATGTTTAAATATCACCCCATTCATTCTGAAATAAAAGAGTAGTGCTTGCGAACGTGAAACACACTAAATAGTTTTTAACTTAGTGCAGGAAAAGTATTTTTATAGATTTCGTGCGGAAAACACGGTTATGATTTAGG